TATTTGACGAGTTTATGTCGTAAACTACATATTGTAATATATTTGATATATATAGTATATCGCTTAATGGAAATTTCGTAATGGAAAATCGTATATAGAAATGGGCAAATAGAAAATTTACTACTAATTTATTACTACGGGATTCACAAAATTCCAATATATAAACTCAAACAAACAAACAAGAAAATGTCAAATATTATACAAATATGTAAAAAAATAATTAATTTTATTAAATTTAAAAATTAATTTAGAATATTAAGAATGATATTCTATTTCAAGTATAGTTTAGACAAATTTGATGACTTGTTTTAATGTCAAAAATATTAAATATATATTTTTTATGTATCCTTGGAATTACCAAATTGGAGGGCATTTATTTGGATATTCCTTTCTTTGGGAAGTTGCCGAAACTTTATTACAAGATAACTAATATTTAAAAAACAGTGTCAACATAACGATTATATATACAAAAATTTATTTTAGAAACTTTCAATAAAATTTCTTTTTTGGCTAATACTAATAGAATAGATTAAAAATCTAACTAAAATAAACATAAGCTATAACTGAATATTTATTTATAATCACAAGTATATAAATATTAATTTTATAAACTGGTAATATTGCGATCAAAAATAATCTATCATTTTGTTAATAAAAATATTCTTAATTATTAAAAATAAAAATTCATATAAAATAACTTTTTTATTAATTGATAAGTAATAACAAATTTTCATTTACTTTTTAAAAGAATTTTGTAAATAAGTTTTTAAACAAAAAATGAAAATAGCTTTCTGATAAAATAATTTTTGTATCATTATATTAATTATATGTCATTTTATATCGATATAATGCAAATATAATAATACAATCAATTACAATATATGTTTTAATGGTATTAAGCAAACTTTATTCATATACAGTATATTAAATTAATAACTTCAGCTTAACTAGTGTTTGTATTAATATACAGTATATACTATATATATTTTTAGTACCCATTTATTTTAAGAATTATCCATTAAAATTAAATTTTATATATAAAGCATAATATTAAATATTAATTTAAACATTTTTACAATTACTCATACAACAAATCATTTTTTAAAAATAACTTAATAGATAAATATTAATTTAAATAGTTTAATTAAAATTTAACTTTATTTTTTATTCATTTTAATAAACTTACGTTTATTAACTTAAATTCTATATTCATTTTTTATGTAGTAATTGTAATATTGCAATATTGTATTGTACAGTAGATATACAGTATGTAGGTTTTATATTTTTAATTTTTAGTTTTATTATAGTGTATTATATCAAATATGTATTTAAAATAACAATTGCGATAAATTATCACTGATTGAAACAACAATCCCAACAATATATGGGATCCCAATTGATTAGGTTTTTGATTGTGTACTTCAATATTCACTTTAATATTAAACACATAGAGACTAGTTTTTCATAATCACCAAATAGTGTACACTATTAACGATATTATAGTATTAGATATACAGTATGTGGGTGTCTATTATATGTTTACTTATATTTCAATAGAATAAATATTACGGTTAGTATTGTATACATATTTCATTAAAATAGTGAACTTTATTAACTTATTTATCTTTATTTTTGTAAATATTTTATTTATTAGTAACATCCAATATATTTATATAAATAAAAAATATATTTTATCATTAAATAGTGTACAATTGAAATGGTGTGTTAAATAATTAAAAATTATTATTTAATTTAAATTATAATATAAAATATACAGTAGTTCTCACAGTAAAGTTTTTATTCAAGATATACATTGTATAATACATTGATTACCAAAAAAAATTTGAAAAAAATATTTTATAAAAGTATACATTTATTCAAATTCAAAATTTTAAAAATGATAGATATGTAATATATTTATTATTGTATGGTTAGTATTGCGTGGGAATAGTGTATAAGTACTATAATACTAATATAGTATTTACTTTATTATATACTGTACTATATTATAGTATTTAATATTTATCAACAAAACTAAAATTTCAAAATTTTAAGTTCAGAATCGGATAAAACATGAAAAATAATGTTTAAGTGAATCATATAATCAAATATATGCCATCATTTTCAGCAAAATCAAGAAAATGGCGGTCAAAGTATAAAAAGTTGAAATTTTTAAATCTTGACTTCAAATTTGGATAAAACATTAAGTAAAATAAAATTGTTTAAAATGTATGACTGACTGATGTTAGCAATTCATACAATAACATGAATCTAAAGTATGTGTCGTTCATAGAGATAAGCAAATAGAAAATTTCTTAGGAATAAATTTTTATAGAAATCTAACTATTGTTATACTATGGGATATATAGCTATTGTAATACTATATTAATGAGACATAATACTATACATATAGTACACTAAAATATATAATGGGATACTTATATATAAAATAATTATTTAATAATAAAATTTTGTAGAATTTTATGCATCATTTTATTATAAATATTTAATTATTAGTTGTAAAAACAATGTATTGTTACAAGATAACAAATATATAGCGAACAAAATTAACATGGGGATCCCATATATTGAAATTTATTTTAGAAATTTTCTATAAATTTCTCAATTATTTTAGAAATTTCTCTTTTTGACAACACTAGTAGTACGGATATTTGTAATAAATATGTTTGATTTATTGGGACAATCATACAAATGTTAATAATGTATTGTAGACGAGGGATATAACATTACTTAATCAATGAGGGAATAATGATTGAATTTTATTTGATTTTACTTTATTTTATTAATTTTGTAAAGTTTATAAATATAAACATTTAATTAAAGTAAAAGTTTGTTATATTAATAGCTGATTGTCGTTGAATTAGTAGTGAATAATTTTTTAGTGAAATGATTTAAATGTTTATATTTTATATAATTATATATTTCAAAACATCTTATTTATAATAAAAACAATTTTCAAATAATTTTAATTATTATTTAAGCAAATCAATAGATTCTTCGTATTTATCCATTAATTCTTTAAGATGTGTATTGAATTGTATAAGAGATTGTTTAAGTGAATTGATTTGTTGTAAAATATTAGTGACATTGATATGGGATGTATTCATCTGATCGTCGATTATGCCATTAATCTCGTAATCCTCGACTCTATGCTCAACAACAGTCAAACGTTTGCCGATAAGTGAAGACTTGAGAAGTTTTGCCGCATTTAAGATGTTATTCACGTCATACTCTTCACACAAGTCTTGCATAAGTGTCGGCACAAGAATCGTACGGTCAGTCGTTTCAATCAACGTTAACGTCTCAAACACTGTACTCATCAATGAATTGTTGTTTTCAGTCTTTATATTCACACTTTGCGATTCACCACACATTGTATTTGAAGACATTTTGATAGACAACTACACAAAATTATTAACAATAATTTGAATTGTTTTCAGGGGTAACCAAGATTTCTAACTGACTTATTGAAAATATCAGAAAAACAAAATTAATTTTTTAATTGTTAAAAATAGCGATAAAATTAAATTGTTGTATAAATTTTATATTTAGATAATATTCTTAACAAATAGTTATCACATTTTATACAATTTCAATAGTGAGCGTCTTGTGGTCAGACACCTGTTGCAGCATTTATTTTGCAAAATCATTGAAATATAATATAATACTATTAAAAACTACTGTATTTATTTAAAAAATATCATATTTACTATAAATATATAAACAACACATTAAATAAAATTTAATTCAATTAAATAAAATGAAACTAAATGTAGGATATGATTAATACTCAATAAATTAATAAACTAAACATAATCTGCAAACAGTTAATATTGGTTTAACTAAATTAATTTTAATACGAAAAAATAAAGCATATAACTTAATTTATACAATATTAACAATAAGTTTAAATATACAGTAAAATAAATCAATTAAATTTTCTTATTAGTTATACATGTATTTGTTAATAATAAAATAATACCAAACATACTTTCAATTAAAATTATTAATCATGCTTATTTTATACAAGTCATACAGTATATATAAATATAATATGAAAATTATTTTTTCAAATAGTTAATAAAATTAATTATTTTTACATTAATATATTTGAGGATACTATATATATATATATATATATACTATTTTGTGGATTATTATTAATAATATTATTGTTATTAAACATCACACAAACAAATACACATAAAGGTGTGGAAGAAGAGAATAGATTTAAGTTAATAATTGATTTATATATATATATATTCATATAATTACTTGGATTTCAACACTGTTTTTATTGGGTGTCTTTAAATTACATGTTTTTCCTAATTACTATATATTTGATTTTAAATTATAATTAATTAAATTATAAATTGTATTAAATTTTGTAATGTAATTTTTCCTAGTAGTATAGTTCCTATTATTTAAATATTTTTTAAAAATAACTTATAAACTTACTATGATTTATAAGTACTATACTATTTGTTTAATAACAATGGGGTATAAATTTGTAAATTATATTAATATTTATTCATATTTTTCAATGTTTCAAAAGTAAGTCTAGATTTTTTTTTTAATTAAATCAAATGATATACTAAAGCATCTATAAGTAAAAAAATATTAAAATTTATTAGAAATAATTGTCTAACGTATTTAAAATATTATTAATTACTAATTATTATATTCAATTGGGCTTATATTCTGGGGGGTCAAGGGTTAGGAAGTGTTGTATGTATATGAAAAGGAACGGTATGTGAGGGATAGTAATTGATTTGATTTACATGTATTTAAACTGTGTTTTAACTGTGTTTTTAACTGTGCGTAAAATTACAACAAATCAATAATTAAATACTGTATAAAAACATTATTTGTTTGACAATTGTTTTATAAAGTGCTGTCACCTATAGTTGTGTGTAATGTTGTCTGTAATCATATAATATTGTAATACATGTATACATATGTGTTATGCATTCATACAGTATGTGTCTAATGATTGTTCCGTTTGTTTCAACAAATACTAAGTGTTATAACAAAACACAAACACTTAAACAGTTTGCTTACGAGTCGTCAATAATGACTCAATCATTGAATCATTGAATGACTGACTCGTGAATGACTTTGCGTTTAAATATATGATTCAATTGAAGACCAAATCAATTGTCAGTTGAAAATCATTGAAACAATTAGTAAATCATTTAGACTGTTGACCACATCGACAGTCAACCGCTAAAATGGTAACACAATTGATATCTCTTTGTTTTAAAACAATAATTGTCTAATGGATTGTAAATTGTTTTATCAGTTGATTAGAGTGGAGACACCCGAAGGCACCAAAAGAGTTGAGACCACTGAAGATGAATCCACTGAATGTCTCATTAAAAAAGTGTGTCTTTTTAATGATTGTTATCACTATTTATCACTTATTATTTAATTATTATTTAATTATTATTTGTTGTCAAACAGATTCAAAGCGTCTTTACTATCAATGATTTATTTAGTTTTAAAGTATTTAAAGACAGATCACATAGCATTCAAATACCATTATTAGAGAGAAAAACAGTGAAGGAGTTCGGCCTAAAACACGGAGACTTTGTATACGTTGTGTTCAACAAAAATGATGAACAAATGGCAGACAGAGAACAACCATCGACTTCGAGTCACAACAGCAGTCATACGACTGATAATCATATTAGTGAAAGTCTTAGAAATAGTATATTAGGATCCAATTCTGGAGTAACTGAAGATGATGTGGACGCCCATCTCTACGGTCAAACTGGTGGTATTGAAAGACCTCCAACAGCTGACTGTCGTCACGGCGCTAACGCCAAGTGTGTCCACTGCACGTCTATTGAACCGTACGATGAAAGCTATTTGAAAGAACATAATATTAAACACATGTCTTTCCATTCCTATCTCAAGAAACTCACAAATGGTATCGATAGGTAAGTCTTATAATTTGGCGATTGATTGTTATTTATTTAATTGACTATTCTTTCAATTTAGGGGAAAGTTTGCTATATTAGAAAACATAAGCTGCAAAATAAAGCCGGGGTGTGCGGGACACGCTCCCTGGCCACAAGGAATATGTACCAAATGCCAACCGAGTGCTATCACTCTTAACCGACAAGTGTACCGACACGTCGATAACGTTGAGTTTGAAAATCCGGAGACAGTTAATAACTTTATAAACTATTGGCGACAAACTGGCTTTCAAAGGGTCGGCTTTCTCTATGGCTATTATAGTGTCCATAAAGATGTGCCGCTTGGCATCAAAGCAACAGTTGTTGCCATTTATGAACCGCCACAGGAATGCAATCGGGATTTCATTAAACTGATGACTCCCGATAATAACTGCAAAGTAGCCGAGTTTATTGCCAGTCAATTAGGTCTTCAACGCATCGGTTGGATATTTACTGATCTTATACCAGAAGATAATCAAAAAGGAACCGTTAAATACTTGCGAAATATGAACACATACTTCTTGAGCGCTCAGGAGTGCATTATGGCTGGATTTCTACAGAACAGTCATCCAAATAAATGCCGTTATTCTCCCGACGGATCATTTGGTTCTAAGTTTGTAACTGTATGTGTGACGGGTGATGGAGATAATGCCATTCATATGGAGGGATATCAAGTTTCTAATCAATGTATGGCTTTAGTTCGCGACAATTGTTTATTACCGACACGTGATGCGCCTGAATTAGCGTATGTCCGCGAGTCAAGTGCCGAACAATATGTTCCCGATGTATACTATAAAGAAAAAGATATGTATAATAATGAAGTGCAGAGATTGGCCCGACCTCTACCTATTGAATACTTGTTAGTCGACGTTCCCGTCTCATCTCCAATGCATCCCAAATATACTTTTAATCCATTGGAACAAATGGAAAGGTTTCCTATAGAGAACCGTCATATTGCCGGACATTTACAGGATTTCAATTCTCTATCTAAATATTTGCGACAATTTGGTGGAAATCATTTCCTCGAAGCCATGTCTGACTTCCATTTGCTTATATATATCGCTACTATGGATGCCTTACCACTAAAGAACTCAATGGAACCATTGCTTGAAGCTATCAAGAAATCAAGTGAAGAATTGGCTAATAAATGGGCTCACAGTGAACAATGGGCTACTGTTGAACAACTGGTTCTGGCCAACACTTCGGGCCGTAAGTATAGTTAAAATATTGAATAATAAGACTAATTTTGATATTAATCGACAGCATCGACATCAGTGATGAATAGCATTACCGCTAATGAAGCCAATGTTGGTCTGTCAGCACCTAATGGTACTAAATGGTCGTGTGCTTATTGCACATTTGAAAATGATGATAACAAAAACACGTGTGAAATGTGTAGTTTACCCAAAGAAACCTAATTGAGATGAATTCAATTGATAATTAAATTAAATATATAAAAAATATTAAATTAATATAAAAATTGTGAATAATATTCTGTACAGAATTATTATTTTTAATTACAAAGTAATTATTGGCTGCAAATAAACATTTCGATATTACGATACATACATTATTAATGAAATCAATAATACAAATCAATTGAGACTATACTTTGATTGTTTGATAATTAATTTAAATATTTACAGCAATGCATTATTTACTTTATAGTACAAGTTTATCAAAAAGAGACTTATGTCCCATAAATAGTCAATTATTATACAAATTATATATAACTGATTAAATCAGTGGTAAACTGTTTTATGACAACATTGAATGTCAAGAATAAGTTCAAAATCCTGGAGAATAAGTCATGGGAGGGAACTCTCCGTCATAATCGGGTGCCGAGGATTCACTTGTTTGTGGCGAGGATTCTATTGGATTAAATACAATCAAATTAACATTTATTAATATTTTTATTTATTTAAATATATAATAATCTAATTGAATGAAAACCATCGCCAGAATTCATGGATCGCACAAAAAGCATAACACAATACGTATTGACACAAATCACTCAATTGTGATGAGACAGACCTGCGACTGAACTGACAGACACGGGCTGAAGGGTAGAGTCAATAGTAGAGGTGGTAGTCATAGTCAAAGTCATTTGGTTGGGTTCAAAGCCGCGGACAACAGCTGCGTAACTGATGTTCCCTATGGTTAACACATTTGGGACGAAAGGGTTTTTAATGCAAGAGATGGGCATTACTTCAATGAATTCCAGCCAAACACACAAATACATAGTTATCAACAATTAAGTTATACATACCCTCATTATTGGCTACATTGCTTGCTTCTGCACTCTTAATAGTCTCATCCAATCTATAGATAGTATTAATAGTATATAACATTAATATTACAAATTTTACAAAAATCAACTAAAGGAGTTGTCAGAAAAATATGTCATTTTATTCATGCATTGTGTAAATAAATACAAATATATTTATTTTATAATAAGAATTTGTTGGAACATGGTCTAATTTCAAATATAATTTAAACATTAAATATTGTATGTACTGTACTGTACTGTACTAAGTCAATATACATTTTAATTTAATAATAATAACAAGAATATACTATATTTTACATTATTATGGAAATATTTAACTGTTTTCAATTGTATGAATTTACAAGGGATAAATATTAAATATTTGATAATTTTATAAATTGTACAATTTTCACTAAAAATAGTTTAATAATATTCAACTTTTATAAATGTTATCTTTAATTAATTTACCTTACTTCAATTATTGAAGCTTGAACAAAATTACATTTATTAAATTAGATAAACTTACGCAAACTTATTAACTCTGTATAAGTACATTCACATAATAGAAACTTACGGTAATTACAATCTATAATATGTTAATACTGTATATTAAACATTAAAATTTTGCGACAACTCCTTTAGTTTTTCAAAGTTAATAATACCTGTGCTGTTTGATTAAAGTGCAATCTCCGCCTTCATTGACGTTTAGATCGTAGATATAAAGGTAACCATCGGCTGACGCAATCAGCACTCGGGGAACCTTTTGAATGTTGGCCACTGAGCACACATTTCGGGGTCCAGAAAGGGATAGTTTAGCGGTGGCAAAGGATCGCCACTGATTCATCATATCTGCCATCGATGGCCAATAACTGGCCGTTTGTTGCAAAGCTTTCGCACCATAAGTGCTTATATATCCCAATAGTCCTTTTGGCTCTTCGGTTGGTTTTCTAAAATAAATGAAATAAAATCATCAATAGATATAAATCAAACAATAAATTATTGCTAATAATTGCTTACATTTCAGTCAAATCTTCTAACTTGAAAATATGAACCGTTTCTGTATTACTAGAGGCACATAAAAACAGTGAATCACTGCTGAAAGATAATGAATATATAGTAACACATCGGGCATATCCTCGTCGAAACTCATAAAGACTTTGTCCGTCCACAACATTGAATACCCGAATCACAGTTCCCTTCAAAATAAATCATATGTAATGAGTTAAATATCTGTAATATTTAAATAATTAAATCAATACTTTTTCCGAAGCCGTGGCAATCTTGACTCCCTGTGAGTCGAAAGCAATAGCGGCCAATGGGTTGTCGTGAGCTGTAATCAAAACCTTGTTTTGAAGGTTCTCTGCATCAAAAATATTAACTTCACCGCTGGTATTGTTGGCCGGATATGCAAAGTAACAGTTGTCAGAGTTGGGCGATAGTGCGCACAGACCGTTGGGATTGGACGGCATGTCTTTGATTGTGTGTAATAACTTCATATCGCGAATGTTATGGATGTAAATGCTTTCTTCGAGGCAAACGATAAGTCGTTGTCGATTCAGTTTTACGGCTAGTATTGTATTGGCGTACGAGTTGTTGCATATCTCTGTCTTCTTCTTGAAGTGACATACCTTCAACTTTCGCGGTGACGACAGACTCACTATCGCTAAAAGACTCGATGAAAACAATCGCTCGACAATCCGGATGTCTTCAGATACTATTTGTTACGACAATCGGTCATTAGTTAATTATCAATAATAATAATAATATAGTAACATAGGATATAAATTTATTATCATAACTTTTTCGCTACAATTTTGCACATTTTTTCTTTAAAAAGTACTAAAATGTGATCCAAATTGATATTAAGTCTATCATAGGTGGGTGTGGTGTGGGGTTGGGTGGGGTAAGAGGTCATACATACCGTCCTCGTAAAGCAAATCCAATTTATCGGTTGAAGTCAAGGCATATAACTTGTAACCAGTTTTAGTGCCGATCGCGAGTGACCTTTCATTTGATGTCAAAAACCAAAACAAATAAATATGTTATCAAATGATTAATAAACAAAACACAGGTTTTATTGTATGTGTTGTCTAATGTATGTTAAGGTCACTCATGTGATCGCTATCTTTGTCTCAATTAAGTGACAGACAATGACGTTAAGGCTATCATCGTATCCATCACTCAATTGTCTTAAGCTAACAATTATCTCATCAATACTATCATATCATATCATATAATATGATATCTTATCAATAAAATGGTAAATATATTATCGATATAACAGTTAAGATATAATAAAGTAATCAAAATCAAGACATACGTCGAGTCCTGATTGAAGTTAACGAACACTGAGTTCTGCATCTCATCATTGGTTTCGACACCAAAATTAATTGATCCCATGTCTTGAGCGTATAATCTTAATTCATCACTTGTTGTCCACCACTAGTCGTACCATTGGTTTCAACGATACTATAATTTAATTGTTTGGGTCATTGGCTGTCAAACAACTAAACAAGTGGTCATCATATGAGACACCATTCACTACAACTTAATGTCAAATCAGATGACAATTGTAATCAATTTTTTGCTGATTTTATTCAAGTCTTATGTCTAATACGTTATAAATTCAATGATATTTAATCATAGCTTCAAATCAGCTGCTAATGAGTGACTTATCGTATAAACATTAGACTGACTCTCATATCATATACACTAACACTCATTACACTAAAGCGTAGTTACAGTCAATGCATTCAACATAACATTGAATATACAGTCAATAGTATTGTCAATACATTGATTCAAAACAACACAGTTTTGTGTTGAATGCGTTGTATTACTCATTCAATTTGAATGCATATCAATGTTCACGTAATTCATACTCAATATTGCTATACCCGTACACTATGTGTTAGTTTACTATACATTATATTAAATATTAATAACACAAAAGTATTTCTAATAAATGATAGTTAATTACGTATCCATACATTTACCCCCTATTTATATAACAATATTTTAAATATTATAATTGACACAATATAAACCAATTAATCTAAAAATTAATAATTTATATAAATAAATAATTTTTAATAAAAAGTTATAATACACTTTTACATATATTTACAGTATTATACAATTTATAATTTATACAAACTTAATAAATCTATTTTATACACTATTATATTATTGAAATAATTGCAAATCATTAAATATATAATTATTAACTAATTTTAAACTATACAATAACTTTAGATTACATATTCAATATGGTATAGTATAGTATAGTATATGTATATTCAATACAATATAGGTTTTATAATACAGTAAATTTAATTTAATTAGTATTTTAATTAATAATATTCGTTATTTATTAAATGTTGTTAGTAATACTTAATAAAGTATATGTCAGTATATGATAATACTATAATTATATTTGAAAATATACAATGTATATTATGAAAATAAAGCAGTTAAAAATAATATAATTAGCATTATCAGAACAAACTTTCAAAAAGTATAACTAATTATAATGTTTGAACAGTTTATTTTAATCGCCAACTTTAGCTCTAATTTAGAATTTGTAACCCACTCACCCACTCACCCACTCTCCCACTTAATCACTCATTAATTTATGCCAATATAAACTAAGTTCAGTAAAATAATTACTGAATTTTAAAAATTATTTTGACCATGTTCATTATGAAATATTATATTATTTTTTAAGACAATTTTATTCTACTTGTTGTATATCTATCTGAATCTGAATTCATAATTTTAGAATTAAAAAATAAATAAATACAACAAACAGACAGTCAAATAGTTTTCAATAATAAAATTTCAAAGTTTGTTGAGAAAGATCTCAATAATAATTCAAATTACAGAATGTGTTGTATTATATTATAAACTCAAATTAAAACTTTTTAAAATTATTAATAGAAATAAACTTATTTTACAAAATTATAAATAATAAATATAAATATTATTAATTTGAATCAGTTTTAATGTAATTTTGATTTGTTTTATGAATAATCTTATTTTTTTAATTTGAATAATAGTTTAATTATCATAATATAGTATATACTTATTTATCATAGTAATTTTTATAATTTTTAAGCTAAATAATGATTTTTAATAAATTATATAATATATCAGCAGTTATTGCTTAATGAGATGTCGATAAAGTCTTATTAGATTTAATTTATTTCGATATTTAAAAAAAATAATTAATAATTTATTTTTAATATTTATTTCTAATGATTCATAAAAAGGTAAATAAGAAATGAAATAAAAACAAATAAACATTGAAAACATTATTTAATTATCAATTGTATAAATACTATATGTTTTAGCCTTATTTTTATCTTACACTAGTTATATATATTTTATATGTATATTAATATTTTAGACAACTTTTTTTAAAAATAAATATTTATTCATTGATCACATGAATTCCCAGAGGTTTTAATAGTTGTCAATAGGTATATTCATATCATTGAATTTGATATACAGTACTAATACATATACAGTAATTGACGGTATAATAAATTAATTAATTTGCTGATGTCTACAATAAATATTATTTGATATAATTAAAGTGCTAATCATTATAAACACTCAACTTATATATAATTTATATATTTTTATATATTGCTCTAATTAATAGTTTTTTCGTAATTATTCGTAACTCATAACATATGTATTAAAAAATAAGTTCAATTTAATGAATTTAACAATAAATAAACTTTATTTAAATATAAGGTATGCATTTATATTAAATACTAAATACACTAAATGAATGAATTTTTTCTAATAAAATATGAGATAATTTATATGTTAAAATAATATTAATAAATAGATAAATTTAAACATAATAATGTTTTAAGTACTATTTATTTAAATGTTACATGTACAAATGTAAAAATGTAAAAAATTATGATTATGAAAATATAATCACGTGTTTATCACATAAGTATAATTATGTACATCAATCATGTATTAAATATTTACTATACATTACCTTATGTGCTATTAATCTGTATTAATCTTATGATTAATTAGTATATGTGTGACATCACTAGTGAAATGTTAAAACAAACAGTCAGTTTATATCATAATTTCAATCAGATTTAATATTTAACCGATAATAAAGACATTGAATCAGTTCATAGATTATGTAAACATTGTTAGAATAGTGATAATGATATTGAAATTAAATGTTAAGCAATTAAATAAAATTTTATCAAAATTATATAACAAAACTATATGTCTTGAGAAATATCGACAAAAAATGTGTAATTTTTGTTTTCAATGTGTTATTATATAAATAATATGTATTATAATTTATAAAATAAAGTTTAAATTGAAATTAAAGTATATATTTATAATTTATAAATATAGACATTGATAGTCATTATTCTAATTTATTTATTAGAACTCATGTGAATATTTACATTTTATTACATACTATTTATATGTTTAATATTAACTTTATATACATAACCAATATATCAAACTATATTAATGATTAATCTAAATGTCTTATTAATTAAAAAAATAATAATTTTTCATTTATTAATACAACTCATATGACATACAGTTTATGGGTTCAATAAAATTAATACAATAAACATGTACACTTTCTATAATTAAATTTATTTTTTTATAATTTGTTATAAATTAAAAAAACAAAAATTAGTCTAAACTTTTAATAATTAATCAATAGTTTTATGACATATAAGTTATGTTAACATATAATAGTTATTTAAAAAATGATGTTATTATAGTGAAATCTACGATTAGCAATATATATATTGTTATATATGTTATGTTTATTGATTATTAATTTAAATATGAAATAAAATAATGATATATTATGTTATGTTATCAAATTAAGTGTAAGTGAGTGCTATTAGGATTGTATTATAAGATCCAATAAATTAGATTTCAGTAATAATTTGTATTAATTAGACTATAAATATAATTAATAAATTTTGTAAGATATGTATTCTATTTATATTATAATTTACTACAATATACTGTATGTAATAATGTAATCGATAATACATTTTTATTTTAATAAGTTTATAATACAGTATAAGTAAAATTACAGTAAGTTTTTGCTTACTTTTTTTAATTGAAAACAAAACTAATCATAATATGTAGTATATTGTGTACGATAGGCCATCGTTTCTCTAATACCACTCATAAGCATTGATCTGATCATCACATATGCAATGGTTTTTAGATACCAGTGCTTTAAGCGATATGGGAGGTCGGTAGGGATTAAGTGGACATGTTTTATAGTTTGTGAACTTTTATTACTTAAATCACATATCAATGCAATTTGTTTAGTTTGTTATAAATTTTTTAAATGTCTAATGTTTTCAAAAATATCATATGCATATAAATTAGCTATTGCCAAAATATTGTATACTTTTTAACTCTTAATAACTTCCTATTAGAAACAAAAAAAAACTTGTAATACAATTCAGATACAAATAAATAAGTTTTTGTATTTATAGTCATAATTAAAAGGAGTTTACTATTGTTTCAGATATTAAAAACTATATTTATAAATACAAAAAATACAGTACTGTATACTAAGTTAACTTATCTTATAACTTAAATTACTAACATTAAAATTATCAAATTTTGATGTCATTGTAATTTCTAGAATTTGTTTTTATACAATTTATTTCATTCATTTTTAAATATAAACCAAACTTATAATGTATAATTTAAAAAAAAACAATAATATTAGAATTTAAACAAGATAATTTATATGTAAAATAATAATATAAATATTAAATTTGAATAGTATTAAAATTTAATTTATTGATTTTTATATTAGGAAAAAATATTTATTATTTTTTAAATTTTAAATTAATTTGAGAAAAATACATTTACTGTTAAAAATTATATAATATGTACAGTATTAGTGTTATTATATGTTTGATGAGATAGTAATTTACAGTTACTACTGCTTATGTCGTTTTTATTTTTATTAAAAAACTTTGTTTTTATATTTTAGTTATAAATATACTTTTTATATTGTATTTAACCAACAATTTTCATATGAGTTATAAATAGACAAACTTTTGGATTTGAGACTAAAATTGTGTTGATTTCAGCAGTTTTGACACTTTTGTCGACTCTATTATTGCCGATAGATATCACTACAGATATCAATGAAATACAAATGTATTGAATATATTGTAAAAGATTTCTATAAAACTATTTTTTATCGCAAAACATGAAAACATTGTTTTACTCAATATTTTTACAATCAATCAGTTTTTATAAAAGATTTTGATTTAATATTAATTATGTTTTATTAATTTTAATCAAATTTACAGTTAATTAGTGTGCAATTGATTGTGCAATCGGTGGACAAATTAGTGGTCAGACATGTCATCGACGGGTGTTCTGCCGTTCGTTCGCGGCGTTGACTTCAGTCGCAACGACTTCCAGGTATTTGATCGTTGATTTGAATGATAATTATGATTACAGACCCGATTGTAACCAAATTGTGGTCCATTTATAGGACTACAGTTTCCCGAAGGAGCTCAAAGACATGCGAAACGTGCGATGGCTTAAACTGAACAGAACTCATATGGATTGGATTCCTGAAGAGTTGGCTAATGTGACCAAATTGGAGACACTGTCGCTGTTGCGCAACAATCTGGTGACTCTTCACGGAGAGTTGGCATCGCTTCCATCTCTTCGGTATCTCAACTGCCGGCACAATAACATTAAGAACAGTGGCATTCCTTCAGAGATCTTTCATTTGGACGAACTCCTGGTTCTTGACTTTAGCTATAATCAGCTCAAAGAAGTGCCAAACGATTTAGAGAAAAGTAAAGGACTACTTGTTCTCAATTTAAGTCATAATTACATTCAAACGATTCCCAACCAATTGTTTATAAACTTAACGGATTTGCTTTATCTCGACTTAAGTCATAATCAATTAGGTATGGATTTGTATAATTTAATGTCAAATATGTTTTAATGGTTGACAATGAATGATATTTTAATGACATTTATTTTTTTATATTCAGAAACACTTCCGCCACAAATGAGACGTTTGGTTAATCTTCAATCACTTGTTTTAAGCCATAATCCTTTAGGACATAACCAGTTCAGACATTTGCCATCATTGGTGTCACTAAAATCATTGATTCTTAGGGCAACAGAGCGTACGATACAAAATATGCCCAACTCTTTGGATACATTGACAGAACTAACAGAATTGGATTTATCTTTCAATAATATTCCTCGATTTCCTGATTGTGTTTCTACATTAAAAAGTTTAAAACGACTAAATTTAAGTGATAACTGTTTGACTCAATTACCCCAATCTATTGACGAAGATTGGCCTTATCTGGAAGTGCTAAATATATCTCGAAATCAGATAAGTTGTCTCCCGAATTCATTGTGCAAATTAGCAAATTTAAGAAGACTTTATGTTAACGATAATAAACTCGACTTTGAAGGCATTCCCGGAGGAATTGGAAAACTTTACAATTTAGAGCTTTTTATGGCCGCGAATAACAATTTAGAACTTATACCCGAAGGAGTGGTCAGATGCGGTAAACTCAAGAAATTGATTTTAGCCAACAATCGATTGATAACATTACCCGATGCTATTCATTTGTTAACTGATCTTAAAGTTCTTGATTTAAGCAATAATCCGGACCTAATAATGCCACCGAAACCATCAGAATATGCTAAAAAAATGGAGTGCTATAACATTGACTTTTCACTAAATAATCAGTTAAGACTTGCCGGAGCTCCCAATGCTCCCGGTTTAGTCACAACTAATGGTAAGTTAATTATTGTACTTTTTAATAGTGTTTTATATATTTATATTTAAGTTATTTGTTATTTAATTTAAATTTATTATTAAAGTGCATAATAAGGATCCGATTGCAAGAAAATTACGATTAGTTCGGAGGGCTCGAGAAAATACAACGAATTCTGATTCATCTAAAGTTTTGAAAGGAATGACTGATTTGGCCAAAGATAAAGATAAAATAAAACGCGAATCATTAGAACCAATGGAACAGGACTTGAAGCCAAAGAGATGGGATGAAGCACTTGAAAAACCATCACTAGATTACAGCGACTTTTTTGATAGAGAGATCGGCCAATTACCCGGACTGACTATTTGGGAGATCGAGAACTTTGTGCCAAATATTATTGACGATACACTTCATGGAAAGTTTTACGAAGGAGACTGTTATATAATACTTAAGACAACAATTGAAGACAACCAGAACCTCGATTGGCAAATATTTTATTGGATTGGATTACAGGCATCACTAGACAAGAAGGCCTGCTCTGCTATACACGCCGTTAATTTACGAAATTATTTGGGCGCTAATTGTCGCACCATTCGAGAGGAACAATCGGAAGAAAGTGACGCTTTTATTGGTCTGTTTCCCGATGGACTTATTTATATAGAGGGCGGACGCACTGCCAGTGGTTTCTTTACTGTTGAAGAAGTGGAAGTGTCGAGTCGTTTATATAGATTGCATGAACTGTCAAATAAACAACTTTATATGGAACCGGTAGCTTTGGATATACAATCATTAGATCCGTGTTTTATATTTATGTTGGACGCGGGTTATAAAATATATGTGTGGAATGGTATGAAATCGAAAAATACAATGAAACAAAAGGCCAGATTATTAGCCGAAAAAATTAATAAAGAAGAACGAAAAAACAAAAGTGAACTTATATTTTGTACCCAAGACTCAGAACCGGAACCATTTTGGCTCGAATTGAATTCTGGAAAACCATTTGATGAACAATTGCCTGAAATTATTGAACACATCAAACAATTTAAACCAATTGATCCCATATTATATAAAATAGATTTGGGAATGGGTTACTTGGAATTACCTCAAGTCGAATATAAACCCAAACAATTGATACGAAAACATTTTGAAACTAAAAATGTATATATAATGGACTGTTCTAATGATGTTTTTGTTTGGTAATGTTTTATATTAATTATTAATTATTTATTAATTTTATAATATTTTAATTATTATTATAAAAGGATTGGACGTAAATCAGCCCGGTTAGTTAGAGCGGCAGCTTTGAAGTTGGCACAGGAGTTGTTTTCTATGGTTAATAGATCTGATTATGCAGTGGTTACTCGATGTCTTGAAGGGTATGAAATTTTTATTTTGTTTTACCATTAATTTTATATCTTATATAATAAATGTTATATAATTTGATGTATTTTAGTACTGAAACTCAAACGTTTAAATCAAAATTTCAAAGTTGGGATAATGAACTTGAAGTGGACTTTACACGAACTGCCGAATCAGTACAGAGAACCGGCGCTGACTTAACAAAATGGGTAACAAATCAACAAATGAAAATTGATTTGTCGGCATTGTTTATGCCTCGACAACCTATTGTCACTAAACAAGAGGCTCAACAATTAGCCGATGATTGGAATGAAGATCTTGAAGCTATGGAAGCGTTTGTATTAGAAAACAAAAAGTTTGTTAAACTTCCTGAACACGAATTCGGACACTTTTTTAGCGCCAATTGTTATGTATTTTTATGCCGTTATTGGATTCCTGTTGAAACTGAAAATGCATCGAATGATGAGGAAGAGGAATATGAGGATGACTTCCATTGTGTAGTGTATTTCTGGCAGGGAAGGGATGCTTCTAACATGGGTTGGCTTACATTTACATTTAGTTTACAGAAAAAGTTTGAATCGATGTTTGGAAATAAATTGGAAGTGATTAAGAGTCATCAACAACAAGAAAATCTAAAATTTTTATCGCATTTTAAGCATTTTATTATTCATAAAGACAAACGTCCCATTGGTTCGGCCAATACTTACCGTCCAAATGAAGTCGAATTCTTTCATTTGCGATCAAATAGCAATTCATTAACTCTTCGATGTATTCAAATAAATGCCGATTCAATTGTATTGAATTCTGCATTTTGTTATATTTTAAAACTGCCGTCCGTTGATGAAAGTCAAACCGGAAAAGCTTATGTTTGGATCGGTAATCAATCAGATGAAGAAGAGGCCAAAATTGCCGAACAAATGGCTCTACAGATGTATGATTCAGATTACTTCGATATATCAATAATACCTGAAGGAGAAGAGCCGCAGCAATTTTGGGACAATTTGGGCGGTCATAAAGCGTATGAGAGGGGAGCGGCATATATGCTATACTCACGTTTATTCCGGTGCTCTAATGAAAAGGGATACTTCTCTATATCTGAAAAGTGCAGTGACTTTTGTCAGGACGACCTCATCGATGAGGATATTATGGTTTTAGATAACGGCACACAAGTATTCATTTGGTTGGGCTCCCGGTGTAGTGAAGTTGAAGTCAAGTTAGCCGTTAAGAGTGCTCAGGTATACGTTCAGAACATGAGAATCAAACAAACAGATAGACCGCGAACTCTAATGTTGACAATGAAGGGAAAGGAGACGCGAAAGTTTACCAAATGTTTTCACGCGTGGAGTCAACACAAGGTTGTGTCCGATCCTAGACTTGTTCTCGACAAACAAATGCTTCAAATTAATTATAAGAATTCAATTCAAACAAATGGTGTGATTAGTGATTAATTTTTTTATTTTATAATCTTTTATTTATTTATTTAATTTTATTTATAATATACTTTGTAAAAATTATTAGAAATATTTGAGCCTTTAAGTAATTAATTTTAATAATGTATTAATATAATTAACATTTAGTTCAGAGTTTAATAACAAAATTTTGCAATTAAGATATTTATTTAAAAAAATTTTAATACTTAAAAATACTTAAGATTTAATACAAATATCTAATTGTAATAAAATGTAAATTTTTAAAATGAAAGCACAACCTATTGATAGAGACAATCAATAATATGATTATAACTGCATTTGACGATACATTAGATGATATATTTTGACAATAAATATCATCTGATCTAAGATCCAGAAGTGATATTTTTTTCAAATGTTTTATTTGAAGCTTACTTTGATTACTATATTGATTGTCATCCGTAAAGTAAGCCATGCATTGACTCATTGATGCCATAGTGTTTGCCTGAATAGCAGCCTCTATGTTAATGACTCGCATATCACTAATTAATCTCTTCATCCAATCACTTATCCAAACTAAATCACAGTCACATCTCAATGGGTTTTCATCTAATAGTATTCCCCCTAAAATTTAATGATTAACAAATATATCAGTAATTTTTATCTATTTTTATGTAACTAATTATATTTATTAAGTGCTATAATTGAGTATAAAGTAACAGATTTTTTAAAGTTTGCTAATAAATTCTCACCTAATATTTGCTGTGATTCCCAATTTGTAGTCAATTTGTTGTCTAAATTTAATAGAAATACATCCGGTTTTAAAGTTTTAAGTTTATTTTTTCTCAAATCTATAGTAATATAACGAATATCAGCCAAATATTTTAATAAACCGGATGGCAGTGAACTTATGTTAGTATTGGTGACTCTCAATGTTAGATCGTGTGTATTGTAGAGACCTATCAATATTTAAAATGTAAAATTATTAATTTAATATGATATCAAAATTTAAATAAAGCATAAGTTTTACATTTTACATCAATTGTTTATATCTATATTTAATATAATTTGGATAATTACTATTAAAAATGAGCAAACTTTTTTTTACCTATTTAAATAGAATTTTTTAAAAATATAAATAGGTACTACAAACTACCTTGGTAAATAATTATCTAGCCATGAATTTTAAGATATAATATTACCATTAACTTTACATAATTAAATAGTATGTAAAATAAATAACATTGTAATGTTAATAATAAAACTAAAATACAGTAAAATTAAAATCAATTAAAAAATGATAATTGAAATACCGAGGAAAGCATCCGGTAATATCTTAATTAGATTGGTTCCGGTGATCGTAAGCTCCTTGAGTTTGGCTCCAAAAGCCCATTGGATTTGATGAGATAATGTCGACTCTTGTACTTCAATGACAGCACTTCTTAATGAACTGGTTTTTGCTAATAAGTCGTGTAAACGAAATGATCTAACATTTGGATATGTGCTTGACTTTAGAGATAGTAAATACCTGAAAACAATTATTAAAATTATGTATTATTAATAATATAATATATTATAGAATATAAACATTGTTATTTAAATATAGTAAAACGTTTATAATTTTATCATATCATAAAAAATAATCTATATTTACATAAAATATAACTAATAAATAAAAATCATTTAAAGTTATCGAAAATACGCTAAAGAATACTTGAATAGAAAATCAATATCTTTATTACATTATAGGACCTAAAAGTTATTTAGTTGTTTGAAATGTAATATTAAGTGTCATTAAAACATACCGATGATTATGAAGAAGTCTTGTGTCTATATATTGGAGATTAAGTCCTCTAATGTCTAAATGATGCAAATTCTTGAGTTCAGCAAAACTAGAAATGTCTAAAATGTCGATTGGATTCAATTGAAGTAAAAGTATTTGCATTTTTGTCATATATTTCCACAAATATCGGGGAACGTCTTGTAATAAATTTTTTGATAAATCTAAATAACGAATATTTCTTGAAATAGTCATCGATTGTGGATCTATTGATGATATCATGTTTTCAGATAACTCAAGATGTGTCAATTGTGGCAAATTGAGAACTGGTAGGTCTATTAGACTAACATTGTTTAGTTTTAAACAATTTAGACTTTGAGTATTAAATATAAATGATTTATTGGCAATGATTTTCATAGGATTATGACTTATATCGATTTGACGTAAAGCCGTCAACTTATAGAGTGTATGCTCCGGTAGGTTATCAATGAGATTATGACTCAAACTAACTTCAATGAGATTCACGCATGAAATCACATCAGTTGGTATAGTATTCAAGTAATTATGCGATAAATCTAAATATTGAAGACTCAAATTGACACCAAAACAGTTACTTATTAAATGGTTTTGCGTTTCATTATATTTAATGTCATTAATTAAATTATTGTGCGCTAAATGTAATCGTGTTATAACAGTACCAACAAATGCATTGTCTATTAAAATGTCTATTAAATTATGGCTTAAATCTAAAACTCTTAAATTTTTTAATTGTTTGAATATCGGTATAAACTGTATTAAAGACTTGATTTGATTGTGTCTTAGATTCAATACTTGGAGATCTGAATCAAATGTTATGTTTGAATGACTCAAAGTGTCTGTAATTAAGTTATGGCTGAGTATTAATATCTGGAGCTGAGGACAGAATTGCAGTAATTGTATGGGAAATGTCATCATTTGATTGTAGTTGAGATGTAATGAATGTAAACTTTTGCACATAATTTGAATAAACTGTTGGGATATGTCTTGTATTTGGTTATGTGATAAGTCTAAGACACGTACATTCAATATTTGTCTTGAATGGTCATCAAAGTCAACGACCACTGAATTATTATCGTCAATACTATATGTTTGTTGAGATCTATCAATAGTACAGTCAGTCAAATGTTTGATCTCATTGTGCGATACATTAATATATAAGAAGCCGTTTAGAGAGTTGTTATCCATTGATCCAAATATGTCCGCTGAGAAACATTTCAGTTGATTGTCGTCGAGTAATATGGAAAGGGATGCAGAACTTTGACCCAAACTATTGAAAGCATTTATTGCAATGCTTTTGATTAAGTTTTTTGACAAAATTAATGTCTTTAGTTTTGGCAAATCATTGAATGCATTGTTTTCAATACTATTAATTTGGTTTTGATTTAGTCCTATATTTTCTAGTTGTGGTAAATGTGCAAAACTCTGTGATTTGATTAACGAAAGCTGATTGCGGCTTAAGATAATTGTGCTTAGATTAGGGTTTCCCCTGAACTCCGATGATATGTCAGTAATTTTATTATTCTCTAAATCGCATCCAATCATTGATTTCAATGTCGACGGCATTTGTTTGAGTCCGTTGTTGTTTAGTTGAAGCCATTTCAGTGAATCAAGTGATCCGATGTCAACATTTTGAATAACACGTTCAGACATTACATCATTTAGTGAATCACTTAACTCTAATACTTCCAGTGCGTGAATCGGCTTTAATATATAAGTACTAAAGTATAATATACTGTTCCCTCCGAGACGTAATTCCCGCAAATTCTTGGTTTGTTTGAAGGCGTCTCTTGAGATGTATTTGAGTGAGTTTTTCGACAAACTTAATGACACCAATGTCTGAGACCAATCACCCAAATTGCTGTCATCAAGATTTGTAATTAAATTACCGTAAAGATTAAGTTTTACTAACGATTTGGTTACTGAAAGTGAAAGACTGGGAATATCTGTTAATAAGTTTCGCGAGAGATCTAATACTTCAAGACTGTGACCACAGTTTGAAAACGAGTCTTCGTCTAAATGTTTGATACGATTATTCTTTAATAAAATTTGACGTATATTTTGAAGACTTTTCAATGCCATTGGGAATGAATCGATGAGATTATAATTGAGATCAATAGCTCTGAGCTCTTGTATAAGCGGACCATCAAATGCTTGGCTTGAGATGAATGCAGATGTGATGCGATTGTTTGATAGAGATAGTCGTTCACAGGAAATGTGTGCAAACAGACCGCTTGATAGCGATTGAATAAAATTGAAGTCTAAATGCAAATCCTTTATATTGAGTGAACTGATAGGGGATTGGGATTGTGATTGGGTTTGGGATGTATTACTATTATTATTTGCGACCCAAATATACTTTAAATTATAAGAACTGTTATCATTATTATTAACATTACTGACACCATAGGCAGTGCCAGAACCTCCTTCTCCTCCTTTTTGACGGTCTTTTTGTACATTTCTATATCTAAAAAGATTACTTGTTTTTTCTGGTTGTTGTGTAAAAGTGAAGACATCTGAATTAATGGTAGAAATTAGATTATGGCTGAGGTCTAACATTTGTAAGTTATGTGTTGACAACAATTTCATATGTGGTAAATGACGGATCAAATTGCCTCTCAATTGCAGTATTTGTAGATTTTGTAGGTTTGATATGGACTCTAACGGCACTTCTTGTAGCAAACAGTTAGATATAGAGAGAGTAATCAAAGTGGACGGGAATGGCTTTCCCTCAATTCTGGCAATCATATTGTCATCTAAATCGAGAAATTCAAGATTCAAGAGTTCCGTAAATGTGTTATCGAGAACTTGTGATAAAGAATTGTCACTTAAGAGTAAACTTCTCAATGCTTTTAAATCTTTAAAGTCTTTAGCTTTAAGTTCTTCTATTTTATTGGCTTTAAGACTAAGCCATTGAAGTCGATGCAAATGAACAAATGCCTGACTTGGAAACGATCGCAACTCACTGTATGACAACTCCAATGTTGTCAGTGTCTGTTCCACACCTGACTGAACCAATGCTAATGAATCAATCGATGCAAGTCTTGTCCGTGAAATAGTCAGACTCGACAATGACTTGACATTTGCAAAGTCTTGTCTATCAATTGATGACAAATCACGCGAACCTATTATTCTAATCCTATAAAAGTGTTTGTTTGGCAATTCATTAAGTTTTATATTAACTCCAAGACATGTCAATTCAGACAATTGTTTCGTATAGTTGGAGCAAAAACACAATTTATTGAAATTACATACTTTTTGCAAACTATATATTCCAATGATTACAGTGTTTAATATTATCAAACAATGTGTCCATAAATAGAAAAATTTCACAAAATTCTTATAGCAAACCATTTGGCTTAATATCTGTATATTAAATAAGAAATACAAAATAATATTACAATAAATGCGTTAAAACATTTGAAATGTTATTTAGTATATAAAAAGTATTGAAAAAAGTATAAAATGTTTCAAAGTTATTTGTTTTAAGTCAATACAAAATATAATAAAGTTTACAATTCAATAATGCTTTTAGATTTCTATAATATATTATTTTGTTTTGAATTAGTTGTGAATAATTGTATTAAAAATGTGACAAAAGCTATATTGATTGGGTGTTATATAACATATGACCCTAACTCTGGATTCATAATAATCCTCACTGTTTTTGGTACTTCAATAATATTGAAATATCCTCTAAGTTAAAGAATCGCTTTATTATTAGCGTATAGTTCATTGATTTTTATGATTTCCGACAATTGACTACAAAAGGCATTTGCGAACAGCTGTTGAATGATATTTGACATAAAATGATTGCTTTTTATATAATAACTAAAATCTAAAATTATGATATTATAGTTTTGTTAAATTTATTAACAATTAATGGCAAATTTTTCTAAATTAAAAATAAAAATACTATTAAATTTATTCTATTATATTTACTTAGATATAAAATGTTGTTAAGTCAATATTAAGGCAATGCTACATAAAATAAGTTTATGTAAAGTTTTTATACCCATTATGTAGAGCTAGAATATTCATTTTAATTAATATATCTAATAAAACAATTTTAAAATATTTTTTATGAATTATGGATTTATCAAATTTACAAAGTTTTTAATAAGAGTATAAACTGTGATTTGTCTGATAAACGATTTCCAATTTCGTTAATATTTTTATATAAATTATATAAAGTTATTAATTTCTCAAAGAATAATATAGAATATAATAATAACGTTTAAAATAATTATATTTAGTTTACAAAAAGTTAATTTAAATATCATAATATTTTATACAAAAAAAAACTATATTTAAAAATAATAAGTTAATAAAAGTAATTCATAGATGATTCATATTAAAGTTTATAAAAGTGTGAATTAAGTATCTTTTATATATTTATAATAACCAAATCATAGATAAGCATTATTTGAAAAACAATTGGGAATTGAATGGCAGTGTTAGAGATAACTAAAAACCATTGAAAAGTATGAGAGGAATGGCTGACACACCAGAGACTCATCACTGTATGCGTGACTCAAACCTTAACACAATTCGTGATATGTTTGCACAATATGTGGATAATATCTGTACTTTTAGATCAATATAAATGACAATTTTTAATATTTAATTTAAATTTTAAAACCAATTTTTTTTCTTTAACTTAGAAATCGTTTAACAAAAATACCGTTTGTTTATTATACAGTTAGAAAATAAAACTAAAGAATAAAAATTATAATATTAGTAAAGTTAAGATTTTGTTACATTTAATAGTAATGTTAAATAGCTTTTTGAATGAGGGTTTAAGTATTTATTCATTATTATGGCATTCATTAAGTTTTTCACACACACACACACACACACACACACACACACACACACACACACACATTGAATAACACATTGATTATATATATTGTAATTTATATCCGGAATTTCTATTGAAATAAGAATTTACATTTATTTACTTGAAATTCTTCGCTGTATTAGTCATTAAATTGTAATCAAATATAAAGAAAAGAATGTTTGGGTTATTATCATACATATACTGTAATAACCTTTAAAAATGATGTATAATATTATATTATAATATAATATAATATAATATTAACATTCAAAACATTTGCTTAATAAAAAAAATTGAATTATTATTTCTGAATGAATTGTAATTTATTATGCATATAATTTATTAGTAAAAATTAACATCTTATTATTTTATATAAAAATAACAGACTAACCAATGTTTGACTAATTGCCACCTGAGATGACAAATTGGTGATATATAATGTGCTTAAATTATATTATACTAATTATATTCAAACCATTTCAAATCATATATACAGTATATGAGATGACAAATATTAATAATTTAGATTTGACTTATTTGCGAAAATGATTTATTATATACAATAAAACTAATTAAAATAAGGGGTGAATTGAAGTCTTAAATTAATGGCTAAAAATAGTTTTATTTAGCGAACAATAGTAACTGATTTCATTTTAATCAATATCTACTGTATTATATAAAATGGTTTATTGCAACCCAAGTGTCGGTCGTTTTATATAACGTTATGTCTATAATAATGTCAGAGAAAGTTCTCTCCAATAAAGACAACAATCTTTAACTAACAAAACATATACTGTAATAATATAATACTGTTTCCATTTTTGTATCGATGTTAGCGGTACTTCCCATACGTGACCCGACAACTAATAAATTGCAGCGCACTATGCGATGCCACTGTGAGCTACCGTTCCTCTGGGAAATTTTAGGCTTTACTTTCGGTTCAACACTCGTTTCTCATGTAAACACATACCCATACCTTATTGTCCATAAATATCAAACATAGACATTCTCTACCAGTCCTACCATCAGTCCGTCTCCCCTATGATTACTCTCTTTTCAAATTATTGTCAATTTTGCTAAATTTCTTAGTTGTCGACATTTAAGCTTATTTTTTGCTGACTTTTCTCATTTAATAACGATTAACAAAAACAAAAGTCAAAATATATTGATTTTTTAAAATTATTAAGTTATAACAATAAAAGTTTCAAATACAATATCAAAATAATAAAATTATTATCATAGCCTCAAATAAACTCATATATAATTCAATAGATATTAGTGATACTGTTATTCAAATAATGACATAAATGTATAAATGATAGCTTTAATAATCAAGAAATTGATGGAACACTGCATTAGACTTATGGATCAAATCAATGATATATTAAAGTCAATCAATCATTTACTTTGTATCCGTTTCTCTCAACTAAACATTGATTTGACTTTTCTCTTAATTTAATATATCTATGAATGACATACAAACACATCAAACTGTATAATATATGCTATTATATTGTTTATTTATAAGTATTATATACTGTATTTATTTGATTATACAGTAAATTTTATTTATATACGGTACAGGTATATTTTGCAGTTTTGCTCCAATTAATAACAATATTTATAAAATTTATTTAATATTTTTAATATTTTGTTATTTTTCCAAATTATTTTTATATAATTTTTTTGAGCAGTTTTTTTCAAACTTTCTCCCGTTATTATTAATGTCAGCAAAAAAAAGTTATTTATCTAAAAAGTTTACTTTTATTACAATTTAAAGAAGATATAAAATATGGGATAAACAGTGTTAGCGATTTATATTAAGAGATAAAATGAGAAATTGTATAAAAAAAAGTATTACAGAATAAGCGTTAGAATAAATTATAGTATTATTATTTGAGACCTAAAAGTAAATGCTTTGAATACTCAACGAACCGATGCCTCAAACCGACGGCATCTGAATATATTATATAGACTTTACTTTAATATAAACTAACTGTCCTTTTCTCGTGTCCTCTATATTTGTTTTGATGTTTTTTTATCTAAATATGCATTAAAGGTTTTACTACTCTAAAACAATATATAACATTGAAACATACTATACAAATATTTTATATCATAGCCTATGGATATTTATGAAATACAAATGTAAATATACGATATTTGATATAAAATATTTTTATTGATATATTGAAATTCTTCTATAAATTGTTAACCAGTGAATTGGTGAAAAAAATTTTGTTATATAAATATAAAAGTACTAAATTTAAATTATGATATTATTTGAATTTATTGACTCATGTAATCCAATAATTCTTTTAAAAAATCAATTGATTTATCTGTTTTCAACTGATATCACTTACCCAACCAAACCATGTGAATCAAATGATTTCCATTTAATCATATTTGAGTTAAACTTTTTCTATTTTATATATTAAAAATGTTTATTATACAATTTATGTATTGTATTTATTAATTTTACTTTTAGTTTAAGATTAAAAACTAAGTTTCTAAAATTTCCTAAAATCTTTATCAATAAGTTTATATATAAGAGTATAACGTTACATAAAACAAGTTTTATTATTTGATAAAAGTTTATATATTATAATCAACAAATGAAAAATGTTAAGATAAACTGTATTTCTTTTAAGATTATAAATGATATTTTTAATAATATTTAATTGAGTATTATTTAAATTGTAATTGAGTTTTACTAGCAATTATAAAAATGATAATTAAATGCAATAAACATATTATATCATTATTATTATGATTAGCAATAATATCATTAGAATGGATGACATAACACATCAATTGAATGTTTATCACATTGTTATCAATCAATACAAACCGTCCAAAATTGTCTCAACTGTTCCCTATAATTGTCATTGAATTGTCAATTATCTGCTTTATTAGTCATCCATTTAATCGAAACCCTAAGACATTAACAATTCCTATCCTCTCTGATCTCATATGACTTATAATAACAATTCAATAATAAGTTATTTATTTTGATATTTCACTCATTTATTTTTATAATATAATATTTTGAAAACTTTATATCACAGGTATTTAACTTTATATTTTTACTGTTATGTAGTAACTTAAGTATAATATAAAACGATAAATTAACGATAAAAGATATATTAAAGTTAATTTTTACTTACATATTATGTATTAATTTTAATTAAATTTTATTATTTGTGTGATAAATGATGTACAATGTTATTGTGTAATAATTACAAATGTTAAATATTTTCAATTAATTTTTTTAGTAGATTTATTTAATTTTGTCACGTATTAACTAAATTTTTACATGTATTTAATATTATTATATTAAAAATCAGAAATTATATTATATTATCTTTATTTATAAATAAAAATGCACTTAAATGGAAAATTTAGAAGTTATTTAATTATTTATTAAAAATTATCACAAACCATATATAATTTATGTTAAATTAATTTATTTAATAAACAAAAAGTCAACTTTTAAATAAATTTTTTGAATTTTAATTTTATACAGTGTATGGAATAATAACTAATTTAAGAAATCATTTTGATTTAATTTTAGACTTATTTTTAAAAATAATCATTAATTTCAGTAATAATATAAAATAAATGACTTACCGATTGTTTTTTTGAGTTGATTTTTATCACAACAAAAAGCTATAACTTATAAAAAGTTAGTGACATTGATGTCGACGACAATGTTGTATCAAAAAGAGAGCCAATTATTGTGTTTAAATGAGTCCACTGTTTGTGACTTTGCGTCAAAAGCAAAGACAACTGCTTTGAGTAAATGCAGTCAATCTATGCTTACTTTTGTTGAATCCCTCTCTCATCGCAGGCATCTCTTAGTAGAATCAAGCGCTTAGAGCACAGGGAGGTATTGAAGCAAAATATAGAGTATTGAGACACACGTATGACTATTACTACAGTCTATATACTATACCGGCTTTCATTGCCACCAACCCTTAGTCTGTGATCACTTGTTTTTGGGGGGGATTTCTAATAAAATGTATAATCATTTAAATCAAAACCTATTTCTTCTATTAAACACTTGAGACCAATAAAGTGTTGGTTGAAATCAATCAAACTTTATATATTAAAAAATTTGACAATAAATATTATGATAGTTATGTTAGATTGTAATAAAAACTACAAACCAAACAATTTTTTAACAAAATAAACTTTTGGTAATATATAGTAAAATAAAACTAAATGTTAGTTATTTAAAGCAATGCCTAAATGTTAAACATTACCCCCGCTTTTAGAGTCAACCCTATGGCTAGAGTATAGTTGATTTGCTTTATGTGTTTTGCAAAAATTTCAGCAAATGTTGAATTAAAGAATACATTGTTTGCTTATTTTATTAATATGTTAAGCATTGGATACAATTTAAGATCAATAAGTGAACGGTTTAACTGTTGTATTAGTTATAATCATTTTTAATTCAGTCAATCATAATATAGTATTACAAAAAAATGTTACAAAAATTAATTCAATTTTTTAAAATTGAAATAATGAGAATACATTTGTTTATTGAATGATATGATTAAACAAACAATTAAACTTTGTTATCAAATTCATTGAATGCTTGTGCGATAGCGTTAATCCAAATTGAAACGGCAATAGCACCGGGATCTGGTTTAGTCACTTTATCCAGATTTACATACGAAGCCCTTCCGACACTAGCTTTCATCGCTGCCGTACTTTCTATTAAAATATAAACTATTATAAATAAAATGCAAATTAAAACTTAATTGAATGCATTACCGGCTCCACTCTTAGCACCCTTTGATACAAGATTTGCAATTTGATTGTAAGTCAAATTATGATCGCATGAATCTAATACCTGATAGACGCTGTACAGTGAATCTGTTTAGTAATAAGTATTTAAAATAATTATTTTATTATTATAACGATTAGATGCCATACAAACCAAGCATCGATCGATCGCCAGGTTTTGCTGAACTGTAACGAGTGATTGTATCCAAACTGTATTTAATGACATCTCTCCAGAAATCTAAGTAATCATAAGTTTTTTCGTCGATGCGATCATTGTTTGCCCGCACGGCCTGAGAGGCGGCAGTAAACATAAGACTATAGATTGCACCGGAAGTGCCGCCCATATTATTCTCACACAATTGAGATAATTGAATGAATGATGGCTTCAATTCATTATCTTTGGGTTTAAATTTTTTAGTTTAATACTAGTATATAAAAAATTATATTATTATATAACTTATGATTACTTGATATGAGTTGAAGCAAATGTTTTGCTGTTGTACTTAGTGTTGAACCACAGTCTCCATCACCTAATTGAGTGTCCAATTCATTCAAATATTTTTCATGTGATATCTGTTGTATGTGATAGTATTGTCAACAATATTTTCAACTCATTATTAAACATGAATACACATCAATACTTATAAATAAAACATAAAAAACTTTTTATAAAATCTTATTTTTTCTCAGAAACATTAAAATACAATATAATGTATTTATTTTGAATCAAAAGTCAATATCAAACACAGAAAATAAGAAATTGTAAAATAAATAAATAAATTTTTAAATTTTGAATAAATTTAAATAACTTTTTTGAGACTTACTAATGCTTTACACGACAATTCAATGCATTTCAAGAATAATTGTTTACCAAACTTGAGACCATCGATGGATTCAAAGTCAATCACTTGTGAACTCTGTCGTTGTGTTTTCAAAATAGTCGATCGATTGAGTATTTTCGGTGTATTAACCAATTGATTCCAAGCGCTTGAAGACGACGGTCTGTCCAATAGATGTAACATTTTGTTGTCAACAGTCATAGCGGTAATTGAAACGCCAGACATACCGAAGGATGTCATGAATGACCCGAAATATAATCTTTCAATTTGTAAATCAAGTGCTTCTAATTGAGTGATGGTTTCATTGATTATGATATTTAACTCAAACATCGAGAGTCCGCCCGTATTGTTAAACAAAATGACAATTCTGTTGTTATACTTCTTGATTGATTCAAATAAAGGTGATGTCTTTCCGACCAAATGTTGAAGCATAACACTGACCACATCCCGAGCCGAACTCAGTTTCATACGCTCAACACCGGCCTCTCCATGAACTCCAAGTCCCAGTTCTATCTCATCGAAAGCCAAATCAAAAGAATTGCCTAAACCGGGAATATTACATGAGTTGAGACTTATAGAAATGGTACCAATAAGTGGTGAATAATTATTAAGAGCTTCTTTGATTTGTTTCATATTATTTCCCTCTTCAGCCAAAGCACCGGCCAATTTGTGTACGAATGTAATGCCGGCTAACCCTCTTCTACCGGCACTCTTTCCTTCGCCATAAAAGGCAACGTCTTCGCCAAATATAAAAACGTCTACATTATAGCCATTGAGTATTGCGTGCTCTCGGGCTAAGCCAAAGTTAAGCCGATCACCCGTATAGTTGGCTATTATTATTAATATTTCATTTACACTTTTGTCGGCAATGGTCTCAATGAGTCTCAACGTTCTTCTGGGTGGCGGAGAAGCAAATATATTTCCTGCGACGGCACCCGTCAATAGACCACTTCCCACAAACCCGGCAAACATGGGTTCGTGTCCTGAACCACCTTTAATTGAAAATTTACATTAAAATTGCCAAACAATAGATAGTTATACTGTATTTATAGATAAACATAAACGACAATTAAATACCGCCACTAATGAGCAAAACATTAGACTTTTGTCGATAAGTAAGAAAATCTTTGCGAATAACAGAATTGCATTCAGGAATCACTTGTAAGGAATGGTTAGTCGACACCAAACCCAACAAATTCTCGTAAACACTGTTTTCGATTGCATTTATTAAATGTTTTGTTGTTGTTGTCATTGTTTTTTAAAATTACTTTTTTAGTTATATTTTATTAATATATGCTAATTATTAAACTAACTGATAGTTTCATTAAAACGCTTGAATTACATTTGAAGTATAAGTTGTTTAATAATCATTAGTTTATCGGTTTTTAAAAGATTACTAAAGATTATCTGAGTTCAAGGTTTGATGACATGAGCTGTCATTAGATTAAATGTTTTGATAAAATATTTTAAGTAAATTTAGTCTATACTATAGTTTCTCATATTATTACATATGTTTAAAATAAATTTACATTACCTTTACTTATAATATTTATATTTATTTATTGAAGCATCATGATTCATGATCAATATAATACATAATTTAAAGTATTTTTTATTCACCATAAAATGCAAATATTTAATATTAATTACATTTAAAATATTAAAAATGTTAATATTAAAGAAAAATAATTTAATTAAATTAGACAAATAGTTATTATGTTCTATTAATGGAAATATATATATATATTATATAAAAATACTGGTATATTGATTATAAAATATTATGATTTTAATTAAAATCTGAATTTTTTAGTATGATGTGTCTTAAAAATATATTTATATCAAATTTCAAAATTAACAAATAGTAAAATAATTTTTAATTACAATTACTGTATTAGTTTTCTGAAAGTATATAATAAACAACATAATATTATTAATATAAAATACAGAGAGTTTTATACTAATTAACTAGATTTAAGCAATTTGTAAATTTACTTAAAAAATCTGATGGCATATATAATTTATTCAATCAGTAATAAATTGTTAACTCTATTGAATTAAATTAAATTATTTAATGTAAACTTATATTTTTGAATAGCAATCATATGTTTGTGTATATCAAACATAAAAACAGAGTACAGACCCGATATGCAGAAGAATATATTTCGTGCTCTCAATAATAATAAAGGTATCTTTGATTTCGGGTTTTCGACGACATATGTCGGTGAAGATCCGTTCACTTTTGAACACTTCCTATTCATAAGACATCACTTCTGGAAAGTCAAACAAACAGAAAATGATGAGAAAGAGGTTTGCATTGAAGACTTGGAGAGTGAACAACACAGTGAATTCAACCATAGATTCACTCTTGCCTTTAGCTATCTGTCCGATCATATGGTCCAACACGACGATGAACTCAATCTAACAAATCATGTTTTTTTACGTATGAATACAATTATTTTGATATATTGTTTTGTGTGCTATTTATATGATTTGTTTTTTATGTGCAGAATTGACTCTTAAATCAAGTGAATATTACGCTGAGTTTGAATCACATGAATTGATTGAAAATATCTTTGACGCCAATCATAAGGATTTATATTATATGGTTGGCGGCGATTATTATCCATTTTTCACCCATTACTTCAACGCGACCGCTGCCTTTCAACCGCAGTCGTTCACCGACGACGGAGAGACCGATGGACCCAACTTTGTGTTTATTCAGCAGAATATAACAGTTGAGGGACTTTATGAACGGCTCTCTGAAGTTCATTCAATCATTGATAACTTGAAAATCAGAAATACAACCGAAAAGTTTGGCAAATATATACCGCCGTTCATAGCACAGGTCGATCCACGACTCTATATAAACTCTGTTTTGCCGATGCGTTTGGGCGGCGATATAGAGGAAGGAAAACCCGCCGCTATTCTTATACTACTTGACGAAGGAATCATTAAATATTGTGTTACCGATGAACAAGTCTTAGATGAAAGTGTGGGTTATTTTTGTTTAATTATTTTTGTATATTTTAATATATATATAAATATATTAATTATATTTGTTATCATTATTTAGTGCAATCCATCAAATTTAAGGCAACTATTGAGGTGTAGCTTTTCTCATGAAGAGGTAATAAAAAACATATAATATTTATATTATTTAGTAATAATTGTTTTATTATTATTTTTACTTAGCTTTAACCATAATTTCAATGGCATTGGTTTTAATTTAAAACATTATTGTATTTATTTTTGATTAAATTTGAAATATTACTAAGCTGTAAACAGTTTAAATAAATGCTGCAATCTTTTTATTAAATATATTGTAATTATTTACAATTACAAAACTATTCAAAGTATAATAATAATTTAAGATATATTAATTATTACACTATTTTATTATAATATTAATTTTTGATTAGATATAAATCTTTAAATATTGAATCTTTAACAATATTCTTAGTAAAATAAAAATTATATTACAAATTGTTAAATAATTGACTCATTGACTAATATTATATAACAATTTGGAAATTTATTATTAACGGTAAATAAAATAATTTTGTTTGTTGTGTAATTTTAATTAATAAATCAATATTTTTTTATTTAACGTCACGATTAAATTCAATTATTAATATTATGATTTGACTGAATGCTGACTAATAATGATTTGGTATTTTTATTACTTTTTTATATTTACAGTCTATCCGTGACATATGTCTACCACTGATTGAATAATAATAATTTAATTATATTAGAAACTAATCTAATTTACAATTAGATTTGCAATTTGTCAAAGAGATAATGAGCTAATTTTATTATTTTTCAATAGACAATTTAATTATTGATATTTTCTATATATTTATTATTTATACATTTTATTAACTATAGTCTAAATTAAAAAAATAATATACTATTAATAATATGATGAAATATTTGTGTAAAAATGTTAATATAATCAGTTTATTATTTTAGGAATTAATATTTTATTTATTATTATTAAGTATAATTACAGTATCAACAATAGTGTTATATTATAATAATATTTAATTATAATGATGTGGCATTTCTATATTTCAAATTTTAAACAAATAATAAATATGTATTAATAAGTATATAAATTTGTAATTATAAAGAGACGCCTCATTTAGTTTACAATTTGTTGAATTTCTAATTTATTATAATTATTATTATAATATTGTATAATATTGTTAGTGTGCAACTGTAACGATAAGTTTATAAATCAAATTAGTTACTCTATCAGGAGTTAATCTACTTTTATCACAAGGGATTAATTATGTTATATATAATTAATAATACTAAATACAGATATTAATATAATGTAAATTTCATTTTAAAAACTGTTAAATTTGGCGCAAAATATTGATTGCATTGAATGCGGAAGTTATCGCATAAATGGCTTAAAGGAAGTGAATTCGTGTGAAAGTTATGATCCTTTTTGGTGGGTATTAGGAGTTTGTTGTGTGCTATAAGTTGTGGCTCTGATATTGTGTATTCCGCACATGTATTATACTGTATATCTCATGGTATATATGTGTATGTGTATGTGTATGTGTATGTGTATGTGTATGTGTATGTGTATGTGTATGTGTATGTGTATGTGTATGTGTATGTGTATGTGTATGTGTATGTGTATGTGTATGTGTATGTGTATGTGTATGTGTATGTGTATGTGTATGTGTATGTGTATGTGTATGTGTATGTGTATGTGTATGTGTATGTGTATGTGTATGTGTATGTGTATGTGTATGTGTATGTGTATGTGTATGTGTATGTGTATGTGTATGTGTATGTGTATGTGTATGTGTATGTGTATGTGTATGTGTATGTGTATGTGTATGTGTATGTGTATGTGTATGTGTATGTGTATGTGTATGTGTATGTGTATGTGTATGTGTATGTGTATGTGTATGTGTATGTGTATGTGTATGTGTATGTGTATGTGTATGTGTATGTGTATGTGTATGTGTATGTGTATGTGTATGTGTATGTGTATGTGTATGTGTATGTGTATGTGTATGTGTATGTGTATGTGTATGTGTATGTGTATGTAATGCCAAGGTTGATCGATCCAATTCTATAGCCATTATTGTCTCTAATGTATACTATTATATTTTATATCATTTATATAATGTCCCAAAATTAAAGTATAACTAATATTTATATAAATCATTTTTGATTTATATCAGCCTAAGAATAGATGTTTTAATGATTCAAATCAAATGGGATTTAATACAGTCGTATAATTAGTATAACTATTACTAATGAAAATACAATTTTGTAATATACTGTTTATAACTGAAAAAATATATATCAATAAATTTACAGTATTATATTTTTTGTGGCCTTTATTAGTGCATAGCTTTTATATTAAGAAAGAAACATTTGATACAAAAAAAATGATAATTGAAAACATAATATCTATAAATTATTGTAAACCATTTATAGATAATAATATAAACCAATTATTATTATTTTTAATAAAAATTGTCTATTTGTGTGATTTTGTTGAGAAATTAATCGATAAAACAAAAAGAAAAATAGCATTTGGTTTGTAAGTAAATAAACGACTGATTTAACAAAAATTGTATTATATTAAAAAAAAAATAATTACACTTAATAAAAGATTTATGAAAGTAAATATTTATTATTTTTATTATTAAAAACACTAATATAAATTTTATTTGTTTTATAAAATATTTATTATGTTATGATTTATTGAACACATGTAAAATAATTTATTAATATTTTACTAAATATAGAATTATTAATACCAAATAAAAATTTACTTAATTGATATTTTAACAAAGCTTATTTTTTAATAACATTTAAACATAATTTTTTAAAATTCAATAATAAAGTCTACAATAATTAATAAATAATAAATTTTAAATAAAGTTATTTATTAATTGTAGACTTTATTATAAAATTTAAAAAATATATCTAAATGCTAATAAAGTGCCATTATTGTGTAAAAATTAAGATAAATTGTTAGAAACTTTTCATATGAAATTTCTAAATAAAATTATTGACCCAACAGTATTCATGTTTCAGTATATTATTAGATTTAAACACTATAGAAAACAGTAAGTATATTAATTAAATAAATTTTTAATTATCTAAATTACTATTATTAATTACTAAATTTTGATAGGAGTTTAAATTAAATTATTTTTTGATCTTATTTTTTGTTCATACAGATAATTATTATAAAAATGTTATACAATAATAAAAGTACTGTAATGTTTACATATTAAATTAAAATAAAAATTAATATAATCAATGCTACAAAGTGACATATAGACATCAAAAAATCAATAATAGTATTATTACTGTATTTATTGATATAATTGTATTTTTAGAATAACAAATAAATATCATAAACAAAATATTTATATTATGGCATTAATATTATTACTATTATTTTATATGCCCTTATGTAATGGCCAAAAGCAAAAATTATGATTATTTAAAATCTGTAAAAATTGTAGAAATTTTAAAAATTTGAATGAATATTTAATTTATTAAATAGTATACATATGTTTTAAATAGAAATAATTTAAAATTATTGTTTTGTTTTGACAATAAATATAATAAAATTATAATATATTGAACAAAACATGTATTGAATTGACTTTAATATGGCTCTCATTCTCATCGATCGATAACTTACTAAATGCTTTACACTATAATGTTGTGTCTATTTATAGAATATTCTATAAGAATACACAATCGTATAGAAATTGGCACAAAATTTAGGTCAGTGTAACATTCAATTCAATTCTATATTTTATTTAATATTTAATAATTTGTTTTTTAATATTATGCGTATATCTTAATAAAAATAAAAATATAAATTTGTATTTTATTTAGAATAAAATAATATATATATAAACCTGATTTAGGATATATTTATTTATATATATAATTTATTTTTAATTCATTGTAATGGGCAAATCTCATTTTGAAAGTGTATTTAAATTAAGTGTAAATTTTGATTTGACTATAATAGATAATATTCAATTATTAATAATGAATAAAATGACAATAAATAATGAAATACTTAAGCTTTATTAAAAACTTAAAAAATAGGTTACAATAAAAATTTATATATTTATATATACTATAATATAAAATAAAATAAATATAACATATAATATATATTTTTATAATTAGCATTAATTCAATAACTTACATACACACCAGATATAATTGTATATCTATAATTATTGTTATAACTATTAAAATGATTAAATCTATGGATAAAATGTAAGATTAGAAAAATGTTTTTTTTAAATTTATTGTGTGTTATTTTTCAATATAATTAAAAAGTACTTTAAATCTACAATTATATTAATTTGAAGTTATATTGAATAATAAGACTTTCCTAAAGAGAATTATTGGCAAACATTATATAAATAATTAGCTGTTATTGATCTCTGATTCAAATATGAATTAACATTATATTAACATTAATTTTTGTTTAGTAAACATTAATGTCAAAATTATTTAAATAATTTATAAAAAATTAAAGCATATTTACTATTAATATTAGATACAATGTATTTTCAAATTGTATATAATTTTAATTTAAAACATTTATGTAGTTAAATAAGTAACTTTATAATAATTACATATTTTTATCAATTAAAAAAGTTAAGTATTTATATAATTATGTTAACTGAAACTTTACAATATATGCTCAATAATAAAAAACATATTTAACAATTAAATTATTTTAAGTTTAAGAAAATATACTTATTTTGATATTTCAAAAACTATGTGTTTTATGTAATTTTTTAAAAACGTAAAATATTTAGAGATTATGATATTTTTACAATACTTATGAATAGTATTCAACATTATTGTGCTATAGATTTCATTTTTGTTTAATTTGAAAGTTTTAGTACAGAATTTTTTTTTCTAATTTTCATATTTATTTTTTATAACATTAATTGTCTTTTAATAAAAGAAAGACATTTGGTTTGTTAAAAAATTAATTTTTAAGTCTAAATATGTATATTATATAGATTTTTACTAAAAAAATGATTACAGTATAATTTATTATAATCATAGTTAACCAATAAATTTAATTAAAAAGTTTCACTTGAAAACATGATATTAATATCAATAATAAAAAATGTTTTATTTTTAATAACAATTTGATAGTAAAAATTAACATATTTTATGGGCAGTGAATGTGCGAGTATAGTCACAACTGTAACCCAAATATCACCAATCAATTAAATCTGTCTGTACTTTATATCGCAATTTATCAAATTTATATTAATCAATATGTTATTATCTCAACACAAGATTTATATATAAAAATTCTGTACTCAATTGTTTGCATAAAATAAGTTTTAAAACTTTTTTTGTGTTTTTTCAAATTAAATTATTATCCAAAATAATAATGATATATAAATATTAATATATTAAATTTATACATTTCTTTACACTAATTAAAAAGATATTTTCAAAATATTATACAATTGTTTTTGTATTTATTGTTTTTTATTTGTTTTAAAACTCTTTATCGAAATAATTACCGAAGTTTTTTTTATTGTACTCCAGGTTTATAATTAAAATTACAAAAACTTTTTATCATTCAATTTGCACTAAATTGTATGAATTTCTGTGACATTAAATATTTGTGATAAAATGTCATTCATTGTTATTAATTATTTTAATTGATTGAAACAAATTGACAACAAAACTGGTAAAATGTTGTTTAAGACTCGCATTCGCAACAATTTTAGCATTTTTTGTACTAATCTCTCCCTGTTATGAATCTCATATTGAGCTCATATTTCAAATAATTTTTGGTTAATTTTGTTAATTTTCATACAATTTTATAACATTAATAAATAATAATTAAATTTTATATTATATATTTTGTTATATTAGATAAAAGTAAAGTTATGTTATTGTAAGTAATAGAATATAATATTAATATATATATATTATATATTAATATAATGTCAAATGTAAAGATATAACAGATTTTTATATAAGATATTATTATTTATAACATTTTTATATAAAATAACAGCAATAATAATAAATATATATATATATATTTAAAAAATTATTTTGTATTTAATAATTAATTATCACAATTAAACAAATAGAGAAAACAATATATTATTTTCAAATATAATAATCATTAAAATTTACTACAAAAATGAAAAACTCTTTAAAAAATTTAAATTATAAGTCAAATAGTTTTGCTATAAATACAAATATGTTTAATAATAATAATAATAATAATAATAATAATAATAGTATTAAATTTGAGAAATAACACAATTTATGAAATGAAAAAAGTAGAATAAAAGCTGCGCTCACTCTTTCTCTCTCTCTATATATATATACTGTATATATAACTATAATTATTAACAATTATTCACACCATTGGAAACCTATTTAATGGTAACTCAATTATGACGGCAAGGATTCTAGTAATTATGAAAAAATTTATAAAATTAAATCTTATTTATAATAATAACATGTTTACCCATAAACAGCTTTTCAAATGAATTATAACTTTAACAATATTATAATTAATTACTTTTTCATATTAGACAAAAAAAATAATTTAAGTTTGATTTAAAAATATGATAAAATGTTTAAATCATAATTAGTTTGCATTTTGTTGTATCAATTGAGTTGATTTGGCCCTCAATTGGCAACCAGAAGATGTTGGTATTGGTTAGGATAAGAAACGCCGTTTACATTGAAGTTCATGTTATCGAAAGATTTGGAAGAATTGTTAGCAGAACCTGACGTACCATTTAATACATTTGAATCACCAGAAAGAGAGCCAAAGTTGGCATTAGAGCCACCAAATGAATTACCAGTAGAGTTGCCGATTGGATTCGCTGATGACATGAAGGGACTCGTCTTGTCCAAGAAGGATGTGAATCGGTTCATACCATTGGTCTGTTTGGACTGATGTTGGTTATGGTTGGCTTTGACTATGTCACCGGTTCCGACCAATTCGGACAAATAGTTAGTGTCAAACAAGCCATTGACAAACGCACTTCGTTTCGATGGTGTCGTTATGTTTGATGTAAATACATTTTGTTGGCCACCAAATGATCCATTCGGAGAGGTCGGAGAATTACCACCGTTTGCCGTCATAAGCATGAAGTTGTTGGTCGAATCCATTTGAGTTGAATTAGGAGAAAGTGATCGAGAATTGTGCGGAGAGACAGATGAGGTCGAGTTGTTTGAGAAGAGATTAGTGTTGGCCGTCATTCCGTTCAAACCGATGACCGATTGCTGGCCTGTCTGTTGCTGAAGAGCTCGCTGTTTGATATAATTACTGAACTCAGTTGGAGACATGCGATGAGATCTCTTTGTGTTTGATTTAAGTTTAGTCGATCCAAACTTTGTGGCCGCAAAAGTACCCGCCGTGTATGTGACTGGTGTTGATGTCTTACTCACCATATATGGAGTGATAGGACTTACATTATTCTTATATATGGGCGGAGATACTTCCTCGTTGGCGATGGCATTACCATTAGTTAGATTTAAACCACCAAATTGTGATGTCAGACATTCAATAGGTTTAAAACACTGGGCCTCCGGATTGAATGTTCGGGTCACTTGTCGGTCGATATTTTCTCTTTCGATGTTATTGTCGGCTTTTTCAGAGTACAGTATCTTCACGGGTCCCTTCTCTGACATACGATATGACACTTCTCCCGGATCCACCCAAATGCTCAACTCTTGCGGTAGATTCTCCTGAATGTCGCTCAGATCCATACCACTAGATCTGGCAGCCGTTTCAAACACTGTCGGATCTAATGGTGGACTACAACGAATACAACGATATGCTGATCCTTTGTACGGCTTTTCCGGATACCAGTGCCCCTCGAACTTGATTTTGAGAGCATTCTCCAGTTCCTCACCGAATTGGTTCACTCGTCTTCGGGGAAGTTTGTTATACAAGAAAGAAATAAGAAAATTGAGGGCCACTTGTATCTCAACGTGCATTGCAATCCACTTTAGATTTTATTATTTATTAGATTTTAATTTTATTTAATTGAGATTAAATTTGTCACAAATTACACTTCTGACTGGCGATTAAATAGAAGCACAAATCGATCAGTTATTCTCCTATTTTTTTGTCTATTATTGGCTCGAATGGTAGTCTGAAATCATAAAAATGTATTTTTATTAATATTATAAATATTAATATAATTCTTAATATATTTTGCTATTAAATAATCTATAAGTAAAAATGTAAAAAACAATCTTATAGATAGTTTACTTAATTTCGATACAAAACAAATTTTAATAATTTTTTAAAACAAACAAATATAAAATTGTTTAAAATAACACATTAATTACAAAGTCTTTGAGTTTATATATAACAACATCTAAAAACATTTGGTTATATTAAAAGTTTGGTTGTTTGACAAAAATAAATATTTTGAATATTTTTGTTTTTAAAAATACAAGAATCAGCAAAAAATTAAATAATATGATTTCAAATATCATTAAATATTAAATCATTATAAAATGGATCATAAATATAGTACTATTTTATAATATTAAACATATATAAATAAATAAAGCAATTTAAAGTTCAATAAAATGATTATACTTGACTTACTAAACAATATTGTATAATAATAGTTAAATTGTTGGCAAATGATTGATACAAATAGTTATATTAATAGTTTGAAATTTTTAAGGTAAAAGAATTGCATGATTTATATTGTATGTATAAACTGAAAGTCTTTTACCAAAACTGAAACTTTTATTCAAAATAATACTTTAAAATTAATAATAAACATATTTATTAGCATAAACATAGATCACAAAATTATGAAAATGTGAATTATAAAATAGTAAATTTGTAATATAATGTAAATAACTGTATAAACAATGTTTGTTATCAATAAATGAAAACATTAGTTCAGTGATAGAGAATTGGATTGAATTCTCAAATGAGAGTTAAGCGAGACTTGAATTTGAGACCAAAAATAGTAAGTTTTATAAGTATATAGCAATAAACAAAATTGAAAGCATAATATAATATTATATAAGTTGTATAATACTGTAGTAGACTTTGGAAAAATCGATGACTGACCCACTTTTATAAACACATATAACGCTATACTACTCCACCAATAGTATACACTATATATCTTCCATATATCCAATACTTCTCTCAACTATAAACTACTGGTACTGTAGAGTGTGTTGTGTTTATATGTTTTTCATAGTGTAGGCGATAATCATAAGAATAATAAGAGTAGTTTTTTTTATAAAACTTTGTCTATCATGGGATTCACAATACAAAAAAGTGTTCATTATATCAATAATTAGAGTTTCAAATCAATTGATTCATTGCATAGAAAAGCTTATCAAATGTCGAGTCAATGATTGTGTTTTAACTAAACTAAACAACTCTAACTAACTATTTTTGAGTAATTATTTGTTGATAATTATTATATAAAGTTTATAGCATTTATTACATACATTAAATATAATATAAAGTGTTTGATATAAATTAGAATTTTATAAAAATAAATGTATCAAAAAAATTCTAGTCATATATTTATAATCAAATAAGACTATGAAATACATGTGTTTTAACCAAATCCAAATGTGTAATATAGACTTATCATATAAGCGGGGAAAGGGATGCAGAGCTTAAAATGCTATCTATTTATTCATATATATATATATATATATATATATATATATATATATATATATATATCAACTCATATGACGAAGGGATGTGACATAAGTCTATATAAATAGTCATTTCTTTAGTTTACTCTCTATAAAAATAATGACAAAATTTGATTTTATTGAACCAAATGTTTATAATGTTTTATATTTATTTAATTATAAACAATATGATAGTAAATGAAGAAAATTGTTTCGGTTTGTATGAAAGTGAATTGAGTCTATAGTCACTGAGTCTATAGAATATATAGTATAGATAACCTGAAAATTGATAAATATATTAAACATAATTTTATTGATTATAATGAAAGCCGCTTTCGTTCACACATTAAAATAAACTTTTGAAAACAAACTAATGATAAATAAGTTATTAATTTTTCAAGTTTGCATATAATGTATACAATTTATGTGTGTAATGTATATGTATTTTAATTTTATAGAAATTAAATCTTATTTTATATGATAAAAATATCATACAACTAGTGTTTTTATAATATTAAAGTAATATATTTTGTAGATTAATAGTCAAATAAGTTTAATGAAAAAATCGATGTATTTGTAAAATACATATTCGTATCTAATCTAAACTAAATATTATTTTATTATTAGCACTTAACTAAATAATATAATAATAAATAAAATATAAAATATTTGTAATCATACTGTATATAATAATATGTGTAATTAATGAATACTACAATAAAAATTATTCATAAATTCAATGTTTACATTAAGCAAAATTCATGAATAAAGGCTATATTGATAGGATATATACAATAATATTATTAATATTGAATAATATATGGATATAAATACTGAATACTGTATGTCTGTCTCTAGACTACTAACACTATAAATATTCGTCACATTTGACGTAATAATACAATCGATTTATAGTTTTGACAATTAAAGTAAAGGTCTGTCTATTATATTATATGATAGCTGTGATCCACTCGACGAGGAATTTAATTTGAATTACTTTTTCATATATTAATAATAATGACAATCAATATTTCATTCAATACTAACATTGATTAATATGACATTTTGTTTTCTTACATACAATTTATACATACATATACCTGTACTTATTTATATAACAATAATTTTTGAAAACAATATTTTTATTACAATTCAAAGCACACATTTTTATTAATGAATGAATAATTAGATTTTTTTAGTGTTTGTTTCCTAACGTGATTTTCAATAAGCACTACAAGTAGTGGTAAAAGTGAGCTCGTATTGGATGAAAAAATATCTAAAAATAAGTTTACGATGAGTGGTAAGGCATATACCACTCATGATAATAGTGTATCTCATATAGTAGTGAATTATAACAACACAACTAAAGTATTGATTAGTGAAGACATAATTAGAAATGAGTTTTTGTGTGAATCGCTGTGTCATCTAATTGTATAATGACTTGCATTCAGGCAAATAGCATATCACTAGTCATTAATCGAAACTTTATGGCGTTTACCGATAACACTGTTTTCTATATGCTATCAAAATGTAACATATTGTTTGTCATAAACTGAATACATTTATTTTTTATTTAATATAATGTATATAATATTAGCCTATTTAAATTTATAGCTAATTAATATACATTTTAAGCTATATGTCAAAATTTAAGTGCCATTGCTAGACATTTCAATAAATCAAGTGATTATTAGTATTTTAACAAATTTTATTAATAAAAACCATATTTACTAATTAATTCATTGTTTGCCTAACTTAAAGATCATAAGTCATGTTTTATTAAAAAAATAATTAATGTTAAGATATGTGATTATTTAAAAATTTATAGCACACAAACAATCAATACGAATATAATAACTATAACATTGTTTATTTTTTATAACTATTATTTCAAAAATAGACATTAATTTGTTTTTGATTTGATATGAATAAAGTTAATGATTAGTTAGTATTGATAACAAAGTCATATTGTATTGAAGGACAAACAGATAACGTTAAGTAATAAATGATATGAAAAAAGCAAATCATTTATATTTATTGCTATCAAAGCAAATGTTTTGTCAAATGCAAACTTTTGTAAAAGACTGTTGTATTTTACATTGAAATAAAAATTTATCAATGTATTAAATATATTGAATATATGATGAATGTGTGATTAAATATATGCAAAGTTTAATCAATTGATTAATAAAAAAATACTATAAAATTTTACACATTCATCTCACGTTTGCCAAATAAACATAAATTTATAATACATTTACAATAAATATCATTTGCTAACACCACTGTTTGTTCATATAATTTGTAATCAATAAATATATTATTACGACAATACTGTATGTATTTCTATTTTTATGACTTCATAAACTTGTCTACAATTAATTGACATATTGTTTATTTAAAAATGTATTGTAATTTGATTTAGTATTTTTTAAATAATATAATACATTATATATAATATACTATATGGGCGTTTGACTTAACTTATATATTTGGGTATTGAATTATTTTTGAGCCAAAATTCATATACCGGAAGGTTATATAGTTATCACTCATTTTTTTAAAACTATAAATAACATATCTTTTTTAAAAAATAAGAGTTGATTCCAATAAAGTTATAAAACTATTTTAAGTGATTTTTTTTGTTGGCTTAAAACATGTTGTGTTTTATAAAACGGCTGTTTTTAGCGATACCCGTCCTCTATAAAGATGCCAATTGAATGCTCCATACGTTAGCAAATAATTTGGATGAAAGGCAAAAACAGCTAAAAACAAAACTCAATACAAATAGTTGTGACACTATTTTCTATATAATATTGGCGTAAATGAATCCAAAAGTAGGATCACTGGATGAGGGATTCACCACAACTATAATGATTTCCATATAAGTCAACGCAAGTCTACATTAATTTATTAAATATGACAAATAATGTTTCAAAAAAATTTTTAAACATATTTTCAATTGATTTTATAATATAATATATAGTTTTTTCCCTACTTTACGATCAATAAAAATCTCATCAATATAAATGTAACAAATATTTTTTTAATTTATTTTTTTAAACACAACTGTATTTACATAATTTATAATACACTATTTGCAATATAATACTGTAGATACCCTCTATATATATTGTAAATGTCAATAAATAGTTCAATTGTTTTTCTTATAAATATATTAATTTAATACATTTTTATAATTAAAATTTAAGCACACATTGCAAAAATAAACAAATTGATAAAATTAATGTATAATTATATTATATATATATATATATATATATAAAACACTTACCTATCACTAGTTGTCGTTTTTAGATAGTTGCTTATTGTTGTGGACAAACTTATTGACTAATTGAATAATATGTTGTATATTGTCTTTGAAATTGATGATTAAAGTAATACATTTGTAGAAAAATATAATACAAAAGTAAAAAATAATAAAAATTTATTTATATATCGATTTTATGTTGTTTTTATTAAAATAAGTCTATAAAATAATTGAAAATTAAGAGAACTGTGTGTAGAATTTGTCGATAAATAATTCAGTTTTGAGAATTATTTTAATTATTATTAAAATATATTATTATTATTATTAAAGACTAGAATTTTTTGATTTAAGAATCGGTTAACAATTAATAACAGAATTGAAAGCTTCAATCAAAATATGTGTTATAACAGTAATGTTGTGTACAGTAATGATATTCAATGATAATAAGGAAGCGCAGCGCACACACCATAAGCAGCGACTCAGTTATGCCACACAACTGCCTGTGCTTGTAATGCCTGTTCTCTGGCACTGACTTCAGCTTTTATGAGAGACCATCTCTATTGCCTTATCGCATACCAACTCATGTGCCGAACTATTTTCTGTGCAAAAGTGGGACAACTATTGTCGTCACCGATAAAGTGGTTGAATTGTCCAAAATATTTTGTTATATAATAGTTAATACTATAGATATGCATATTCTTATGTCTTAACCATAATATTAAACAATTAAATAAATATTTAAAAATCAAGTGCACTAATAATTGACAGTTTATAGAGTTTATAGTTTGTTGTGTTCATCTAACAGTGCTTAGAGATTGCCTACTCTGCACATACATTGCATATCATAACTTGTATATGTAATGCAATTCTATATATTGTATATAAATTCTCTATTGACTAATATATAGTACTATATAGTATATTTATACAGTGTGTTATGGCTTACAAATAGTTATCAAGGCTTACAATTGAGTTTCAATCAAAATATATTCTATATATTCACTGCAATGCTATGTCTATATGTATACAATAGCTTATATGTAGACAATTGAGGTTTACATCTACTCTCTCTCTCTCTCTCTCTCTCTCTCTCTCTCTCTCTCTCTCTCTCTCTCTCTCTCTCTCTCTCTCTCTCTCTATTTTTCTCTCTATTTTTCTCTCATTTTTATACAACAGATCCAATGGATCCCATTTTGCGTCAGTTTGACGTCAATTTTGCTCGAGTTTTACATTGATATACAAAGTCTAACATTACATTAGCGATCGATGCCATCATTTTCTTCATTCGTATATTTTATATATTTGTTAACAAATAAGATTTGTTTCAAACTTTGCTTAATCTGCTCAACATTTTCTAACCATTCATTATCGAGACATTCTTTCTAATAAAATGGTACTTTAATTATGACTTCCCTATCATTAGTAACATTCATTAACTATTGATTTACATATTAACTACTTAGTCATAATGTATTGATATATTATATTTATATATTAATAATASATTTATTTATGTTCATATATGTTTAATATTAAATATATTTAATTTCTATCCAATGTTATGCCTTAACCTAATGCAGATTATATAATATTATAAATGAAACTAGTATTAGAATATTAAAATAATACAAAAACAAATTTTTATATATTTTTATATATAATTGAGAAAGAAGAGAGAGAGAGAGAGAGAGAGAGAGAGAGAGAGAGAGAGAGAGAGAGAGAGAGAGAGAGAGAGAGAGAGAATTACAAACTATATGTTTATAGAAATACCACACAAAAATTAAATAAAAATATTGTTAATTAGCTAAAAGATAGTACGGTTTAATAATTGACAAAATAACAGAATATACATATATATATATATGAATTTATATTCAAAATGTAATGCTTGAGAGGACTCACAATGTTTGGCACAATTGGGTGAGACCTTGAAGTTAGACAACACTATATATGATATCAACAAAAAAAATTATTTGGCATCGATTCTGTATGTTTTGTATTTTACATTTAAAGCGCTTTTCTAAATACATTTATTTTGCATAGTTTTTTATATATGCTATTAATAACTTAAATATAATTTGTGTACAATTTAGCAAATATTGATTTTAATCACCAACAAAGTAATTATTTCATTATATAAATTTTATACCCTTTAACATTTTGAAAAAATGTTTTTAAACTATTGATAACGAATGTACATATATTTAAATATTAAAATTGGATTGTTTTTATAGATCTATTAAACAATAATAAACAGATAATTTAGTTTTTATCAATTAAACAATTTTATAATAATTTTATTAATAAGTAGTACATTAAATTTATTACTTTTAATTAAATTAGCATTAATACTTTACATATAATAATAATAAATGTAAAAATATTGCATTAATTTTTAAAACTACTTTAGTGTAATCCAAACACTTTACTAAAATCAATAAAATTTAATGAATTGACATAAAAATAAAAGATTATTGGATTATGGCTTATATTTAAGGTTACCGATGTTTGCCGAGCATATCAATTGACAATAAATAATTAATTAAATATATATATATATATATATATATATGTAAACGAAAAGATATAATCTATTATTAGTAAATAAATTAAATATATATTTATAAAGTAATTTTTCTAAATATTTTACTGAAATTGCTTCAAACAAAATTATTCATTTTTATTTTTTTTCTAATTTATATTTCAAAGTCAAATAACAAACAAAAAATAATAATTTATTACTAAATATAAAATGCATGTCTTATCCATATATTGTGCAAATAAATTACATTCTTATTAATTCTTAAAATTTATTTTTACTCTAATATAATATCAGAATATTCTGCTATTTAATAATACAGTACTACTAATAATAATAATGCAAAACATTTACATTCAAAGCTATAATATAAAGCATTTATCAAATAAGGAAATATTTTGAATTTATTAGTTGAACAAAAAATGTTAGATATTATAATCAATAAATTGTTACTAAAATTTGCTTAAAATATGTTTTCAGTAGAGTCTGACTACTGAAGGCATACATTAAGTATTTTTTACAGTTATATACAAAGTATATATACATTCAATGTATTATTGCCTTATATTTTCAAATGTGACACAATTCCGGTGTCAATCTCTAGTAATAGTAAACTTTTAGACCGATTTCGAGGTCTATTAGTTGAACCGTTAAATGCAATGATTGACTGATTGAAAGTAGAGATGTCTCTGTTGTTATTGACATCACATGAATGGCCACTAAAACAGTGATATTATTGATAATAATAATAATATGATTGTATTTATTATGTTATTTTCAACACATAATTGATAATCAAATTTGACATTTAATTAGTTGAATGATTAGATTGTATTCAATCAATAAATCATTCAATTATTTAGGAAAAGAAAACATATTTTTGATATTAATTTCATAACAAATCTGGCATTTGATCCAAACATCTACTCATTGTCTCGTAATGTGTCTTCAATTAGAAAGGTTTGATCACAACTGTTGTCACATTTAAGACATCGGGTGTGAAGTCTGGTCACAGTTTGCTTCTCAGTGTTATATTTGTGACCACAAATGGTCAACTTGTCGGCCGAAATGGTCAGTGAAAACGGCAAGAAATGGTGTCGTATTTTATTAGTCGGAGAAGGTATTGACCATTGAATTGATTGTCGATATCATTGGTGATCATTGTTTGATATGTCTGTCAAACATAAGTTATCAGTGATTTTGTTTAAAAGTTTTAATTTATTAGATTTGTATTTATTTAAAATTTATTTATCTTTTATCCAAAGCCGGTGTCGGCAAGACTTCACTTATATTTTCATTGGTCAGCGAAGAGTTTCCAGAAGACGTGCCGCCAAAGGCAGAAGAGATTACAATACCGGCTGATGTGACCCCTGAAAGGATCTCAACTCAAATTGTCGACTATTCGGGTATTTAAATATATTTTTAATATTTGAAGTAATTTGTATTACAGTGTATATAATATATATAACATTATATACTGTAAAATATTTATATGATATATATATATAATATTTCAAATTACCGGTAATTGTTGATTGTAATAGCATTTGTCAAGAGTTGTCAAAATATATCTTAATTTATAGAGAATTAGTTTTATATTAACGTTTATATTAATATAATGTTATATTAAAAGAGATAAAATACATTGTGTATGATATTTATTAAATTGAATTATTAACTAATATGATTGATGTCAGCTCAAGAACAACCACACGATGTACTCGTCGAAGAGATCCGTAAAGCAAATGTTATTTGTGTTGTCTATGCCGTCGATGACGACGAAACAATTGATAAGGTTTGACAAAAGATAGAGATTATTGAAAACAAGTTTTTTATCAAATGTTATCGTTTATTGCAGATAACTAGTTATTGGTTGCCATTAATTCGGGATGAGTTGGGCGAAGAGCACAGCACTCCCGTTGTTTTAGGTAATTGTTGTATGATTTTGGTGTCAATTTAAGAATAATTACTATTTATATTTTGATAGTCGGAAACAAAGCCGATTTAGTCGATTACAGTTCACTTGATGTGGTCCTACCGGTTATGAATCAATTYTGTGAAGTGGAGACATGTGTTGAATGTTCGGCTAAAAGTTTGAAGAATATATCCGAACTGTTTTATTACGCACAGAAGGCTGTTCTTCATCCAACAGCACCTCTTTATTCACCCGATGATAGAGACGTATGACTATTAAGTTTATTTAATTTACATCAATGAAAACACTTTTTAAAATAATAGTTAACAGAAAACTGCAAGAAAGGATTGACGCGAATCTTTAAATTATGTGATTTAGACAACGATGGAGTACTCAATGATCACGAACTCAATCGATTCCAAAGACGATGTTTTGATAGTCCACTTCAACCACAAGCACTGGAAGACGTCAAGAATATCGTTAAACGTAGTATTCCTGACGGAGTCTTTGATGATGGCTTGACTCTCTCTGGTTTCCTATTTCTTCATACTTTGTTTATTCAAAGAGGAAGACATGAAACCACATGGACTGTCTTAAGGAAGTACGGGTATAACGATGTCGTTCAACTTAGTGAACAATATTTAAGACCCAAAGTAGACGTCCCATTGGGTTGTAGTACTGAGTTGACATCTCAGGGATACGACTTTTTAAGAAAATTGTTCCTCAAATACGACAAAGACAATGATGGAGCTCTTTCACCCAATGAGTTACAAAATGTTTTCAGTGTTTGCGAACGATTACCTGTTTGGGTTAATGAAGATATCTCTGGTATTGTTGAATGTAATGATAAGGGATGGGTTACACTACAAGGATTTCTTGCCATTTGGACGTCAGTCATAACTTAAATTTGATTATATCTCTAAATTACTAATAAATAATTTGTATTTCTAGGCTTATAACTGCCATTGATGTCAGCCAAACATTTGAATATTTTGCGTATTTTGGTTATATATCGCCACCTGAAGAGAATCAATTATCTTCAGTTTATGGTAATATTAGTTGTAATTAAATAAAATTTATAATTAAAAATTAATTATTATTTTTTATTAGTGACAAGAGATAAGAGAATTGATCTGCAAAAGAAACAAACGAGTCGTAACATATTTTCGTGTCATTTGGTTGGACCTCAAGGGGCGGGAAAGACATCTTTCATGAAAGGATTTCTCGGAAAGAGTTTACAACAAACTAAAGCCAATACAAGTCTTAACAATAAAATTAGTCTTTATTCCAATTATGTCGTCAATACTATTCAAATATATGGTCAACAAAAGTATTTAATTGTAAGATTTATCTTAATTTAATTATAATTAGGATTTAAATTTTACATATTTTTAATGTATCGTATATTAAATACTTTGAATTATCAATACAATGTTTAGATCCGTGAAATAGATATTTTTACTCTTAATGACCGACTATCAGAACCTGAGTTGATATGTGATGTCGCGTGTCTTATGTATGACTCAACAGATCCCAAATCATTTGAATTTATTGCCCGAACTTTTTTGGTAATAGTAGTTATAAATGCTTAATATTACCGATAATGTTATTAAATTTTAATTTCACTGTTATTTTCTAGAAATGTTTTATGAACACTAAACTCCCGATCCTAGTGGTGGCGGCAAAGAGTGATGAACTGGCAGTTCGACAGCAATACACACTACAACCTGACGAGTTTTGCGGTAAATATAAGCTTCCGCCGCCTCATTATTTTAGTGTCAACAAAGAAGAGCTTCTCAAAGAGGTTTATGTCAAGTTGGCAACGATGGCCGCCTATCCTAACCTCAGGCGACTGGTACATGTCCTTCTCATGCGGCCAACTCAGTCATGGGTCTCACAACAAATAGAGTAAGTGAAATGTGTGATACATTTTAATATTTTAATACCGGTTGTCTTATAAATTTTGTTTCATTTGTTAAACAGTACTCTCCAGAGTTGTCTTCCCGATACAAACGCATTAATGAAAGCCGGAGTCGGTTTGGCCACACTTACTATAGTCGGACTCTATATAATTCGGTTAATGAAAGCAACAAATTCTGGACAGAGATAATACATTATATTTAAAAAAAATAATTACTAATTGATATTATTTGAGATAATTAGAGACCAAAAGTCATTTTAAAAAATTAGTTTTAAAATTCATTTTTTTTGGAATTATTTTTAGATTGCATTTACCGGTAAATGAATTAATGAATATTTGCATAATTTTTTAGTTTTAAGGTTCAAATTGTGCCTCAATTTCATTGATTGAGTTTCATTTATTTATATATCGAATGCTCAGAAAATATCATTTTTTAAATGTAAAAATATTCAATCTATTAAAAAATATTTTATTTGCGTAAATATAAAAACTATTCATTAAATAGATTTTTTGCCATATTATCAAATATATTAGCTGTTTGTGAATCATTGAAATTATTGATGAAATCTATGCCATCATCAGTACATTCGCCTAATTTAGTGTCGATCGGAATTTTGGCCAAAAATCTAATGTCCGCGTATTTGGCCAGAGATTCGCCGCCACCACTCGAGAAGATATTTGTACATTCCTTAAGATATTTTATCAACAAATGTTTGATGTCATTGATGGTCGCACTTACCGAACAATGTGGACATACATAACCACTCATATTCTCGATGAGACCTATTATATTGATATTAGCTTTTCTACAGAATGTGATCTCTCGGCGTACGTCACCAATGGATAGGTCCTATCAGTTAAATCAGTTAAATTGGGTATAATTTAAACAGTTTTGACATACCTGTGGTGTTGTGACGAGAATAGCACCATCAGGAGTGCGATATTCTTTAAGACACTCAACCACTGAGATGTGTTCATCAGAAGTGCCGGGAGGAGTGTCAACAATGAGATAATCTAAAGAACCCCAATTGACATCAGTTATGAATTGTCTAATCATAGCATTCTTCTTCGGTCCCCTCCATATGACTGCACTGTCCTTTCCCTTCAAAAGAAATCCTATTGACATTACGCTAAGCAGTGGACAGCCATCAACTGATACGGGAAGCCAACTAAACAATTATACAAATGTTAATTAATGTATAGAAATAATGATGACTTTAACCAACCCTTCATTAGTTTGTTGGACATGACATTCCTCTAAGTTTAACATTCGGGGAATACTTGGTCCGCACAGATCTATGTCGAGAAGTCCTACCTTAAGTTTATTATTAGTTAGTGTTAGTGCTAACTGTGTGGCGACTGTACTCTTGCCTACCCCTCCCTTACCCGACAACACCAACACTACGCGCTTTACTTCAGATATCATCACTAATACCAAACACTTGTCATAACATATGATCAATCAGTTTGTCATACATTCAATACATTCAATACATTCACACAATTATTACCTAATATTTGACTGCAAGCGTACACCTCTATAGTGAATGTGTAGAGGAGTGTATGTATTGTATTGTATTGGATGTCAAGTGAGTCGACATTTATTATTGGGTCTAATATTTAGACAATTGTTTACATCAGTGGACACACACTTTGACACCAATTGTAATGCAATCGACATTCATATGATTTAATCAATTAATTTGTTTCAATTGACTTCAATTGTCTTCAATTGGATATTAAGCATCAATTAAGTGGTAAGTCTTGACATATCATCTCATAATTTATAACATTTTTAACAGTCATTTACCTGTATTTTCAAACAATTGTTAACAAATTTTTGACTCAATATTGTGTTGTTTTTGACACTTAATAATAGCAATGAAATAGCAATTAATGTTACGATAAGACCATTGATTTATCGGTCATTTTATTAATTGTTTTCATGTAATCATTGTTTTATAGCTTTTAATAATATATTGTCAACTATTGTATTGACAAAACTCTTAACATATAAATGTATACCGCATTAGATGTCTTTAAATGTCTAATGATATGAAAACTATTTTTTATTACTTTATTATTAAATCAATGACTTAATTCAAATCACTAATTATCAATGTTATGACATTAAACTTAAATATAATAATCTATTATACAGTATATATCATATATATACTGTATTTATTACATTTAAGTCCATATTAGTCATTAATGATGACAAATACAACACTGTGTTTGACATAACATTGAATAAAATATCATATACTTTAATATTTATGTATTAGTTATTTCAATATAAACCGATTATTAAGTCTATGACTACAATATATTATTATAATAAATAATAATCACTTATAGGTTATTCAGTATATCTACATATCTATCCATTGATTCATTTAATTATTGAAGTAATTTTTATAATATAATATTGATTGTATGCTTTATTTGTTAATTGTATGCAACGATAGACAACTGTGTGATATACAGTATATTATATATGATTTTTTGAAGCCATTTGTTGATTATAGATAATCGTTTAATTATTACTTACGATTCAAATATAATTTGATTAATAAAATATTTTACGCTTTTTCACGCTTTAATGAAGTAAATAATTTACACAAATGTATACAATAATAATAATAATAATAATAATAAGTTTTGTAATGTATAATAAACTGAAAATAGTGACCCTTTAATAGACACGTATAGACTAATGATTAGTTTGGATATATTGATTGATTGATTGATTATATTATGAATATATTGTAATTTATAAGACAGTGACGATATGATGAATGTAAGGGGTATTAATCGAAACCTGAAGAATGTGGTAAAGAACTATTCGGACGCTCAGGTGAAGGTACGAGAGGCCACATCTAACGACCCGTGGGGGCCATCGAGTACTTTGATGTCTGAAATTGCTGACCTGACCTATAATGTGGTGGCATTTTCTGAGATAATGCAAATGATATGGAAACGTTTGAATGACCATGGTAAAAATTGGAGACATGTCTATAAAGCATTGGTTCTGCTCGAGTATCTCATCAAAACTGGTAGTGAGAAAGTGGCCCAACAGTGCCGGGAAAATATATTTGCCATTCAAACACTTAAGGACTTCCAATACATTGAAGAGAACAAAGACCAGGGAATGAATGTGAGAGAAAAGTCGAAATTATTGGTCGCTCTTCTTAAAGATGATGACAAACTTAAAAACGAAAGAACTCGTGCTCTTAAAGCTAAAGAGCGTTTCGCTCAATCGATGTCTTATATGGGAAGCAGTGGTAATATTGGCGAATCTCTTCCCAGATCGTCATCAAGTTATCACGAATCACTTTCATCTTCCGGTGACCATTCATTGAGTGCCGCAGCCCGTGCAGCACAGTTGGCCTCAGAGTTGGAGAACGCTCGGCCACAAACTCTCGGGGAAGAAGAGCTTCAATTGCAGTTAGCATTAGCCATGAGTAAGGAAGAAGCAGAACAAGAGGAAAGAGTTCGAAAGAATGATGACATTAGACTACAATTGGCTATTTCTGAGAGCGAGAAGAGCAAAATGAAGATCCAAGAGGATAAACGATCGCATGTCGACGAACTATTAAGTCTAAACATTGGACCAACAGTAACATCACTACCCACCGATCCATGGGGTCAACCATTGAACAACACAACAACCAGTCCAACATTTGGAGGTAATGGACTGTTAGCATCTCCACCACAAGCAAGCAAAGTAAAAGATCCGTGGGGTGTACCCCAACCTCAGGCTATGAGTGCACCTCTTATTGACAATAAAGCCGGTGGTGATCCTTGGAGTACACAAATGTCTCAATCGCGACCAATGTCTGCACAAAATGACCCGTGGAATTCTAGTCTAACAACTACTCCCACTAATATGGATCCATGGGGTTCAGCAAACAATAATGATATGCTCTCGAGTCCAGGTATTATCACATTTTTATTACAATACTTTTAATCAAAATTAATGTTTTATATGTCAATAGTGTTTGATTCAAAACCAATGAACGGGTCTAGCATTTCGCCAACCAGTGAGATGAACATTAGGAAGACTCCCGAAAACTTTTTGGGAGCCAATTCTAATTTAGTTAATTTAGACGCTTTGATTAGTACTAAACCGTCATCAGGTATGGTATTATTATATCATTCAAGTGATTAGTCGTAAACTTATATAAAATAATTACCGGTAAATATTTATATTAAACAGTGTTACCTATGGGTGGCAATCCATTTGCTCCGTCGTCGTCGTCAACAACGACAACAACAACAACATCGTCTACACTTCAGGGCAATCCCTTTCAAGCGGCCAAACCTCCGCCGCCGACTATAAATCAATTGAGAGCTCAAAATCAATTCAGCGCTCCTTTTGACTCTAACTCAGCATTAAATACAAATCTAACGCCACAACCAATGTTTCAATTACAACAACAAACAACAAATAATTTAAACACAGGTTTGCCTTCATTTCCAACTAATTTTCCACAACAAACAACACAAACTCACAACCCTTTTGCTATGTGAAGCATAAGAGAGAATAAGTTAATAATTAAAATAAAAAAGTTTTTAAATGTATATAAATGCCCAAAACATACAAAAATAATGGCAAAACTTTTACAGTATTTCTTTTAATATCTTTTTTACTTTTAACTCTAATACTATTGTATCGGAAATGTAAACATTAAGTGGACTTTTAAATGTTGGTAATACTTGGTATGCAATCATTGAATGACAAATGCATACCAATATATTTTTGGACTTTTATTAATAATATAGTATCGTATGGTTTGACATAATCTTGCAAACAAATTATTGTAATTTATATCAAATTTTAGAGATTATTTAGATAATATTGTGTTGCCTTGGTAAAAATACTGTACATAACCTAAATTGTAGTAATAAAATTAAACTCTATAGTGATTTATTTGTTAGCATTTATTTATTTCATCAATGTTATGTCATATACTTTATACTGTTAGCATTTGATATATAATATAAAATACTGTATATATATATATATATATATAACTATGTAACWATTTTATAAATAAGACTAGAAATTACTATTTTTTAATGTATTTATACTATGACTATAACTAAAATTATTTACAAATATATTTATAATTTGATGCAATATTATCTAAATACAGTAATTTAGCACTTATTACCATCAATTGAGGATTTTGTCATTCAATACGGTATATAATCATTGCTAATATTTATATTTTAAGTCTAATTAATATATTTCTGTAAACGATTGTTAATAATTTATTTTTCGACAAGTTTTATCGATTATATCTAATAGTAATATAACTAATATTAAGTCTGTACTGATATTCATTTCTGATAAAATAATTTGGGATTAGTTAAACATTTATAAACATTTAGACAAATTTTCAAATCTAGATTTATTAACAAATAATATACAGATTGTAATTACTTAGTGGACTGTAAATGGTTTATATATCAAAATAAATTGTTTTATTTTTATCAAATATAATTTACAATAAAAAAAACTAACAACTCTTAATAAAATGAAATAATAATTTGAATAAATTAAATAAAATAAAATTTATATATTTATAGTTTTCTATATTATATAATAACGAGATTTTGAAATAATTATTTATAATTTATTCCAAACATATGTAGTCTATAATGAATAATAAAGTTGTGTTCACTAACTAAAAAAGCTTTACAATAATCAAATTATTTTTATCTATTTATAGTATTATTATTATTGTTTTAATTTTGATTGCTTTGATAATTAGTGAATTCAGATGATTGTTCATTATAGTCTATAATATGTCTTATATACTTAGATTTAAAGTTTAATTTGCTGTTAAAACTATTATTATATTATTATCACTAATATTTACCATTTTTTATTGAATTTTTCTATCTTTGTTTTATTAATGATATAAAAAATTGTTTAATTGAATGCTATTCTGAAATAAAGTTAAAATTTTTATTAATAAAACAATGTCTAATATATTTATTTCATAATATGTTATTTATATCGTTGATAACAATATCATAAAAAATTTATTATTATTTTCATTTCCAATTTATAAATGCATTATAATATAATGATTTTACTAATGAATTATTTTATGAGTTATATTTATTCTGACTTTTTAATAAAATGTTAGCTATAAATTACATTATGATTTTGTAATTTAATAGTTTATTTAATGTGTTAAATTTATACCCATCCCTAAACAGTATTTTTATTAGCGTTTACCTTATATTTTATAAATTATTTAATGACATTTATTTCACATTTACTTTATTACGTTATTATAAACCAACATTTTATTATATTTTGATAATAATCTTAAGCTAATATACTGTTATTAATATTAGTGATTATAATTATTAATATTTGCAGTATACTGTATTGTATATAGAGTTTAGTAATAAAATTCCTATAATTTTTCCGGAAAGTAATGCAAATATTTAATTTGTTCACCCTGGTACGTTAGAGGATAAAATAWATATATTTTTAAATATTACAGTAAAAGTAAGCAAAACTCGATTACTAGGCATAACATTTTATTAAAATAATTAATAACTAATATACATAAAAATTCATTAATATTATTCAATAATAATTTAATATACTATAACATAAAATATTATTAAAATGTGTGAGTAATGTATTGAATATGTTATTAATTTATATGAAAATAACCTTTTATTCAACTTAACATTTAACTGGGTCATTTGAATTTTTTGAAAATAAAATCAAACTGCGAATCTTACTCATGTATGATATATATAAATCTAATATCAATATTACATATATTTTATAGATTTGGCAATAGTAACCAATTATTGGTCTAAATTAATAAAAAAAAATCAGCTATAAGTGTACTAATAATAGAAATACAATATTTATTTAAAAAAAATAAATATTATTTTATTGATTATTATTTGTATTATACGTACGATAATTACAAATTATTTGTTGATTTAATACAATAGAAACATTAAATTACGGTAATGTTTACTTTGGTATAAAAACAATATGTTATAATAAATCAATTTAATAAGAAAATGGTATAAATTAAATATAATAAATATAATGAAACTATTGAATAATTAGTCAAATTATGAAATAAAATTAGTCGATTGATTCAGAATAGCGTTAAGAAATTGTGTGTCACTTAAAACTTGTCTGATCTCTGTTTCGTCGACTTTAAGAGAGATTTTGGCGTTTCTGACACTTTGACCACAAGAAGACTTTATGGCCACTAATCCATAATCTTCTAAGAGCTGACACATACTTAGTAGTTGTCCTTCACTTTTAATGTCAGAATTGATGCCACGTTTAGCGCAAATATTTCCAAATATATGGTGACATTCACTTAGTTTGACTTCTTTGATGGATTTGTGTTTAAAGATCACTAAAAGTGAACACAAAATGATTTGTTGATTAAATGGTAATTTGTGTTTGGATTCCGTTTCAAATTTCTGTCCGTAAACTCGATTCAAAACTGCCATAATTTGCGGCACATCTACACAATTGGTTCCATTGTGTTGGACAGTCTTCTTAGGGGATCCACTGTTGAAGCCGTCATCATTGGATAGCTTTAATGGATTATTTGAATTAATCACCGGTTTGTCTGTATTTTGAACCAATTCAAGAGCTCGTCGACAAACATCCAAAGCCTTTCTAATATCACCCGAAACTGTTCCTATCTTTCGAGCGCATAATTGAATGGCCAGAGGAGTAATGACAACATTTTGTTGATCACTCGCTCTTTGGATTCGGTTCTCAATTACGGCCACAATCTGTTGTGTAGAGTATGGTTTGAAATGTAATTCTTCTATATTGTTGACACCGATTGCTTTGATTCGCGACAATACTCTTGAAGTAAAGTCTAATGAGTTGGCAATTCCGATGAGAATTAGCCTACTTTTGGTCAATTTTGTCCACAAGAATATAGTATTGAGCACATCGTGACCCTTACTGTCCAACAATTGGTCGATTTCATCGAGAACTAAGACAACCATTTCATCTGATGACCGGCCAGTAAGTAAAACATTGATTGCTTGCAAACAATCGCTTTGTTTTAAATGTCTTTTTTGTTTCAATTCATTCAGTATTTTGTTATAAATAGCATTTGCATTACGAAAAGTCATACAATTAATGGTAATTAAGTTAAAGTTAAACGTTTGCTTCAGTTGATCCAAAACATAAGTCACAGACAATGTCTTTCCAGTTCCGGCCGAACCCGATATGTAAACACTAACCGCTTGTTTAGACGTGAGATGTGAAGTGACCAGTTGTCGGACTCGCGTACACTCATTATCTCTGCCAATGACTGAGTCGACGACTGATGGACTCAGAAATTGCTTAGTCTTTGATAAGACAGAAATGGGTTGACTTTCATGTAATGTTTTCTTGACTTTTGTTGGACTCACAGCCAAACTCTCTTTATTTTCATCCACTTTATTGTCAATAGTATCACAATTTGATAGTCGTTTAGCCGTAATCTTTGTCTTAGTCTTCGCCGGAGTTTTACTTTTCGGTGTTTTTGCAGTCTTTGTTTCAATGGTCTCATTGATCATACATTTTGTGATCTCTTTTTCATTATAATTGACTTTTTTAGTCTTTCGGCCACTTTTGCGGACAGAGAAGTTGATCTCTGTTTGAATGGTTGAAGACATTGTCGATCGGAAAAGTGTTTTCAATAAATATTTAATTAAAATCAAACACTTTGTCATCAATTACTTCAACAAACACTTTGACTAACTTTTGGCGCTTTAATGTCAATGTATTGTCAATGATATGTAAAAATAAAAGTCTTTTAATAAATTGGCGCTTATTTTGCAATGTTTTCTATTATTAATGCATTGCTTTAGTGATGACGACCTCTTGTGTTGTTTATATCAAACATTATTACATCATTGGCTATGAATTTATTGCAATTAAATTGTTATTAAATTGTTATTAAATTGTTATTAAATTGTTATTAAATTGTTATTAAATCAAATAATATTTGTTTGATTAATCAGTTAATAATTTTTAATTATTATAATAATATTTACTACAATATTTTTAGCAATCGGCTATAATATTCAATTATAATATATCATTGAGATATCTTATGAAATTATCTACAAAGTTGACCATGATCATTTTTGAATCAAATGTACGGTAAAATTGACAGATTATTGTAATTACAAAACATGTTATCAATTGTTTGAAAAGTTATTGAACTAATAATAAAAAGATATTTATTATGTGTAACTATAGTATAATATAGTAGTTATAATAGTCACTTAACTACAATATAATACTAATTTTAATAATCTTTTATTTTTAATAAACTATTTGTGAGTTTTAAGATGTTTAATACTGTAAGTATTAAATGTATTATAATAATGCATAGTTTTTAGTATTGAAATAAATAAGTTTAGTTTTGAAATAATTGTTTACAATGAAATAAATATGTTTACTATTGAAATAGTTTTCAAACCGTTTTGAAATACTTTAAAATAAATAAACACTGGTTTAGGTGAAACACTGTAATATAATCTCAATTTTTACAAATTGATTGTTATTTAAAAATCTTAGATATTATATTGTATTATACTATCATATAATAGAGTATACATTATTTATTTTTGTCATATATTTTGATAATATTTTGATAACTTATTAATTACTCTTTCATTTGATATCAAAATTGTCTTAAAATAAAATAAAAAGTTATTTGATCTTAAAAGTGGTGATATCACTAATTTTCAACAATAATTAATTATTATTGAAAAAAAAACTAAATGTTTTGACTGTATGTCTACACTACAGTACTGTACACTTGACTATTGAATATTAAGATTTTCAAAAATCAAATAAAATGTTGAATTTTTCACATAAATTCAAATTATTTAATATGATTTATACAGTATTACAAACTCTTTTATTACTGATAATTGATAGTTATATTTGAAATAATGGTTTTAAAAAATTAGTTTCATTAAAATATTTATTTCAAAATAATCATATTTTCAATTAAATCAATTTATTTGAAACACATTATAAATAATTTTGAAGTTAAGTACAGTACCATGGTAGTTTTATTATATCATATAGTTTTTATTGAAATAAGATTTTCATATTTTATTTAAATAAGGATTAAATAAATGATTTCATATAATATTTTGAGCCAAAAGTTATACATTATTTTCATGAGTTGTTTATATACTAAAAAAAGTTGTTTCAAGTATTTCTCTGACAATTCTGGCTTTAAATCAAAAGCTATATTGCATTCAAAAGTTATTTCAAATATTACTTTTATATACAAAATCACAATATAATTATTTCATTACATATTTTAAAACAATTAATTATTATTTTAAATACTTAATTTAGTATATTAACAAAAAATTTATATTAATGATACAATTTTATATTTAATTTTAAATTAAACCTTTGAATGTAAAAATATGAATAGTTAATTATAATGTTAAATATAAATATCTATAAATATCTATAAATATTTATACATGTACATTTACATAAGGAATTTAATAAAATATAAATAATTAATATATCTATAGTTAAAACATAAATATTTAATAAAATATATGAATTTGCAATTTTTCATTGAATTGATTAATAATAAATTGATTGAATTATGCGCTCATTTATAGTATATTTATTTGATTGGTTGTGATGAGTGTATTGATAGCCAATCATAGGAGTCATGACATGAAATAATAGGTTTGTTGAGAGCTATAGTAATGTTAAGCTATGCTATAGTTATGTTAACCGTATAATAGCTATAATACTGTAGTATTGAGTTGTATAACACTCTGTGTATGTATTGAATACATTGAATACATTGAATGCATTGAAAAGCACTGCAATTGGTATCTAATATAACAATATATATGATTGTAATATATTTGTGTAAATTAATGACAATTCAATCAAAAGTATTGTATTCAACACTAGATTGTCATCAATGGTGCAGAAGTAGTGTTAAGACAAGCGTGTATTGAATGTGGGATCAGATGTCGATTGTTTTGTCACCATTTAATTGTTAAGCAAATAATCGATTTGATTGTCACTTCAATTGGTTTCCGTCTGTAATCAGTTGTTGTCTTCTGTCAACTCTATTATCTATTGATTGAATGTCTGTCCCCTCGACGGGGATCACCAATAGGTCCAGTCATTGGGCGAATAGCGAGCAAACATTCAAAAGCGGTGACCGTTTCGGACAGAAAGACCACTCACGAGAGCCAATCGGGTCTAACCTCTGATTCTGACCACGACTTGAGTCACAAAGATATATGCGTTCAAAGAAAGGTCATCGAAGACATCAACAAAGATATATCTAATATTGACATTAACGCCGACAAAGACAGGAAAGAGAAACCACTTGTAGAAAAAGCAGACGACAACCAATTTTCCAACAATTATACTGACATCACAACCGCACAAACAGATCCATCGATTGATAACATAAAGTCTTTCAAATCTAATAAGACTATTGTCATCGACAGTACGGGTGATCAACAACTGAATCCAATCAACACGACTGACGGCACACTAAACGCTAGCGACGCTATGAATCACGTGACACAAAATGACAAAAGCAATCAACTGTTGAGACATAACGACATTCAACAGAACGACGAAGAAATGATGGACACCGCCGGTGATGACAATACAGTCAGGACTGATGGTAAGAGATAACAACATTGACAACAAATTAACATATTATTAACTTTAAACAATTGTCTTAAGATATTATAACATCACTTAATATTGATGGCAACGACGATAAAAACCGACACAAAGACGAAACAAAATTACTTAACGGAGACTCCGGTGGCAATCAGGACGAGGCCATGGATGAAGAGGGTATACAAAACTTATTGAATTACCGGTAATTTGTTTTATTATTTAAATCTCTTTATTTAGATGAGGCCCGATCTGAAGCGACATTTCGCTTTAAAATTGAAAATTTCAGTAAACTAAGGGATACAACATTGAGTCCACCCACTTATGTTCGAAACCTTCCCTGGTATGTCATATTTGTGATAATTATTTGATTAACCAATTGACTAAATGTTGTCAATTATAAGGAAAATAATGGCAATGCCCCGAACAAATCAAGCACATGATCGACAACCCACCAAAAGTCTTGGTTTCTTTTTGCAGTGTAATGGAGAGTCCGACTCAACGTAAGTCTAATGGTTATTATTTGAAGTCTACTGGAAATAACAATTGTTTTATTTATCACAGAACCTGGTCTTGCAATGCAACCGCTGAACTTAGGATTATCTCTCAGAAAGAGAGCATTGAAAATATATGTCGAAGTATTGAATGAAATTATTTTTTGATGAAAAAAAACAATTCTTATAATTTATGTTTTGTTTTATAGAAATTCAACATATTTTTTATAGTAAAGAAAACGATTGGGGTTTTAGTCATTTTTTGGGTTGGAATGTATGTTACAATTGAGAGTTAAGTTTATAAATTATTTCGTTAATTATTTTGTTGATATTTTATAGGATATTCTTGACCCAGACAAAGGTCACATTAAAGATGACGCCGTCATTCTTGAAGTTTGGGTCTCTGCCGACGCACCACATGGTGTTAGGTATATATGATTTAATAGATGATTACAATTGAGAATTATTTGCTAACCAATTGATTTGAACAGTTGGGACAGTAAAAAACATACGGGTTATGTGGGGCTCAAGAATCAGGGGGCGACCTGTTATATGAATTCTTTGCTTCAAACATTATTTTTTACGAATCAATTGCGAAAAGCAGTCTATCAAATGCCCACTGAAAGCGACGACTCATCCAAAAGTGTTGCTCTGGCTTTGCAACGAGTATTCTATGAATTGCAGTTTTCCGATAAACCCGTCGGTACTAAAAAGTTGACCAAATCTTTCGGATGGGAAACATTAGATTCATTTATGCAACACGACGTACAAGAATTGTGTCGTGTTTTAGTCGATAATATGGAAAGTAAAATGAAGGGAACGTGTGTTGAGGGAACTATTCCAAGACTTTTTGAGGGAAAAATGATCGTAAGTTTAATTATCTGTATAATTGATATAATGATAATTGAATTAATTTTTTAAAATGATTTTGACAGTCATTTATTCGCTGCAAACACGTTGACTGTTCGTCATCAAGAATTGAACCCTTTTATGACATCCAACTGAATGTAAAGGGAAAGAAGAATATTTATGAATCATTTAAAGACTATATAGCAGTTGAGTCATTGGAAGGCGAGAACAAGTACGACGCCGGAGACTTTGGTCTTCAAGAAGCAGAAAAAGGCATTACTTTTGAGTCGTTTCCTCCCGTTTTACACTTACATCTGTTACGCTTTCAATACGATCCGTTAACCGACACTAACGTCAAAATCAATGATAGATTTGAATTTCCAGAGAAACTTAATTTAGAAGACTTTCTTCAAAAGGCAGAAACAACTCCCGCTAACTATACATTACACGCTGTTTTAGTCCATTCTGGTGACAATCATGGCGGACATTATGTAGTATTTATTAATCCAAAAGGTGATGGAAAATGGTGTAAATTTGATGACGATGTAGTCTCCAGATGTACTAAAATGGAAGCCATTGATCACAATTTTGGAGGAAATGATGAAGACGTGACTGTCAAGCATTGCACCAACGCTTATATGTTGGTCTATATTAGAGATAGTGTCATAAGTATGTCAATTGTTTGACTTGTGATTAAATTATTGGTAATAAAAATGATTTATTTTTAGACGAAGTCTTACAAATGGTCACCGAAGAAGATATTCCGGAACAACTTATTGAACGATTACACGAAGAGAAACGTCAGGAAACTTTACGACGAAAAGAGCGAAACGAAGCGCATCTCTTCATGAATATTAATGTTTTCACCGAAGACTCATTTATGGGCCATAAAGGCAATGACCTCTACGACCCCGAGAAAGCCATTTATAAAGTGTTTAAAGTTAGAAAACAAAACACACTGAGCGAAGCCATTCAGTTAATTGCTGAACAAATGAAATATCCATTGAATTCAATGAGGATTTGGCCAATTATTTCGAGAGCCAATGAAACACTGAGGCCATCATTACTTGATTTTGACTCTGAATGTAACCGACAGGTCAATGATGTTTGTGAGGGACAGAATCCATGGAATATATTCCTTGAGTTGACTGAATCCGATTCAGACATGCAATCTTTGCCATCAGTTGACAAAGAAAGTTAGTTTTGAGTTATGGTAACAAGTCTTTGAATAATWTTTAATATCTTATAATTGTTTATCTTTTAGGTGATGTCTTACTATTTTTTAAATTATATGATCCAAAAAATAATTTCATCAGTTATTGTGGTCACGGACACCTACCAGCTGCTGCTAAAACTAGGGATATCATACCTATCCTTAATAGCAAAGCAGGTTATCCATCTGACACACCTCTTGAGTTATACGAAGTGAGTTATACCGTATAATCCATTATCATTATGAATGGTATTAACAATGTTTTTTTTTGATGAATGATAACATAGGAAGTAAAGCCTAATTTGGTTGAACGCATTGAAGATTTAGACGCACCACTAAATAAAGTTTTGGATGAACTAATGGACGGCGATATCATAGTGTTTCAGAGGGCGGACTTTAATTTGGGTCCCGAATGTGAATTACCGAATGTTAAAGAATACTTTAAGGATTTATTCTTTAGAGTTGAAGTGACTTTCTGTGATAAGACTAATCCAACTGATGCCGGCTTTACAATCGAGTTATCCCTTAAAATGAATTACGAACAGATTGCTAACGCCGTTGCTCAGAGACTCGGAACCGATCCATATCTGATCCAGTTTTTCAAAAATCAGAGGTATTTAATACTAACATATTTAACACTAATGAAAATATACAATCATTTTATTGACACTAATATAAAATAAATATAAAATAACAATAGTTTTGTGACATATTTAAGTTTATAATAAAATTGTAATAATAATAATACTTTAATAATAAGGTTTTTTTCTCTACTACTGAGCGCTACTATTATCATATTTTTATGATTTATTTAAACTGTATATATATATATATATATACTGTATAATAGCAATTACTATATAAAATTGATTTTAACTATAGTTATCGCGATGGTCCGGGTGGTCCCTTACGGTGCAACTATGACGGCACTCTTAAAGATATTCTCATTTTCTATAAGCCTCGACAACCAAAGAAAATATATTATCAACAGGTAATTAATTAATTAATTAATTGTTTTATAATTATAATTAACTTTAATATAATTATAATTCTTTGTCTTTCAAACAAAGCTAACGATAAGAATCAATGAATTGGAGAACAAGAAGCCATTCAAATGTGTTTGGGTTAACTCGAAACTCAAAGAAGAGGTTTATTAACCATACAATTAGTTTGAATATTGATTACTAAATGATTTTAATTAAAATTACAGAAAGAGTTACAGTTATATCCAAATAAAAACGGAACGGTTCACGACTTGTTAGATGAGGCGAAAAAACAAATTGAATCCGTAGACGATTGGTCGGGAAAGTTACGACTTCTAGAGGTCACGTCATATAAAATTCAACAAATTTTAGCCGAAGATATTCTTCTCGAGTGTTTGAATCCAACCGGAAGTAAAAGCTATAGAATAGAAGAAACGCCTAAAGATGAGATCCGAATGGAAACGGGAGAGTTCTTGGTTCCGGTGGCGCACTTCCATAAAGAAGCCTATCAGACATTTGGTGTACCCTTTCTGCTCAAACTTAAGCACGTAAGTGATGACTATTACCACAATATACTCTTATAAATTGATTTACCATTTAATTTGAATTTTTAATAAACAGAAAGAGCCGTTCACTGCAGTTAAAGATAGGATTCAGAAGAAGTTAGATATTCCGGAAAAAGAATTTGAAAAAGTTTGTCATTTAAGAGTTTAATTGAGTTATCATTAAATGTATTTTCATTGATATTGTAGTATAAGTTTGCATTAGTGACCGCCGGAAGGATTCAATACATTAATGAAGATAATGAATATGTTATTAATAAAGAAGACTTTCACGTTCACACTATTAATAGTTAGTCATTGATTGTTATAATCATTGAATATTATATTTATTTTTATAACTCTTGTCTTATTTCAGGTCCAATACAGACCAGTTCACCTCCAAAGCCGTGGTTAGGTTTGGAACACATAAATAAGGCGCCGAAGAGATCGCGTTATAATTATTTAGAGAAAGCTATAAAAATTCATAATTAATCGACTATTTTGTATAATTTATCAAAAAATATATTTTATTTGTATATTTAACTAATAGAAAAAATCCGAAAACAACATCTTTCGAGATTTTGGGTCAATTACTCAACAATTATTGTTGAAATATAATCTAAATAACAAAATTAATTTGAAACTAATTAGAATACATTAACAATACATAAAACACAATATTTATAATAATTTGTTTGTTAGCCACAAAATTGAGACATTGGTCTAAAATACTACCTTTCCTTAAATGTGTAAATAATACTATAATAACTGTAAATGTTATAAGACCTGGTGTTCCGACTTTTAAATGCATTACCCGTGCGATGGTTTGTCCTTAAAACTCACACTTCTTTTTTAAAAAGCTTTTAATTTAATTAATGAAATTCTATTTAAAATTTTTTTTTAAATATGAATTTAATGGGAATTTAATTATTAGTAATAATTATTAAAATATATTGAGTTTTTATTATTCAATTAAAAATATGTTTAATTATTGAATGCAATTATTGTATTATTATTATTCTCGCAATTTTTTTGAGTAACGCAAAAAATATTTGTATATAAAATTGCCATTATTTTTGAATTTTTAATGTAATTTAATTGCTATTAAAACAAGTTTTTAAAGCAAATATACATTTCATATAAAAATTACTAAAAGTGTGGAAAACTTTTACGAAAGATTTAGTTGAAGGCATCAAATGTCATGAAGTCTTTGTTAACATATTTATTCATCACTTGTTTTGAGTCAAACATTTTGATGTCATTCTCGGCCATCGATTTCGATGATATTGTCTGAAAATCGCGTAAAACTTTGGCCAACAAATTGGTACAGTGTTTGATGTCGACCACCGGTTCGGATGACAAGTTGTTGGCGGCTGTTGTCTCCATTGTTGCCATCGATGTCAACAATTCCGCTAACATTTGCTGACACGACTCGTTTGTTCGCAAAAAATAGTTATCCATTTGATGGTCAGTATTGCCATCAGAGACAAGAAATCGATCGAAATATAGTTTAATTAAGTCTTCATTTTGAATGATTTGTGAGATCTTTGACTTAAACAAGTCTGATGTCAACAACTCTTCAAACAAACCATTTGTCAAATGGTTTTTGTCTTCACGTAATTGTCGGCGCAATGAATCCACTTCTAAATCATTCAAATGTATTATCTTTTGGTCCAATTGTTTCATTAAATCAATCATTTGATTAAAATTATCACTCATTGTGTTCACTAAATCTATAATTTGTTATATATTTGTAAAACAAATAAATGATTAAAACATTTCAAAAATTATTGTTTCAATCAATCATTGCATTCACTTTTGAGGGAATGTTTATGTATTGCAATGTTATTCACATAATATGTAAACAAATTATTTTCAAATCCTTTCACATTACCCATGATTTTGTTTGTTATACTCTATAATAGTAATAATAATAATAATAATAATAATAATAATAATAATAATAATAATAATAATAATAATAATAATAATAATTATTATTATTATTATTATTATTACAGTAAATTAATTAGTGATTGTTTTAAGAGTTGGCCACAAATATAATATCTAATTATATGTGATATAATTAATACAATTTTATTGTATATTTTTTAATAATAGATATAACGTAAGCATAAAATAAATGTTTGATAATATTAATATTAATTAATTAAAATTATTATTTTAATTGACTTATCACTACAACTATAACAACAATTATGATATTTAGTATTGAATTTTGTGGTAATAATTTAGTGATCATTCATTAGCATTGATATAGTCATAGACATAGACATACCAGTGCTTTACTATACAAACCATATGTGAAGTCAGTCTATGATTTAAAAAAATTAATTTCTGACAAATGTATTATAATTTATTTAAAATGTTGATTATTATACAGTATTTGTTTTATTGAAAATTATTATTATTATTATTATTTAATATGATTTAAATATAAAATTTATTATTCAATTATTTATATCACAGAATATAAATGAATTGATAAGAGAGTCACCAGAAGTTGAATAACAAGTTTTGTAAATAAAGTGTTCAATTGATTCAATAGAAGAGGCGTTTAGTTATTGTTTGGTATTTCAAGTGTTCATTACATTCAACACATTATATCATATCATATATGAATTGAATTGAATTTTTTTTTTTAAATACATTTAAATATCTTTTTGTATATATTATTTTCAAATGAATTTACAACTATTTGTATACTTAATACTGTATTAATTGCTTATGTATTAAATATTTTCATATATGATATATTAATAGTAGTTTTTATATATCTTATAGAGTTTATATTATTTTAATAAAAATCATTATTATTATCAATATTTGCAACAAAATAATTACAATTCAACTGTTTATTGACTACTGTATCAACTGTTTTGGGTAAGAATTAAGCGATTAAATTGTTTTTTAAAATTATTTTATACACGATTAACACAAATGATAATCGGATTGACATTAAAATTGACACATAATTGGTATTATTTTTTTGAAGTGATGTMAAAAAATAACCATTTAATTGAATTGAATGAATGGATCAGTTATTCGGTGATACATTAAAAGTATTATGAGATTATAATAACACTCATCAATGCATTGCTTTGAAACTAATAAACAACTATTAGAGCAATCAATCAATTAATTGATTATTTCATTGTATTAATATTTCAATGCCTTTTAAACCATAGATTAAACTATATTAACTGATTTAATTATTTAGTGTTACAATATATTTAATATAAGTTTAATATAATACTGTATCAATAATAATAAAAATTGTTAAGCATTGTAATAATTTTGTTTTAACTAATAATTATTATATAAAAAATAAACAAATTGTTTAGTAATTATCAATTAGTGTTAATCAATCAATTCATTAGAATTGTTAGTTTAAATCTCAAAAATATTACAAAAATATATCTTTAAAATTTAGGTTATATTTAGTGGTAATATTGGTTTGACTGATGAAACCCCTGGGATTCAACCTTATAATGGGTTTAAAAAATTTATATAATTTATAATCAGTTTAATAAAAAAAACAAGTCTCTCATGAAATGCCATATCATTGCCATTCAATTGACTTAAAATTTAGAGCAAACAATATTTTTTAAAAATAAGTAATAATATTATTACTGTATTATTAATTAATAAATTTAATTGTTTATTTGGGACCCATTTTATAATTAAATTTATTTTTTATTGAGAGATGACTTGAGATTAAATGTTTTTTTATTATATCAAACAAGTTTTTAGTTAATTTTGGCAAATAGTATAAAACAATTTTTATTTAATATTATATCTATAATATAATTTTATTAACTCAATTTAATTAATCTTATATTTTTTAAAAATATTTATTATTTTTTATGACTCAATTGTTATGTAAATATGTACTGTATGTTTTTGTTTAATTATTTAATACCATTTATACAGGTTACTTTTTTATAATTAAAACTTGTTTAATTTGTAAAATTTAAATAACTATACATTTTCACATTTAAATATTTATAGTTAAAATAAATGCAGTTAATTATGAGTTTATATTTTCAATTTTAGTTCAATTTAAATTTTTTATATTTGTTTTTATAATTAAATGATTTAATAAATTAATAATTTTTGTTTTGTAATATTTATGTGTACATAATTATGTCCATATTTTTATCAACTCATTTGTTATAATAACAGTTAAAAGTTAAAACAAAAAATAAAATAAATACTACTGTATTTACTAAATAATGTTATTTTAGGTTAAGATAATGCAAATATAAAATATTGTTATTAATTATAATAACTATATAAGTGATAATTATAATATTTAATAATTATTAATAAAACTTTTAACATACATCAGTGATTTATTAAATTTTATATGATTTAAATAATATAAATTTTCACTTTTATTTTACATGACTTGATCTCAATTTTAATCCTAAATAATACTCATAACATATGAATTTCATTTTGTTATTTATGCTATTTTTCTCAATTGTTATCTCTTTAGACGATATATTTAACACAAATTATTAGAGTAAATGTCAAGATTAGTGTAATAGTAGAAAAACACTAGAAATAGAAGATTTGTTTTAATTGATTATTGTTTTTTAATATTAAATATTTAACGAACAAATCATAAAAATTTTACACAAGTAATCAATCGTTTCTATCTAATAATATAAAGCTTTTAATTAATATATTATCAATTTTTTCACTGTTAAGGAACAAATAATTGATTTATTTTGAATATTATATAATATATTTATACTTTTTAATTAATCATAATTGTAAATAATCATTTTTAAGTTTTCAGTACGATATCATCATTAATTATGTTAAATGAAAATACAGAATATTTACATATGTTTTGATATTAAATAATTTTAAAAATTCTGTATTTATGGTAACATTTTCTTATCAATTTCCTTCATTCCGAATAATATAATGAAAAAATATTTTTTTTTTATACTTAACTTGTTATTCACAACTTAATAGAAAAGTTTTGTTAATTCACATAATTATCAATAAAATATATATAATTTATATATTTTCTAATTTTAATTATATTTATAGTTTTGAATATGGAATAAACACGTTTAATAATATTGTTATGTTATAAATATATCAAAACTATTTGCATAACAAATCAGTATTGGTATTGAAAATAAACATTAAATTTTGAATTCAATACAAATGGACGGCAAATTTGTTAACGTTATTTTATTGGGATTAGCTTTTATGCTAATTTTTACTGCCTTTCAAACCGGTGGTATGATTCAAGTAAGTCTAGTTTAATAATTTATATTTCATATGATATTATACTAAACTTAATTTTAATGATTGTTATATTTAATTATATTTATATAGCAAACAGTGGTCAAAAGTATCCATCAAGAAGATTCCTCTTATACCGCCGATGGATATACCAGTCTATGTATCATATATGCCACTCTTGCTATAGCTAATTGGTTCGCCCCATCATTTATACTGATAACTGGACCTAAATTTGCAATGTTTATTGGGGCTATTATTTATTGGTATCTATAATTTACATTGTATAATACTATTGAATTATTTAGTATATTATAAATTGTCTCTAATGTATTTGATAGTCTATTTATAGCAAATTTCATGTTTCCTAAAGTATGGGTCCTTTACTTTCTATCAGTTGTTATTGGTTTGGGAGCGGCCAGTAAGTTATAAGTTGTTTAAAAAATAATTGGTATAATATTTATTATAGATATAATTAATTTAAACAGTTATATGGACGGGTCAGGGAAACTTTTTGACTATAAATTCAGATGAACGTACAATGTCTCGAAACAGTGGCGTCTTTTGGGCCATTTTGCAGTGCAGTCTTATTTGGGGCAATCTTTTTGTGACATTTGTTTTCAAAGAAGATCACATCAAAGAATCCACTCGACTATTGACTTATGGAGTGCTCACAGTTGTTGGCGCTATCGGAGCCCTATTGTTGTTAGTTTTAAGAGGCGGATACCGAACCAATACTGGTCTTACTCTTAGTGAAAGTGTTAAGGATAGCTCAAGTGCTTTGGGTATAACATTATATGACTGAAAATTTTAATAAATTGATACTCAATATTAAGTCAGTGTCTAATGTCTACTAATAGTGAAAGCCTTTCGCCTATTGTTTACTAAACGAATGTCACTTCTATGCATCGCTTTCTTCTATTCGGGTATTAATCATATAATTATTTGTAATATTAAAGAATATATTATGACATACACTGTATATCATATTTAGGACTAGAATTGGGATTTTTTAGTGGTGTTTATGGAACAGCTATCGGAAACACCAATAGGTTGGCCGCAGACGGAAACTCCAAGCCATACATCGGTATCGTAGGAATTCTCATCGGTTGCGGTGAGATTGTTGGCGGCGCCACATTCGGACTGCTCGGCTCTAAGACGAACCGTTACGGTCGCGACCCGATCGTCATCTTGGGTTATGTCGTTCATATGGTTTCATTCTTTCTCATATTTATTAACATTCCAAGTATGGCATCATTAGAGCAAACCAATGATCCGGCATATATTAACAGCAAGTATGACAACTATCATCACTATTAACCAATTATTGCTAATTATTAGATTCAATTGTTTTTAGTTTAGGGATCGCATTATTCTGTGGTTTCCTACTAGGGTTGGGCGACGCCTGTTATAACACTCAAATGTACTCAATTCTGGGTGTCCTCTATCGGGACGATTCTGCGCCGGCATTTGCACTCTTCAAGTTTGTCCAATCTTTGGCAGCGGCCATAGCTTTTGTATATACATCATATGCAGACATTCACATCCAAGTGCTTATATTAGCCATATTTGCCTCATTGGGTACCATATCATTCTCGGCGGTTGAATGGAGCGCACATTCCTCTGATGTGTCGGACGATGAGGACAGACACGAGAGTTGAGACCTATTTGCTGTTATATTTAGAAAAATTGTATTTTTGTTAATATTTATCAAATTCATAGTTTTCAAGTTTATTCAGAAAATTAATAAATATTTTTGTTATCAATTTTATGCAATAATGTTATTAATGACACAATAATTGTTTTATTATCAGTAAAACAATTTCATCAAATTGTTTCTTTCGACAATAACTACAATTTGTACTAAAAATTTTAAAAATAAAATATAATTAAATAAAGTATATTTAAATGATTCAATAAAATAAAATGTAAAACATCTAAACTCTAGTTTACAAACCCAAACCAAACCAAACCCTAGTTTACAAACTCAGACCCAAACCGCTAACATTTAATTAAATTAATTTAATAAATAGAGAAATCATATTATAAAATGAATAATAATGTGTAATAATGTGTAATAATGTGTGACCACTGTCTCGATGGCCAATACATACAAATGTTGTTAAAATGTTAACTAATTGTTAATTATTTGCAAATGACTGGATTAAGCAGTGATTTAATGATTTGATGTTTTATTGCCTTTACTTACTGTAAAATACTGTACATTATATGCCGTCCAAAGCACAGGTAGTTTTGGCGCCGCTTTGAGTGTAAGGCATGTATTACAGCAACTGTTGTGACAAACAGTGAAACATTGGATTTGATTGAGTCTTACATACAATCAGTAATAAACAAATACTTTGAGCACTTCATTGTCCACTCTGTTGTCATATCCATCAGCGTATCACTTGTTTGTAACCAATTGGCTGACCATTTAAGTGATTGGCTCATGTCGTCCAAGAAGAGAGTTCGCTCTCATGACAACAACACAAGCGATTGGAGTAATAGATCTTCAGTGGACAAGGAGTGCAAAAGTGGCGATAAATACAATGAGACCAACAATTTGGTCGAAAACGAGCTTTTCTTACAGGCCTTTGAAAGTAAAGACCAATTGTTTACTAATCTATTGATTTACTTTTAACCAAATTATCACTTAATTATCTCTTTGTTTGCACAGAACCGACACAAATATACCGATACTTAAGGACTCGTCATTTGGTTTCAGTTGAGTCCCAAAAGTTTTATTTAGTTTTCATGAATTGATAATTGTTTTAATAATTGTTTTAATTTATTTTTAGCCAATATTTCTTAATCGAAACTTAACTTATTTAAGACATAGACTCAAACGTTTCAAAAGCAAACGTCGACGAGATTTCAGTGTCGACAACATTATGGAGTATGTCTTAGAAAAGAAACAAAGAGAGGCCATCGCTGAAGAGTATGTCATTGATTGTATCTCTTGTATTATGATTTATCACTACTTTTAATGTTTATATCCACAGATCGTCTGGCAATTTAACACTCAAATTGTTGTGTATTAAAGATCAGAGTATTAATAATGGTTTGGCATTTGAATCGACTTTTGCATTGTTAACCCTTTTATTACCAAATAATATCTTTTTTTATTTAATAGAGTATTCTTCTGTAACATTGGAGACATCGTTGTTAAAGATGGGACACCAGAAGCGTAAGGATGTGTTAGCGCCTATATATCAGTATTCAGGTATTTGATTGTTATTTAATTATTATTTATTTCAACAAATTGTTTAACTGATGAATATTATAATCAGTTGGCGCTTCAGACACGACTCTAAATGGAGAAAACTTTGACAACAATTGTCTTACAGTTTATAAAAATGATTTTAATGAATCCAACGGTCAAATTGTGAAACAATGGTCGTACTCTTTGTTATTTATTGCATGTCTTCATAAAGACAATCACTCGAAATTGGATAATCTTGAAAAAGATAAACCGGAGAACATAATGAATGAAAATAATAGAAGTGAACCGTCGATGAAGAAGCGAAGACTCGATACAAAGGACTACTATAAGGCAGAACTTATTGTATTTGACAAACATAAGACTTGTTTGCTGACTGATGGCGAGTACACAGTTGTTTTGCAGCAATGTTTGCCACCAAAAGCCAACAAATTAGCAAAGTATGGAAAATATTCAAAATGGCAAGAAATTAGTGTCGAAGACATTAAAAGTTTGACTATTGAAGACAACAAACCTTATGGGTCTATGGATGTGTTCAGAAAAGGTCCGGTTCTTAAGTTTCAGCTCTCGTGGAGCTCTAATCAACAAAATATAAATACAAATACAAATAATAATAATAGTAATAGTAATCATTTGGTTTCCAATAATGAAAATGATTCAGGAATTGGAAACAATATGAGTGATAACTCAAGTAATCAGTCATATAATAGCAATCATTCGCCAAATTTGGATAAAACTCATATTAATGATCACTTAAATTGTAATATCAATGGACTGTCGAATCGCAAGAATAGTAATGTCGTTCAAATAAAATATCAATTTATATTTAACAATAATATCCGACAAATAACTCGACCGCGAATCGACATGTGCTGCCCGTGGTGTTCACTTAACTGCCAACAACTCTATTCACTTATTAAGCATTTAAAACTATGTCACTGCCGTTTCTTATTTAATTATATACCGGACGTAAAGTGTTCCCGAATTGATGTTTTCATCAATGAGGGCTATGACGGATCGTATGCGGGAAACCCTCTCGATCTGTCCTTTCCAAACACTGGCTTTGCATTTAGTCGTAATGGACCCGTTCGCCGAAGTCCAGTCACTCAAATGATAGTTTGTCGACCCAAACGCCATCCCCATTGTATGAATGAGTTTGACGAACCCGATGACGAAGACGCCATCAATTGTCGGACTTATATTACAGGACACAACAGATTATATTATCACACGAACTCATGTTTACCTATTAGACCACAAGGAATGGATTACGACAGTGAAGGTGAAAATGATCCGCAATGGATGAAACAAAAGACTCAAATGGTTTGTTTCAATAAAAAAAAACAAAAATAAATTAAATTTTTTAATATTAAATTATATATTATTTTAGATGATCGATGAGTTCACTGATGTAAATGAAGGCGAAAAAGAGGTGATGAAGATGTGGAACTTACATATCATGAAATATGGGTATGTTTTACATTACCGGTAATAGTATTTTAGTTTATTTAATATATTTTACTTTGTTATAGATTTGTTGGCGATTGTCAAATACCATTAGCCTGTAATATGTTTGTCGATGAAAAGGCAACTGAATTAGTAGAAAGAAATTTATATATGAATTTTATATTACATTTAAATAATTTATATGATTTTGGACTTTTAAGTCAAACGAATTTATGGGATAGTGTGAGAAAATTGCATCAATTAATTAAAAATAGTGAATCTATTGTAAAACATGAATCAAATAGTTCTCAAAAATCATCGTAATATTTATTTCATTTATATATATATGACATTTTAGTCTAATTTACATTCAATGTAATTATAGTATAAATTAAGTGCGCTATCATTTATAATTATCATAACTTTATATACACTAACTATATTTTTTAAATAATTATTACGTAAATTACTGTATAAACAATTATTTACAATTACATCACATTTTAATCGATTATCAAATTAAACTATTGTAGTGTTATTTTTTAGATCTCTTATTCTTTATATGCAGTTTTAATTAGAGTATTRTTAGTCAATTAAAACAGTAAATTGAATTAAATTAATGATTGAATGTTTAATTATTTGTGTTCAATATATATATACAGTATATGTATATATTTAATATATAATTATCAATTATTAAATTTACTATAAGTAATATTTAAATAGTTAATAAGTAAATATGCGATTCTATATCAATTGTAAAGACAATAAATTTTATTATTTACATAATTTAATTAAAATTTTCATTTATAATTATAGTTTTAATAAATATTTTGTATAAAAAAATCACCTATATATTATAGAAATATGGGTGATAGATTTTTTAAAATTAAATATAATTAAACAATTGTAAATTTTGATATATCAATAAAAATAAAATATTCAATAAAATTAAAAAAAAATATTTCACAATTATTAAATTTTTTTATTTATAAAATTAGACTATAAAATTTTTTTTATTTTGATTGATTGTATATTTTATAGAACGTTAAGATTGATAAGATAATAATTTATGTATCGTAATTGAAAATTATGAAAATATGTATTATTAACGTAAATAAATATTTGTATTAATAATAATTTTGTAGCAATGAAATCATACATTAATGGATTTTCTATAAATATATTAATTTTGCAAAAATCAAAAGTGACGTTAAAGTTGTTATTATAAATGTTTTTTTTGTTTAATCAACTGTATTTAAAAAAGAATGATTTTAATATCGACTAAACTTAGTGTTCATCAGATTTATAAATTGAAAATATTTGAGAGAGAGAGAGAGAGAGAGAGAGAGAGAGAGAGAGAGGAGTCTAAAGAATTTGATAATAATTTTAACGAAAATTATATTGACCTATATTTTTATGATAATCTTATGTAAAGGAATGGTATGAAAGCGACACCAATACTGTGGACAGACAACTGTTATATGGATTGATAGATAATCTGTTGCCACGAGAGGGCAAACGTTTGGGAACTGAAGAAGTGGTGACCAAATAGTCTTATAGTATTGTGTGATGTGTTGAGAGATTCAGTCAGTGTTGATGTGAATCTGTATTCAATACAATGATTGCTGTGATTCATGCTTTCAATGATGACTTAGAAATTGACAATTCAATCATTTTAATGTATTTACTATTTGAATGCTTTTGACTTAAATATGTGTTTCAATTCAAATGAGACTAACATTGTGTTTAATAATAATTTATTTACTAATAATTCAATAACTTTGCATTGGCTTCAAAATGCTTAAAAGCAAACAACTATATATTAAATATATATATTCTTATTTAAACATTTTTTAAATAAATATTTAATACAAATAATTGTTGAATATAATGTAAAGAATAGAAAGAATATAAAAATATTTTTTAATTAAAAAATGTTTGTATTGAACCATCATTTGATAATTTAGTGATTCAATGAATTGATATATTGATATATTTAGTATTTGTCTCAATCCATGGCAAACATGAATTTCCTATCAGTGAGCAGTTGTTGCCTCTTGTTGTTGATTTATGTGTTGCAGTGCACTGGTATTGAAGGGCAGCGGTCGCGCACATCATTTGGATCCCTATCCCCGGTATCAACATTTGGCACAAATGTCCAAAAAATAACATTTGGTGCAATTCTACCGAAAACTTCTTTAATTACATTACAAAGACAATATTATAAGGTATTAGAATTGGGTTTTAATGTTTATATATTTTTCTGTTATATTAGAAAAAATAATATTTCAATTGGTTTTAAATGAAATTATATAAGCATTAATGGGATTTTAGACTTTAATTAATTAATATTTTTAGTATTATTTAATAATGAAATACTAATATATGAAATAATCCGATGACAGTCACAGCAATCCTCTTAGCAATTGTGTTATAATTAGTTAAGCGATTGAACTCTTTTAGTGACATATTTGCCACCAAATGCCACGAATAATGCGTTCACTATATTGTAGTTATATTCATAAAGTTATTCATTTACTCCACAATAAACTATATTATATGATAGATAAATATCTGAATTGTGAATACAATAATTGATATTAATTTGCACCAGAATTTGGCAAAATATATTATAACACAAATAATATTGTTATTAGTGTAGCGCCAGATATATCTAATATAAAAACAGAACATCTTTTTTGTAAAGTTATCTAATAATAGTCTCAATCAATAAAAAAAATATAAACAAAATTTATGAATTTTGTCCTCAAAAAAGTTGTATAATCTAAGAATTCTCATAATTTAAAAAATAAAATATATATTATTTTTTCTTCTTTTTATATTAATATATCTTTGAAGAGATATTCTTCAGAGATTTCATTTGATACACATTTGTAATGTTTTTCTTATTGAAAGTTATGGTTTGTGTTTTCATAAAATTATTCAAATTGAAGTTTTATGTTAAGCTCACAGTTATCTGGAAAGTTAAATATAAATATAATGATAAATATAATTTCGATGAAAGTATTTAATAATAATATTAAACGAATATCTTATAACATTAACTCATAATATATAAAAAATGTCCAATTATTTCACTTAATGACATTTAATATTTTAATTAAAAAATACATTAATGTTGTTTCTCAAAGAAAATAGTTTAGATCCAAGTAGTTGGGAAAAAAATTTCTAAAATAATAGAGAAATTTCTGGAAAGTTTCTAAAAAAATTTGTCTATGGGATCCCCATACTAATTTTGTTCTCTCGATATTTGTTATATTGAAACAATTCATTATAACTAAATATTAACTAAATTTTATTATTAATATTTTAATTAATATTCAAAGTAAAAAATAATTCATTTAACTAAAACTAAAAATATAAATCAATTATATATAAAATTTTACAAAAACTATAATTATAATTAGATAATTATATTAATTTTATAAATAAGAATCTCATTAATATACTGTAGTAGTGTCGTGTATATTATGTATCATTAGTACAGTATTATAATATCTATAGATATGGGGATCCCATAGTATAATGATAAAAAAAATTTCTATAGACAATTTATTCATGAAAAACTTTCTAGAAATTTTCTTATGGAAATTTATTAGAAAATTTCTATTTTCCATTTCTAGATTCAAGTGAAACAATATAATTCATGACTATTGATATGTGAAAAGTAAAGTGAAGGCAAATGTATGTGATTTAAGACACACTAAGAGTTATAGCTGTTATGCTATTTATTGTCATTTCAAACCAATTCTTTTAAACTAAATTCTGATTTCAATTTATAATTTATATTATATTGCATTTCAATAATATTACTTTTAAAATTTATTATTGAATTTTAAATTGTAATAAATCTAAACTTTTATTTGTATCTTAATGTTTAATAACAAAACAATAATCTTTTGGATTCATGTTTAGTATTCAATTGAAATACTTTAGCGATTGAGTGCTTTATTTCTCTTGAGATTTAATTGTTTTTTTCGACAAAAATCAAACATCAAAAAACTTAGTTAAATATAAATATTTTTTTGTGATTAATGCCACAAATAGTTTGTGTTAACAGAAAGCATATGTCGTGTAAATTGAATTCTGTTATTATTGTTGTTATTAGACATAATTAATCAAAGATTGTAACAATTTTTGGGATAATTTATATTTATTAATTTAATTGATAGTAAGTTTATGTACATATTATGATGCTAATGTGATGATGGTACATTTATTAATAACATTATATTTATTATGATGTTAAATACCATCTATACAATCTATATAAAGTCTATACTTAAATCAATAATAATAATAATTAGATTCTTAAATAATAATACATTTACAATATATTTACAATAATATGTGTTGTAATGATAATTGTTTTATATGTATGTACAGCGCCTTCAGGATGCGGTCGAGTCATTGATGAAGAACCGACAGGCAAAGTATAACTTCACTAATTACTATCGTATAGCACAGGCGCAAGTGGTACTCCTGCCACTGGCACCCAGTCCTACTGAAATATTGTCGACTCTTTGCAATCAGCTATTAGTCAAAGACATTACGACCATATTATATATGACTAATTCGGAAATATGGGGCAGTAATGCCGCGTCTGCCCAATACCTCATGCAATTGACCGCTTATATCGGAATACCAGTCATTGCATGGAATGCCGACAATATAGGCTTAGATCAGGTCAGACATCCATTCCCTCTAAATTGCAATATTTTCTCTGTTTATGCAATCGTTTAATGCTTTTGCATGACTCTCTCTCTCTCTCTCTCTCTCTCTCTCTCTCTCTCTCTCTCTCTCTCTTCTGTTTCTCTCATCTTTTCATATAAAATACATTTAATATCTTATTTTTGAGAGATATGTGTTCACTGTATTGTAAATACAGTTGAGAAGACTTATGTCAATAAATTGAATGCTATTAATGTCACATCAAATGACTTGAAATTCGTCGCTTTTACTGTTTTTACTGTATTTCAAGTAATAGTGAGACTGACTGTCACTGACTGTTATTGACATATATTTCAATAGTTCAGTTGGTTTTATCTTTTCTTTCACTTATCCATACATATGATTGTTAAACGTCTAGTATTTGTCGGACAATCCTTTATTTACAACAACAAAAATATTTGTAATTTGAATTCAAAACGATTGTTCAGTATTTTTGGAGAGAAATTTCTAAAATGTATGTATAGTTATATTTAGAAAATTGTTCAATACATGTATATAATAAATATAATTTAAAACCATAAATACATTTATTGAAAACCACATTTTATGAATGCAATACAAATTTAGTACAAATGTAGTTAAATAATCGCATCATTACATAAAGTTATAGTTAGTTTATAGTGAGCCTACAGTTACTTCAATTTATACAGTAATTACACAATTCATGTATTTGTCGTCTTTCTTGAGTTAATTAATTAGTTTTCCGCAACAAACCCATCACAACAACATGTGTAACACATTTATATGTTTTAGACATAACCAGTATTTTTATATTTTTAATCAAATGTATTAATGAAATTAAACTCTAAATATAGAAAATCATTTAATAACTTAACTAAAAACTTTTATAAACATTTAGTAAATTGTTATTTATTCATTATATACATTATTTGTTAATAGTCTAAACAATTTAACACTTTTATGGGTTAGATATGGCATATAATAGTAGGATATTTCTGTTTTATTGATTTTAACGACAGTATATAGAGAAACATCTAAATAAAAATATTAAATACTGTAAAACATATAAATATAATACAATTTAATATTTAATACTAATTTGTAAGTTTTGAATAGAGAAACAAATTAATTAATATTTGTGTTAAAAACAAAACTTAGTTATTATTATTTAAAACATAGGTTTTAGTTAATAAAATGTTAAACATTAATGCTTTAGTTTTTGTAAACAAACTTCAAAATAAATTATTGACAAAATATAATGAAATTTTAGGTTAGTTTATGTTTGAAATGTAATTTTCTTAAACTACTGAATATAATGAAACGACAAAAGCTTTTTACGATAAATCACTGCTAACTATATATTAAACAGATAAACAAGTTTATGGAGTGAATAAAATATCATAAATAAAAAATTAGTTAAATCTCTTGTTTAATATTGTTATTATTAAAATTATTTTTTAAATCTAATTATATATTTATTAAAATCTACTTTAATTTTAAAAGATTTTTCATTATATATAAAAATAAGTAGAGGTTTTCTGTAGATAATTTGTATTTTATTGAAACGATATTATGATATGTCAATCAATATTTAATTAAATAATAAATAAACTTTATATTAATTTGTTAATACTATATTAAATGATATTTTAGAATAAATATTGCATTTAAATTTTGTACACATATATCGATATTACTGTAGATATTAAATAAATAATTGGAAATATATTTTTATGATCAACCAATATATAAATTATATGATTTATTATATTTTTAGTAATATTATATAGAAAATGTTGTTGTTTTTACAGCATTGATTTGAAGCAAATAATTTTTATTATTTATAAATAGTTATTCTCAACATGTTCTCTAACATTTTATAATTGAAAATTTAATATATATATATTGTATATAAATTGTATATATAAAGTGAATAATATAATTATCAATATAATTACATTGTTATAATTTGTTATAATTTGTTATAATTTGTTATAATTTGTTATAATTTGTTATAATTTGTTATAATTTGTTATAATTTGTTATAATTTGTTATAATTTGTTATAATTTGTTATAATTTGTTATAATTTGTTATAATTTGTTATAATTTGTTATAATTTGTTATAATTTTGTTGCTTCGTTTCATATGTCATTTGATATGCTTTCGTTATGTTGTAAACCAACACTTTTGACTACAATTTTGTTGTTATACTGTATATACACTACTAGTCTATGACATGTCAATAACGACCAATTTTCCAAACTCTGGAAACCAAAACTATAAAAATATATATAACATATAGATATATAGATTTGTTTTATATATAATATATACTAAATATATTTATACATATAGTTTATTATCTATAAATAGATATTACAAGAAACTGGATTATGTGAAGCCATAATAAATGTATCCAAATGTCTTGACAGACACTTTCAAACGATACAATTGTATTGCCATTGATTTTTAAAAGATAAATACTTAAATCGATACAAAATTATAGTGAATAAATAATGTGAATATTTAATACACAACTTGATGTGATATTTGATTCAATTTTTTATATTATATAATTCAAATATATAGTAAATACAACAAATAGTAAGAATCTTATATTACAAAATTAATCTAAAATCTAATATTTCATTTGTGTTAAATCAATACGATTATACCGTTAAATACTATAGTTAAAATATTTAATTAAATCTAAATATTTTTTATATTTATATATCTTTTAATTAATCATAAGAATTTTGCTTTTAGTTATCAATGCAATTTAATTTTATTTGCATTAAATATTTATTATATAATATATAAATATATTATATTAAAAATTATATTAATAAAGTATTACAATAAAAGTACTATTATTTTTTTATTTTATCTTAAAATACTGTTTTTTCATATTATTTTTTTTAATTTCAGAAAGTGTCGTAGCTTTGAAAAATAAAAATTTAATACAACTAAATAGATAATTTAATGTCTACATTATATTACCATATTAAAATAAATAGGGATCTAATCTAAAAATAATAAAAACAATTAAAATTAAATAATTGATATACAAATATTATGTAATCTTATAAATATAGTCATTTTCGATTGATATTGAAATTTCAAAAATTTCTTTTATATTATACATTGTATTACAAGTACAGTACAACTAATACTATTTATAAATATACTATAAATAATTAAAAATTAATAAATTACTTATAAAAACATCATCATTAGCCAAATTGCAATTTTCATTGCATAATCAAATACTATAGATTGAATTATTGATGCATATATTAGGATACATAAATTGAGAGAGAGAGAGAGAGAGAAGAAAGAAAGAAAGAGAGGAATAAAATGATTAATATTTAATTGAAAATATAATAAATTGTAAACTATATGAAACATTGTAGCGAATGGTAGACTCGCGTGTCCTCCAACTCGCGCCGTCCGTTGAACATCAGGTCTCAGCAATGCTTAGTATTTTGCGGCGCTATTCGTGGCACGTCTTCTCTATAGTGACCACTGATATCGGCGGATACGACCACTTCATCCAAGCAGTCAGAGATCAAGTTCTCTTAATCGATGACTTTCGGTATGTCATGTGTTTGTTATTTGATGTCTTATAATAAGTTAAATGCATTACAACTATTTTATAATAATGATCTTTAATTATTTATCAATTAATAAATTAATTATTTCATTAGTTTTTTTTGTCAACTCTTAATAAATATATAATAATTTTGTATTTTATATTTTATCAAATATTTTAATAAATAATATTATTAAATTACTATAAAAAATCATAAGATTAATAAAGTTTAATTTACAATTTTTTATTTTAAATACAAGAATTTTGTTAAAAGTTTGAATGTAAGCTTAAGTACAGTAATTTTTATAAATTTTTTAATAATATACCAATAATATACATCTTATACATTGTATTATTATTATTAAATTATTATTATAGTATATTGAAAACATTTAAAACTATTTATATTAAATGACTGGAGACTTACTATTAGATATTTTAAATATATTGAAATATAAAGTATAAATTATATTGTATTAATAGATGAAAATTTATTTGAATTGCTAAGTCAAACATTTGTCATTAGTGTTATTTAATACATTTTATTATTATGGTATATAAATAAAAATTTTATGACTTAGATTTTCAAATACTGTATATCATAAATGTTTATTTATTTATATCTAAATAAGTTTTATTTATTTAAAAACATTGTAATCACTTAATATAACATACATACTAATAATAAAATTATATTTAACTGTAAATAACATTATTTAATTAAACAGTACTTATTATTATATCTTATTTTAATGATTACAATTTACAATAATACTGTATGTACAGCAGTAATTAATAAAAAAAATTAACTATTTTAAATACAATGTTTATTTTAATAAATTTATCGATTTATTGTTTTTTAATGTTTTTAATAAATAAAATTTTATGCATTCAAAAGTCATTGAATAAATGTGTGAATAAAATATTAGAAAATTGAATATAAAGTCTAAAAAAGAGAGAAAAAATTAGAACCGAAAGCAAATCAATTTCCATTAGTTTTGTTGCTCTAAATAGTATACAAAGATTTTTCTATTTTTATGCTTAAATACGACAACTTTTTGGTTGCTTTTCAATACATGACTTTGAAAGATGACTTAAAAAAGCATTTGTTAACGTTGAGGCAAAATAACATGTTTTACAATTTTTTACTTTATATTTTTCACAGTCTTAATTTTAAAAATAGTTTTTTTCTTGTGAAATAATAATAATAATAATAATAATAGAAAAATTAATCATAAAAACATGCAAATGTAATACTTAATAGTATACTGTTAGRGCTAATATTGTTTAAAATTTTTGTTAAATGATAAGACACACAATAATTGTGTAAATTTAAAGTTACTTATATTGAATTCATTAGAGAAATCTCTATCTGACAAACAACTCGTTAAAAATATAACGCATATTATTCATGTATAATATTATTATATTTTAATGCATCGATTTATTTAAGGGACTAAAATGACTATAAAATCGTGTCTAATATACAGTATATATACTGTTGTTTGCATTTGGCATGAATTGAATTCTTAAAGAATATAACATTAATTTAGAAAAATTATGACTAAAGATATTGCTTAAGATTTATTATTTATTATTATATAATTTATTATATCAATCATCAAATACTATTGAAACAATAAATTGCTTATATTTGATTGTTAATAAATAAGATTATATACAGTATATAATTTGCATTAAATTTTATAACAAAATATTTTATGCATTGAATAAATAAAACAAATTTAATGTTCAACAATATAATAATTATTACAGTCTTGTTATGGTTACATGTATTATTATTAGACTGATCACACAATTTCTTAGTAAACCTGTATAATAGTATATAATATATGAATTTCATCTGTATTTTCTTATATATTAAATATTATATTCCTGTATTTAAATAACTGTATATATTCGTATATATTTATAATATAAATTAAGAATAATTTAATTTAGATATTATAATTACACAAAAAAGTTAAAATTTAGTTTTTTATTTTGAACATGAACTCCATAAAATTGTAAATCTTTTTATAAAAATTAAAAAAAATTATTTGTTATATATATATATATTTAAAATACAAGCAATTTTTACTAACAAAATGTAATTCATAGTTATTTTATACTTTTATTAATCAATTAGTTTCACATATTTTATATTGTATATTACATTGTATCAGACCCTACATTCCTGTACAATACAGGCGGCAACTGTATGGGTGGTCAGTCTATGTATTCTACATATTCTACATTATATGGTTCACTATATTAGATGTATTGTTTATACGGTATATTGTATGTATGGAAAAAATATTAATACTTGAAGTGATTAAACACAAAAACCACTTATTTTATATATTTATTACATAATAGTAGCGTAATATTAAAATTATATTAAGTTATAATTATTAGATTTACAATATTTATAAGAAATTAAATAATATTATGAATTAGATTTCTAAAATTATTAAAAATAAAAAAATATTTTGCTATTATTATTTATAACAATTCTAAAATTTATTTAAAATTGTATAATATTTGTTTATGAAATAACTAACTAATTTATTATTACTAATATCACAATGAAAGTATAATTTCAGATGAGAAATTAAAAAAATTATTTTAATAAACACAACTGATTAGATGAGTTACAATTATTATAAATTAAAATTTGTTTTATTGTATTTTTTGAATTAAATTTTTTTAATTATAAAAGATAATAATTACATAATTTTTAAATATTGGTTTTGAATCACTTTATAACATGGGTGATCAAAATGGTTAAATAATAATCTAAAAATAATGCAAAATCATTAAATTATAAATTATGAAATAATTGTTTTGCAATATTTTATAAAAATTATATATGCAATTTGGATATTATTATAAAATTATAACAATTTGATAAATTATATAATTTAATACAATTTTAATGGATTTCTTCTCGTATAAACTATTTTTACTTAATTTAATGGCTTATTATTAATTAAAAATATTTTAGAATTAATTTTAAATATTTAACAATATGATTATATTATATTATTTAATATTAGTTATTATTTATACATTTTTTACTAATTACAAAATCTTATAATTTAAAAATAATACTAATTATTGTTTAAAAATTCTGATTTATTAAAATATATAATTTTATTAATAATTATTACAATCACTATTTTTTTAAAATCATTACAGTATTATATTAATTATACACATTTTATTTGCATAAAGCAAATTAAAAAATAAAAATAAAGCATTATTTTAGATATAATATGTTTGATATAAAATTTAAAAGAGTTTTCTAATAATTTTATTGTATTTCTATTGTTTAGGTTTAATATTCTCGATATTTATTTGATTAAGAAAAACGACAGAAATGAGATCAGGGATGAACTCCAAGCACTGGCAGTAAGTGAGGCTCGGGTTATACTATTGTATTCAACTAAAGAAGAGGCACAGGAAATATTGGCCGCCGCGGAGTATCTGAAAATGACGGGAAAGAACTACATGTGGATCGTCACACAAAGTGTCTTAGGAGGCGGTGCTGACTACGCACCCGGAGAATTCCCACCGGGAATGTTGGGTTTGATATGTTTACTAATAATATATTTAATATATATATATAATATAAGATACAATAAGATTAGCAACTGTTTAACTAACAAACAAATAAAATTTAAAATTAACAGTTTTGAAACATTTTTATTATTATCAGTAGTAACAGTATATTAATTAAATTAAATGTGATATTTGATATTTATAATTAAAAATCTGAAAAAATTATAAAATTAATTTTGTTAAAAACGCTTACATTAAACGTTGTCTTATATACTATTTACTTATATTGTTTATTTGATAATAAAAAAATTTGATCAATGGATCAGTTAAATAAAGACGTTATGCGAATAATAATTTGGAAAAATATTGATATTTAAATATAAATGAAAAAGTTAATTAAAATAACAGACAATTCATATATTGTAATCAACAAAAACCTATTCATACATTTTTTGCATATTTTAAATATATATTGAAAGTCATAGATAAAAATTTATTGATATATATATCACAAATAATAGCAATGGTTAAATTAAAAATTAAAAGACTTGTGTCAAAACAACATTACAATACTTGTTTTCCTGAATCTCATGAGAGATTATATGTCTATTATGAGAATAGCTGTAAATAATATGATAAATATGAATTTATACTGCATATAAAATCTATAATTTTTATTTAGTTTAGTTTAGTGTGTGTGTCATAATTTATTAAATTATTTATTTAATTTTATTTTAAAAAATTGTACAGATTTTTAATTGTATTCCATTATATAAAATAAAAATATTAGAGTTTTAACAAAATATTGTTAATATGTATTGTATTGTATTTAGGCGTTCATTTCAATACAACACACCAGCGATTGTTGGATGAAATAGAGAGAGCCGTTACTATCTTTGGTCACGGATTAGAGCTGTTTGTAAACGACGCTAAAAATCTTAATTTAAGTCTTTCACCAAATTTGTCGTGCAATGGATCAGCTGAGACACGTTGGACACGAGGAGACATATTTTTCAAGTATTTATATTTATTAATTAAACGTTCATTAATTCATTAATATTATTATTATTGCCAATATAAATATAAACTTGTATTTATTGTATTTTACTTTAAATTAATATGACATAAATACAGTATATTTAGTAAATTAAATATTAACAAAGTAGTTTATTATAATTTATTTTATAACAATATTATTTAATCACTAGTCAAATCTAAAAAAAATTAATTGCTAAAATCATAGATTTTTATTATGATTGTTGATAATCTAATTTATTATAGTTTTTAATATATATATTTGAATTATTTTTATTTATAAATTATTCATAAGATAGCAAAAGTCTTAATAGCATTAGATAAATCTAAATTTAAAATTCAAATTCTTTATCAATAATATAATATATCAAATATTTTATCATAAAATACAGTCAATCTATATTTGAGTCAAAATTTGGTTATCTGTTCACTATTAAGTATAAAACTGATGTAAAATAAATTTAATGATTTATATATTTATTTCTCTAATTATAAAATATTATGTACTTTAAGCACATTTTAAGTAATTTTTATTATTAATTTATTCTATATAAAAGGTCAATTTTAAATATATTTATTCAATGTAAATAACACTTAATTTAATGATTTTAAAATTATAAAAATATTTAAATACTCATTAAAATTTAATTAATTAAAATTAATATATTAATTATATCCAAAACAGTTACCTACGAAACATTAGCCTAAAAACAAAGTACGGCAGACCTAACCTCGAGTTTAATGCCGACGGAACCCTTAAATATGTTGAGTTAGATGTCATGAATCTTAATAACATAGGGATGTGGGATAAGGTATGACCTTTTAAATCAATTAATATTTTACATGAAATGCTTAAAAAATTAATAATTTTATAGATTGGCACATGGACTGATCAGGGAATTGAAATTAAAGGTATCACATATTATGAAATTATTTAATAAATCTATATTAAGTAATATTATATAATATAAAATCAAAATTTGTTTATAAAATATTGTAATTTAATTTGGTATTAATCCAGCAATTAATATATTTTGATTAATTTAATTATCAAATTTAATTTTGGACAACATTTTAATAATAATAATAATATGGAATGTATTAGAATTTGTTAATCTTGTGTTTTTAGATTAAATTTTAAAATTGACAATTAAGCTAATTAATCATGCACATTTTGAAATTCATGGATAAACTATTGTATTAGTGATAATAGATTTGAAACATTGCTAATTAAAACTTTTAACTATTAAAAACACTTATTTATATGTAGGGTTTGTCTACTTTATTAAAAAAGTAAAGTTTTCAAACAAAATTCCTCTAATATTTTAGTTCTCTTTAACAATTAAAGTGGAAAATAATATTAGTTAACTATATTCCTAATAAAACCAATTAAAACAAAAAATGTTAAATAATGTATATTGATTTGTATATTTGATTGACAATTCATGTTAATTTCATTATATATTGTATTCATATATAGAAACAATGAGATGCAGTATAATGTGAGTAATATTCCTGACAACTTCAACAATATTATTGTGGAAAAAATTATGTTATTTCTAATTATTAGCATTATTTTATTTGAAAAAAAACTTATGGATTAATTATATTAAATTAAAAGATTATTATTTAGATAATTTGAATATATATATATATATATATATATATATATATATATATAACAAATAACTATAGGTACATACTTTAAATTACTATATAATGTTGTTTATAATTATAATTGTTAAGTTAAACAAAGAATCTATATAATAAATGTGTAATAGAAAATAAATTTTATGTATCTTTCAATTAAAATAATATATTATAGTATATTTTTGATTATAATAATTTGGATTAAAATAAATGTTTTTTTAACTAATGCAATAATAATATAGTAATTTTGAAGATTGTATGTTATAAGTTATAACTTATAACGTTATATTGAAACAAATATATCATACAGTAGTAAATTTATAGCATTTATCAATGATAGTTATACTTATAATTCTTATTTCTAGTCTTAATAGGCTTAAAATGTTAGAGTGGATAATACAGTACTAAAATTTATTTTTAAAACTTATTGAAAATAAGTAATCGTTTAAAGTTTATTATATTGTATTATATTATATTTATTTAATCAGAATTAAACTTTAAGATAAACCTTACAATAAATATATGTTATATTTTTAATTTGATTTGTTTAAAATTAATTTTTTTTTATAAAAGTTTGCTTTAAAAATAATAATAAATCAAGTTAACTATTAATAAAATAATAATACCATGATCAAATTTATCGATTAAATATTGTTTCAGCAAAAAACGACATAACTATTCATAAATATTAATACCAAAAATTTCTTGTACAGTAATTACATCAAAAATCAAATACTGTTTTTATGACTACATTAGACTATACAGCAAACTATATCTCACAGTAGTTGTCACTAAGTTTTCATAACATTATTATAGTATAGAAAAAGATTAAATACTTTATATTTGCTGTGATTATGACCTAAAGTTATACTAAAATTGATTTTTTAATTTTTACTACAGTGTCAGCTATTTTTATAATACTATATCTCTTATATTATTAAGAATAGATTAAATAGAATAATGAAGTGACCTAGATCATTGAGATAATCGCAAGAAAATAGTGATTTAATTAAATTTAATTAAGCTCATTTATGATTATAACAATTTATCAAGTGTTAAATTATTTATTTTTTTAGTTGTTTAAAAATATTGATTTTTACTTATAAAACAATATTTGTACTATTTTTTATCAAAATTTAAGAGATTTCTTTTATTTAAAAATAGATTTTATAATAAATTTATTTTGAAAATCATAGGCTCGCTGTTTTAAAAAATATTTTATGGTTTATTTCTTATTTTGACTTATCTGATAATATTTTTATTATTGTGTGAATATTTTATGAGTTTACGTGAAAGCATACTTACTTAAACAAATTGAGTATATTAAATATAGTACACTATAAACAATACAAAATATATTTATATTATAATAAATACATTTACACGTTATACCGTTATTATAGTATTATAATGTGTAAATACTATATATTTTTAATAAATTTTAATAAAAATTTTACTTTTTAATATACTATAAAATTATTGTAGAAAATAACATTTATACTTATTTTTTAATATCATTGATGGCATTCATATACATATTGTATGGAGTTTTAAAATAATTGAAACAAATTTTCGTTAATTTGATTAAATTAATAGAAAAAACATGAGTTTGTAGTGATTGAGTAAATAAGTATTTAATATCTTTAGGAAATATGTCTTAACTAACCTAACCTGTAAACTATTGAATTATGTATAACATAGTTGTGTGAGAAATAAGCATTCAATGTATTGTTTTAAATAATTGATATGAAATGTTAATAAATAATGAGAATGTGTTGCTTTATATTAGACATCACATGGCCGGGCAACTCACCGGTGGCACCGATGGGAGTACCAGAAAAGGTGAACCTTTTAATACAATAATAAAATATTTACAGATATCTAAGTAATTGGTTTGAAATATTTAATACATATTTCAATTAAGAATATTCTGTTATTCTGAGATTTGTTGTTTTTATACTAATATATAAATTATATAATAATAATAAATATGTGTTTTGTTTAAAAAACAGTTTAGTTTGAAGGTGTCGTTTCTTCAGGAGCCGCCATTTATAAACTTAGTTCCGCCCAATAACGAGACCGGAGAGTGTGCGGTCAGTCGTGCCGTTCGGTGCAAAATAACTGAACCGTACGTAATTGGGTATGTGTTGAGACAATTATATAATTTTCAATAATAATAATAATAATAAAGTGCTTAAAGACAACACATGTGTTAAATAGTGATAACAAGAGCTCGACCGGCACTCGTATCCGGTATGGCTGTTGCGCCGGATTTTGCATCGATTTATTACAGAAATTTGCCGATGACTTGAAATTTTCATATGAATTGAATCGCGTTGAAGACGGCAATTGGGGGGTTCTTATTGTAAATGAAAACTCATTTTTTCATTGAATTACTTATTGATTGATTGATTGATTGATTGATTGATTGATTGATTGATTGATTATTATTATTATATGAACAGAACGGCACTTGGAATGGACTGATAGCCGATCTATTGAATCATAGGTCAGATATGGTGGTGACGTCCATCAAAATCAATTCAGACAGACAGGCATTTGTTGACTTTACGGTTCCCTTTCTGGAGACGGGTATAGCTATAGTAGTGGCCAAACGAACCGGAATCATATCTCCGAAAGCCTTTCTCGGTTTGCTTACTCTAACAACACTTTAAATAGCTATACATTTAAGTACTAACACTAGTCTTGTATTATTCATTTACGGCTAATTTGTTTGTATAGTCAGTCAGTCCTCATGTATTGTACTGTACTTTAACTACTATTTTTAGTGTAGAAGTGATGGCAAATTGAAATCCGTCCCTATTGTTAGTCAAACTGCGCTTAAATTGCTTCTCTATGTGATTATACGTTATATACCGTATATACTATATATAAATATATGTATTCAATATATTGTATAGCAGTGCTATTATTTTGAAGCTATTGTTACAATTGTTGTTTAGCTATAAAAAGGGAAATACATTTGTCTTATCGCTAAAATTGCCGATACTTTTATTTAATAGTATTTGTGTTACTCAAACACAAACTCACTTAAACCATAAAAATTTTAATTACATTTAATTTATTTTTTATTCATTCATAAAATTTTAAAGTACAAAATAAAATGCATTTAATGTTCAATTTTCTAATAAATTCTTATTTGTATTATATGTGATAATTGAATACTTAAAATAGTATTTTTGATTATTTTCATTATTTAACATAGAATTCAATGTATTTAATAAATAAAAAGTCACATTTTGTGGATAAAATTCGCTCAATTTATAATTAAAATTAATATAAATGCTCAGTTTGTAAGTCTAAACAATATATTAAATGTAAATTAATCATTTCTCTTAAAATGATATTTTTAAAATGCTTTTTCTAAAACGTTATTACATTAAATTAAGTGACCATTGAAACAATGTTAGTAACAATTTTTAAAAATTTTATAAAAGTTATTAAATAATAAAAAAGATATTAAGTACAATAATATAAAACTGTATATAATTTATGAAATATATAATATAATTAGTTTTTATTGTTTAGTAACCAATGGACAGTAAAAATGTGTAATTTAGTTCATATTTATATAATATGTTGTGTAATAATCAAAATGTATAATGAATTTTTTAAATGAATTCAATTTAATATAGCTATAGCTATATTGGGTTTATATTACAGTAATTTATTAATTTTATATATTATTTAATGTTTTACGAGTCAATTGCCTCGAATGCTTTGTTTACAACATTTTTGTGACAAATGTTTGTAATACAAAATAATTTTATTTTTTTAATACAATTAATAAACATGAAGTTTATTAAGTTTATATAACTGAAGTTTACGTTATAATATTATCTTTTATATAATATTGATATAATAATTTGTCGTTAGACAGCGAGTATTGCATATAATGTAAAAACTATTGTAAACTTTTCATATACTGTATTATTAATATATAATTATATTATAAGTATTTATATTTACATTATATAAATACTATTTATTTAGGTTTTACTACAAGCATTCAAATAAATTGATTATAGTAAATAATATTATATAAAAATATAAATAAATATAAGTAATAAATAAAAAGTATATATTATATATTGTAATACAGGTAAATTATTTACCATTTGAAACATATAATGTATAATATATGCTCTACTAAATGTATATTCCATGTTATTAACTATACGTACATTATATACTCAATATTATATATACTGTATAATAGAAATACAAAATATATTTTTTTAAATTTAAGAAATTTTAATTATATAGTTTACAATAATTGTAAACAAAAATTATTTAAAATAAACTTTATTTTTGAAACACAGAACCGTTTGATACGATTTCATGGATAATGATTTTACTGATCAGTATTCAAGTGGCAGCTTTTGCTATATTTCTGTTTGAATGGTTGAGTCCATCCGGTTATGACATGACTCTCGTCCCTCCCAGAGGTATATGTTTTTAATTAAAAAGTTTAAGATATTATCAAAATATTAATGAATCTTATTTTAATTTTTACCTATTATTTAGACCATAAATTTTCATTATTCCGAACCTATTGGTTGGTTTGGGCTATTCTTTTTGGAGCCGCTGTTCACGTGGATATACCTAAAGGATATACAGCCAGGTTTACACACTATTACACTATATTTTATACCTAAATTAGTTTCTAAAGTAAAATATTTTGTAACAGACATTTAATTTAATTTACAAAATTTAATTGTTTAAAAACATTATTTTTTTATTTGAGTAAAGTATACCAAGAATATGCCATTTGAATAACAATATAATAAATTATAATTAATAATTTTGGTGTTATTGCAAGTCTGTGAAAATATATTTTTAAATAAATTTATTTTACGTAAATTATATGTTTTATATAAATAATAACTTTATTCATTATAACGCGTTAATGAATACATAAAATTAAAATTTATTTACAAATTCTTTATATTTTTGTAAACCTAAATTTCACATATAAAAAATCATTTAAATTTATTAACTTATTTAGAATTTAATATAAATATMTATAAATATTTAGAAAAAATCATTATAATCTAATGTATTATTTATTAAAAATTTTAATCCACTAATTTTGTTGTTGTTATAAATATATAATTATAAGTTAATAAAATCTTATTTACAAGAAAATATCAAATTAGAACTAATATATAATTTAATTGATAAACATATAGATTTTATTAAAAGTAAAACTATTGTTCTAAATGGTTAAAATATTTCATCATTTAATTTTTAATGTTACAAAATATTATTAAAATGCCATAATTTTAGAAAATTTATAGTTTTTTGAGATATACCTATTGTGTGATTATGAATGGAATTAATTATTTCAATATATATGTCCCAAAAAATTTCAAAAAATAWTTTTTTTATTTATTTATATTCTATATTATATAAAAGTTATTAACTAAGAAACTAGTTTTTTTTGATTTTTATGATATATTACTTATTATAAACTTTGCATTAAGCAATTTTATATACCCATATGCCTTATAATAATATACAGTATTTTAATAATTGAATAGACTATAATTTAGACATAAAAATAAATAAAAAATTGTTTGTTCAATTTAAGAAAAATAGTATTATGTATTATATAAATTTTTAGATAACTCGCCCACTCATGTCATGTATTTAACATATAAAATCTTATTTTTTATTTATAAAATACATTAAATTAACTAAAATAAAAAATAATAATTTTTACATAATATTTTAAACTATTGTATTTGATTTAAAATGTAATAATTTATTAATATATAATAAATTATCTAATAGTAAATTTTAATAATTTAATATTAGATTTATGGCTAACACATGGGCTACATTTGCAGTCGTGTTTTTAGCCATATATACGGCTAATTTGGCTGCTTTTATGATTACACGCGAAGAGTATCACGATTTTTCGGGTCTCGAAGACCGCAAACTACAGAACCCCCGACTCCATGATCCGCCCCTTAAGTTCGGTACACTTCCTTACGGTAATACAGAAGCTGTGCTCAAACGAAACAAACCCCGAATGCATGCATATATGGCTCCCTTTAATAAGTCGACTCCAATTGAAGGCGTGAATGCCGTCAAAAAAGGGTATTTTATACAATTTAGTCAAATGTTTTTGTTTTTAGTTTAAATTTAATTGTTTTTCCTTTTAATTCAGTGAATTGGATGCCTGGATCTATGATGCCGTAGTATTGGATCATTTGGTTGGGTTTGTATTTTTTCATTATATTTTTAGCATTTATTTGTATACAGATTTTTAATCATTACTAATAAATTACATAAAATATTGTTTCTCTTTGATAAAAATGATTATTATTTCGATAATTAATTAATTGTATAGAGAGGACAGTGAGTGTGGACTGTTGACAGTTGGCAGTTGGTATGCTATGACAGGGTATGGCTTTGCAATGCCTAAAAACTCAAAATATTTGGAAAAATTCAATAAAAAGATGATTGAATACAGAGAATCGGGTTTGTTATCAAACATTTTATTTATTAATTTTTTCTAAATAAATAATTTATATAGGTTTTATTTTTTATCTTTAATATAATAGTATGTTTAATTAAAATTTTATGTCATTACAGTGTTAAATTAGATTTTATTTTTTAATTCAATTATATTATATATAGACAAAATTTTACAATRTATTTTATTATATACATTTTACATTATAGTTATGTTTTTAATACAATCTTTATATACTTATAAGTTTAAATTAAAATACAAAATATAAACAATTATTGCTTGATTTGCTTTTAATGTACTATAAATTAAATTAAATTTTATTTTCTATTCTATAGTTTAAAAGAAAATGAAGTGTTTTAGAGTTAATCTATATTTTTAGTCAAATATCGATTGTTTGCTTTATTTAAAAAAAAACTGAAATAAGAAAATGAAAAATATTCATTACATTTATCCGATTCATTAATTTTATTTTGATTACATTTATTTTTTATATACAATATACACATAAACTTTTATATACTGTATTTATATAGCATTAAGAAGTATTACATAACAAAATTTATTTATAGATATATGTCARGTACTGTATGTATTGTACATGTATTTTAACAATAAATACAGTAGAAGTTATGATAGCAAATTTTGTGTAGCCTATAATAAATGAGTTAAACATATATCAAACATACAAAAAAATAATAATAAATATTTGAAAAGTAGCAAAATATATAACATATATTTGCATTCAATTTATTTTTTTAGGTGACTTAGAGAGGCTCAGGAGGTTCTGGTTTCAGGGCGCCTGTAAATCACAGAAAAATAAACGAAATATAAGTAAACCATTGGATGTCAATCAATTCATGAGTGCTTTCCTATTACTCGGTTGCGGAATATTATTGACAGTAGTTTTATTAGCATTAGAGCACTTGTACTTTAGGTATTGCCGACAGCATCTGGCAAAAACTGATAGGGATGGCTGCTTTACATTAGTCAGCTTGGTAAATTCAATTTTATTACATTTTTTGTTATACTGTATATCATTTATAGTATATAAATTATATATATATATATATATTATATCTATTTTATATGTCCCTAATGCTAGAGTATGGCCCGATCGTTGAGATTTCATCACAATGACCGCAGATATCTATACAACCACTGCAATGATCCCATGTGTCAAATAAAACGACGACAAACTCTACAAGAAGTAGATCTAACAAAATCTAAATTAAGACAACTTCAAAGTGATAATACATTTAAAGAATTTGATCCTAAATTTAGACAATTTTCTCGCACTAATAATACTCCCAATGAGACAATTATACGAACCAGAGATATGACCAAAAGTATTACGACAACCAATGATCCGACGGCTATAATGACACACAAAATAGCAAATCCCGGCGCCGTCTCTGAGTTTGARACAGTGCTCTGATTGATATAACATTTCTTATTATTATACGATTATTAATTAATTATTAACACTAACATTATATACTGTATTAGAGAAAACATAACATCATTGTAATAATATTAAGGAAATACCGAACCATCAAAGTGTTAATATTAGTGAATCTCATCAAACAATTTCTATTATACAGTATTTTCAGTTATTTAATTGTCTACATTTCTCGCTTATAATTGCTTATCATTCATAACTTATTATTGTTAAATACAGTATCAAATGTTTTTTATTTTATTTTTTTTTTAAATAAAAATGCCAAATATTATCTCTCATAATTATAAATAATGTTATTTTAAATGATGCAACCATGTAATCAAATGTTTGCCAAAATTATTGCTCATTTAGTTATTTAAAATGACATTAAAGCAAATCAACGAAACAATAGATAACTATAATAAAAACTTATGTGCTTTATATACTGAATTAATAAAAACCTAGTCTTATACTGTTTAATAAATTTATTTTTAGCTGTCATTGATTTACTTATTATAAAATATAGATAAAAAAGTATTTAATTTTTAGTCAATGCTTATTTTATTTTAATCTCAAAACATTAATGAATTTTATGTAATGTATATTTATAAGCAAAGTTTTCATTTAAACATAAGTATTAACCTAAATCATTTAATATACAAATTTTTAAATTTAAAATTTAAGTGTATTTATATTTATCAATAAAAAACAATATCAGAATATATAACTAAAAATATTACTTATGTGTATAAATGTACAAATTTTTAGATGTATTGTATAATAAAAGTTATAGTTTTAATATAAAAACCATTTTAAACTAAATAAATATATAATAATATAAATATAACTACAGTAAGTTTACAAATACAATGTAGTTTTCAAATTAATAAATAAATAAATATGTATAATATATACAGTATATATATATATATATATATATATATATAGATTAAATGTATATATAGATTAAATTGTTTAAATGCCAAATGATTACATTAAACTGAAAACAATATTAAGTTAGCATCAAATTGTATTTAATTTTTTTATTATAAGTTATGTTTAAATAATATAATTAAATAAAATAAGTTTTTTATAGATATTAATTTATGTATTTTTATTTATTTATTTATTTAAGTAATTATATAAAATAACAGAATATTCTTTACTTGAATGTCAATTAACATAACATTTGATAGATTCAGTAGAAATACAATACAATTATTGTATAGTTTGTCGTCATTTATGTTTACAATCTATTAATATAAGGAAATGAATGCAATATTTACAGTAATATTAATATTAATATTAATATCTATAGTAATAGTAATAATACTTTACTTTAATTTAATAGTAAATAAACAGAAAAAATGCGTTAATTTTGTTGAATTTAGTGGCAATTGTTGTGTGAGTTATAGTGTTATTAAAAACATTGTTTTCAATCGATATGAATATTAATGATATTTATTAATAATATATAATATTAACAATTGATTGCAATTAATGGTCAAAATTGAATGCATTTGTAATCAATGAACGCCAGAAGCAATACGTTTGAGTTTGTAAGCAAAGAGTTGATCCATTGATCCATTAAATGATTGATTGATACATATGTTTGTCTTTGAAATTAAATGACAGAACTGTTTGGGCTCTGAAGTCAATGAAATAGTTTCGGCGATCTTTCACTCGATTGTCTTCTATAGATGTTATGGCAAAGTATGACCAATTGATATGACCATTGAATTGATCCAATTGATTGTCTGTTTATAATTTATAGTTTCAATACAAACACGAAGACTCGTATTCAATCGGAACTCTTGGTTACGAAGAGATTGACTGTGATTTCATAGATTTTACTTATGTATGTCTTAATTATCTATAAAAAGGTTTCAAATATAATGATTGTCTTTATTAGATCCGAATATCTTCACCACAACTCATTCAGAATATTAATAAAGCCATCAAAGAGTTTGTCGATGAGTTAAGACAAGACAATAGTCAGACTAACGGTGCGATCACTTTAAAGTTTTTCTCCCGAAGACGTGGTCGCTGGCCATTCACTGACGCACCACTTGTTTGGGAGATTTGGACCGTTAAAGTCAACTGTGATAGGGATAGGGATAGAGATAAGGGTTTGTTTATAATATTTGTTTTTAACTAATCATTTGTTTATCATATTTGTTATCATATTTGTCGGTTGTATTTATTTTTAGATTCAAAAGAGTGTCAAAGAGATCGCATTGAAGACCTATTACTTGAAAAATTGATATCAATTATACAGATAATGAATAGCAGTAAATCATATTTACCGCAAATGCCTAATCAACAAAACTCTGACACTATTTTTGAGACTAATTATAGCGATGTTCAGCCATACATATTTCAAGTAAACAATTTTAATTACAATACAATATACTGTACTATAATTTTTACGGTAAATTATGTAATTGTTATAAATTATAACTATAATAGATATCGCATACAATGGGCGCAGCAGCTAATCCTCAATTAATGGCAACTCAAGGAACTGATGAAAATGTTATTAAGAAATTTATCAAAGAAATTATTAATTAGGATTAAAAAATTAATTTTAATTAAGATTTTATAATGAAATAAACAACAAAAAAGTTTTAATATAATGAAATAAAAATTAAATGTTTATATTTATTGCATATTTCTAATTGTTTATATTCTATACAATACATTGGTTTGTTATAATACAATGTTTTAATTACGGTAAGAATTCTCCAATTTTTTGCAAAATTTCTTAACAAAAACACTACTTTTGCTTAATTTTCAAAACAAGTTATCAAAAACACAAAACTGAGAGAAAGTATACTTTAAATACTTAAGAAAAATTGAATTACAGATTAATATAAAACGTATGAATTACACAAGGGTTGCGTATCTATGTATTTAATATTTTTTGTTTAAATATAAAAACAATTAATCTTTTAATGGTTTATTACATATATTTACTCTAAATAATGCAATAATTATGTAATTAATTATTTGTTCAGTATTTAATTAGTTTTTATTCATGTATTTTGTAAATATAAGCTATTTATTTATTTTAAAATTCACAAGTATTTATTTTTTAGTTTAATAACTTAAAACCTAACCCAAACCTAAAAATCTCGATCTCAGGGGGTAAGATGGCCTTACCCCTACCTACCCTCCCCCTTACGCATCCCTGGCATTACATATATGTTGTATTCATTAAATTAATTCTAATTGTATTTTATGTCAGTATAAATATTAGTATCTAATTGATTAGTAAATAATAATAATTATACAAATAATTCTAAACTATATCTTAAACAAAACGATTTTATACTTTACTTTCAGAGAAACTTATAGAGAATATTAAGCAAAACAAAGTCAGTGTTAATAATTTGATATTTTGCAATAATACTGAAGCAATTTCTCAATAAATTATAAAATTAAAATAATATAAGCATTTGTGACTATTTTATTGTCTTAAAAGTCAAAATTATAAAATTATTTTTTATTGCAATACAAATGTTATAATTTAATAATAATAATAATGATTATTTAGTTAAATTTACTAAACATTAATAATAATTTACATTAACATGAAGTAATAGATAGACTCATTTGCCAAGAATGGTGTCTTTAATGGCATCGACGAATTGCGACGGAACCCAATAAATCCAAATTCTTGATAGTTCTGTCGGACCGGTTTGGACACCCATTATATGGTATTCCGGATGTTCTTCAATGGGTTCGCTAACAATTGATCGAATGGAAGCCATTTGCAATTTGTCCGTTCTTTCTTTAGTACCGATCCAGAGCTGATCCAACTCCAATTTGAATGTCAGTCGCACCTTATTGTTAAATTTATTCACCATTCCATAGAGTGGTTCAGGAGGTAGTGGTGCCCTACCATTCCTCCAGGCAGGCATCACATCTTCTGGTTTACCCCTTTCGAGCACTTTTTTGTGTTGCTGTTAGAGATAGTCATTCAAATAAATCAATTTGATTACCAAAAACTTCATTTTCAATTACAATACCTTTTGTTTACAAAATGCTTCTTTAGTTGATGTCTGAGTCTTTTCTTCTTTAATGTCTTCTTTTGTTGTCGAGTTGACGGCCATAACATCATTAAGTGTAGACCCGATGAGCATAAGTTTGACTCCAGACTTGATGCCGCACTCCTTCAGAGTTGGTTCGTCTTTCACTGGGATTCCTATTCATATAATTCATTCGTCAAATAAGTCATCAAATAATTGTTAAAAATGTCAAACCTTTTAACAAAAGCTTTTGCATCGCCGGCGCCACTGATGTCAGAGTTTGTATCTTTTGTTTCAACTCAAGACCCGTTCTCTTCTCTCCCATAACTATATCGTAATTAGTTTTATTAAACACTAACTTAAAGTTAACCATCTCTTCACTGGTCGACTCATTTGACCCGTCAGTAACTAACGTCTTGAGATCACTCGTAGAAATACTTTCTAACGACTCGGCGCTCTTCATGTGGACGTCTTGTGGCGGTTCATCTGCTTTTGCTTCACTCTCTTCTTTCAACTTATTTTGATCACTCTTTTCATTAATTGTCACCAATTGGTCACCACTTCTGTCATCGGTTGTCGCATTTGTGGCCGATTCTGTCGTAGCGTTAGTTTCTGTTTGAGTGACACTTTGATTGGTCTTTGAATCGGCTATTTGTTAAACAATCGGTAAAAATGAATAAATAAGTCAATCAATCAATCAATTGATTCATTCAAATGTCTTCAAACTTACTTTTATCGTCTGTTGTCATCTCTTTGTTGACAAATAATTCAAGAAATGGTTAACTCTTTTAATGATATATTAATTGTTAAATACTATTAATAATTGAGAAATAAATTAATAAATAAATTCAATTCAATTCAAATGCAATTCAATTGCAATTCACTTAATCAACGACTCATTCAATGAAAGACAACTAACAGTCAAATCATTTAACAGTTTTTTGTGGACTAAAGACAAGCAATTGAACAACAATTTCAAATAATAACAACAATTAAGTCAAATGTTATTATTTTAATGACAACTATATTATTGTTTCATATGTTTTATTACCTAAAATGATGACAATTTAAGTGTCAATTGAGTCCAATTCAGTTAATTCAAAGCAATCAGTCTTTCAATTAATTCACAAAAACTTTGCCACAAATGAACTCAAAACAAGACTACAATTGACGTCATATTCAAAGTGAAAGCAAAACAAAACACAAAATATTATTATAAATAAAGTGATTCTCTGTTCACATAAAACGTGACTTTTATTGCATTCAATGAAAGCCCTAACAAGTGATCAAACATTTAAAAGACATTAAAGTCAATGATTGGACCAATGATTATGTGATTTGTGTGCGAGTGTTATGACTTGTGGTCACAAATATATCCATCAAATGATCGGTTGAATCATCTGTTGGTTGTCTTAGTCTTCATTCAATGTATTGATCCGTTGTTTGCATATCAGTGACAATCACCACAATATGAGTGATAATATTAGGGTTCGCCTCGAGTTCAGAGGATTTCAAGACAAAACACTTCATAACTCGTTGTTGTCGTTCAAGAAAAGTATGACAAAAGATGTCAAAAGTCTTCAATTGTTAATTGAGAAGAGGTTTCAAATGAAAAAAAGTTTTGCGTTATTCATCGATAACTTTGTATTGGAAACCACAGAACCCATTGATATTTTGAGAGATAATGATCTCATTGTGTTAGTTAACTAAACGTTATATTAATTACATTTGATTTACATAACGATATTATTTTTATCCTCAGAGTCGAGCCGAAGAAAGACATGTCAATGACTAATATAAAACCTAAACCAAAAATTGGACCCAAAAGTAAAGTTCAGAAATTAGATGAAAAAGTAGAGAATGTGTTACAAGATATCGAAGTAAAACTAAAACCAAAAATCGGACCGAAAAGTAAAGTTAAGAAATTAGATGAAAGTGAAGAACATGTGTTACCAGACATTCATGTAAAACAAAAACCCAAAATCGGACCAAAAAGTAAAGTTAAGAAATTAGATGAAACTGAAGAACATGTGTTAAAAGACATTGAGATAAAACCAAAACTGAAACCCAAAATCGGACCCAAAAGTAAAGTTAAGAAATTGGATGAAACTGAAGAACATGTGTTACAAGACATTGAGATAAAACCAAAACTGAAACCCAAAATCGGACCGAAAAGTAAAGTTCGGAGATTGGATGAAACTGAAGAACATGTGTTACCAGATGTCAAAGTGAAACGTGAAAGCAAAGAGTCACTCTCAACAACACCAAGAAGTGTCTCAAAGTATTCTCAAAATTTTGGTTTCAGTAAATCAAAAGATATGTCTAAAAGTGAGTTTAAACAAGACATTGATAATGAAGATAAAACACAATTGAAAGAAATAATAAAAGAAGAATCACCACAAATGGACAGCGATCTGATTGAAGTGGTATCCAATCGAGAGATTCCTTTGAGAAAAGCATTTAAAAGCGCCAGTTCTGCCATTAAAAGGAAACCACAAGTTATAAGCAAAACGCCTTCTGAGATGAGTTTAGATGAAATGAAATCCAAACGAAAACGACACGCAAAAGAATCGTATGAAGCGGTTGACATTTTTTCACCAATTATTATATTGGATAGAATTGAACTAAAAAATGAACAAAAATCAACTCAAATGAGTGCTGTCTATGATAGTGACGATTCCAGTGATATTCAAGAAGTCGGTCAGTATAACGATATAAACAAATTCTTTATATCACTCCATAAGCAGTATTCAGATTACCGATAGTTTAAATATCTATAATATTAATAGACTTATCCTATTATGTCTATTATCCTAACAAAACTATATTTATAAAAATGATTGATTTTTATCTTTTTATTTGTAAATCTAGTTATCAAAAAAGTCAACTCAATTGTTGACAAACCAACAGTTAAACGAAACGCACGAAAAAGTTTTCCCAAAATATCAAAAACTACTATAAATGGTAACAATGATAAACTAAATACAAGTGAAAGCAAGTCTAGTGATAATAATAATACAAACAAAGAAGAAACGAAAGAAGTGGAAAAAGAAACGACAATAGACTTTGAGAACAGTCAACCATTGGTATCGATTCCAGATGTCGGCGATATTATAGCATTTAAAATGGTTACTAAAACAAAGGGTGACAATGATATGTTGCAATCATCACATTTTATGATGGCTTCCGTATTCAATATTAATTGTGAAACACAAATGATTGACGTTATCCTCAATAAGAATCTCAACAGAAGTATTCATTTGATTCTTTAGTTTTAATTTTATTGAATGTATTATCTCTTTCAGACCATTCAAGTATAGATCCAGACGACCATATTCTCACATTGAAGTTGAATTGGACAACACTTTTAGAAGCAAAACTAATTCAAAAATCCAGTTCTCATATCAATTAATTTATATACAAGTATTTGTTTTTATTAATCGCCAATATATTTAATGTATAATTATCATCAAAATGTATAAAATATTTATTAAATACTAAAATTACTTTATATACGATAAATCACAAAAAGTTTAGTTTTTAAATTGAATTAATATATCCTATGTTAATATACAGTATTTGTTTGAATTCAATGAATTTTTAAATTTTAATAAAAGTTAGCATTTTATTCATAATAATTAAAATCATAAATATTTTTTGCTATATCAATAAATAAATTACAGCCCAACAAATTAAATATAATTTAAAAAGACTGTATAAAACAGTCAAAAAATAATTGTTAAAATTTTTTTATCATAAGTTTAAATTAAGACATTTGATATCACTTTGAAATAAAAATTTCAATCACTAAATAAAATATGTGATTAGTTAATAATATAAAATGTTGACTCACTTTTGATAATTCAAGTACTGTCATCAAACGTATGGGAACAACACATGCTATTTAAAAAATTAATGTTTGTTATGATTATTATATTGTATATATTCATAAATTTTATAATTACGGTAATCATAATTTTATAATTATTAAATTATGATTTGAAAAAATACATTATGTGTGTATATGTGTGTATGAGTTAATAGTAATAGAAGAATAAGTTTTATACAATTTTTATAATACAATATTTTTTTTAAGCAAAGGCCGGAACTTTACTGATCCAAAAGCTGTTGTTATGGTAAGCATTTAGTAATTAAGAAAATATTTGTTAGACAACTATCATTTACAACAATATAAATGTCTTTTTTTGTAAAAATATAAATAAAAAAACAATTCAATGAAATACCTGACAAGCATTCCGTTGGATCCGTTGGAAACAACGCGAGGATTAATATTAGAGTCATTCTTACAACAGTCTGTCTGACAACTGGCGTTCACTTTGTCCACATCTGACTCATGACATACGTATCCGTTATTATTTATATTTAAATATTTTGACTGAAAAGCAAAAAAACATTTCAATCAATCAAATCAATTAAAATTAATTGTCATAAATATTTAATAATAATACCATTTGTTGCTGTAATAACCTAATGGTTCGTTCTTTATCTTCAATGATCTGTTGTTGTAATACTATTTGTCGCTTCAAATCAAAGTTTTCTTTACTTAAATCACTTGAATCAATGTCTTCAATGATATCATTTTCTGATACAATCAATTGATTATAAAATCTATTTTGATTGTAATTATTTTCAAATGGATTTAATGTTTCCGCCTATGAAATAAACAAATAATTAGTTTTAATTATTTTACAAATAAAACATTTATAAAATATTATTACATTTTGAAGTAATCCATGGAGTCTGAAAAGTAATGTTTTAATACCAATCAAGTCTTGAGTCGCTGCTCTAAATGATGGCGAGTCTAATCCAACTGATCCGTCGGGCATTTCTACTAAAGATAATGGTCTTGGCTTTCGAAATGTCGTTATATTTGGAATTACATTTGTTGTTGTTGTGGATGAAGATGTAGATAATGAGACACTTGGAGAGGAAGGTATTGTTGATATAACAGAAGTGTCCGGTTTGAACACATGTGTCTCCTCGTTGTTCATTGATTTCTTTGATTGTTTTTTATTGATGGTTGAATTCAGTACCAGCTCTGGCTGATCACTTATCTCGTCATCAATTAAGAAATCATTATTAGCGTTGACGACACCACCAGTAATACTGTTATTATTTTCAAAAGACTTTTCGCTTTTGAGTAAATTATTTTTGGATATAATTATTGAATCTTTTCGTGTAATTTTTGGTGTCAATTCTCGAATGGTTTGAATACTTTTTGGTAAAAATGAATTATCATTGGATTTACAATTCACATCATTGTCTATATTATTATTGTTAACATTATCCGTATTATTATTATTATTACTATTGCAGACATTATTATGGTTTATAATGTCTAAACAGGTATTATTTGCAGTTGAAGTCATTTCTTTAGTTGTGGTTTTCATATTTTGTTCAAAACTTGATCTAACTTTACCGGTAAGCGAACCATTTGTTGTAAATGATTTACCGGTATATTTATTTTGGTTATTATTATTATTATTGTTATTATTGCTACTGTTATTGTTTAACACCGGTTTCGTTAAATTTAATGGTTTCTGTTGATAGTGTAAGCGATTGTAAGCTAAATGATTGCCATTATTATTAGTATTGGGTCTTTCGTATGGCTTATTATTATTCATTTGGTAAAAGTATGGTTTTATTTGACGTAGACTTGGATCACATGTCAAGTTCTGGTTCTTATTGTCGGAGTATTGTCGCAAACGACTGCTCCCATAATTCGATGTCTTATCACTGCTATTATCCAATATTTTGTCGGATCTTTGACTAGAAGTAGACACTATGTGTGCTGTTTGTGGTCTCGGAAGACCTGATACTTGTGTCGTATACTTAATACTGTTATCATTAGCGGCCAATTTAGTAGATGTGTGCTTAGGTTTGCTACCATTAGACTCATTATAAGTAATGGTCCTATTTTTGRGAGTCTTAGTATCACTTATATTGATCCCATTGTCATTCAATAGGTCACTCGTAAGTGAACTGTTTTTTTCTTTGCTACTATTATTGCAGTTATATTTGTTTTGAACGGAAATTGGTTTCTTAAGATTTGAAGAATACTTGAGTTGATTGGGAGGCGTCGGCGTTCGTGAGGTAACCGCTTTTGGTATTGATGTCTGCAGTCGACTGATGTTAGACGCTGAAGATGACGTTGATTTGGACGCCTTCGACAAATTGATGCTACAATCAGAGCTGATGGATGTGGTCGAAGAGTTGTCGCAAATCATCACTTGACTCACATCGACTGACGCCTCATATCTTCGAGTCCTATATTTATTGAAGACATGTTCTTCACAACTCTTAGCTATCACTTTGTTGTGATTTGCCGTCAACTTTGACGAAGTGGTGGGTATTTTGTTGCGATTGTTTGGTTGCGAAGACATTGATGTCGAGTCTAAATTTGATTGTATTTGTTGAGCAAATGTGACACTTTGGTGACTGTAAGACAATTGTCTCTTCAATGGCTCAATTGGGCGACAAATGGTCTCATTTGATGGACAAGTCTTAGATGTATGACCTGAATAACAGGCGCCCATCGATGTAATGGATGGTCACTAACACAATATCATTGCACAGAGTCATCAATTTGTGATCAATTGTTATCATTACTGAACCATCAAATCAATTGTCATTTAATTGTCATTCAATTGTCATTCAATTTCCAATCAATTCATATATCATATCATATAATCATTTACTCAATCATATTGTATGTGACGTAAACACAATGTGTTGTCATAGCAATCATTAATCACTTACAACACATGTTTCAGTTTGGCTCCAATTTTGAACATAATTTTAATGGTTATGTCTTTTAAACTATGGATCAGTTAAGTGATGATATATTTACTATAAATTAATATATTATTAATTTTAAATAAAATTTTTATTAGAATTAATTCAAATAAAATTACTTATTATTTATTAAATTTATTGGAAATTATTTGATAACAAACTTACAAACAATAATATGATTTATATTTAATTATATTAGAGATATTAAAGTTATATAATAAGGAAAAACACTTATTTATAGTCTAAATAATTAAGAAAAACACTGAATGTTATAATAGGTTATCATCTCTAATGGCAATGCAAAGCATCGCCCGATTCCATGGCATCTGGAGTTTGACTACTTTGAAGTCATTGTTAAGATGTTTAACTTCAGAGCAATAGACGGCTGACATACAGAATCTGTTGAATTGATCCAATTCATAGATAGGATGACTCTCTCCTCGAGAAACAACTATTGAATTCAGATGTTTGACCACTAATTCAATTATCTCTTTAACAGTTGTTTCTGCCGTCACTTGCAGTTTAAGACTCGTACCAAATGGTAGACCGCAATCATAAGCGGCATAAACTCGTAGTATAAAAGTATTATCACAAAAGTTATCACAAAATTTGTTAATTTGATTGGTTTTACTTTTTTGTGAAGTATTTGATGACATATAAGGCATAAATTCATTGTCCTTTAATTTCTGTATTTGTTGTAAATTTAAATCAAAAGTGTCAGCACTTGAAATACTGGACAAAACAATTGGCCGAAAACAATGGTCACCCGATTCTGACTCTTTGTTCTCGTTATTGGACTCATCGATGACATCCATTTCCGATTCAAACAATTCATTTAAATTTAAGTGTTTTCTAGATGTCGTTGTTTTCAAACTTTCATTTGATGACATCAATTGATCACTTGACCATTGATTATCACTTCTTATATGATTTCCACGATTGGAGCCATTTGTTAATTTTGAAGCCGAAGAACAGCGACGCATATCATCACAAGCTTTACCATAAAGTGCTTCAGTTTTATAGTCAGAACTCATGAAACATAATGAATCAATCAATGAATATGAAGAAGTGGAAGAATTTATACGAAGCTGATCCGAAAAAAAATTTGTGTCTATGGTTGAGTCGTCACGACTGGGACGACGACTTATGGGATGTGGTGGAGGACTAGATTGAGGTGAGTTAAGTGGTGACGAAGACAAGTTTATGGTAGGAATTTGAAAAATTTCTTCGTCTTCTAAAAGAACATTACTGTTAGTTAATGTATGTCTAATATTATCCAAAGAAATGCCACAAATGCTTTGTTTATCTCTAGCAATGGTCACCACATCCATAATCCATCGCATAGATCGCCACAACTCTTCCAATATATTCTGAAATTCTTGAAGTTTTGTTAGACGTGATTTAGCGGCCAATACTTCATTGGATGAAAATGCCTATTAATTTGACAAACAATTAATTGTATTTATAATTTATATGTGATATCTATAATGGTTTACATACTTCTCGATGTGTCTGTTGTGCTACTAATAAATCCATCTCAAGAATAGACGATATTCTTGAATAACGCGATATAAATGTTTGTCGATATGTATTTAAATTGACTAAAATTATTATATAATATAACATAAAATCATAAGTTATAAACAAAATAAATGACAATTAATTTGATATATACTTAATTCAAATGTTCTGAGAGGAAGATATATAAGATTCAAATAAGCGGGTAATTCATCGGATTGGCTGAAGATTGAACAGACATTTTGAACCGGAGGTAATAATATGATAAACGAAACGTCGGGACTAAGTTCTATCACTTCTGTATCATATATCCTATGGCCAGGGATTTCATTTTCCGGAATTTTTAATGAGTTTAGCAAAACATTTGCAGATTTGGTAATAAACTGTAAAAACTTCAATTGCGACGATTCAGAGATTACATCAACTTTAAGCTGATTTGGATGAATGCAGTTCTTAAGGCAAATCCATTCTTCACGAGAAACATGTGGATTATCTCTGACTTTGATGTGTGGCATAACATTTGGACTGTTCTGAGGCACTAAAATACTCATTGTGTCCACAGATGTCTTGAGTTTGACAAATCCCAGATATAAGCCTCGAGGCAATGGGTTATTACATGCCTTGTGATAGCAAATCATTTCCTGCATTCATATTATTTGATTTGTAAGTAAATAAAAATTAAATATTAAAAGTAATGTTAACTGACTTGTAATGAGGAATGAAGTAAATCTCCAATTAGTGGACAATTCATTGACTGTTCACTCATTTCTTGCATTGAATTTGTATAAAGACTAAGAAGTTTTTTCTGTAGTTTTGTCATTGGTATCCATCGTAATGATAACCAATTCATACTTTTAATATCAGTAAGCCTTTTGATAGCACACAACACAGTTGTCCCGTCGCTGTCTTTCAATGGCTTATAAAACAGTTTTCCCAAATCTTGGACTCCAAGAAATGTCTGCATTTGTTCAACAGATGATAATATTTTGCTTCTGAAGTGAGCCACTGATGAACTCTGGCTTTTATCGAGCTCTCGGCGTAAAGCCTTGACGTCCTCCCAAGTGCTCGATATCTTAAGCATCCAATGAAAGTCTGTTTGAAGTGATGACGGATAGACATCATCTGTAATAATACAATCATTTCAAACATTTAATTTAAAGTTTTTGGTCGCTTTACTTCAATTGACTTTTTTACGCGTTTTCTAAACTCTATTATATTATATATAAAAATTCAATTACTATTAAATTTATACRTATATAGTATTTTGCACACAATTTTTACCACAATCTATAAAATATTTCAAATCTATCTCCTAATATATAAAAAATTTACCAAAAATCCAATAAATTGGTAATAATTTTATTTTTCTATTTAAAAAATCGACCACTTAAAATTAAATTATAAATTATAAGTTTTGTTGACATTTCAATTATTATCTTTAATAAATTAAATATAATTTAATTATATCAATTGAACATTAATAAATCCTAACAATTTTGTATAGAATTTTACATAAGAATGCTTAAAATAAAAAATAAATTATAAAGAATTACTGTATACAGTATAAGCAGAATTGTGTATTAGAGAAATAATACTAAAACTGGGAAATTATGTAAATTTCTTTCCCATAATAATTGATAGTTTTAAGTTATCAAATTATTCCCACTAATCAAATTTTTTTGGACGTCTGTAATCATTTCCACCTTTAAAATATACCACATATGACTGGTCTTTAAGTTTGTAAGATTTAAATAATTTTAAAAAAGTTAATATTTTTATTTATCTAAATAAAACTTTTTCAATAGTTTTGTTATTTTAATGGATTTAATTTGATTACCGTAAGTAATTATAAATTATTTTGAAACAAAACAATTATTTGAACTAATTTAGACCGGTCTCACATAAAATTGTTAGATCTACTAATATCTACACTATTTTTATGAATGGTTATTATATTATCGATAATAATAATAATTTTTTTTGTTAAATAAATACCGATTTCAATGATCGGCAGAATCTCATCGTTGGTCACGAGAACCTTGTCTTCGTTATATAAAAGACACGACAAATAGATTCCTCTTTTCATAGTCTTTTGAAACTTAGGAGTCGTCACAAACAGATTTTTAAAACTTTTGCGGACCTGTCCTTTGCGTTGATAAGAATTATCACTTTCAACAGATAATACTATTAAAAAAAATTAATTTATCAATAATTATGAAAATTAAAAACTATTTAATTATAAATTTTACCCTTAACTTCAACCCATGTGTTTGGTCGACAATCTATCATATCTTGAAATAATTGATCTATTTTTGAGAGATCAATATTTGTTGAATGCTTTTGATCGACATTTCTCCAACCTTTAACACATTTAATGTATAGTTTAATTAGATTTAAATATTTAAAATAAACATTTAAACAAATGACTCACTCGAAGGAATGGCACAATTAGGTGATGGATAGGAATAGACTGAATATCCTTTACAATTGCCGGACGCAACCCTTACGAAGTATTTTTGACTATTTTTTAATCTTTCGATTATAATTTCAAGCTTTTGAAGATCAGTGATATCGAGTGTGCCATCAATTGTAATAAAATTATTTTCACTCCATTCAACTATAGATAAAAAAAATATTAACATTAATTTTTGTCACTTCTATACAATGTATTACTTTAGTAGTATATGGTTTGGTAGTTTGTTTCGATGTTTAGGTAATGCTAATAATAATAATAATAATAATAATAATAATAATAATAATAATAATAATAATAATTGATGCTTTTTTAACATCAATATATCATTTTATGCGAGTTTGCAATTCAAATAAAAATCAATATATATTTTTGTAAACCAAATTGAAGTACATCATAAATATTGATTGATATAATAATATTTAGGAAACACGTTAATGTATATTTTTGGACAATTCATCATATGTTAAACATATACAGTAGAAATACAGTACAATTCAATTCAAACTAAGCAAACAATAAATATTATATTAAAGAAAGTTTTTGAATGTTTTTGTATCGTTAATCAAAAGTTTGTTAAAATCCCTTAAGAATTACTCAATAGTTTCTAAAACTTTGGAGATCTCATAATTACAAATAACTTTATAAATGTATTATACAGTACTATCAATACATGGTATAAAAGTAATTGTATAGTTAGAGTTCGATCAATATGCCCAGGGAGGCAAGTTCCATAAAAAAATCCCTCCAATTTTCCCGGAAAATATTTTATTTTCCCTCTCTTGATCGTTAGAAAGGAAAATATATTTTATATTATTACGATAAATATTACCAAAACTTAAACATTTTGCAAAAAATATTGAAATATTTAAAAATAAATTTCAATTTAATAAATTTAGTGAAACTATTTATCAATACAACTTAAAAATACGTTTGAATATAATATTTGTTTTTAAACACGTAATATGTGGTACACAAGGAAATAAATTCATTAGGAATTCCCAGGAAGGGAGGGAACATAAGGAACTTTTGGATAATAAAACGGACGGAAATCTCATCTACACATAGGTATAGTATATTCTGTAATATATTGTATAATATCCTTATATAACTCGAGTGACTAATCACTCAATGGTTGTATAAATCGAGATTATAGTAAATAAAATCAGTTTACAGTAAATATAAAATTTTATGTTCAATAACACAACTATAGTATTACTAATTAAAGTTTTTTTTAGATTTTTCATAAATATCTGTGGCGTAAATATTAGTTATTATTAATATATTGTAGTTATTTAAAAAACAAAGCTTAAAATACTTTAGTTATTTAATAAAAGTGTTTTATATAAAGTATATAAAAAACATAATATTAATATAAAATGCAATTTTTATAAAAAAATAATAATAAAAATAGCAATTTTGTATTAAACTATTTTCATAAAACAAAGTACTATATAAAAATAATGTTTGCAAAGCATATAAAATAATTTTATAACATTTTTAACTATTTGTATGTAAAAGATATCTGATTGCAAAATATACAATTTTGAAAAAATCAATATGTTTTGGATTACTTGGTTTCAAAAGAAAACTTATATTTAATAAGACAATTTCCTTATCAATAAAAATGTAATATTATATATTGATTAATAAAAAAATTTGACTTAACAAAAAATCAATGATTTAAGTTAACCACATAAACGATATTTTGAACTTTAAATAAAAATTATTATTTTTAGAATCAATTTATTATGTAAATTCATATCATATGTTTAGTCTAATTTTTATACAATATCTTATAATATAATTAAATATTTTAAATATTTATATGCRGTATTATTGTATAATTATTTTAAAAATTGTTAATAAATAATGGGTTTATTTAGTAAATAAATTATATCTTATGTATCTTACATTATTCTTCATATAAAAAATAATTAAATACTATTATGAAGTTTATTAATAAATGCCAAAAGATTCCATAAACAGGAATTTTTTGCCTAATTTTAAAAATTAGTTTTGAACATAATAATTGTAATTACTTAATTAACTTAAATTTTAATAATAATATTAATCATAGTATAATTGCAGTACTAAAAATTGTAATTTTTTTAAATGGGCTTATAAACATATACAGTAAATATTTTACAACATTAATTTTAATATATGATTTTATACAATAATTAAATAATATTTATCAGGCAATAAAAAAATTAGATTAAATAATTATATTAGTTACAGAAATTATATAATTGTGACTTTTAATATTGTAATTTCAATTTATAAATTTATAAATGTCAAGTGCATAGATAAACTTTAAATTAATAAAATACATTGGTATTAATTTGATAATCTTTTATATACATTTCATTTTAATAAATAAAACAATTATTAAAAAAGCAATTTTCTGAATATATTTAAATTCTATGACAAGAATTTTCAATTATTTAACATTTATGTAAACTTGATTATAAAATTTACTACATATAAGTGCACTAATAAAACTACTAAACAAATGTGGTTTTATTGAATAGTTTGTAACTTGAATTATAATTTATTTCAATATATATATATACTGTATTTTAGTTTTATTTAATTAGAGATCATTGCAATATTTTTTTTATACATTTAGTATATACTGTCGATACAATTTATATAGTATTTTTATATTATGCAAATATACTATAGGTTACAGTACTCAACATTTAATTCAAATTTAAGGAAACGCAATATATATATATATACTGTATATATAAATAACTACAAAATCAAACTGTAGAATCTATAGTCTAAATCATGTAACGGTAATGTATAATATAATACATAATTGTATGTATTTATGTGTTTGTGTGTGTGTGTGTGTGTGTGTGTGTGTGTGTGTGTGTGTGTGTGTGTGTGTGTGTGTGTGTGTGTGTGTGTGTGTGTGTGTGTGTGTGTGTGTGTGTGTGTGTGTGTGTGTGTTGTGCTATATGTGTTAGAGTAACACTGTTACTGCATTATGCATAACAAATTATTTTGTATATACAGTAATTTATATTGTATGATTTATTTGTCTTCAAATTTCTACAAATAATTATTTATTTTAAGTATTTGAATAAATAGCTAAATATTTACAAAACTCAATTAATTGTAAAAATAAATTTAAAAATCTAAATGAAGTTTCAATATCAGTATAGTAGATAAAGCTTAAAATGTTTTGTTAAATAAAATATTTATTTTATAATTTGTAACAATTTATGAACCAATCAATGATTATTGACATTTAAAAGTATATTTTAAGACTTAAATAAATACCCTTATATTTAGTGATGATTGACTTGTTTTCATTGCTAAGTATAGGTTCATTAAATCTTATGCGTAAGCAATCGGTGGCCACAACTTCCAAGTGGACACATACGGGCGGTTCGGGTGTTTCTATCATTATTTGTTTGGCGTTAAAATTAATTGACTTCAAATGATATGTAAAGTCATTGAAAAATATACCTAATCTTTCAAAACCGGATCTCATTCGCTCCAGAAGTTTGAGTCTTCGCTCCCATAAATACAACTGTCGCTCCTTTTCCTGTATTTTATATAAATTATATATAAATATAAATAATATAAACTATTTTGCGAACCATATGTGACATTAAATAATTAGTTATTACTTTAAGAAGTGCAGCGCTTAGACCACTATTAGGTAAGACACTAAAGACAGTCAGATTGAGATCCAAAACACATCGTTGGGATTCTTTAAGAAGAGATATCAACTGATTTTCACGACTTTCTTTAGTCGAAACTATTGTATTATTTTATATTCAAATTTAATTCAAATTCCGGTTAATTTTCATAAAATCTTACAGTTTTGACTCTCTAGACTACCATAACTTTGCAATAATTTAATTAATGGTATATTTAATGTCATGACTGCGATATCCAATGGAGTGAAACCATCGGAGTTGCAACTGTTTAGTGACAATAGTATATAAATGTGTTGAAAATATTTACATTTAAATTGAATAACAACTATGACTAACACATACCTATTAATATCAACGTTTGTCGACTCAATTATCATCCGAGTCCTCTCCAACTGTTCATTTTCAACGGCAGAAAACATTGCTATACATTATTTACACAATAAATCAATAATATTATAAAAATTTCTTTAATATGTTTAAATATAGATGATTTTTTTAAATTTATATTATTAAAATATTAATTAATATACTGTATATTAATATATAACAAAATACAAACATACAATAAGAACTTGATTAATTTTTTTTGTTATTTATAAATTATTTTATATTTAAATATAATCAGAAAACACAATTTTTGAGCTAGCTAAGTGTATAATATATATCTACAGTTATATGTATATGAAAAATATAATTTATAAAATAAAATTTACATAAATTGTTTATATTAAAAGTTATTTAATATTATAATTCTCTGAAGTATATCGTGTAAAATAAAATATTTGCAAAATTGTCTAAAATTGTAAAAAAAAACTCAATATTTAATTTATTTCTTTATTGAAAAAACTAATTTATTTTACTATATTATATATTATAATATATGAATAATACAGTATAAATATCATACTATAGTATAACGTGATTTATCTTGAATAAACTTATATAAAAATAGAAATGCATTTGATATAAATATATTGCAATATATATATATATAAGTACTGTATATACCCTGTAAATCAAAATTAAATTTGTTGTATTTTTCGAGTTTTTTCTTCTCAGATTTGGTCAAATAAGGTATGCCTTCGGGAACAAACACATCGATACTGGCCTGTCGTCGACCTATAAAATCGATTTCAATATATTTTTATATTAAACATATTTGTTTTAAAAATCAATTTATTATATAATTCTATAATAACTACTATGCAAACAAAAATTTGTGTATAATTTTTATCAAATAAAGAAAATTAATTAAAATAATTATTTTGTATAATTTAATGTTATGCACATAATGTTTAAGATCTAACTACTAACAGTGTTATTTAAAAATTAATATATTAGCTGGAAGTGATATTTTGTACAACAATGTATTATTGATAGTAAGTTTTGCTTAAAATTAATATTTTTACAAAATTACTAAAATATCACTTAGAAAACATTATATTAATATTAGTTATATTTCATTTTTGATTATATTTAATGAAACATTGATTTTTACACAAAACACGTTTATTTTGCATATAATAAACGAATAGCAGATTTCAGCTAAATTTCAGTCAAATTGATTTGTCATTTAAAGAAATTTGATAAAAACCATATGCTTTTACAACGTTTATTATTATTATTATTAAAATAATCTAAAATAAATTATATTTATGTTTTTAATTCTATGAGATTAGTAATTATTTTTTTAGCTCAAAATACTATTTGTCAAATAAATTCCTATAAATGAGTTATTTAACTAAATATATATTATTTGATTTGCCGTCAGCTAAATACAAGACAATTAATAATAATTATAGAATTTCATGTTTTAATAACTTCAACATTTTCATTAAAAAAATCAATTATTTGTTTAATAAATTTGAAAATTGCTGAATAAAAATGTTATTTACAATATATATGTATATTGTTTACAGGTATTGAAATCATTTGATAAGCAGTTAAAACTAATTTAAAAATAGTGTGAAATAATTTTCATTGTATATTATTAGAGATGGGCAAATAGAAAGTTTCTAGAAAATTTCTCAGAAATAAATTTCTATAGAAATTTAATTTTATTGTTATACTATGGGATCACCATATAAATAGCTATTATAATACTATAAATATATTAATGAGACATAATACTGCACATATAATACCTGTATACTATTATACTGTAATACACTATTATACAAATGGGATCCCTATATAAATAATTATAATTATATTTAATAATAATCAGTTTTGTAAAAATTTTATTCATCTTTTTATTATATCATAGTTTAATGATTAAATAAATATTTTTTTACTTTAATTAGTAATTAAAATAATAATAATAATTAATTAATTATTACTTGTAAAAACAATGTTACAAGATAACAAATATAGAGAGAACAAAATTAACCATGGGGATCCCATAGATAGAAATTTCTTTTAGAAACTTTCTAGAAATTTCTTTTTAATTTTATAAATTTCTCTTTTATGCCAACACTATATGTTATATAAATTATCAATGTTTACAATAGATTGCTAAGTTGTTAAATAGTTTTCAAGTAATTAATAGTGAATATTAAATATAATCAATAATTATGAGTCCGACCTGGAAGTGTTCGGGTGATTCTATATGAAGCACTTGGAGATGATGGCACGTCATGTAAGTTTCGTTGTAAATCCATGAGATGTACAGATGTTGTCGAACTGAGAGGCAGATGACCCCTAAACCGGGGAGATATAGAAGCGCTAATTCTGTCTCTTTTGGCAACATTTGAATTGTTTGGTTTGTTTGAAGAGTAAAATGGCTCAACAATAATGTTTTCATTTTTGCTACTGAGCTGTGCGTCCATAAAACTGTCAATACTTCCACTTCTCTTTATTTTATTAGACATTCCTCTATTATTCCAGAAAAAACACGAACTTTTTAAGATACAAGAAATAATTATTACAAACAAACAAATCTTTTTTCAAATATAACAACTAATCTACAGATCGATAGCATATTTATTGTAAGACATACATATCACCGGTATTATCATTAGTGAACTGATGTCCGGTTGACTTTGAAGCCGATAACTTATCTTTTGGTTGTGTTGACAGTAATTTTGTAAGTTTGGCAAAACTAACACTTTTTCTAATAATTTGACAAAAAAAATTACAGACAAAATGGTATTAAATTTATAAATAATATCAGATATTTACTTATGTGAGGCATCTTTTGTTGCCGAACCCGTAGAACTGGTCGATGAGACACTAGCTCTGGGCGAAAGTGCCGGTGATTTAGACATAAAACTATCATTATCACTAACTGATAAACTATATTCTGCATTTAAAAATAAATATAATATAACAAATTAAGTGTTTTGTTTTATTATCTTCTTTATTATATTAATACAGTATATAAATTTATATATATATATATATACAGTATATAAATTTATATATATATATATACAGTATATATATTTAATAAAATGAATTCTTACTGTATTGTGGTTCATGAAGAAGATATTGACATTTAATTTCATTTGATGGCAGATCCGCTGTGTGTTTATCAAATAAAATGTAAGCAAATATTTATTTAAATTTTCATCAATACTGAGTTTACTTAAGCTTAGCTTTAGATAAATTATAAATGTTAGAGAAGTGTATAGTAATGTATGAAACAAACTGCAGTAACAATTATTAGTTAAATTTTTATGTCATAGCCTATAGTATATTATAATTAAATATTTTAATATATAAAAATAATGCCTAATTACTCAACCAATACTATAGTACTGTATTTATTGTTTTGTGTATTTTACATTAAATTTTAAATTTTAATATTTTTTCACTTTTATGTACAATATAGTACAGATAAAGAATAATATTCATGATTTTATTAAATTCTACAATATGTACTTTATAGCTTTATACAGTAGATACATAAAAAAATATTTACTGTATAAACCCTAAGTAATAATATTTATGATATACAAAACATTTGTTGCATTGACTTAAACCATCACTTGTTGATACAATTTTGCAAAATATATATTATTTTTAAATATTATAAAAGCTTTTATTTTAAAGTAAATGATTAATTTTATAAAAAAACTAGTAAAATATGCAGAGCATATGCAATAGCAATAATTATAAATATATTTATACAATTTTTTTTATTTAATATCTTTTAAAAATGAAAATTATTTGTTAAATATTTTTCTTTAAGGAAACAAATCTATAAATAACCCATAATTAATAGACATTAAAATAATTAATTTTAAAATTATAAACAAAACAATGAGAGAAATATAATATAAAAAATGACTTCAATTTAGGCGAAGATTATAATACTAATAAAAAACGGGATCACACTGTACTATACTATACACTGCCTTTCATAGTACAGTATTTTCCTATTATTTTTTTTTATTATATAGTATTTGAGTATTGGATAATATAATACATTTCAAAGTAGAATATTTTTATTTTATATCTATTCTTAATATAATGTGTGTAACATATATTAATAATAACATATTATTATTACTGTATTATAAAATGCAGTCGAGTGTTAGCTATACATTCACTACAATTTATTATAGTTTGAATAAATATAAGTGAAAGTAATAAGAGTTGACACAACAAATCCCATATCTTAAGAGAAAAATTGTGAAAATCTTGACTAAAAAAACTTGAGTTTATTTTGTAACAAAAAAGTAGAGAATTTTGTAATAAAGTAATGAAAATAGTCTCTCATGTATTGCTTAGTACTGTATAATCTTAGTTATAGTAAAAAGTCATCGTTTTTTAAAAGTTATAAATGTATTGACATTTCCTTTAACTATTGTTACGACAAAATTTACCGAAATTGTTGTTTACTATAAAATCTGTAATCAAGTGATTTGAAATCACATAATTTAAGCCAATAGTCATTTCAATGAACACAATGCTTAATGTGTTGATTGTAAACATCTTTTTTATCATTAAATATATCAATACTATATATATAATACAGTATTTATCTACTACTTTGAACTATAAATATCAATAAAGAATAATATTTTTTATTGAGATATCAGGTAAATAAAAAATTGAATCCAATTTGATAGCAATATATTTATAGCAAATATATATATATTTCTATACTTTTGTGTTCAAAAAAGATAGTGTACTATAATTTATAAGAAAATCAATATAAAAATATAGTATTTAGACAAAAGACAAGAGTTTTATAGTAAAGTATTGAACCATTAATTCGTGATATAACACAACACAACATGTATTTGTTTGGGTCGAGACTCAGTATATAATACAGTATTAGCAAAATAATGATTCAATTGATTATATATTAGTCCAAAATATATGATATCATTTAGTGTATCGTTTATCCATATGAATGGGTATCGTATACTATATTTACCGACAAATTTATCGACAAAAACTACTCACCGGTAATACCACTGGAGGACTGTTGATCATTAAAGGGCTCGAGTTGTGCCTGAAGTATATTTAATGCGGGAGTTATGATAGCTGGCAGTGTCCGCGCCCTAAGCATCGGTGGCTTACTCTTCCTAACGATCGGGTGTCCTCTTTCCGATATATTACTATCAAATAAATATAATTATCTATTCATTTATATGTTTATTATGTCATTTAAGAACAACAATTTATTACTAATAAACTTTTTTATAATAATTTTTTCTTAAGTATTTTATTTAAAAAATAATATTTAATTAATGATAATCAGATTCTAAAACAAATAAATAGATTTTAATAATTTTTTATTAATAATTAATAATTTGTCATTTGTAATCATATATTACAAATAATTAAATATTATGTAGTTGTTATAACAAAGATATTAAAATTTTAATAATTATAATATTTTAATAATTTTAATATTAATAATTTGATATTTAGATTTGCATAACATTTAATACAGATATAATAATAGTTATTATAGCTATCATTTGTAATAAATATGTTTATAAATTAATAATTTAATAAAATAAAAGCAATTATATAACTAAAATACACAATAGAAGTACTTGTCTTAAAGTAAACTTTGTTCGATAGAAATGGGGTTTTAAACTGAATGAGAAAAAAGAGATTTAATATTATATACTTTTAAATAAATTTTATATAATTTACACAATAAACAGTGTATTTAATATAATAATAGACAATAACTATATAAAATCATCTCACGTTTACCACATTTTATTGTCGATAGATAAAAATTTAGATAAAGGTTGAAAGGTTAAGGTTATCCTATTGTAAAGTATATTGAGTTTATATCAATATATAATTGCAATCAACATTTGAATTAACAGTCTATACTATAGACTCTATAGACTCTATACAATAAATAAGTTATATTAAGTGTTAATAATTTTTTATTTGCCAAAACATTCTTAATGTTTAGCATTGATTTCTAATAATTTTTATTTTTCTATTAAAATCAATAAAAGTTCTATTTATTAAATAAAAGTAAAAACTAGTTATCATTTCTCTATATTTTAAAAATAGTATAAAATTAAAAGTTAATTATTTCTTTACATTATGTTATGCATATTTCCATTGTAGTATTTTACAATTTACATAAAAATAAATTTTATCATGTAGAAATAATAATAAAGATATGTAATAAATTATCAATTATATAAATATTGTTAATTTATATAATATTAAATATTAAATATTATCAATTCTGTATTATTATAGTTATATAATAAATAAGTTATATAATTATATTTTTAATGACTTAATAAAATTTATGCAATATTATAAAATAAATATAAAATACTATTATATTTAATATTCTATTTGTATATAAAAATCATATTTTATTAATTAAATTATTAATTTTTATTTTATTTTCAATTTATTTTTTAATAAAGTGTTTTACAATAATATGGATTCATAAACAAAATCACAATTTATGATTAGCTGTATTTGATGCAACAATTACTAACAAATATTGTTTTGTAATAATTGATTTGTTTTAATGTGAAATTTGTGTCATAATTGTGCCATAATTTCAATAAAAAACTAAACCAATTTAATATATAGAATGTGTGAACAAATATATAATTATTTTGATTTAATATATAAATAAAAACAATGAAAAATATGTGTATGTGTATGTGTATGTGTATGTGTATGTGTATGTGTATGTGTATGTGTATGTGTATGTGTATGTGTATGTGTATGTGTATGTGTATGTGTATGTGTATGTGTATGTGTATGTGTATGTGTATGTGTATGTGTATGTGTATGTGTATGTGTATGTGTATGTGTATGTGTATGTGTATGTGTATGTGTATGTGTATGTGTATGTGTATGTGTATGTGTATGTGTATGTGTATGTGTATGTGTATGTGTATGTGTATGTGTATGTGTATGTGTATGTGTATGTGTATGTGTATGTGTATGTGTATGTGTATGTGTATGTGTATGTGTATGTGTATGTGTATGTGTATGTGTATGTGTATGTGTATGTGTATGTGTATGTGTATGTGTATGTGTATGTGTATGTGTATGTGTATGTGTATGTGTATGTGTATGTGTGTGTGTATGTGTATGTGTATGTGTATGTGTATGTGTATGTGTATGTGTATGTGTATGTGTATGTGTATGTGTATGTGTATGTGTATGTGTATGTATGTTTGTGTGTGTGTGTGTGTGTGTGTGTGTGTGTGTGTGTGTGTGTGTGTGTGTGTGTGTGTGTGTGTGTGTGTGTGTGTGTGTGTGTGTGTGTGTGTGTGTGTGTGTGTGTGTGTGTGTGTGTGTGTGTGTGTGTGTGTGTGTGTGTGTGTGTGTGTAATATATTGAAATTCAAAATGATTTGTTGAAATGCCATAAATCTAATAATCTTTAAATACAAGGACTTTGAGAAACTTCTTAACGAATAACAGAAGCGAGAAATAGACTCAAAGCTAACGGTTCGAACTTAAGAGGCTTTACCTCTCATTTCAATGCATTACTCGCAACAAACACCTAATGTTTCTCCAATGTTAGCAATGAAACAACACTTCAATAGACAAATCACTTTTTAGTTAACATTTTTTCATTTGTTTGTTTAAATCTTATGATTATTTATCAAATTTTATTTTATTGTAAAATATTTTTATATTTATTCATTGATTTTTGAAATTTAATGTCAGACACAAAAATGTTATAATTAAAAAATATAATACTTTACATGTTTTGTATAAAAAGATAATATTAAATAAATTTATATATTTTTTATTACAACTAATATTTACTAACTATATATTTACAAATTAACATTTTTTAAAATTATCAAAATATTTATTATTTAAATTTTTAGAAAACAAATTTAATTTTACTTTTAAAAAATATATTATACATTTTCATGTAATCTAACAATGAGTCAATTCTATGAAAATGAAATCTATTGAAATAAAAATTTATATTTTTCATTGATATTTATATATTATAAAAATAATATAAATAAATTGAAAGACAACAACAACAGCAAAATAGTGAATTATTAATAAAATATATAATAGCATCCGTTTGTTCATAAATATTATACAATTCAAATTATAATATAATTAAGTGTATTTATATTTTTAAGATTAAGTTATTATATTATATTAAGTTAATTTTTATTTAATTATAAAAATTATGCAAATAATTTGTAATATATAAATTAATTTGACTAATAAATTTTTAATGAGTTTAAAAATAAGTAAATTAGTAAAAAATAAACATGTGTTAGTAAAATTTATTTGTAAATTAAAAATACAATTATATATATATAACTTATTATATTATAAAATGTATTAATATATAGTATACTCAGTATATTTCATACTATTGTATAATACATATCCCACGGGATTAAAATCATGTTCAACACAATCTCTATTTACTTTTTTACAACAAATATTGTATTCAATCAATATTTAAATAAATAGTTTAAAAATAAAAAATTGTATTCAATTTGAATGTGTGATGAAACCACTCCAAAAAACCCAAAAATTATTAATTTTATATTTATCTCTTTTTTTATAATATAAATACAGTATTATTCTACTATATTATAATTACTTAAATAGTAATCGTTCTATAATTTTAATTATATTTCTAAATAATATAAAATTATATTTTGTATATTATAATCATTTATTGTCGATATTTTCACATTAAAATTAATAACAAAGACGTAATAGAAATATATATATATATATATATATATATAAGGTTATACAAGGGGTATGGTATGGTATGATATGGTATAGCGATTTAACCCCTCATAAGATCGAAATTTTTKGATTTTATTCCCAGACTTTTTAACCAAATCAACAACAAAAAAACGATGAGAAATAGAGTAAAAACTAAAATATGAACTTTTTGTTTAATAAAGTAATTATTTTTAAGACAATTAATGATAATGATAATGATTATTAAACTATAAACATTAATATTTTTATTAGTTATTTTTAAATATTACATTAATTCTTGTTAAAATTAAAAAGTTTTTAGTAATTTAAGAAAGTATTTCTAAGAAATAATGGAATTTATTAAAAATATTTTCCTATTTTACTGGGAATTTCCTCCCATTCTCAATGCAATTTTCTCAGAACCCCTTTGATTTTGATTTTTTTCATTATACCCCCCCATACACCTCAAAAATTTAAAAACCTTAATTAACCCTTATATATATATATTCTATTATTTTTTGTTGACTATTATTGTGCGCTAAATTTGAATAATAAATAAATAAATTTTTAGAGATCCGGTAAAGACTGTCGAAATAATACTGATTACTGTATAATAAGTGTTAATACAATAAATATTGATAAACAATAAGAGTTTTACACAAACATATCGACAATCTATATGACAATTATATATTTAGATGGTATACACTTAATAAAAATTATATTAACTCAACAAACCTCATATCAGTTCCGTTACAAACGTTTTTGTATTATTTAGCTAAAAATATTTGCAAATTTTCTTTGATTTTTGTATTTAATGATTAAACAAAATAAAATTACTAAATTAAAGAAAATAATTAATATATTTTTAAGAATAAATTTTTATAGAAATACATTTTGTTACTACTATTTTATTACATAACTATTAAATACCATTTAGTTATAAATTATGTAATTGTAATATAATATAATATTTATTAATACAGTATTATATAATTTTATTATTATTATCACGAATTAAGTTTGTTTAAATTGTTGATTACATTATTGTTTGTGCAAAAAATATGTTTTTAATTAAATTATATAAAAGTTTGTTAATATAGCATATTTTTTGAATATAAATTGACATTTAAATAACTTGCTATTATGATAATTTTTAGTACAAACAATTTCAATTATTATTATTATACAGTATTATAGATAATTAAATTATTTAATAATTTGTTTAATATTTACATAATCAATAAAATATTAACCAAAAAAAAAAAAATGAATATAAAAAATAACAATAATATTATTTAAATTGTCATTTCATTTACATATTTTATTTGCTATAAATATATGACATATACTGTATTATCAGATTTAAAAGATATAATAAATGACTGATTAGTCAAATTATAGCAAATATAGCAAAGAGGCAACAAATCAATAACTACATTATTACTGTCAAAAAGATATATATTATTATAAGTTTTACAGTAAATGTAGATTTATAAAAATTTAATATAAAATTCAAAAATCAAAATAACATTGTATAACATTAATATATCAATAGTACAATTTACTCGACTTTTGTAAAACATAAAAAATTACTTATTTTACGGTGTAATAGGTATACACATTGTTATCTAAAAAAATGAATTAAATATAAAATTCTAACTATAAATTTAAATAAATAAGATAAATATTGTATATAAATTATAAATTGCAATATTTGATACATTAAAATGAATTGCACACAAAATTTATTTAAATTAATATACTGTAAATTGAAATATATGTTGAAATTGGAAATTTTGAAATAAATACCACAAATTAATAATATAGCCAAATGTCAACTTTTTATTTATTACAGTATAATCATAAATATTTGTTTATATACTGAAAGATAATATAAATTATTTGTCAATAAAGTCTAATAATGAAAACGATTCTTAGTTTTATAGATAGTAATAAAATAGTGTAATCATTAAATGGAATATTGTATTAATATTGTATATTGTATTACACAAAATATCATATAATAAAATGTCTAATAATATAAGATAATTATTGATTGGTTTTTATTTAATTGTATAATATATTTATAGTACTTTACTTAATAAGTTGGTTATATGACTTACATATACAATACAACACTGAGGTGAATGACAATTATATAATAATTTATTACATTATTATTAATAAAACTAATGTAAATAAAAAACAGTAGTTAACAGAGATTATGCTTTAGTTATGTTTTTAAGTATTTTAAATTTTAATTTTTAATATTTCTATTATAATATTTTATTTATGGCTTAACAATAACAATCAACAATAAGTTATTATTAATAATAATAGACCAATATGTTTTAATACTATAGTTGTATATATTTTCAGACAAATTATTAGCGTATAATTTGGAAGTTTTCCAATAAGCCATTACCACATTGTAATATGGATTATATGTCAAAAACAATTCAAATCTACATCTATTGTTACTTATTGTACAGTATATATAAATAATGACATTTCATTAATTTGATATAAAGTATTTAAATTTGTTATAATATTTTCGATAAATTAACATACAGTATTGAAAATGTTTTAGGCAAAGAAAATGAAATTGTTATACTTATATATTCAATAAAATTTATTAAAATTAACAAAAATTTTATATTCAAGTAGACATAACCTAAAGCTATAGCATAGCAGTGAAAATATTATAAATTTGGTAGATTTCAATCCTTATCCATAAGCCAACCAAACTATTGGAAAGTTTCTATTGACTAAATATATCCCAATAAATCAAAAAACAATATTATAGTTGATTGATAATTGCTTTCAATAACCAATAAATATTATTTTGATTGTTATATTAAACTAAAAGTGTTATCATTTTATTAACACAAAAACAAAATTTTAATAAACCAAGAATTATGTAATTAAATATTAAATTTTATCTTATTAACTAAAAATTTAACCAAAAATAAATAAATTAATACAAAGCTAATATTTAAATCTATGAAAAATCTAATTAAAGTAAAATCATAAATATAATTAAAATAATATCGTATTATTTAGCATTTAGCACTAAACGTTAATTGCACTATTATTGGTGTTTAATGTAATGATAATTTTTTGTTTTGAAATAATGTATAATAAATGGTGCTTATTTCTAGAAATACTATAATATAAAATGTTAAAACAATAAACTAAATTAAATGTATGTTAATCCCAATACTAAACTTAAATCTAATCAAATAAAACGATTTCAGTATTTATATCATTTAAGAATCTGTTTAATTGAAAGTTTGTAATCAATACAAGTTTTAACAAAAATATTTTATCTAATTATTTGCTAACAATTTTTAAATGTTATTTTATTACACACCAGTAATTTAGTTCACGAATAATAAATATAATGCAATAATGAGATTGCTTTTATTAATTGTTTAAATTCTATAAATGATTTAATTATAATTTTAAAAAATAATTTTAAATAATTTGCATATAATTTAATCAATTATGCATCGCTTCCTCTGAAAAAACTAGTAATTGTAGTAATTTGTCTAAATTATACTTTTTGCAAATGATATTTATATTAAATTTAAGATACTATAAAATAACTTAAAACATTAATGAATATTAAAAGACTAATAAATATTAGGTCTAATAATATTAAACATATTATTGAAGTGTTCATCAAATATCTAATTCATTCAATATTATGTAATACATAATACAGTTTTAAACTAATGTAAAAACTGACTAAAAAAGCAATTGACTTAAAAGCTTATTCCTGTCCCAGACATCAATTGTAATTCAAAATATATAAAATAAATTTTTATATTATAAATATTTTACGTTTATATTTAATATTGTGTATTGAATAATATATACAGTATTTATTTGTATATTTTTATTTTTTTAATTCAATATTTCTTAAAAAATAATACAAATTAAAAAACTGTTTTATATTAATAATAGAAAATTCAATTTATAGATACTCTAAAATATCCGTAAAAATTTTATCCATAAAATATCAATATAAATTAATTATACTTCAATAATTATAAAAATTTTAAAACTTTTATCAATAATTAAGCAATATCTATAAACTTTATACCATAAATTAGTAGGAGAAAATATATGTAAAATTTTTAAAAAATGTCTTATTGTCTATTAAAAAAATTCAAGTCATTAAATATAGAAATAGATCATTTAGCAATAATAAAATATTAAGGAAATTGTTATAAATATAAGAAATTGATATAAAGAATCAATAAACTATTTTTTAATATAAGTTAAACTATATAATATTTACACTAAATAATTACAATATACATATTATAAATTTAGTATTCATATATTCTGTATATACATTGTATATTATATTTATAAAATAAGTTAATAGTTTTTTGCTAGTTATATAAAAACATTTTAAATATACAGTTTATATTCAGAGTTTATATATGTATATTAAATTTTATTAATAAATATAAAATTAAAGACTTAATAAATTATAAAATAAAATATTTTTATTATAATAATTTCTGATATATAGATATTAGATATTATAAGAAATGAGTAATAATAAATACAAACAGAAATATTAAGTATATTATAGTACAAAACATGAATGTTGTCTTATATGATATAAAATAATAATTATTATTATTATTATTAATATTTATAAATAATATTAATAATTATTATAAAGATTTAGTATTAATATACCTTTTATTTAATTTGTGTTTCTTTTTATGGAAAACCCTCTTAATTCTGATGAGAAGAAAGGCCGCTCTGTCCAGACTTAGTGAAGAATTGCTATTTTTATTAAYTTTGTTGGATATACCCGATTGACTAACCGATGGCGTGTCACTCATTTTTATAACTTTTATTATATTTAATAATTAGTTTTTTAAAACCAATTTTATGTTTAATTTATTTGTTGACTTATTTAATTGTAGTAATAATAATAATAATAACAACAACAAAAACAGCAAAATCAATAAATTTGGTCAAAATTTATACATAATATTGTATTAATAATAACAATAATATTCTTAAATTGTGATCACATGTATTGTGAATCGGATAAATAGGTAAACAATGAAATATTAAGTTAAACATAACTTTCTATCAAAATTTGATTTTACGATAATATTATATTTATTAAGTTATAAATATTTATGAAAATATATGAATTGAAAACACAAAGAATGAATAATTGTCTAAAACTATATTTAGGAAAATATGCTTCACATGCGATACAATATAAAGTTATACAGTATATACAGTCTGTTATATAATATAAGTAATGTTAAAATACTGTGTAAAAGCTTTATACCAATATATACAGTATATAAATATATTGAATATATAACAAATTGACTGTTGTTGTGATCACACAATAAATGAAAGTAAAGCAAACCCCAGAATCAAATGCTATATTCTGTTATTTTATAGCCTATAAGGTCTATAAGGAATCGGATTCTGTGCACACTTCACGCATAATCACAAACTTTGGACATAAGTTTACTTTAAAAACAGTTGCAATTGATAATCATTTATGAAATGATTTTTTATTTAACCAACTTATGACTAAATCCAATGTTAAGCCACAAAGTGGGCAACAACTAGATATTGAATTATAAATGTCGGCTCATTGAATAAGTGTCACCTATTTATGTTGTTTTAAGTCTTTTATAATTTATAAAATACTCTGCATTTGTTATAATATATATATATATAATACAATAAATGTATTATTTATAAATCATTAAAGATTTTTGTTGACGCGATTTTGCTTTCAATCGCAATGTTTGTCATGAAAATAAAAAAGTTATTTCATTTAGATGTTTGTCTCATATATTCAATACATGTTTCACAGTAAACATCAAACATTTATATCATTAGAGTAATCCAATAGTTATTTGTCAATAAAAATGATGCGATCAATAAAATTTTCCTATTTATTATAAGTTGTCAATTATATAATAGTATTACAGTTATGGTATATAAACTAACCACGATTACTTGTTTATCAAATTAGTTTAAAAAAGTAACGGTCTATAAGTTATTGTATTAGATTTTTACAATTATTGTTATCAAATTCAATAATCATATTATAGTTTAAAAAAGTAAGTTATACTGTATATTATGACTAAAAAGTCATAACTCGTCAAATATTTTCAATTTAAAAAAAATAACATTAAAAATCAGACTTACCCAAAGCAAAAATGCTTATTCATATTTCACTAATGTATATATAATTTATATATATATTTAATAACTAATTTGTAATCAAATAGAAAGTATCAATACTTAATATTTTTAGTGAATATAAGCATATATTTTGAAGTTAAATGTCTTCACTCTATTGTTTTGAGCACTAAATTAATTTTTTTCACATGAATTTCAAGTTTGCTTTTCAATAGCCTCAGGCTTTACATACTTTGCTTTCCGGTCGAAGTATAGCTAATGTGAGCATCACTTTTAAAATATTTTTTATTCATATCAGAAAAATCTGTTTTACAAACTTAGAGGCAAACATTGTTATATCGATTAAAAATATTATTTTATAATTTTAAAAATTAATTAACAAAAATTACTGGTAATTATATATAAGTAACTATAGTATATGAAAAGTAATGCTTCTATTGTTTTTTAAAATATAAAAAATAATTAATTCAAATATATAGACAAATAGATTAACATTATTTTATTATAATAATGATATAATTGACATAATTTGACTACAAAATTGTTAACTAAATTTAAATGAATGCTTCATTACAAAGTCCACTATACAATAGATGACTGAAATAAATCAATTGATGAAAACTATTACTACTCTATAACACACTGTCCACCGACGGCTTCGAGTGCGGTCTTTAGTTTGTCGGCCTCGTCTTTAGCCAAATTAGATTTAATTATTTGTGGAACCGATTCAACAAACTTCTTCGCCTAATATTTATTTTAAATATAATAATGCAATGAATTGATTGTATTATCAATTGAATTGATTTAAATTGTCTTTAATACCTGAACCAAATTCATGCCCTCAATTAAAGTCTTAATCTCCTTAATGAGCGCCACTTTCTTTGAGTCATCAAATTTGTTAAGTTTTAATGTGAATGATGTCTGAACTGCTTTACCGGCCATTTCTTCTTCCTCTTCCTATAAATCAAAAATATATAACATTTAATGTAATATCACTTTCAAGATATCAGTTAAATATGAAATCAAATTTACCTCTTGAGCGGCAACGGGTGCACCCATAGGAAGAGCTCCGAAAGACATCATAGGTGTGTCCGATATGTTCAGTGTTTTCTTTAACAAAAGTGGTCACTTTTAACCATCTTTTATCATACATTACATACTAACAAATACCTTAAGTAATTGATTCAGTTCTGACACTTCCAGAAGTGTTAAACTTGAGATTTCATCAACAATTTTAACAATCTTTTGTGGATATTGTTTGTCATCAATAGAGGCAGCGGGTGGTCGGATGACCGGCTCGTTCACCACCGAAGTCGATGTCATACTTCGTCTCATAACATAAGTCCATCTGATAAACAAAAAACAAGACATATTAATGACAATTAATAGATTGTATTGTATTTTATGGTTAGACCTGTTATGCAATGGTTTGCTGAAGAAGTGGTGACAAACTTTGATTAAAGAAGTCATGTTTGGTTTGGTTTGTTATGTTTGTTATTAGTCGACAACATGTGAACCAATTCAACACTCTTTGTCTCTAAAGGTGTCTCTACTGTCTGTTTAAACACTTTAGATATTATGAAAAATTGTCAACTTTTTCATTATTCAAACCAAACCATTAGTTTTTTAGTCAAATCATCAAATTATTGAAAATTATTTTCTTTTCTTTTTGTAAATTATGTCTATTTAATAGTTTTATAAAAATAATAATAACATAAACTTATTTAACCGACAATATTGAGGATCTTATAAAATACAGTACAATATATTGTTTAATTCATTAACCGAACCGATTTTACCTCTAGTTATTAAAGGCAGTACTACTGTATATGTATTATAGGGTCAAAGGTGATGGGCGCCAATCAATACTAATATTAGGTCAATTGATCCAATAATGTAAATATCTTATCATGGTCATTTTGCATAAATATTTCACTAAAATGTTATTAATTGCTAAACTATTAAAACTATTGATTGACAGTTTGAATGGATTGGTTTGCATATGAATACTAATGATCAGTGTCTTGATTTCCAACTAAAAAAACTATTTTATCGGTTTAACGGTTATAAATGAGACTTAGTTTGTCGACCGAACTAAACCAATGGACACTATTCCCGAAATTTTATTTAAAACTATTTGATGGCTTACAACTACAGTATAATAACTTAAATAAATAACTATTTCAATGATTTTGAAAAATATAAGCATTAAACTGTAAAATATTGCACTAATATGTAAAAATACAAAATATTAGTTTTAAAAAAATTATATGAAACTAAAATTCATATTAATTTTTGTTAACAATAGAAATAATTAGCACATTTGTGTACATCATTACTGTAAATATGCGGAAAAAAGTAAATCATATCATTTGAAAATAATATAAAAATAAATAACTATTTTAATAACTACAGGTATTTGGTTTTTTTGATGATTATTATACAACTATTGAGAAGTTTTTCTTAATTAAAACATATTTAAAGTGATAAACGCCTGATTTAAACAAAACAAAAAATGAAATATTATTTTATCATCCAATCTAATCAAAATTAATTTAATTATTTTCTAATATTAAAAAATAATTAAGTATTTGACTTTTATATAACAAATACTTAAAATAATTATTAATCAATACATTAGTAATGATAGTATTGTTTAGTGTATATAAACTACTGTATTATATCCCGCCTTAACTACAGTTTGTTCAGTGCATTAATGGGCGACAAATGGGCGGCGATTGGGTTAAAGTGTAGTCAATGTTCGTTATGTTTGTATAGCAATTGTATGGCAATTGTGTTCAACAGAGCCATACAAGGAGTCAATTGTAAGCTATATGTGAAACGCATGCGTAGTGTTTGACAATTGACACAACCATTGATGTACTCATTGCTTGTGATTCATAGTATTTGATTGAATCAAACAATCAAATCATTGGATCAATTGCTACATCAAGTGTTAGCAATTGTGAACAAATCTGTTGACAACTCGTGTGGTAATTGACAGTACAATCAATTGATTTAAAAGGTGAGTGTTGTAGTGGATGTGATGGATGTGATGGTTAATATAGTTATTGATTAACAATGTTTTTGTTTGATTCAGATGTCCAAAGGTATAGTCAGGACGAGTAAGTTTCGGCACGTGTTTGGAAAGGCGTTGAAGAAGGAGAACTGTTACGACAATATCCGTATTTCCAAGAACTCGTGGGACAGCAACTTCTGTGCCGTTAATCCCAAGTTTGTGGCCATAATCATTGAGGCCGCCGGTGGCGGAGCTTTCCTCGTACTCCCACTCAATAAGGCAAGCGTTTAGACATTTGTTACAATTTAATCCATTGTTTAGTATCCATTATATTTGATTTGATATATATCTTATGGTATTTATTTGAATAATCAGTTGCTATGTCTAACATATTTTATCATAAATTGTTCATTTATTTGACACATTGAATGTGTCTTTAAAAATAAATGTATTAAACATATTATGATATTTATAAACTCTGTCTCTTATAATATAAATATTTTTAGTTATGAGCTAATACTTGTTAAATAGTTATGAATTTATTAAAAATAAAGTTATTAAATGTTTTCTTTTTTTCAGTGATAACACAACATTACAGTATTATAAACATATGAATATAATTTTTTGAAAGTATTGCTACTAATTATAGTATAACAACAAATATATTATTTTTGTTGTTTTTCACTTTGAAAATAGACAACTCTATATATGTGTGTATTTAACTTTTTGTTGTTGTATAATATGTATTAAAATAATTTTGTAGTTAATTAATACATATATTGGTATATATGTATAAAAATGACTAATATATTATACTGTATATCCGTCACATATCCTTCCCTAATAACTATAAATCATTTAACAATTTTTTTAGTATCTCATATTTTCAATGCAAAATTTTTTTGGATTCAAAATGTTTTTAGTATTAGCAACTCAACAACTACTTGATGTGTTAAGGATTATATTTAATAATAATAATAATAAAACAGTAATACTTAACACTGATATGTAATACACTATTAGATAACGAGTAATAATTTTATTTGAAAACCCGATTCCTAAAGGTATTGAATGTCAAAGTTATTGACACTTATATTACACATTGAGATCACCGGCAGTTTTGACACAATTTTACAAAAGACTTGCATTGAATTATAGTAATATCAGTGTATTATATAAATATTGTATATAAAAATCAATGTTTTTGTAAGTGTCTGTCACCGGTTTGATTGCATTTCGGCCTAATTTATATATTATAACTCATCTGACTTTTGGCGAGATTTTAATTTTCTTCCATTACTTTGATATCTTATTTTTTATTTCTATTTATTACTTGTTTTTACATTTATTTTAAGTTATAGTAGCAATAGATTTATGATATGCTTCATAAAAAACTATAGAAACTTGAAAATTTATAATATATAACTATATATTAATTTAATGTTTATTTTTTATATTTGATATACTATACAATGCATTTGTTAGCAACATTTACTAAAGTTTATTTGATTTTATGATCTGATATATAAAAATAATAATAAGATTAAAATGCATTGTTTTGATGTTTTAAAAATTAATTGAACTTTCCTTTGTTAACAATGAGATAATTTGATTACAATGTAATTGATGTGTTGTTTAATCTAAAAAAATCTATGAATTTTAGCTATACTTTAAATAATAATATAATATTATTATAATGATAACTGTTGAGTAAAAATTAAGCTCAAATCATGTTTTTACATAACATTACATATGTTTATGCCTTTAACCCTATTTTACACAACAAGTTAACTATTAAAATGCATTAAAATTTCAATTCAATTATCCAACATTTAAATGAACTCAAATGTGATGTACATTCAAACAATAGATTAAAATAAGGTTAAACGTTATGCTCGACCTCTCTATTGCCTGATATATATTTATACACTATTTATAATGATTTATATATACAGAATATGAATACATGTTTGTCGTTATTATTTACATTATTATTATTATAGGATTTATTTCTACTGATAATTATTTGCAATTTAATAATTTTTTTTTGTTAAAAAATTGTATACTATTTTTGTTGACTTATATTCTTACTCCAAATATAATGAATGATTAATCAATTTAATGTCTTATAATGAGAAAGTCAATAATAATATAACTGTATATAGACTGGTCGTATAGATCCTAATCATCCGTTAGTTGCGGGCCATAAGGGACCTGTTCTGGACATCGCGTGGTGTCCTTTCAACGATAATGTCATTGCCAGCGCCTCAGAGGATGCAACAGTCAAATGTTGGCAAATACCAGACTATGGCTTAACGCGAACTCTTACAGAACCTGTGGTTGAACTTCATGGACACCAAAGAAGAGTTGGATGTCTTTCATGGCATCCAACAGCTAATAATGTGTTGTTAAGTGTCGGTTCTGATAATAAAGTAATCATTTGGAATGTCGGCACCTCTGAAATGCTTGTGATGATAGAGTCACCAGATTTAGTATTTCATGCCTCTTGGAGTTGGGATGGAAGTCATCTCGTGACCACATCTAAGGATAAGAAAATACGGGTTTACGACCCAAGAACTGGGGATTTAGAATCGGTATTAAATGATAGATATTATCGTAAGTGAAATAAAGCTAATATCATATCTTATATATGTATAGGAAGGCGATGGACATGAAGGAGCAAAGCCTCAACGGGCTATTTATTTAAGAAATAATTTAATTTTTACGACTGGTTTTTCACGAATGAGTGAAAGACAATATTCTTTAAGAAGTGAATCTGCTTTAAGCGAACCCATTGTTTTGGATGTATTGGACACTAGTAATGGTGTACTCTTTCCTTATTATGATCCCGACGTCAATCTTGTCTATCTCTGTGCAAAGGTATTAATCAAGTGATTAATATATGAAAGAAACATAAAATTTGATAATAATTTAACATTTAAAGGGTGACAGTAATATTCGTTACTTTGAAATAACTGATGAACCGCCGTTTGTCCACTATATAAGCACATACCAGTCCAGTGAACCCCAACGAGGTATAGGTTTTATGCCTAAGAGAGGGTGTGATATCCTTAACTGTGAAATCGCACGACTCTATAAACTTCATACCCGAGGTTTTTGTGAAGTAATTCCATTTACTGTTCCTCGAAAGGTATGTATCCTTAACTCCTACGATATGGTGTTATTCAATGGCAAAAACTTTTGCTGATTATATGCCAACTATTTATATAACACTTAAGCTTTAGTTATTACAAGTTTTAATATTTATATATTTATATTTTGCTATTTCTTAATTATGACGTTTTAAATGCCTATAATGGAAGATATAAATAACTATAATTAAGACATAATATATAATAATTTTAATTCATATAAATTTATTTTGGTTTGCATTGCTTTATATATCTATTTTTGAAAAATAGATTTTTATTACTATTATATTTAAGATAGATTATTATTATTTTTATTGAAAAAACTATAAGTGAGATATAAATATTATAATATCTGTATAAATTTAATTTTATATAATTAATAATTTAAATGTTATTATAGTCCGAATTATTTCAAGATGACTTATATCCCGATACATTGAGTGATATACCTGCGCTTACAGCTGAGGAATGGATCAATGGTGAAGACAAAGAACCTGTTTTGGTATTATAGAAATATATCGATTGAATTAATGAATTAGATTTAATGATGATTTGATTTTAAATTATAGGTATCACTTAAAGAAGGCTATCAGCCGACGAAGAATAAAGACCTAAAGTTGGCCAAAAAGAAGCCTAATTTGTTAGACAAATTGCCCGCCAAAAAGCAATTGTCTTCATCAGGTGGTTCCAAAGAATCAACTCCATCGCCTCCCAGTTCTCCAAAACCTTCTGGAGGTTCATCCGGTGTTTCAAATCAAAGAGTCGAAGAATTGGTTTCAGAATTGAATAAATTAAAAGCAATTATATTGAAACACGAGGTAAGGATCAGAGATTTAGAGAAGAAGGTTGAAGAGAGTCAAACTGATTCACATAATAATCATAACTCACAACAAAATAACGGCGATTCACATCTCGCCGATGAAGTCTAATATTTGTGTTTCAAAGTAATCAATGCCTCAATTAATTAAATATTTTGTGCATTACATTAACAGTATATACAAATGTACAGTATATTGTAATTTACTGTATTATAAGTATATACAATATATTTATTTATACATATAAGCATTAATTTATAAATTGCATACCAAATATTGATATCATAAATACTAATTAATACACTACTTGTGAACTAATTGTTGAAAAGGATGGCTATTTTGCTCAATTATAAAAGCCATTGATGCCATTCAATACAAAAAAAGTGATGTTTACTAATGGCATACAATTGGCTTCTATGCAAAAACAAAGCCAATGCTTAAATAATTTTATTTTTGATTTTAAAACTTTAAATGCTCTTTTGTTACAATTTGAACAAATATTGTTTTAATTATTTTATTTTATTTGTTTAATTATATATATATTTATGAATATATAAGAGTAATTATTGAAATTACTCACTTTATGAGCACATATTTATAATGTATTTTAGATTTAAATTGATTTATAAAAAAATAATAAATTGAACATGTAAATTATTTAAATTTAATGTTTATTTTGTGCCAATCAATATAATAACAGTTGCAAATAATTTAGATACATTTTAACATTTTAGTAAATTGCCACAAATTTTTTAAATGTTCATATATTGAAACCATCACAACATTAATATACAGTAATAATTAAAAAATTGTACAAATTTTAAAACTAAATTTATTTAATTCAAAGCTTACAATGAATATACATTTTATAATCTAAAAATGAGATAAAAATACAATTAAATTTAAAGTTTGAATAAATGAAAAATTTATCAAATTATTTGACTTATTTGTTAATCTGTAATCAATAATGAAATCAAAAGCCATCACTAGAGCCACCTTTTCTGTGATCAATGAAAGTAACAAAACTAGAGTTTGTGTTTAAAATAGTATAAACCGATGAAACTAATTGTTCGGTCTCTAAATAATGGCCGAAATGGTAGAGTCCATCGATATATACTTTGGGAAAATTAGACTCATATAAGACAGTATTGGTAGTGATATCATAGTAAAGACGTGACATATCAGTGGCTTCTTTAAGTGTATGACATCCCCATAGGATTTGATATAATACTTGAGAGATTGACGACACAATTCTTGTGCCACCAATGCTTCCGATTGCGAATTTGGTGTTTCCATTGCTGTCAACGATGATTGTGGGGGACATTGAGGTCAGCGGACGCTTACCTCCTTGTATAGCATTAGCTGATGTCACTGATGGCTCACCATTTACTTCGACAGCAAAATCTTTCATTTCATTGTTGAGAACAATTCCCGTCGATTTTGATATGCTTTTTGAACCAAATACTGAATTAATACTAGAAGTAACTGAAACGGTGTCTCCATTGGTCCCAATGACAGATATATGACCCATTCCTTCGTCATTGTCATTGATTACTTGTTCAGTCAACCCATAATAAGATGTTTGTTGAGCCGTTTCTTGAATATTTTCTTTTATTGATTTCGCGTATGAAAATGATGTCATATTTTTTAATATCTCAGTATTGTTAACGAAATCTGGATCTCCTAAAAGTAATCTCTGTCCAAATGCAAACTTTAAAGCCTCAATAAATCTATGAAATACTAATGTCCTATTGTTGACATCCAATTGTTGATCACATGTGTGGTTAAACTCATTGAGTATGTTGAGTATGAGTGCAACGACTGATCCACTACCCGGAGGCGGAACAGTTAGAAGTGTATAGTCTCCGCCACGAAGTGACACTTTTATTGGTTGACGGACTTTTACTGTATATGATTTCATATCTTCAAGTGTTATGAAACCGTTAAGAGCTTTAATATCTTCTACCAGTTTACTAGCAATTGATCCATTATAAAAATCTTCAGGATTTTTAGCAATCACTTCCAGAGTTTCGGCTAATTTCTCTCTTTTGAGTATTTCCCCAGATTTGTATAGACTATTGGTTTCGTTATTTTTAAATATTTCTTTTAGATTATCATTCATTTCGATGTCATCTTTAAATTGTATTAAAATCTCTTCTAAATGTTTGGTGACATTAATGCCATTTCTTGCCATTGCTATCGATGGCTCAATCAATGAACTCCAGCTTAGTTTGCCATATCTTTGATGAGCCAAAATCATTCCTCTTAATTGTCCGGGAATTGCTATCGACGGCCCGTCTTTATAAAAAAAAACATATTTTATTTATAAATAATATTTAATAATATTTATTTAACTAATACCCGATTGAAGAAGTGATGAATCATTTTTTAACAAATTAATAAAATCTACATTTTTAGGAGCAGTTTCTCGAGCATCAATCACTTCGCTTGTATTGTTAGCTCTATTTTATTGATAATTATAAAAATAAGACATTTTTAAGACATAAATCAAAATAATAATACCTGTTGTAAACAATCATAAGAAATCCTCCGCCAATACCAGAACTCTGAGGATTTGCTATTTCATCACAAAATAGCAAAGCGATGGCCGCGTCCACTGCCGAACCATTTCGCGATAATATCTTTTTTTGTTGAAAATTATATTATATTATTAAAACTTAATAAATAAAAATGATTATTAAATACATCTCTTGCAATGCCAGCGCACGGCTCTCCATCCACAACGACTGCCGACGAACTAAACCTAACTTCTTGAGCATCCGAGACAATGAACTCTCCTTTTAAGTATTGACTGCGCTTTTGGCGAAGTTTAGGCAAACCCAGGATTAAAGTTACCGAAAATGCAATTATGATCACAATTAATGAAATGGTCACTAAAATACATTGTTTTTTCGTGAAATGAGTTCTGCAAATAAAATATATATATTTTTATAGATAATTATATTTTTATTTTATTAATTTCATTAAATAATTAGCATATAATTTGACATATAATCACTGACTTGGGAACCGAATCTATTAAAGTATATTTATAGCTAACACTACCGTATCTTTTACTGGACGTATTGTCCAACGTTTCGTCTCTAATAAGTTTAGATTTTTCACTCATTTTTCAAGTAATTATTATATAAAATATTTTTTATATAAATAATAAATACTGTATTTTTCACTTAACAAAAACAATACATAAATTTTACGAAAACACAATTGCAAATGACACCCATTTTTGACGATTTATTTAATTTTTATCAATCAAAAGATATTTCAAAAACAATTATCTATTTAATTGATTCATAGCATTGTTATGATATAAGTATAAACTTATATTATAAATACTGTATAACTAACTTAATTGATAAGTATTAATACTATAGTATAAATTTTGATATCTTAAAACACTTAAGTGATTATTTTTCTATTTATTTAATGACAATTTATTCTAATATTTTAGTACAAATTGAATTTAACTTAAACTATTTTTAAATAAATACAAATATAGCTAAGATTTTTATTTTATTAAATAACAAATAATTTTAATGGATTTTTAAAGTTAAAATATAATTATATGACAATTTTTTTTTATATATACTGTATTTATCACTTAAATTTTATTATTGTAAATTTTTATTGTTAAACTAATTACTATAAATAGTTAAATAAATATTACAAATTTATTGTTTTTATTAATTATCAATAGTTGAATAAATATCTTTAGCCAAAATTAAAATAAAATATTTATAGAAAACTTTGTGACATTTATAGCTGCGAAATTTAATTGTTAATATTAACTCATGATTTTAGTACGGATAGAAACATACATTTTATTAGATAAATTTTATTTAATTTGTTTTAATTTATTTTATTTGTTGATATATTAAAATTACATAATTTAAAATTTAAATTATGATATTTAAAATTAAATTATACATACAAAACAATTTGACTTTCTCCAGTTGATACTCTTTTATAAATTTTTGTCATTTTGACATTTTAAGTGCACATTTAAAAAAAATATGAGATAATACTTATAATCATAATATTTATATTTACTGTATGTAATCAATTTAATATCAATTCAAATCAATATACCAGTACAATGTGTGTGATAATAAAATGTCTGATATTTCATTCAATGATTTGCAATAAGTTTTATTATAATATAAATTTATTATATATTCACCTGTACTGTAAATATACTATTTGTAGTACTATACTAATACTATTTTTTTATATAAGACTTACAATGATTCAATTATTTTTATAGATTGGTTATTATAATTTACAACTATTTAGATATTAGCTTATGTTTTGTATATATTTTTTAAATAAAAATTCGTAATGCTGAATTTTAATTACTAAATTTAATTATTTATACTGTACTTTTATTAATATAAATTTTGATCTTAACATTTATTAATAATTAATTAGATATCTTTATAACTTATAATATATATATATATATATTAATGTTTATACATGTATACGGTTTATGACACATAGAATACATATTTATCAAACAAAATATTAATTATTTTGTATTAAAACTCAATGTTTTGTCAATATATTAATTATTTAGTTTGATTTGAATTAAGTTTAAGATTATTGTTAAAATGCATTACATTTGTGATCTGTGTTCACATTCACTGTCAAACATATGAATTGCATCCTTGAGACACATATTTCATCAATTTTTACTTTAATTAATCATTTATTTGAAAATTTAATGATTTTTATATATATTAAAAATAGCATAAATTATTTTTTTTTATTAAAGGCCATTGCATTTTAATAAAACAAATTTATCTATACTTATCATTTATACGGTATTAACTGATATCTAAATAACAAAATATACTTAACATTTTAAAATAAACCAATATATTTTTTTGTATACATTTTTATAATTTTTTACACTTATACAACTTATACAATATACTAATTTTTAATATTAATGTATATTTCAAAATTTGATTACAAATAAAAGCAGTAATATTTGTCAAATATCATTAATTTATTTTTATTTAAAATTTTATTATCTTATTTTAATAAGTAATATAAGAAAGGGGTTAAGAAAAGGGGTTATCAATGCCATTCACATATAATATATTAATATATTTTATATACTGTATATGACCCCCAAATAACCGAACATTTAACAGAAAATATAAAATATTATAATATTTTGATGTACTTTAAAAAAATTAATTAAAGATAAATATTTATATTTTATTAATTTTCTCTGTCTCTAATATGAGAGATATATTAAATAATAAATTTTTATATTTACAACAATATCTTAAATGAATAGTAAAATGAATAATAAATTTTAATGTCATATAAAGTAAATACAGTAGTAAATTGAATGAGTCTATAGATACAGTATATTTAATGAATGAGTATTTATAATTGACTTACTATTTATAGAGTTTTATTAGTTTTTATTAAAAATTAATTCATACAAATTGAAACAGAATTTATTCAAATTAAATTATAAATATTGCTTGTTTTATAACCATATATTAGATATTAAATATTAAAAACCCACTTTATTTTTATGTAAACTCATTTTTTATGTTTGGAAAATAGTAATTTCCCAAAAGAAATTTTTTAGAAATTACTTTTACAAAAATTTATAGAGAACTAAATAATTTTAATTTTATTATAAATAAACTTTACTTGAATTTGTTTATATATGTACTGAATGTATGAAAATAAAATATATACATATATTTATATAACTTAATATAAAGTATATACAGTATTATATACAATATGACCTATTAACAAAAAATATACTGTGAATTATAATTAATAATTACATTATTGACTTTATTAAAATTATTTATAATTTATATAAAAGCTTTGCACTAAACTCTATTACATAAAAATTTGATTATTTATATTATAAATATTGTATATTTTAAATACGGTAATATTACATACAATATATTTTTAAATAACATTTTTATCAATCTCAATATAAAATTCTAAAATTATAATAATAATGAAAATTAATTTGTAGCTAATTAATTAAATTTACGTTAATTTATGAATTGAATTAAGATGTTTAAAATTAATTATACATTTGAAGGTAAAATAAAGTTGGACTACAGTATTATATGAACACAATTATTGAATAATGTATTTTGTATTATACAGGTATTGACTATTTTATATGTATTGGATTTATAATTAATAGGTTACCATAAATAATAATCGGATTCTTAGATAATAATTTAATTTTTTAGATTATTTATATATTGAATATATATTTTTAAAAGAAAAATTTCTCTTTTGCATAACATTACTCATGTTATAAAACTCAATGAATTTAAATAATATATTTGTATTAATAAGTTAAATGTATGTAATTTATAATTTCAATTATTTTTTGGCGGAACGCCTCCGGAACGTGCGTCAAGTTATCCACACTTTTTATAATTTTGAATACAGTATTTAATATAAATGAAAATAATAAAAATCTAATATAATTTATATTTTAACATATTTATGAGTTTGCTTAGAAAAAAACCGTATATATATATAAATTATATACTGTTTTATATTTTATCAGATTAATTATGTAAACCACATACTAATTATAAAAAACATTAACAGCTTATATATTGTAAGATAATTTGATTAACCAAACATTAATTATTAATAGCATTAGTGACTTTTAAGTTACAACATATAAACAATATCAGCAAATAAAGTGATCAAATAGTATTAGCTATGATTGTGTGAAAATTGATTGTAAAAAATCGTATTCAAGGTTTTTCCGGTACAATAAATTAATTGAAACAACTCTTCCTATAAAAACTATTTGTTATTTTGTTTAATAATAATAATTACGTGATTTCATTGACTATACGGAACTGTTTTAAGAACGAGTTCAACAAGAAATACATTTAAAAAATTATTTTCATAAAAATTAATTTAATACAAATTTAAATATAATTTGCAAAATTTGATAAATAATAATATAGTAATTTGTATATTATTTATTTATTTATTTACATATACTTCAAGTCCATTTGCAAAAATTTCTAATAACTCTAACTTAATTTATAGTATAAACATCATATAGACCAAGATAAAAAAAACAAATTTAAAAATAAATAAATTATTCAACTATTATATAAAAATGAGCTATTTTTAAATAATAAAACAAAAATTTCAGAAACGTTGATAATCAGTTTACTATAAATAATTGTGAATTATACTAAATAATAATTAGATTTAGACATATACTAAAAATATCGACTTGTTTTATTATAAAATAATTTATAAAAATTATACTATTATTATACAATAATTATTTCAATGTAATTTATAATGATAAACTTTGTTAATAATATAGCAAATATATTTATATATACACTATATTGATACATAAAACGACAATTTAATAATATTATATTTTGACACTAAAATTATAGTCTTATTGTTTTTATTGCTGATTGGGTTAACTTGTTGTGAAAGTCAATGACATATTTAACAGTAAAATTTTTAAAGTTATAAAATTAAAAATATATAACAATTTTAGAAATCCTTTTCCTTTAAAAATGACAACAAAATGATTTGTGTAATTATAAACATTTAAATTATTATAACGAATGTTGTTATTATGAAAATAACTTTAAAAAAGTGATTTCTTAATAATTAGTAAATCCTTGACATGTTGTGTATTATTTTGAATTAAAAACATTTAAATATTATGATTTTAAGTGAAACTTAAATTTTTATATTATTATTATTGTATAAAAATGTATTCATCTGTGTGTTTGCTTATCATATAAATCGATGAAAAATTTAGTTTAGGACAAGGCTATAGACAAGTGCAGTGGTAATGAGATTATGTGGTAAATAATTGAATATTTTATGTCAAAAACTTTTTATCTAAAACTCAAAAGTTGAAAGAAGACTACCATAAAAGTATAATTTTTTATCATTTATTTAATGTCTAAAATATTTTTATGAGTCTAAATAAAATGTTATTTCTTATATCTTAATATCAGAAATCATTGAAATAATATATATATATATATATATATATATATATATATATATATATATATATATATATACTTTATTTTGCCAATCATACTCTAACTACTATTTTCATAAATATTAACCAATTTACTCAAAAAAGGTAAATATAAAAATAACTAATGACTCATAAAAGTTAATTTAATTAATAATAAATTATATTATACTCAACATTATTGTGATAATATTATGGAAATTAATGGCCATAAACATAGTGCTAATACAGTTTCATTTCAAACATTAATAGTATTGTTTTATTGAAATAATTTCATAAAATTTTTGAAAAACATAATACATAGTACTATCATGTAATAAATACAATACAGTATATACTGCATATATCGTACATATTTAATATTATTACGTTCGTGTTAAAGGATATAAAATAAAATTTATTATAACATTTTAGATTTATCATTGAAAGTTAAATTAGATTTGTAATGCATTATACTGTATTCAATTTACTGTACAGTATATATTATAGTATACTAAGATTTACTATAATTAAAATATAATAGAAATACATTATAGAAACTCTGTACTGTATTTAAGGTAAAAAGTTTTCAAACAAAATATTGATAACATTATTCGTTGTTTTTAAGTTAATAATTAATATATAATAGTATTTATGGTTATATCGAAATTTGTATCAGATTTGTATATCATCTATTATACATATTTATCAAATAAATTTATAAAATTTAAAATTATATTATCTTAAAAAAGATAATTAAATATATAATAACCTTTAAATAATCTTTACTTTATTTTTAGTTGTCTAACTTTAGTTTATTTTTAGTTTTATGTGCCATAAAATTAAAAGTATTTAAACATGTTTATACAGTTTATTGTTAGCACATAATGTTAATAATTATACAATAATTGTATTAAATAAAAATACCCAAAAATGACATTGCTAACAAAGCAAATAAATTGTGTATATCTTAATGCGATATTTTGCAGTTTTTACTTAATTTTGAGTCCAATTATTAGTTTTAGCAATTTTGTGGTAAAATGTTTGTTATAATTGCAGTTTTACACCGACTATCGTAATATTGAATTAAAAATTTAGTGAATTTCGTCTAAAATGTTTTAATCATTGAAAATGCTATAAAAATGAAACATTGGATGATATAAACTAATGGAAGGCTAGCCTTGACATCCAGAGCTACAGTTTCACAGGGAGTCGTCTAAAATCGGTGCCTTAAATGAATGTATTATTATATATAAAATTTACTGAAATAATAAAACATTACCTGAGAAGTGACATACGGTTGTCATTGAATGAAGTCTACATTTTATCGATTGTTAATGAAAATCATATAATATTACTGTATGTTAATGTTATATGATATGCAAATATTATTATTAGTTGCAATCAATTAAAGCAAATAGACTGAAAACACGACATCAAGTTATATATTAACAATAACTGATGGTTTTTATACATTAAAACTTTCAATCATCAATTGACCCGTTTTAAGGTTATAGGTCTCCAAAAACGCTAAATATAATAAATGTAAGCATTACTGTATTTACAACTTCCTAAATATCTATTATTTTCATTTAACAATAAAATATTTATTAAATATTACACAAATGTGTTTACTATAATATTTCATACTATTGTTTGATTAATGAAACAAATAAAGTTATATAACAATGTTAGCAAATTATTTGTAACAAGTTATTTGATTTTTAATAAAATACGTATAGAATTTAGTTTAGTTTATATTATAAAATTAAAAACAAAAACAAAAATATAAACAATATATATATATACTGTATATAAATATATACCGGTATATAATATGTTTTAAATGCATTTGGATCGCAATTAAGTGATCAAAGTGTTTAAGATAAGACATGAAAATTACATTTGAGTGAACAGCTTCTGGCTATTAAAAAGGCAACAAATTAAAGCAATTAAAGTGAAAAGGCCTCAACTCAGAGGTAGTGCCACTTTCACTGACATATATTTGACACCATTTGGCAAACATTACTCACAACTAAATCATTTGACTATTGAATGCTAACCTGTGTTACTGTTACTGTCTCTAAAATATTTTAACTGTATTTTTAAAAAATATAGTTTATTTAATTCAAATTTTTTATATCACAAATCTTGGTGTGCATTACTATCTGCTTTAGTTTTGTTTCCATAAATCATATATAAAAACTTGAAAAAATCTGCAAAACCAATGATGCGAGACATTAGTGACATTAGTGTTGCAACTTTTGAACAGTAAAAAAGGTTTTGTAAAGTTTGGTGTAAACCTGGAGTACCTTCAAGACTGAAAATCTTAGAGTTGTTAGCACTCAAAGCTAACTAACTGTTCATTATATATATAATATACTGTATATAAGTATATAACTTATATGGAGTAATAATAATAATAATAATAATAATAATAATAATAATAATAATAATAATATGAGATACGAGTGTTGGACCATAACTTCGATAACAGGCTCTGTACTGGTGTTGACTTAATTTAACAATAAGTGTTGACCCGTTTTGTATTTATTGTGTTTTGAAATAATATTTAGCAAATATTGTGAATCCGGTAACTCTTTAGTACTGTTTTAATGTATATCTCCAAAGAGTACACTTTTTCTTCATATAATAATTTATAATAAGTGTCTGCAATACTCTGTATATTATATGTGTAGTACATTGTGTACGCATACACACAACAGCTATACAAGAGAGCACTGGTAGTCAAAGTTATGCCAAATGAATTCATTCCTCTCCTCTCACTCACGAGTTTGTCAATTAACTTACCATTTGTTGGCTTTAAAGTTGCCTTTTTTCAAATGAAATAACTTTTATTATCATTTATTTTAGTGTCTCTTCAATACACTTCAAGCACACATATATATACAGTAAATGTATGTAAAATGTATTTCACTTTTTATAATAACAACTATTCATACATTATATTTTCAAGTGAAATGTAAAGTTAAGTCATTTCATCAATAAGTTGATTGAAAAATGTTTGCCTAACTGTTGAACATAAAAATTGCTTTCAAATATCACAAGTCATATAAGTGTGTGGAGTCGGGCGTCAATCATGTCTAAGTCGGACCCGATTTTCACATTTACTATCGTATGTCAAGCAATGGTTGCTTTTATTGGTCTCATATTTAACGGATATATACTATTTGTATTGATTTGCTCTAAACTAACAGTTAATAATATTTTATTATTATTTATGGCTTTGGCTGACACTGCTATTTGTTTATTAATACTTGTGGCCAACACACCAATGAGTCTGAACCATCACTTACCACAAGTGCAACACTTGTCTATAAATTCATCACAAGTTATGGATGAATACAATGTCCAGGATTGGGCATGTGGTGCACAGGGAGCACTTTGGACAGTACTACCACTATGTATAACATGGGCTATATGTGGTCTAATAGTCGATAGATATATAGCTATAGTACGTCCTTTAAGTTATAATCGGCTAATAAATGTGCGAAAAGCGACTGTCCTATTGATTATAATATGGATGTGTTTGATATCATTTTCATTACCACCACTATTGGGATGTTGTTCTTATAGATTCCTCTTAAGTCATTCGGGATGTGTTGCCATTTGTTCCCGAAGTACAATCAATAACAATGAGTTTTATTATATGATATTATATATAAGTTCACTACTAATACCTGTAATCGTGATAATTGTGTGCAACGTTCACATAGCTTTCATTGCACACAATCATAGGCATCGTATCGTTTCAGCTATCTATGAGATCACAATGCGAGCCCAGGCCACTGTTATACACCAGTCCACTGTGACCCACCAGTCCACACACCAGTCCAGTCCCAACTATCTGTTCAAATATAAGGGTCGACACGCCTTCCTTCCTATTTTACAATTAGTCGGTTCACTCGTGATTTTTATATTTCCTTATTATATAATATATGCATACAAATCGTTTTCAAATAAGCCATACGATGACTACTGGACCTCAACCTCAACGCTCATCCTATCGTTTACGCCGATAGTTAACGGATATGTCTATGGAGTCAAAAGCAAAGCTTTGAGGAAAACTTTTAAACGACTGCTTCAGGTCTGACCTTTTGATTACTATTTCATTAGTTTTTATTTGTTTACATCACTTCACTTGTTATTGTTTTAATTAATTAATTAATTAATTTATATACAGTATATATATAGTATATATAGTATATATAGTTTATACAGTATATACTGTATATTACCAACTTTTATAGCATTCTTAGAGTTAAACAGTATATGACTGATATGAATGACTGTTTACTATTGATATACAATTATTATTAATAATAGTTAATATTATAGTGAATTTTGCAGTAATTTATAAAAATAAAGTATTTTCGGTACTATAGAATACAAAATAAATATTTATTTACTAAACATAAAGTTACAAACAATTTAATTAAACTACAAAATTAATGTAATTTATGAATTGATGTGAATTAATTAATTTATTATTAAATTAAAAATTTTAATTTACTAGTAAAATAACAATAACAATAAAAATATTAATTTATTAATTTTTTTTGTAGTTGTCTCAACTCATTTTAAATTAAATGTAAATTTTGCTTACTTTGTTGGTCACAACTTTGTATCCGCAAACTAGCCGTAAATTATGGCTATTAAGGCAACTGTAAGTTTCAGGTCTGAGACTTACATTTGACTATTACTGTTGATGAAGAGGAGCCGATCTCATCGAAACAATTGTCCAGAAATTTACCGCTAGTTTGCGGATACAAAGTTGTGACCAACAAAGTAAGCAAAACTTACATTTAAAATAAAAATATTATTATTTTAGAAATAATTAATATTTTAATATAAAATTCTAAAATTAAATTAGAGAATAAATATATTTACAATATTTGTATCAAATAAAATATAAAATATATTTAACTGATTGAACAAATAATTTCAATTCTATTGGTTATCAAATTACATAAAAAATAATTTAATTATCAATATATTCAGATTTTTATTTTTTATTGAAAATACTTATATTTTAGAGATTTTCTCAATTATTTCTATAACTATTTAATTTTTAAATATTTTAAATATAATTAAATATTTTTAAAACAAAATTTTGATTTATAAAATAAGTTTATTAATAAATAATAAACTAACAATAAATCTAATTTTTACACAAATTATATAATAATACATTAAAAACATATATTGTTTTTATGTAATCCTATTCTATATAATAAAATAAAAATATAGTTTTAGTGCTTTATATGATATACTTTATGTGTTATTGAATAAATAAAATATTTGCATTTATGTTACATTATATTAATATAATTTAGTATATGTAATAAATGCCTAATTTTATATAAGAGACATTACAGTATATAATAGTACACTATATAATACGTATCGAATATTTCATTTTAATCCATTACATCTAATTAGTAATGATATTAAATTTAGTTTATTATATAATTTTATTATATAATTATGATTTGAATAAAAATATTGTTATTTTAATGTATTGAATGATGTATTGTAGAGATATCTGTACGAACAACAGGCATCCATAGAGATTGATAGAAGACTATCATTGAGATCACAGTCATCACTGAGAGAGGGATGGAATTCATTGTTAATCACATCCAGTCTGTCCTCACAAGTGATGTATAGAAGTCAGAGACGATTCTCTGCTCCAATCAGTTGTACTCCGGTTGTAGTCTTGACTAACAATAACCATAAATTACCGGAAAGAAGACAATCCCTACAGAATATCATTGTTTGCGATACACAGACTAAGACAAAGTCAACAACTTGTCCGCCACTCACTAAAAGACCATCATTTCTGGCTGAAACCAGACTTACCTCTGCGACACCTCTCAGTCCTATACAAGAAATATCGCATTTCAGTGATAACTCGAGTGGTGTTATTAACTATGAATAAAATTTACTTAATTAAACACTTTATATATATATTATAATATTTTACCTAAAATATGTCTTTCATAACAAATGTGTTAATATATAAATTACTATTTATTTGTTTATTAACTGATTGTTATAAATTGTTAAGAATTTATTTTATTATTTATAGTTAATAATATTAAAAAATATTATATATTTTAATCGACAAAATATTTATTTATTGTAATAAAATATATTTTATTAGTTGTAAATGTATTTATATCACATATTTTTGTTAATATAATTTGTTGAAAATTATTTATTTATTTTTTTGAAAAAAATTGTAAATATAGTAATAAAATAAATAAATTTTGTGCCATTCCTTTCCTAAAATACCAATTTGTTATTTAACCTAGGTTAATAATTACATTGAAAAACACAAATAATCAATATATTATAATTTACTGATGTTTATGTTAAATACAAAAATGTTTTTACTTTCGACTCAAATTGTATTAATATATTAAATAGTATTACAGGTAAATATTAATATTAAAAAAATAATATAATAATGTAATATTAACTTATATTTTAATACAGTACTTAAAAACTATTTGTATAAAAATAAAATATGTTAATATATTATTATTATTGGTTATTATGTTAATATATTAATTAAAATTATAATTAAAAATAATTATTTAAAATAAATTTCATGAAGTAGTAGTAGTAGTAGTAGTAGTAGTAGTAGTAGTAATAATAATAATAATAATAATAATAATAATAATAATAATAATAATAATAATAATAATAATAATAATAATAATAATAATAATAATAATCATCATTTTTAATGATTTAAAAGTTTGAATAAATGTTCAATAAATCATAAGTTTTTTGTGCAATTTTTTTATTTTAAATTTCTAATCGATTATAAATTGATTGTAAAAATATCAAACATCTAAAATCAAATATAAAATAAATCAATTTAATTTACGTAACTAATAAAAAAATTTAATGTTATTATTAAGTAATTAAATAAAGTAAAAACCAATATTAATTAACTTTTGTTATTTAAATTGACTTAAATTAGATTTTAAGATTAATAACTAATAGCTAAAATAAATTTTAATTAATAAAATACAGTATATGTTATATAGAATTATATTAGGGTTATGCAAGGGTAGGGGATTAGGTCAAAATACCCCTAAGATTAAGATTTTAGGATTTTATCCCCAGACTATTTGACAAAATTGAAAAATTGTCGCTTAAAAAGAGGAGAAATGACCCACATATAATTTTTTCAAGTTTATAAAAATTATAATTTTAATTGATAATATTTTATTAAGTATTATGTTTTTATAAATTATATGAATGTAATTATTAAGTAAAAATAAGTAAAATAGTTAAAATCACATTAAAATTAATATAAATATAATATTTTAATTAAAATATTCAACTACAAAATTAAAAACTAACTATTTGTTTGACAGTAAACATATTGCAATTTAAATAGAATTTAAATATAAATAAAGTTAGTAAAACAATATATATAATGTATATTAAAATGATTTTAAAATAAAAATATGTACCTAAAAACTTAAATATTAGCTATTCATTAAAAAATTAATTATGTTATAAGTAGTATATTATTTAAAATTAATTGTAATTAAAATGTTAAAAATACATCATAGTGAAAAATTTTCCATTTAAAAATGCAATAAGTCTATACCCCCCAATTTTTACGTTATTTTTTACATTTGACTCCCTATACCCCCTAAAATCCAAAACCTTGCTTAATCCTGTTAATAGTTATGATAAAAACTGTTGTATTATATTTAATCATGAAAAAATTATACCTGTACTACTGTATACTGTATATAAATAAAATAAAACATTATTAAAATTTATAATATCGTACAATGATTTTCAAGGTTAAGTTTGTCTGTTTAAAATTATATTTTATTTTTTATAATATATTACTAGAATATGAATATATATCTCCTATATATACCAGTGGTTATTCACGCGCGTTCATTAACCAATTAAAATAGAGTTCTAATTTTCATTGTTATTGATATAATGTACAGTGTGTACAAAAAATAATGTGACTAAAAAAATAATTTATAAATTTAAATATCTAATTATAATCAAATGGTAAAAATAGCTTAAGAAGTTGAGGAATAGATCCAATTATCATCAAATGGTAAAAATACCTTAAGAAGTTGAGGAATAGATCCAATTATCATTAAATGGTAAAAATAGCTTAAGAAGTTGAGGAATAGTAATAGTTATCAAATGGTAAAAATAGCTGAAGAAGCTGAGGAATAAGTATAGTTATCAAATGGTAAAAACAACTGAAGAAGTTAATGACATGTTTTGAGTGATGGCGTTAAATCTGTACTAATTGATTGTCCAGTTATTATAGATTGTATTTGTAGTAACTGGTTTAGTAAATCATCATTTTAATATTAATTAATAAAAGTTGAATTATTAACATTTAAATGGTAATTATCATTTAAACAGCAGAATTAATCCATTGATAAGGACAACGATGACTTATGCATTTGTTGATTGTCAGACATGTCGAATGACATAAAAATACAATCAATTCTTAAATAACTTTAGTAATAACTTAATTTACAAAACTTTTATAAAGTTAATTCAATGTTTTGGACCTATTCCTCAACATCTTCAGCTATTTTTACCATTTGATGATAATTGGATCTATTCCTCAACATCTTCAGCTATTTTTACCATTTGATGATAATTGGATCAATTCCTCAACATCTTCAGCTATTTTTACCATTTGATGATAATTGGATCAATTCCTCTACTTCTTCAGCTATTTTTACCATTTGATGATAATTGGATCAATTCCTCAACTTCTTCAGCTATTTTTACCATTTGATGATAATTGGATTAATTTCTCAACTTCTTTATATACAATTTTATATATTTAATAATATTACGTTAATTGATCAGTATATCAAGTCACACACTGTACTAACAATTAAACGGTTAAACAATTAAATTAATTTTGATTGGTTAATATGAATTTGATTTTGGTCACATGATTCTGTGACAAAGTCACAGTTTACGCAGTTAGCGACCATTCAATTTCTGTGACTTTGTCACTAATACTACGTCACGAGATATATATACAATATATATAGTATAGATATATAATTAATAAATATAATATAAATAACTAATTAATTAACAAATTATTGGAAAAGCAATTTGAAAATATCAATAAAACTATATTTCAAGTGATTAAAGATATAAAAACATTTTGACATAATATTTATAATAATTTAATTGTAAAAATAATTTTATATAACTATTATTGTATTTACTATTAAATATCACTAAATTGTTTAATGTTTTAAATGTTTAAATACTAAAAAGTAAAAATCATATTCACAATAATTAATTGATTTTGCTATAATTATATATTTAAAAATATATTCAACTCAAATTTCAAGTAATTTATTAACAGTAATGTCATTATATAGTTATTTTAAGAGTTATTTATTTCTAAGTAATAATTTATAGTTTAACAGTTTATAGTTAAGCTTTATATCAATCAAATATTTTTGCAATATTTATCATAATTAGTATTTAGTATTTGAATATTTTAAATTTATTTAGACTAATATTTTCCTCAAATTATTAAGATTAAAAAGATTGATATAACATATAACAGCTCAGTATACTATTTTGGTTGTATAACACTTTAAAATATATATTTATTCATTTGTTTATTAAATAATTTTTAGATTAACTATCTGTAGTTTTATAAAATTATTTTAAAACTTCTTATTAAAAGAAAAAATTTAAAGTAAAATATATATTATTTATTTAATAAAAAATATTACTTCATTTAAATACATTTTGTGATTATTCAAACCAAACTAATAAATATCTGAAAATTTCGTACAAATATTATTACTTATCATTATAATAATTTATTATATATTTACATAATGTATTATACAATACAGTATACTATAGCATATGTTTTTGTATATAAAACATATTATGAATATTAGTAAAAGATTATAATTATTTGTATCACATTTAATATTTAGAATCCTAATAACTTTAAGACATTTGTTTTGTCTGTTTGTTTGTTTGTTTGTTTGTTTGTTTGTTTGTATGTGTGCACACTTCCTCAACAACCATTTTTTAATTCAAAGCTAAAAATATATTGTTATATTTTCAATTTTAATTTAAAGCAATATTATTTCTATGGGAAATTTTAAATGATTATTGAGCTCAGGTAGGTTTTAGGGACAGGTAGGCTGGTGTCGTGTAATTACACTTTGCTATATTATATGAGTTACAGGGCACCGGGAGGTAAGCTACCTGTGCTAAATTTTTGCAAAATTTTCTCAAATGCAATTTTCAATTTGTGTTAAAATTTTCAATTTTAATTTAAAGCAATGTTATTTCTATGGGAAATTTTAAATTTTTGTTGAGCTCAGGTAGGTTTTAGTGACAGGTAGGCTGGTGTGTCGTGTAATTACACTTTGCTATATTGTGTGAGTTTATGGCACATGTTAGCTACATGTGTTAAATTGCTTTTTTTCAAATGCAAATTTTTTTTCGCAAAAATTAAATTTTCAATTTTTATTAAAATTATTTAAATATATATAAAAACTAAAATTTCTCAAAAGTTTAGTCGAATTAATGTGTATTGGTTCAGTAGTTTTGTTACATTAGGTTATGTAGTAGTTGTATAAACAAATTAAGTCTCATTCAAATTACTTATAGTAAATATTTTTAAATTAGTAAAAGAATTGCACGGCTATACATGTTGCTCGGGACAAACTAGTATTCTTTATTATATTAAGAAAATTTGCTTTTTTTAATGTATATATAATTTTATATTAGTACAGAAATGTGATAAATTATAGTGATATTTATATTAATGTTAGTTTACACAATTTGAAAATTTAAATTTACTTCATAGTTAAAAATATTCTAATGTAATATCAAGGTTAAAATAACATATCAATTAAATTTGATGAAAATAAACACTGAAAAGTGAGATAGTTTAACTAAAAATGACTAATATAACAATTTTATTTAAGTATTATACTGTATACAGTATTAATCTATTTTTAATTTATAAAAATACTTATTTATAATATTATGTTTAATTTAATAATCATTTTACAAAGACTCAATTAAATATTAGTTATTTTTACTACTAATCAATATATTTTACAAGATTACATATTAATTTACCTGGATTTTATTGATTTTCATTATTAAAATTTTAATATAAATATTTTAACAAAAAAGTATTTGCAAAATTGAAAGTCAAAATAAATAAAAGGTTAAAATGTTAATATTTTGTAATATTAAAGATAAATATAGCAAATCAATGAGCGTATAAATTCAATATAGAGTAAAAAATATATTAATTGACTTATAATGTAAATAAATGAGAATTTAGTAAATATACGCTATATATATCATTTTAATTATATAAATTTTATATTTTGTTTGCTTCAATGTTGATTATGTTTGAAAATCATATTTATATTTTTATATTATGTCAMCACAATTTTTATCAAACAAAATACTGTACACTACTGTATATTGTAGTATAGGTGGAGTATGTTATATACAGGTATATTTATTTGAAATTAATTTTTAATAAATATGATATTCATCAATTACTAGTACTATACAATTGCATTAACATTATCTATATAATAATGTTTAATTAATAAAGTAAAAACAAAAAAATTTAATTTACCATAATTTTATAATTAGTTTTTAAAATCTCATAAAAAAAGTTTGGTTATTGAGATTGAGGTCATAAATAAATTTTATAAATCAAAGATTAATGACTCGTTTGATTGAAACATTGAAATTATTTTATAGTAAACTTGAATTTACGGTAGAAATGTTTGATAAATATAGTTTAGACCCAATAAAATGTGGAGCAAATAATTACAAATTAAATACTATAAAACTGCACATTTGTGCTATCGATCCATCAAATAATTTATTTACAATTTTTATTACTTGAGTATATATATAAATATACCGTACAATTACTGTACAACAGTTTACTTTTAAATATGTTTGACATGGATCATTTCTATTTATAAATTAATATAAATATTTATTTCTAAATTRTAAATTAATGTTTAAACTAAAAGCATTGTTTAAATGCAAATTTAAGTATGTTATAAATTATATTTAAAATATTCAATTATCAAAAAATGTTTTTAATCTATACACTAAAATTACAGTATTAATCATTTATAAAAAAATAATTTTATACATTTTAATATTCTGTATATTTGTATTACTGTAGTAATTAATTTAATTTATTCAAACAAACAACCAAAATAACATTAGTAAAAATCCTATATTATTTTATTTATTAACAATAGCAGATAATAAAATCCATTATTTAAATAAAATATAAATGATAAATAAAAAATAAGTTTTCTTTTTAATTACATTTCAATTTTGATAACAAGTATTAAAAATAGATCATCCGATAAACTTTACAATAATAGTAAACAATATATACTTAATATAATTACATAATTTATTTCAACAAAATAGAGACCAAATGCCTCACGATTGTTGAGTATTGACATTATATCCATTGCAAGTGTGAGTGACATCATTGACAATCATAGCTGCGATCTTCCACGCGATCTCCTCTTTGTCCTTATCTTGAGATGAATGCAAAGAAAATTTTTTCATGACTTTCATCAGAGAACCGGTAGGTTTGTCGGGTTCCGACTCAATCTCACTGTAAATGCGTCCATATTTGTCGATATGAGTGAACTGAAGTTTTCCACTTAAATCTCTTTTCCATAAAGTATCAGATTTTAGGTCATCAATCAAGTGATTGTTTTTATGTTTCAGATTAGTTAGAGATGAGCCACCACTCAAAGCGTCGCTATCTTTATTGCCTTTTGAACTCAAAGAGCTAACAAAACTTGATTCACTATTATAACTACTGTCACTATTTGTCCTTTTATGGCATTTAGTTGATTCAGTTTGGATGGACTGAAGACATTTGTTGAGATAATCCATAAAGAATTGGTTTTGAATGAATTGTTTTAAGTAAGTCTTCTCGAAGTACTGAATAAGAATAGCGGCCGCTCTGTCCAAACAATCACTTTTGAAATTGTTTTTCACTAATTTTTCACTTAAACTCATTAYTAAACTTTCACTAAATCCTAACTTATTGTCGATGTCATCGCTGAAAAAACGATTGAAGAGTGCAATGGCGTCGTCATAATCGTTGGAAAATTTGCGATAATTTTCAAACATTATTAAAAAATCAATGAATGACTTCATTCCTTCAGTTTCCATAAATTCAATAAAATTTGTGGCCAATAGTGTGCTATTAAACAGAATGTCAGCCAAAGTGACTGATTCTGTGGTTAAGAAGTCAACRCAAAACTTACAATAATAAGAACTATCGAGAAATAAGTAAAAATAAAGTTTTTCAATGATTTCTATGGTATACTTCTGAGCGCTTCCAAACAAATTATACGTAACTTCAGATGTTTTGTTTATTAGTTTATCTTTAATTTCATCTTTTATTTCTTTCGGTATATCTAATGAATTTGTCAACGATTCCGATAAATATTTGTCGTAAATGCCAATTGAGTCAGTGATAAAGTGTTGTCTTAAGTTATCGACTGAATGGTCGTTACTTTGCTTTGTAATACTCTTTTGTGACTCAATAAGACATTCTGTTTGAATCCAGAATCTGATCCAACATTTGCTGACATTTCCGAGCGATTCCATGAATTGAATAAAATAAGGAAATATTAAATTGTCTGACAATACTTGTGGCAAACTCTGATTGAGCCGAGAGTTGAGGTTGAGTTCAACAGACGGGTCATACATTGATTCGGCTAAAAGCATTTGATGGACAGGTTTTACATTACGATGAGAGTGCAGACTCGATATCGTCGATATCGATGCATTAGTCTTAGGACTTGACTTTAATTGGTTGGCCGTCGGCTCATCATTCATGACATCCGATGGCAAACCATTGCACTCTTTGGTTGTCACTGTAGTTGTTAATTGCGGTGAACTATTCATCGACAACATCGACACCAATGACCCATTTGGTGACCCTTTAGGCGCTAAATATGACAAATCAAGAAACTAGAGGTTATATATCAACAAAATCATCAAAATATCTTCAATAGTGACAAACCTTTATTGCGTTTAAAGAAAGACATGTCTTTAAATCAAATTCATATCATTTGCTTATAATACAAGATATTTGACATCATTTGAGACCAATTGATGATCAATAGTGAGTGCATTGTTTCAAACCATTTATACATTTCATATGAATCCCTAATAATAACCGCAAATCACTATTGATTTACATTTAAATCATTTTGTTTTAAGTCAACCACTGTTTGACACTAAAGGCGTTACTTATTATAACATATGATATTCAATACAAACATTGAATTACGTTATTTGTATTATCAGTAAATGTCAATATTATATACAATTAAATTTATATATTTGATTACAATATTATTAAACTTATTATAAAAGTTTATTAATTGTAGATAAAACTTATCAAAAAAAAATTATTAAACAATTATTAATTATTTTTATAATCATTATATCCAATAAAATATTATAACTAAACAACAAATAATTACTTTAAATAATTGTTTTATTTTGCAAAATATAATTCAATTTTTAATTTTGAAAAAAATAATTTCATTAATGTAATTCATGCATTGATTAGGTTATAGAAAAATTTTCATATAAAATATAATTCATTAAATTTTAGATATTATATATTAAATAAATAAATAAATCTCAAAATTTTTTGATTGTATACTTACTAATTGTAAAGCTTTTTAAATTAAATAATTCTCAATAATTGTATAAAATTTATAAATATAATATAAGTTAATATTAAATATTGAAATGAAAACAATTACTACAATTCAATATTCAATAAATTCATGACTCATCCTATAATTAAAGCTTTTTTTAGAGCAGTGTATATAAAATATTTTGTGAACAATTGATTTACGATATGTTTTTTGTCAATCAAATTGATGAGCAATTAGTTAAATGTCTGGAGACTATAGGTAAGTCGTGTCAAACATTTACGGGTGTTGTTGTGAGTCGTGATACTCTGACCGCAAACATTGATTCGTGTTTTCCTGATTAATATAGTGATCTTTATTAACTATGTTGTAGATAATTGCGAATCCCATTAGCATAATATAGATGACGAGTGCAAACCAGCCTAAAATAGTTTCCCATCGCCGCACCCGTAGATTACGTAATACATTAATGCCGACCAAAAATCCGGCCACAGCTCCAGCAAGATGTGCGGCATAACTGGTCCTATTCTGGGTATCATCAGTATATCGGCCATATATAGCCACTCCAATATCAGTGCCACCAAATAACACCAGACCAGCCAACCGAAGCCAATTGAACTCCATTTCTGACCAATTCTATTAAAAAGTTTTATTAAGTATTTAATTAATAGATAAAATTTATAAATATAACACAATTAAGACATACGATGACAACACTGGCCAAATGAGCCGATATGAGTGCATAGACCCCACCACTAGCACCGGCTAAATAACTGAACGGATCACTAATGTTCGCGCCTAAACTTCCGGCCGCTATTTGACAGCAAAGAAATACATTAATTCGTTAAATAATTTATTTGAATAAAATGCTGTCACTTGCGTACCAACTCCTGCCAAATAAACTGTTCCCACTCTCCACCATTTATGTACCATTTCTAATGGTATTCCGAGAATCAATTGGACGACAATATTAAAGAATATGTGAACAAATCCCGCGTGAATCAGCATATATGTGATGAACCTCCAGGCCTCTTGTCGTTTGCATGGGTCATATATAAGAGTACTTTTCCAGGGAACGGGACCTATGGCTGAGATTGATCCCATGTCCACACAATAGTAAATAAAAACWGATACTTCGAGAACACTTATTACCAAAAGAAATAATGGCGGCGGCATACCTGTCATTTGATTMACATTTTTAAAAATATAGATATAATTTAAGAATAATAATAACTATTTTTTAATGTTATGCTAATTATTACAATTATAATCCTCAAGATATCTGCGAATAATGGATCTTCTCTGTGATCGCGGAACGACAGCCATTGCTGCGTAACGGATAAGCCGATGAAGTCGTGGTCTTTGAGCGCCCAAATCTCGTGCGTGGATCTGATATCATATATCAATTAATTTGTAAACTTAATTAATAATAATAAGAGTGTCAACTAAACCATTTTAAGAAATTCCTCATAAGTGATAACACCATCTCTACAGATATCGCTTTTTTCAATCATTTCGTCCAACACTTCTTCGGGAATGTCTTCACTCAAATGATTATTGCTTTCCTTAAGGATTCGCTTGAATTGTTGGCATTCAATGATACCATCTTTGTTGGTGTCATACTTGTCAAATACTGGTCGCCACAACTGATCCATTTGTAATAAACAATACAATTAATCAATTAATACGGATAATAGTTATTAATATAATCAAAGACATCATACTCTATCCATCTGAAGACTGATGGCCTGTTCATCGCCTGAAACCGTGTCAACACGTGTTTTGACCATTTTGTTGACCGCAGTGTCGGCGACAAACAAATGTTAAGTAAATGAATCACTAATTAAATGCAATGATTGTTATGATTGTAATGACTATTAAGTTATGAATGCATTTGTCGGTCAATCAGTCATACAATAAGTGAATCACTATTTCATTCAAAAGTCATAACAACAACACATAAGTTATAACAACAAACACAACAAAACTGTTTAAAAGTCAACACTTTATTCTAAACCTAACGTCTAATGCATTGCTTTTCAATTCAATTCAATTCAATTGACACTCATTTCACACCCATTTTATTATATAGTATAACATGTAATCATATAATACTGTACTATACGGTAGTATAACATCTCTAAAAGTATTGAAAAAGTTTTTATTGCAACTATTATTGAGGAAAACATTGCACTTATATTCAGTAATATTGTATGTTTTGTAATGCTCTCTATATTTGAAAGTAACAATCTTTTAATATTTATTTTTATTGTTTTTTAATACATAATATAAAAAAGTAGAATAAATTTCTTATACTATTTATTATCAATTAATGTATTATCTGTAATGAATTAAATATAAATTAAAATTACTTTCCATTAAATTGCTTAGTTATACTTTATTTACTTAATAATACAGTATTTCATATATATTATATTATATTTAAAAGTTTATTTAGTTTTTTCAAAATAATTTTAATAAAATATTTGACTAAAAATATATACATTCAATATTTACATTAGATTTCAAAAATTGAATACAATATTTGGCAAATTTTTGGTAATAATTGTTTAAAATGATATGTTATTTTTTTTTTTTTTTAATTATTATTATTATTATTTAGATTGTTCACAGGTTATTTATAAAATAATAATTATTTTTTAAATAAATACAACATAAATATCATCAAACGATTTTTTAAAAAGTTAGTTATATTAATGATTAAATTTGAAATTATTCACTAATAAACTAATTTTAAGAAATACCAATATTTAGAAAATATTAATTATTAATATAAACATTATTATATATTATTTATTTAATTTATATATTGTAATTAAAATATAAATGTTAAACATCTGATAATAATTAAATCAATTAACAAATTCGATCAAAAATTACAATTTATGTTAAAAATGGACTTTTTATATGAAAATCACTGTTATTGTGATTGTCTATTAATTATTTAATCATTATTTCTTTAAATGATATTATATGTTACATAAAAATGTTTTAACAAATTAAAACAATATTTGTCACAATTATATTGTTTGTTAATTTGATGTTTAAATTTATACTATTATGACAATCATTAGTGATATGAAAAGAGAGACCATTGCTGGAAAAGATGGCAAACATGAGAGGGAACCGGTGTTCGTACAGCTAAGCACTTCATACGGAATCTCAGATATAGGCGTCTTATATAATGATGTCGGAGATTGACATTTGGTTTCTTTAGGAAGACTCACCACAACAGATCCACGGCCTTTGATCATCCATTCTCTAAACCATGTGATTTGACAGTCGCATACAAACGGATTGTCTGCAAACATATATAAATTTACATTAATAATAGATGTCGTCAAACATTTATCACATAATATATCTATCATTTTCATATAATTTCTATTATTTCATTGTGTCTTCTATCATGTTATATATTATACTATCATTTATAATGTTATGTAATATATAGTTTTATACTACAGTTTATGCAAATTAATGATAGTTTTATCGCTGTTTTATCAAATAATATTTCAAACAAATCTAAAATACTTTATAAATCATTTGATATTTAAAAACCAGTACAGTGTAGGCTCTATGTAAGGTTAGGTTACTGTTATGTAGAATTATCATAGAATTTCATATGAATTTAATTAACTATAATATTGTTATGTAAAGTATGCAATCTATAAAAACTTCGTATAACAAAATTTGATTGATAATCATTATAATAAAAATTATGTCATTAATATAATATATGGAAAATAATTTAATTTTAAAACATTAAAAAATTGTATAAAATAATACGATTCTTATTTAATCAGTATAATTTTAATTTAAAGGCTTAGACTGTATATATGATATAAAATTATATATTGAGATCGATTTAAGTTAAAGTAAAGTATAGGTTAAATGTTATTAAAGTTATGTCTGTTTTCTTTAAAAAAAAATTGTGCTTTTGATGGCAATAGAGAGTGAGACACACAAAGCAAATTGAATTTTGACTCAAAACTCGCGGATGACTGACAATCACAGGTCGACCTTATTTTTGTACAAATCATTATAACTATTGTATTGTTTGCTATGATGTTGACTGCCATCAGATTTCATATTTCACTTTAGAGTTATTGAATCATATAATTTTAAAAACTTTTATTACATTAGCTTTTAAAAATAAAAATAAAATATATGATATAACGGGAAAATTGTAAAAAATAAACACATAAAACATTATATTAAATGTAAAAAATAACACCAAATACTGTATTATGATTATGGATTAAATTTAGGTTTAATAGAGGAAATTGCAATCATTTATTAAATTATTATATATATAATTTTTAAACATTAAATATAAAAATTGACTTAAATAATGTTTCATAATATAATACATTTTATCCTATCTATTGTTTTATGAATAAATAAGTAGAGATTTTTTGTTTTATATAAAATGTAATTTAAAATATATAATATATTGTACAACATTAAAAATAAAATATATAAAATTTAAGATTTTAAATATTAATAAATTAATAGAATAAAACATAAGAAAAAATGTAATTTTTGATTTAAATATGAATAAAATAATTTGAATTAATGCATACCGTGTGCGTCCAAAACCGATAGTGAATTGAATAGTGGTTTAAATGTGTGATAAGAAAGTGTTTTCAATTTGTTTGATTGTATGTAAAACCACTCCAATGAATGCAAATTATCCAATGCCTCAGATTCTATCAATTCTATACTATTTAAATAAATATTCAATTATTATTTCAAAAGTTTATCGTAAATAATAATTTTTTTAAAGTAACATATTTATTAATTTTGTTAAACTAAATACTTGCTAAACTTTAAAATATTTAAACTAATTGTTTGTATTTTTATAAATATAGTTTAAATCTCGAGATTTTGAAGATTTAGATATTACAGTAAATAAATAATAAAACAATGGGAGGCAATCTCACAACCCTACAATTATTATAACAATAAATAATCTTGAATCAAAATACAGTATATAATTATTAATATATAGTTTACAAATTATATAATTACAAAATTCAATAAATAAATCAAATTTTAATTTGTAATAAATTTGATTAAATTCTTTCAATTTATTGCAAAATAAACATTTATATAAAATTAAAATGTAATATTATATGATTATTGTTTCTTTATAAGCAAAAAAAATATTATGCAAATCAATCTCAATAATACTAATTATAATAGAAAAATATTATGCAAAATAATTTATAAATATAATATTATAATAGATTGAAAGCCTAAAAACAAGACATTAATTTGAATCTCGAACACAAAAAAATAATTGATTTTTTAATGCAAGAGATTCGTGTTTTTAATAATTGCAGTCAAAACATATTCCTGTGTTTGACTTCTATTATATTTTTTTTATGTTTTAGCAATTATGTCATGTTTTATATAATATATAGTATGCATAAGTTTGTACTGTTATGATATATTTAGAGGACATTGTTAAGGTTTTTTTAATTTTTTATATAAATCGATAAAATAACTTAATAGTGTAAACTAAATCTCATGTATTGAAAATGTAAGTCATGTTTGCTATAATTTTTAAGTGTCTTATCCTTTGTTCAGCAAAATAGTGAATGTATACATAAAGAGCAATAAAAATGTTAACAAATAATGAATAAATTATTAATTTTTATATAAATATATGTATATATATATAACAATAATAATAATAATAATATATAAATTTATTGTATGACTAACTTGTTTTTCTGAAGATAAATAAATTTAAGGTTATTTCCAAATTCTTTGAGTGCATTATTATGAATGACACTAATATTATTGCCTCTGAGGTCCAGTTGTCTAAGTTTTGTTAGATTTCTAAGAGATTCACTGGGAATGGCATCCAAACGATTCTCTCCCAGTTTAAGCCATTCCAATGATTCTGATTTTGCATTGAATTGCATTTATTTATTCATTCTTTTATATAAATTTTGCAAATTTCATAAAATAAAGTTTCTAAACAAACCTTCAATGCCTTTAAAAGCATTAATATGTATTTTTGAGATATGATTGCCCTCTAAGTCCAATGAGTTTAAAGCTTGAAAATTAGAAAATGCATTTTCAGATAACTCATCCAATGAATTGATGGCTAAATTTAAGACATCGAGACTCTGAGCCAATCCAATGCTTCCTAATTCATCCACCGTTACTGAACTGATCCTATTCTCGTGTATTTGTAATCTCTATAAAAAACAGACCACCACTTAATAACATTAATCTAAAATTTTATTTATTTTTAAAACATTTTTATCTAATTATTTTTTAATAGGATAATATATTATTAAAAATATTTTGGACATAAATAATAATTTTAATTAGAATTATTTTAATAACAATTTTTTATATAAACAAAAAATAAAACTAATCATTATTATAATTAAAACTAGTCACTAGACTCATATTGTTTGACTCAAAATTATTTAATTAAATAATTCATTGGAAACAATGGTTTTGACTAAATTAAAAAATGACATTAAGTTGTTTTAATAAATTAAAGAGTTAAAATGTGATAAATATAAACTTTTTAATTTATTTAATTAAATAACATGGACAAAATTAAACCTAAAAAGTCAAATACATAATTTAGACTTAATGAGTTAAGTTTACTGATTTTTATGTAATTGAACTAGACACGTTTTTAGTGCTATATATAATAACTAACATAATGTGTAATTATATGATGATATTATAGAGTACTTACTTGTAATGATTTTAAATGTTGTAATGGCTTTGATGGTATGGCAGGCAATAAGTTTCCACCTAAATTGATCCTGGTCAAATTACCACCGATGCCATTAAAAGCCATTCCATCAATCGATTTGATTTTATTACCATATATTGATAATCTTAATAAAGATATTAATCCTTTAAAAGCATTGGCTTCTATTGATTCAATTAAATTATAATTTAAATTTAGCGAAATTAATGATAAAAGTGGTTCGAGTCCTTTACTGGGGATCTGTATATAAAAGTGTTATATGTATTATATATTTAATTGTTATATAATATTGTATTATTACAAGACCTCATGTAATCCATTTTGTGAGAGATCTAATGACTCCAATAAATCAGAGAGACCTATAAAAGCCGAGTCATCTATGGATGTGATATTGCAGTGATGGGCCACCAAATGCCTGATATCGAGTCCGTCCAATAAAAATGATGGGAAAGTCAACATTTGGTTTTTCCTCATCTTTAAGTACCAAACTATTTGTCCGGTTTGACCAAAATTCTCGAGCGCTTCCCTTAATTGCTCCAAACGGGCGCCTATTATATCATATATATTATGTATCAAATATATGTATAATAAATGGTCTAAATTTGCAATAATAGCAGTATTTAAGCACCAAAATTGATTATTTCGCTATAATTGCGATATAGCTATTGCTAATAATAGCTATTATATTATTTAATAAATCAAATATCATTAGATCAACATTAAGCTCAGTGACAAATATAGTGTAAATATTATAAATATCTATTGTAATAAAATAACTTCAATATTGCAATATTAAGTTAAATCAATCATAATATACACACTCCTATATACACTGTACCGGTATATTATTACAATATTAGATTAATAGTATAAAACATAATTATTCAATTAGTTTGCTTAATTTTTATCAATTTTTAATTAATTTTTAAAATACAATACAAATCATATTATAAAAATCAAATATAATATTGAATTTATAGAAATACTGGATATTAGATACAATAATTATGGCTTTAATAGTAATAAACTAACAGACAATTTATAAAATATATGTATAAATCAATATCATTAAAGACATATAATTAATGAATATTTAGAGACAGTGTACATACCTTCACACGAAACGTCGAGCCCTTTGGTGATCTCCTGACACACACAGGGCTTGATTAGTGGTCGCGCCGGACAACCATACCTGAGCGCACATGAATGCGGACCAAACAATATTGATTGCAAGGCTAATACTGACAATATTTTACTCAATAGCTTCCGTAACATCAGAGTTGTCCACATTATTCACACTTTATTTTCCACATTTATTATATGTATTATTTGTAACGCAGATTCTAACAATTAATACAATTATTACAAAGTTTTATAATGTTTGTTATATCTACTCTTTTTTATAAATTAATTTTAATAATTAATTAACAGAATTATTATTATAATCATTATTTACTACTCTAATGTGATTCAATTAAATGAAAATGTAAATAATTTAACACATTTTAAATATTTCATTTATAGTACTAACTTCTTAAAAGCTGTTATGTATATTAATATTTTACATGTATTTACGTGTAAATTATTATTTAATTAACCAAGATAACATAAAAATTGTAATTTATTTATAAGTTAAAATGCAATCAATTTTAGTTTAGCAATAATTTTAAATAAAGAAAGTTAATGATTAATTATAGTTAGATAAAGATTATGTTTAAATTAAATTTAATCATAATATTCTATACTATTAATACAGTATATAAACAATTTATAGAATACAGTAAGAAAATGTTGAATTTATAAATTATAACGAATAGAATATTTATTTATATATTGTATTAACATTATATTATCATACAATATGTAATCATCGATAATAAGTGTTTTCTTTATACCATTAACTAATATTTGAAATATTTCATTATTTTAATAAATTACGTATTATACTGTAATTTTAAATTTACTTTATTAATACTTTAATTTTTATTTATTTATTTACAAAATAAATTAAATTGATTTTTAACAAACTACGTAATCTGAAATTTGTTTAATGTTTTTATTAAAGAATTTTAAATTTTTGACTTACTATTCGAATAAAGTAATTAAAAATTAAAACTAGAATAGAATTCCTAATGATCAGGGTCAAAATAGTTATCAAATATTTTTAGGCATTTTTAAAAACTATTTTCATATAACTATTTATATTTAAGTAAGAATGTACTTTACCTGTAAATTAAAGATTAATAATTGAGTGGTTAAGTAAAATAAAAAGTTAAAACACAATAATTATATTTTTATTGAAATTCTGTAATTTTTAATAGTTTTTTAAATCTCGGTTTTTCAAAATCACTCGGTCTCCGGTTTTTTAATGTATTTTATAAAGAATTAGAGTATAATATATATATTTATAATTAAATATAAGTTATATAAATATATATAATGACTGAATTTTGTATTTAATATACAATTTTTAAATGTAAAAATCATTTTATTTATAAAAATTATTTCAAAATAAAAATAAATTATAAAGTTTTATATAACTCCACATTTTCATATAATTCTAAACTTAAAATATTAAAAAATAAAATTAATTTTTAAAGGATTCTATCTATTATAATAATAATAATAAATTAGCAGTGTTAAAACGYTAAAATATAGATTATTTTACATTTATAGGATTATACTTTATGAATAAATTAAAAATATGAATAAATTAATCTATATTAGAGTAATAGAAAATAATTCTAGGGACATTTTCTAATTAATAAAAATCTATTTGAATTTTTAAAACAAAAAATTATTTCTATTTATAATTACTATTATCAATAAAATATTTTACTCAAAGTATTAAATATCTTATTAAAAAATATATACATTTATTAAAAATATTTTTACATTTGTTTGACTAATGCAAAAATAGGCAAAGCATAAGCATTAATGATTTGAATGAACGACATATTTATATATTTATATATTTTTAATATTTGTTTTTTAAATAAATAATAAAAAATGGATCTTTCATTAAAATCATTATACAGTATATTGGCTTACATTGCATTTAGTCATTCAATTGCAAAAAATGCTAAACTATAATATATTGATCACAACTAATGGATTGATGACCAAAATCCACAATTATTAAGCAAACATTTTTATATGATTACTAAAATATTTGCTGATGTTTTTCACAAATAATGCTAACCTTATCACAAAATTTCATTAAATCAAACAGTGGTTAGCGTAGTATTTTGGTAATCTATGATATCATTTTGTTTATAACTTACAGTAATCAATATTATAATAAAAATTTTATTTTACTATATAGACCTAATATAGTAAATACAAAAAACTATTTGATTAAAATAGATTATTAATTTATATTTTTATTAATTTTAAGTTTTAAGAGTATAATTTGATATACAGTAAGTAAAATAATTATAATTAAATAAAGTATTATTTAGATAGAAATAGTACCAAAAATTATTATTTAAAAAATTTTAAATCTGGCATTAAATAATAGTCTAATTTAATTAAGCTATTGATAACATTAAAAAATAACTACCAATCAAACAATACATCAATTGAAGTATTTTTAAGAGTAGTTTTCAAGTGTTACAAGTAATTGCACTTAAGATCAAACAATCAATTATTTGTTGAGAAATAGAAATGTTATGTTTATGACAATCCCATTGCTTTATAACTAATTTATTTTCCTCTAAAAACATTTCTAATAAAATGATTAAATGTTATAATAATGTCTCAAATCATTCAAAAACATATTTTTAATTTAATTTATTAAATAACTTCAGTTATAAATATTATACTACAAATAATAATTAATGCATTTTATTAAGCAGTATTTGAATTAAATAATACAGTAAATAAAGTAAATATAGTAACTATTGTTAATTATTAACAAATTTACATTTAGAAACTTCCTTAAAATAATCTGTTTTGTTATAATAAAAGAAAACTAATTTTGTCAAACATTGAGCCTATGATTAGTGCCAACAATGAAAGATATCGAGTAATACAAGAAATCGCTGATAAATAAAGTCAATGAATCTTTTCAGTGACTTTTGCATTGCTTTCAATTGAAGTGTTAAATTAAAGACACTGTTATATAATGTTTTTTGACATAAAACAGTTGAATGACTTGTATTGCACTGAAAGCAATAATGCTGTAAATGTATGTGTTTTATATAAAAATGATAGTTTTACCAAAATTTCTGATAAAACAAAACAAAAGAGAGATAAACTGGAAAAGGGATTGAAAAAGGAAAGGGAGGTATACAGTATATACAGTATATATTATATTATATTATATACAATATATTCGGTAATATAAGTCGTAAACAGTTATTGTATTAATCGATTTGCATAGATGTTGTTGGCTCAGGGAGGTTGGCTGTTGACTAAGCGCACCGTTTGCTTCAATAACTCAATAGACTTATTTCTACTGATATCTTATACGGTATAAGTTATACCCATTGAATGCAACAAAATGATTATCTCTACTAAAATCTAATCAATAACTGCCTCTCAAAGAGTTAACTTATTTTATAACTCAATCAAAATAATATTATTGATATAATAAAAACTTTATGTTTGTAACATTGCAAATAATGACAGTATAAATGCAGTGAAAATCATTTATAAAAATAACATATTATCAAAATATGTTACAAAATAAATTAAATATTAATAATTTACAATCAATTTGCTAGAGATTACATCAAAATAAAGCAAATTATTTATTATACAAATGTTAAGAAAAAGTAAGAAATAGAAAGTAATTCTTTGATAATTTTTTTCTTTTTTGTGTTTTTATAAATAAATAATAATACTATTTAATTAATTTTATTATAAGATAGTTGTTAATTATAAATAAAACATTATTTGTAACTTTAACTAGTTTTATATTTATATTAAAATTTTTATATAAGAAATTAAAATATTTTATAATTAATTTAGTATACAATTGTATATTAAATGTAATACAGTAGTTGTTTATATATTTTATTTTGTTTGTTATATTTGTTTGTCGTTTTTATGTCTTTTATCAAAATAAATGTTTGTTTAAGAAATATATTGATTTGAGTAAAACTGGTCTTAAAAACTGTGGATTCTCTCGGGATTTCAATGGTTTGCAATGAGAATAAAATGTCAGAACTACTTAACTGTGCAATCGATACCACTTATGAATATTAGATATTATGTATAGATATATGGTTTGATAAAAAACACTTCACTATAAAAATTGCAAAAAAAGTTATATTTTATTATTTTTTATTAAGTTATATAAATTACCAAAATTTGAAAATATTTTTGATGTTTTATATTTTTTTATTCTATAGTTTACAATTAATATTTTATAAAGTTTATTTTCTAATATTTTGCATATAATATTCGTTAATTTATATAATCATAATCAAATTTGAAATAAAATAAATTCCGGCAAAAATGATATATACAATATACTGTATAATCATTAACCCATAATTATAATGACAAATATTAACCGTAAATTAATGTATACAATAAAACTTTTATGACACCAAAAATTATAAACTCATTGCATATTTAATTAGACTTTAGAATTTGCATTTTAATATAAATTCTAATTTTACATTTGAATTGTTTTAATAATGCTATGCTTTTGTTATATTCATTTATAAAAAAATTATATTATTAATTATATTATAGTTACTAATTGTTTTAATTGCAATTTTTATTCAAATTATGAATAAATAATTAATGTATTGTTTTATTGTATATCTTAATTAAACTACAGTATATACTGCATTAATTAATACAGTAAAATAATTTGTATATAAATGTTATTTAATGTTATTTTATTACAAAAGAAGTCAATGGCGACGATATAAAAACTGATTGATTTAAAATAATTATTGCAAACAATTAATAACATTTTATATCTCTTTTGATTTATTTGTCTGTATCTGTTAAATATAAATCAACAAAATATTATTAGACATTAAGTCTGTTCAATGAATAATAATTATATTTTAGTAAAAAATGTTATATTTAGACAATTATTAGAAAATTTTAAAAAATTATTTATTAAATCTCAATGTTAATTTTGTTTTCTCTGTTATTTTTCTATGATACAATATAACTACTATTTATTAGTTATATAATAGTTATAATTTAYAAACTATTATTAAATATTAATTTCATTGTCAATTTTTTCATATACATTGCTCTAATTTAATATCAAGATTGTTTTGAATATGTATTTTTTGTGTATTATATGTATTCAAAACATTCATTACTAATAAAATACATTCAATTAGAATATAATAATATTATTAAAAATAACATTTTACAATTAATTTATTTATATCAGTTTTTAGATATATGAAATATATAATTTTTTTATATATATATATATATATATATATATATATATATATATATATATATATTTATCTATATTCTATTTTATATATTTTTAAAAACTTATATTTTCATTTATAATAATAATTTTTAAAATGTGTAATTATTTATAATAAAACGTGCAAAATAATAATATCATTATTTAAAAATAGATTTTTATATTAAAATTATATAGAATATTGATTTCAAAACTAAATTTTAAAGTTTATTTTATAGCTTATAATATGATTTAATAGTATTATTTTTGTTATTTGAACGTTTTCTATATAAATTAGATTTTAGATAATATAAATACTATTTAATGCTATTATTATAACCATAATAAAACTAATATATTGATATTTAAAAAAATTAATTAAACGTGCTTAACTAAACTGAACAAAGTTTGTAATTTATTGGAAAGTTTCTATTGAAATGAACGACTACTCAAAAATATATTATTTGTTTGTCAAACTTGTTTCAATCGGTCAATATTTCAATCATCGTTTAAAAAACACAATTTTCAATGTAAACAATTTTTGTTTGTTGAACTATTATCTGATAAATTGTCAAAATATTAAAACACATGCAAACAAAACTAAAACATGAATTAAACATAAATATCAGTAACGCTATGTGTGTATATAAATTGTATTTAAAGTACTGTTAATAATTAATTTAACAAATTCTTGCGAGAATTTAGTTAAATTCATGCTTTAAATTCTGTATTCAACACTATTGAAGCAAATACTGTGTAAATGAGTATCAAAACAAATAAACGTATATATCATAGCATACATCAAACTATTTAATGATTATCTATTTTAAAATTAATAACTTTTCAATAGTAGAAATGAAACTTAAATGTAACTTCAATCTAACTTTTATGTATTTTATTTTATTTTTAAAAAACTTACCGGAGTTTATAATATTGACAATTGCAATGAAATGTATTGCAAAAGAGCATATGTTTAAAACGATAGACAAAGCAATACATAATTCATATGATATTAAATGATTTTAGTCGTAAAATATAGCAAACATTATGAGGAATGTGACGATTGTAGACAACACAGGAATTTAAGTCTTTCCCAAAAACACATTCATATCTTGTGTTGAATTCAAATGTTTTTGTATTCAATGTGCGCTCACTTCTAGTTATCATTCATTGAAATACAGGAAAAACTGTAGAAATATTTTGTATCGATTTCTTGCTTATCATAACTAAACGTTCAGTTTTTGGTGTAAGTCTTGCGCAGACATCAAGTGATAGTCATATATGAATCGCAAATACATTGGAATTACATAACATCCAGAATATGCTTTAATATCAAAACTCTATTATCGTTTCTTTCTATTATCTCTCTCTCTCTCTCTCTCTCTCTCTCTCTCTCTCTCTCTCTCTCTCTCTCTCTCTCTCTCTCTCTCTCTTTGTCAGTCAATCGGTAAAACCACTGGAATGCTGACCTAACCCGACACAGTAAAGGATGGGTCTAACAAATAATCAATTAATAGCTCTTTAGTAAAGCGTTTCCTCAATTTCAGCCAAAACTAACATCAAATTAATTAAATAAATAATGAGTTAATGAATGAATGAAATTATTATTTGCATTCATTAAAATATTTGACAAACCATTTCGTATTCACATTTCATTTGCCAAACAATATTTATATTATGCATGCGATTCATGCAACACATGAAATAAATTTAAATAAGATAATAAATAAGTCATTTAACAAAAACAATAAAACAAACTTATTTTTATAGTTTTAATTTATCTGTTATAAAAATGAATAAAAAACTACATTTGTATAATATTCATATTTAACAAAAAGAAATGAATAAAAATAAAATTTATAAGTTTAAAAACCAAAATCCAAAAACTATTTTTTGTTAATATTTAATTACAGTACTTTGAATATATTGTACATCAATTAAAGCTTTATATTTATATTTATAAGTAATAAATTAAAAAAAATGTTAATAATTAATATTAAATATTAAAAATTTAAATATATATATATATATATTTATATTATAATAGATAATAATAAAGTAGAAAAATTGAGAAAAAAATTATTTGTAAATGTAATTATATATAACATAACAATATATTAGTCAGAAGTAAATACTAAAAAATAAATTAAGAATCAATTTCTGTTGAGTTCTTCAATGAGGTCATAGAATGAGGTGACGAACCATTTCGACTCTTTCTTCACTTTCTCTCGTATTTGATTTCCTCCGAAACCAATGAACGCGTCCTAATAAATGACAAAATAAATATATATAAATAATAAGTTACTCCTGAAATCCATTGTGTTTCTTACAGCTGGAGGACAGGCCTCTAAATCAGTTACTCCATCACCAATCATAACGACTCGTTGGTATCCTTGTAAGTGCTTAAGATAAGAGACCACCTGTGCCTTACCATCCTGTTGTGATGTCGGCTCTGTTTCATCAAATCCGGCATAACTTCCTGTGTGGACATAAATTTGCATCAATTGAAGTCTAATATAAAGCAAATCCTAAGACATACCATCAAAAAAAAATTTGATTCGATTGGCAAATATATTTTTAACGGGAATCTTGAGTTCTCGGGCCACGGGCTCTATCACCGAATAGAAACCACCCGATACTAAGTACACGTCAATATCCCTTTCAATCAGAAGTTTAACTAATTCTCTGGTAATCAACAAAAACATAACATTATATAACTTTTCAATTATTTACTTATATATACATTAAATATGTTTTACTGTATATCAATGAAAGTTTGGTGAAAGTATAAATTTAAGCCTAACATAAATGTATGACAAAATCACAGTTACATAAAATCCTAGACTTAATATATAAATCGATATATTAAGTGATAATCATTTGCAAGAATTTGTTGCAAAAATAATAGTATTTTGGGATTTCTATGAAGTATAGACTCAATACATACCTAATTCCTGGTGTCAGTCGTGGCGGATGTGTTTTCAGGTATTCTTTAAGCATTTGTGTGTTTGGCTGAATCAGATCCAATCGTTGAGCCAAAGCATCTCTGAAACTACAGGTTCCCCTCATAGCTCTCCTCGTCCTGTTTTGACACAAAATTGCAATTTTATATCAAAATATATTACATTAGAGATTTTATTTCACTTTATTTAATATCATTTTCTTTAAGCATCGATATATTATAATATAAATATAATGCTATAATCTTGTAAATAGATATACATTATAGCATTACATTAGAGAATATGATATGAGAGCAAAATGTCCTTAAAAGGAGTTCCTCTTTAAGTATCAAATGAGATAATAACTTACATTTCAGTCACTTCTTTCTCTTTTCCCGCAAATTTCGCGATTTCATCGATAGCTTCATCTCTACAAACAGTGGAATCGATATCAAAACAGACGGCATCTGAACCCCGAAAGATAGCTCTGACACGACTTTCCGTTAAATTATTCGACATCTTCTTTGACCACTTAATACTCGACAACTGGTGTGACAACAATCTCAACAATCTCTTCTCAAATCTTAAGAAAACCCGTTTATTAAATACTTTGCGCTAATTATTGATTTTTTTAAAAAAAACATTCATTTATATAACACAAAACTTTTTAAAAATATAATTTTTTTATTTCAGGTTTTCATTTGAATTAAATATAAAATGAAATAAAAAACCAAATTATTAATTAAAATAAATTTTTTATTCCAATTTAAAATGTAATTCAAACAAAGTAAACGTTGAATATATTTGCAATGAATAGCATATTAAGCAATAAAAAGGAAAATTTATAAAAAAAAAGTTATACTAAAGTTTACAAAAGTGACATTATTTTGAATACTTACGAAAAATACTGAATTATTAGATAAATTAAAATATTTCAGATATTTGTGCAAAAAAGCAAATGAATTGATGCCAAATAAATGATAACTAAAAAATAATAAATTAAAAAATAAAATAAATAAGTAAAGTATTTATATATAAATATATATTATTTATAATATTTTAAAAGTTTACAATAGTTGAAAAATTCTTTGTTAAATAAATTAATTTATAGAGAAAAATACAATATAATAAAGATTTGATAAAAACATGTCTAAAAATAAGTTATGCAATACATATATAAATTAATTATATATTTATATTAGCATATATTACCTTGATAGTTTTGTAGCTTAATTGTCAAAAACAAAAATTGAAATATTCAGCTCAGAGTAGGTGAGGGCTTATTAAATAGTGTTACTGTTGTGCTGTACTGTAGTGCTGTAGTGCTGTAGTGCTGTAGTGCTGATGCAATTAATTTCATACATGTATATTATTGGGCATGTATTATACTGTGTAGCTGTGTATACTGTATAGCTTATGTAGTTTTTATAGTTTTTGTATAGACACTATTAGACAGATGTTTATTTAACTGATTTAACTATATATTTAGTGACGTCAAGTCAACTATATGGCCACCCAATGGTGTGTTTCACTGGTATTGTTAATGAGTGACTGCTTTTTAATAGTTAATTATTACTAAACAGTAGTTTTATAAAACTGAATCAAACATATGACTTAAAAATTAGAAAAAACACATCAAATCATTCAATTGGATGTTTCAATGATTTGACAGAGCATTGCCTTAAAATCAAACACAACAACAATACGTCAATACATGTGACAACAATTATTAACTCAAAAACAATATTTATTAAAACACTAAACTAATTATATAATTATTATAAACTTGTTGTTATCCAAAATATAAATTCATATTCAATAAAAAAAACTATAGTTTAATTAATATTAATATATTTATGACAATACATGAATAACTATCAAAAGTGTATTTATCGTCAATTTTATAATTATAGACTAACTCAGACTCACTGTCGCCTCTAATAAGATAAGCATTAGTTTTGAGATAACTTTTTGGTTTTAAATATATCGTAAAAATACATTACTTGAGATAAACTTAGTCTTTACTATCACACGATGTGCACAAACAGGTCTTATTTTCAATGATTTTCAAAAAAATAATTGTTTGACTTTACTTTTATAAAAATAAGTTTCGGGAGATTTATCTATTTATACTTTTAAACATTTATATATTAATATATAAATATACATATATATCACAAACTAAGTCAAATAAAAAACGATATTTAAATGATATATATATATATATATATATATATGAGAGCATATAGTCTATATAGACATAAATTTATATATTAGTTATGATTAAAGTCCAACTGTCCCTAAAATACAGACTTAAATTGGTACCAATTGGGACCTCCAGTAAAATATATATTTATTTGCAATTTATTAATCAATAATTATATAACCCTATCTTATATTTAGATATTATATTGTACTCTACAGTAATGTTTGATAATAATATTATAAAGTTAGATAAATCATTGATTTGTGTAAAATTCCATTATTCAAAAAATAATTAGAAATTTAAAGATATATTAATTGCTATTTTGCTAAATAATATAAATTAAGTAATCATGTTTGCAAACTTCAAGTAATTTATTGAAAATGAAATATCCAATGTCATACTGTTTGTAATACAAATTTATAAAAAAAACATCAAAATACTGACCTTGATATTACAATACATAATAAATACTTTTTGATATTAATATTCAAATATTTACTTATAATAAATTCTTTATAATATTCTGTTTAAAAATATATATAATTCATATATAATTAATGTATTCATTTAATAAACATTTTTGAATTTATTTATTATAAGTAGTAAAATAAAATAATTATGTAAGAAAATAATAAAAAATAATATATTAAAATTTTATTATATATTAATATATAATACCGTAATTATTTAGCATTAATAAAAATTAGTAGTTATTCTTAGACATAATACTTTATATAATTTTAATTTTATTGCATATAATACTGTAATAAAATTCAAGTTAATATTTACAAAAATAATTTGTTTGATTTTAATAATTATTTAATAACTAGATATTATAAAAAACATGACAAAACATTTAACTCATTAAATGCRATATTTCACTAATTAATTATGATTTGATCCTAGTTTCTGAGTAATTAAAAATTAACCATAATAAATACATTACAATTATATAACTTTTATCTTATAAATAGTATTTATTTTGGCCTAAAATAAGTTTTATCATTAAAATAAAACTAATTATTAATAACTGTGAAGAAAGATATGTTGAAATGTCATTTATATTAACATTATATGATTTGACTGATTATGCATTAAATAGAAATGACATAACTGTTGCTATGCATCCAACGGATTAATGTGTGACTAAATTAAATATTATTTAGTTATAAATCGTGATTTCAATTGTCAATTATATCTACAAAAAATGCATATATGAATCAATTTATTATATAAATTTATTACATAAAATATAATATATGGAATTTTGTGGTAAAATTACGTTAACAAAGTTTAATAAAAAGCTGTTTTTAATAAATAAATAATTTTCAAACTTTTTCTTTGTTTCAATTTTTTATATATACAGCATATAATATACCCATTCTCAAGGACTTTCAGTACATTTTTTATAATTATATAACTTTCGCTTTATATAATATAAATTAAACTATACAATAAATATTAATTATGCAATAACATTTAATTTTTGTTAATCTATATAATTTAAAATATAAATTTATCAAATTTAATAATAAATAATAAACTTTGTTGAATTATGGCTACAATTATGTTGATAACATAAATAGTGTTATTTATAATAATAAAATACCTGTACTTTGCTAAATATAGTTTACTTTTTTAAAAAATCAGTTGACAATTATTTCATAATAAATTTGTGAGCAAAAAGAAACCAATTACTAACAGTCAATACATTAACCAATTAAAACTTATTATTAAAATATTTTCATTGCATTATTTAAAAAATACAGGTATAACATGGTATCAACAATTTTGGTGTAATATATCGTTTAATATTTTAGTTTGTGGCTGTGGGATATAAAAATACATTAATTATAATTTAAATAAATCATACTCTACAGTATATAAGTAAATAAAAATACTCACAAAAATAAATAAATGATCTGGCAATATTGGATCCATAAAATCAATTTGTTTAGAGGAAACACCTACTTTCTGATGAATAGATATTTTAAGTTTAGGTAATTCAAGTGTTCCACAGATCAATGGATATAATATGAAGTATTGTCCAACATTTTCATTAGTTTTCAATACTATATTAATCTATTTTATTAAAACAAAAATTTAAATAGATAATATATATATATATAAACTAATTAAACATTCAATATACTACTAACCAATTTATTTCCAGAATACATAAAATTATCGGATGTTCCCATTGATAGCTCTAATAACAATTCACTATCAGTTTTATTTAATATATTATAGCGTAAAATCATTGGATTTCGTGCCACACATTGATCCGGATATTTAAGTTCAACAAAAATCGGTGAATTGTTGTCCAAAACGGTAGGCATAGTACTACTAGGGTGTGCTGTTGATGGTGTATCGTATATATTATATGTGACAACAGGTCTTATACTAGACTTTGCCATACATTTGGTGTCGTAATCATTGTTTTCATTGTATTTCCATTGCATTAATATATTAAAAAATTGAGTTTCAAAAGCTAGTAATACATCTGTGATGACTATACTTTGATGACTGTCTTCAGTAAAATTAGGAGTAATATTGAATAAAAACTTTTGACAAATGTATGGTTTCAATATCAAACTATTATCACTAGTATTGTCTAATGTATGCGTTATTTGACAAAATTGATTATAAATCTCATTTGTAAATAAAATGTTAAGTTTTGTTAATTGAATTTGTTTGGGAAGTAATGATTTGATTTGAAGATTCAATTCAATAGTTTTGTCATTAATTATTATATTACTTGAAAATTTCGGTTTACATTCAATAAAAGTCATCAATGATTCCATTTTCATATTTATCTCAATTTTGTCTGAAATCAGTGATAATGCATTTGTCCATAAATTTAATGCATTCATAGCATCATTTTCATCAACAAATTGCAACAAAAGTGGCGATTGTTTCTGAATTATGTTATTAATACTGTCTTGTATTGCAATTTTATATTGCGAGTCATAACAATTGGATGCCATAATTTCAAGACCTAATTTAACAAAATTAATTACATCAGCGGATAGATAAGCGGCTTTAAGTGCAATCATCAAAATATGTTCAATCAATGGTAGCCAACGTTCGTGTCTATAATTAGGTAAAACATTGTTGAGAAATGTGAGAGCATTACTATAATCTCTGTTATATAAGTACTCGTCGGCCACTAAAACCATTAAATATCTTTGCATTCTTAAACAGTGATATTTTTTCAATTGATTGATGGCATTACTTAATGATAATATTATTTGCGCCGATAGACTACCGATATTAGTATATTCTTTATATTGCAATCCTTTTAATCCAATTCTTTCTTTGTCGGCATCCAATGGTTCGAGTGTTTGACAGCCCGGTCTCCACGACCTCTGTCCGAAAAACTCCATTTCTTGATTTGATTGCAAAACTGAATTAAATAAATCAATTTCTTCAACAGTTAATGAATTGAATTCAATTGGAGAACATATAGAGAGACAAAGTTTTCTTCTATTCATTGTTTGAAGGGCTGCATCCAAATAATAAGTGCCCGGATTTTGCACCTGAGAAGCGACTAAACCAGAGATTATAGCAAATTCAAAAAGACTGGCAAAAAGTGAGAACTGTTTCGATAGCCACGCCGAGTGCTCGAACTCGATCTCTTTAGGTTCACATTTGCCTTTAAATATATCGATGTGTCGCCTAAACTGAGAGATTGCATCCAATGGTGTACTCAACTGAAAACACAATTTGCAAATCTTGTAATTAATAAAACCACCGATTGTTTTGATTTCATATAAATTGGTTAAAGTGAGTCTCACTTCCATTAGATATGCAAAAGCATTCTTGTAATGCCTATTATGTAAATAAAATATATTTTTAAATTAATTTTCATTAAAAACTATTTAACGTATTATTAAAACATATCTCACTTGAGAGCAGTGTTTGGGTCCTGTTTTAGTTCACTATAAAAAGCTATCTTAAACTGATGTCTCACATAAAGTAATTGATGAGTTGTCTTATTGAGCTGATCCGCATGTGATTTGACAAGTTTGCATTCATTGTGATAATACAATTTCGACAATTCATACAAAGCTGATTCCATTCTTCATCAATCAAATAACTGCCATTAAACCATTTCATTAAAGAAATCTATATATTTTTACCTCAATATGTATTCCATTATTTGCGAGACATCACTAACTGGAAGAACAAACAGTGACTTAGCGTTAAGATCACAGGAATTGCAAAGAAGTGCTGCTCTTTCGGTAACTAAAGAATCATCTGTTCGTAAAATATTATAAGATTTTTACCGTAAAGTGTTATTATAACCAAATATTTAAAACAAATGACGACAAACCCGATGGTAATGGTGTTGATGTTTGGATGAGAACTAATGTGATCTTTGTGTTCCTTAAGTGAAGAACTCGTTTCAGATACTCAACTCTGGCCACACAATCGGTACGCTTTTGATTCCAGTTTAAGTCATCCCAATTGAGTTCAAAAAATAAGACGCAAACCGACGGAATGTCAAACAAATGCTTCTTCAGCCACAATGACTTGAGAATGCCTTTGGGAATGTGCCACTCATATGAAGACTTCTGGTCATTACAGCAACAAACAGTCAATTAATATCTTCTATCAAATCAATGGTCAATACTTTAGGTTTGGATGCAATGAATGTGTAGTTATCAGTGATTTGTTTGAAATAAAGCGGTGATCGATCTGATCCGCGATTTACAGTAAATGAGTTCCAAATCAAGGCGTGGATGGCATTAGTTTGAGCGCTCAGACCTACCAGTGATATGTATGGCACAGGAGTGTACTGAAGCTCTTCGGGAAACCAGTCGTTGTCATCGCCGTCGGCCATCTGTGTCTGTATATCACTCATTGTTATCAAAACAATGTCTATAAGACAACACTTCAAAACATAAAATGTTAAATCAAGTAATAATATCTTCACTAAAGTGATCACCAAATGAGTGTCCAATCAATTAAAAGTGTCTTCAATTGTGTACTCATTTGTTGACAATTTGTGTCTCATATCATATCATTGATTGCCATCTATTGAGTCATTCATAAGAAAGTTATCCACAAATACTATGAGAAAGTGAGAGACAGTGGGTGTGAGTGAGTGTTGTATGTATTGAATGACAATTGCATAACATTTGCATTTAAAGTGTGTTTTGGTATGACATGAGTGTTACGTGATATGTGAATGAATGACCGGTTAGTACAATGTGTTAGTCTATTATAATTATATTACTGTATAGACTATACTGTAGTCTATAGAGTAGTGTTAGACATGAGGTGGAGATATATTATAGTACTGTATGTCTAACAATATGTTGAGTCAGTGCTCATAATAATAGTGTTTTGTATATTAAATATTCAGTGATTCAGTGCTCACACACTCTCTCTCTCTCTCACTCTCTCTAACATACAGTCTGTGCCCGTAATGTCAGTTGTGTTTGATCTCTGGCCACGTCGTCAAGTCTTCAAGTATTGAATCAATTGATAAGTGATCGCTGGTTGTGGTGAACACAGACTCCACTTAAGAGTTAAGACAATCGATTGAGTGACCAATTGTTGCAATAGTTGTCTAAATCAGTAGAAATCATATGAAATGAATATTTTCCGACTGACGGGTGATTTGTCACATCTTTTAGCTATTATTGTCCTTTTGGTTAAGATATGGAAAACCCGTTCGTGTGCTGGTATGATATGACCAAACAATTGATCTCAACTATCAAGTGATACTAATGACAATTGTCTGACTTTTTGTAGGGATATCGGGAAAGAGTCAAATCTTATTTGCATTGGTTTACATCACCCGATATTTAGACTTATTTACAAATTATATATCTCTTTACAATTCGTTTATGAAGGTATAGATTAGATCCACTTATGATTTGTAAATGAGATAATTGTTTAATGATTTATCTTAACAGCTAGTATTCATCTGCACCTCATTGGCCACTCTGTATCTAATGTACATGAAATTCAAAGCCACTTACGACCGAAATCACGACACTTTCAGAATTGAATTCCTTTTGATTCCGATCACTATATTAGGACTAGTAGTCAACCATGAATTCACACCACTTGAGGTATTGAATAGATTTTTAATATGAAATTGGTTTCAATTTTGAATATCAATTAATAGGTGTTGTGGACATTCTCGATATATCTGGAATCGGTGGCCATTTTACCACAATTATTCTTAGTGTCGAAGACGGGTGAAGCCGAGACCATAACATCTCATTATTTGATGGCTTTGGGTTCATATCGAGCATTATATCTGATTAACTGGATTTGGCGCTACTATTTTGAAGGCTTTTATGATTTGATTGCCATCGTTGCCGGTATTGTCCAAACAGTTCTCTACTGTGACTTCTTTTATCTTTACGTCACAAGAGGTTTGTCTGACTTTTAAGTTTAAACATTATTATTAATGACGTGTTTTTTCTACCAGTAATCCGAGGTCGGGCTCTGAGACTTCCCGCATAAGTATTTGTTGATAACTTTGATTTTAAATCAAATGCAAATATAGTTTTAATTTAACTAAAAATCACAATTAATTTAACTAATGAATGTTATTTGTAATATTAAAGTGCCTCAAAATGATCGGCAAATTTCAGTCTTTAAGCTCATTATTGATTTTTCTATATTTATTTTCAATTAAATATTATTTAAGTTATAAATTCCTAAATCCATTGTTTTTACTTATTATTAATTGTAAATATTAAACAATTTTAAATATTTTAGATAACCATTAATCAAAGCTTTAGTTAATGTCATTATTATGACATCGTTTTTTGATAAATTAGTCGATTTTTTCTAAATTAATTTCGAAAGTGATTAAAAATTATTTATATAAATGTGAATTATTTTTTATCAACAAAATCTGTAATTTAATTAAAAAGTATAATGAATTTTTTATTTAAACAAAATTAAGTGAATCTCTAAGAATATATATATAAATATTTTTAAAAATAGCTAAAAGATTAAATATAAAATATGGCTGAAATATAGTGATATACAATATATATATATAATTAAGAGAAATAAAAATATATAAAACATTAAAATGATTGCCTTTACATAGGAATCAGTTACCGCTTCGCTTTGAACCGGTCTTTGTGTTAGAGCTAAGCTTATGAGTCATTAATCTGTCGACAATATCATAGGCATATCGGACACGAGTGAACAGCTCTTTACTGCAGCCATACTTCTCCATCAAACTAAACTTATATGTCTTGAAGTCTCGCTTGTCATTGATGTAAGTGACGGCACCCATCAATGGACATAGAATTAATTTAGTGTGATCTTGGAAAAAGTTGATCTGAAATGCATTCAATATTAGTATTGTTTCAAATGAAAAACAATGTTTATAAATACCTGAACGGATCCGTTAGTCAATTGAAAGACAATAGCATTTCTTGTTCGGAACCAATTGTTAAGATGTGGTAAACGCACCAAATCATCGCCTTCACGAGGTTTTGGCTTATCTCCAGTCTTCAACAAATGCTCATTCATGTAGTTTCTGAAGTACTTCAATAGTGTTAACTTCTTAAGAATATCGTTTGGACACGAATCAAACTTATGATATCTCTCATTGCCGTCTCTATCAATGTAATGCATATTTGATTCATCAGACATGAGAACAATTTTGGTGATGTCGTTGAACAAAACGCCAACACTATTATCGCATAATTGGTAGCCAATACCGTATTTATCAGTATAGTCGACCCATTTGGAGATCCAAAATATGGGCGAAGAAACAGGATCTTCGGCTTCATCTTCCATAATCTGAGGCAAATCCGCAGGTTTTTGTGCAATAAGATGAAGCAATTGATTACTCAAATCCTTCAAATAATAGTCTTTTGGCGCCGAATCGAGATTTCCTTTCGGTCGCAGATTTGGTTCGTTATATTTGTTGACTAAAGCCTTCTCAGGAGACTTAGTCATACCATTGTATGCCATTTCTCCCAATGGTTTTCGTGGAGACATTCGCGCGTCATTTGGAAGTATTGAAAGCCGAGAATCATAACGAGGAGCTACTGTAAGACAGGATACTGGAAGACGTGACGGAATATAATTCTTTGTTAGATATGGATGATCTAACACCTCAGCCATTGAGGGTCTCTTTTTGGGATCAGATTGTAGTAAAATGCTAATAAAATTGGCCACTTCTGATGGTACGTGAACCGGAATCTTGTATTCATTACATTTGATTCGTTTGTATGTGTCCTTTAAGTCGTTAGTTTCAAAGGGAGGTTTGCCACAGATTAGTGTGTATACAATACAACCCAAAGACCAAACATCCACTTCAAAACTGTGACCCTTTTTGAATAAAACTTCCGGTGCGATATAGTTAGGAGTTCCGCAAAGTGTAAGTTTGCGTTCGCCTTCTGAAGCAATTTTTGTGGCCAAACCAAAGTCGCCGACTTTGAGTTGCATATTATCGTTGAGAAACAGGTTTCCTAACTTGAGATCCCTGTGCACAATGCGATTCTCGTGCAGGTATTTACAAGCGCAGGCAATTTGGTGCACATAATATCGCACTTCAGACTCATTCAAAGTTTTACGCCTTTTATGCATTTCCATCAACGACTAGATTTCAAACAAACAAAAAGTTTATAATAATGTCATTAATGAAACACTCGTCTAATACTTACTCTTTTACTGCAGAGTTCGAGGATAATGTAAATATAGTCCTTATCCTCAAAGAAAGTGTGAAATTCAACGACATGTTTGTGATTAATAGACCGATGAATTGTTATCTCTTGAGTCATCTATTAATTCAAAAAAAGTTTAATAACTTAAACACAAACTCTTGAATAAGACATACCTTATCTTTTTGGTCGGGTTTGACTAACTGTGATTTGGCGATCACTTTACCCGCATATATAACACCATTAGATGTATCAATCAGTTCATAGCATTTGGCAAATCCTCCCTTTAATTGCAATCAATAATACATTATAATTATTGAAACTTTCATTAAGTGGTCACTCAATGGACATACCCTTCCCAAGAACTTTCCTTTGCGATACTGTTTTCGTGTTTTGGGATCAATTACCAAATCAGGTATTTCAATCTTCATGAGATCGTTACGGCGAGACATTTCAATGATAATTAATGGACACAATTAAAAGTATTTATTTAAAAAAATTGATAAAACCGTTAAAACTTAGTTTAAAAAAGGTATGAAAACCATTAAATTATGATAAAAACTAATTGCAATTAAACGACTGATTCATTCATTTAAATATTAAAATAAATGTATTTAAAAAACTTTGAAATCATAGGAAATGTCGTTAAAAACGGTTTTTTTAAAAGTAATGAAACGATCGATGCCTTCGCCAGTCGTTTAGACACTGAGTTAAAGTCCGACTCAAAAGTTGTTGTCTTTTTAAACAAGTTTTCAAATTTAGTGCTCATTTGCAACGTTTACTCAACCCTTTAGACTATAGACTATACTGTAGTGTATAATATGTTAAAGTTTATACACTATTGTCAGTCTATTGTATGCATTGTGTGCCCACACAAACACATGTCACTGACTTAGCCATACATTCAATACATTCAATACATTCAATGCAATGCACTCTCAATCAGAGTCAACGGTCAACAAGTATTTCAAAAATTTAAATCTTGTTTCGCACGCAATGCGCATGCGTTCAGTCTTTAAAGGGTTTTCAAAATCAACTGACAATGTGTTGCTATCGTTACCATCAATACATATACTACATGTTATTATAACTCAATACTAGAGTAGGCGGAGCTTAAATATCATACAATTAATATACACATCATGTTGTTTTGTATGTATATATTGGTAAAAGTCTATGTTTGATATATGTCATAGAAATATGTATGAAATGTATAATACATTTATAGGATAATATGTGAACACAATATTAGAGTAATGTTTGTTTGATTGCATATTGTTTTGCTTTTTTGTTGCACGTGTTTGTAATTTAACAACACGTGTTACGTTACAATCCATGATTTGATTCAATTGTATAATATAGTGATAGGAAGTCACGATTTGTGTACCGATTTGATGCTAAAACAGTGATTGTTATTAATATAACATATAATTTGTGACATAATTTTAGGCCTTAAATGACTTCATAATTGTTATGAAAATAACTGACAATTACTTGAAAACAACAATTGTTTTGGTTTTTAATTGACAATAAAATAACTGTTATTTTCAGACACTCTTTGGTGTTGTGTTTCTAAATATGGATCAAAATAGTAGTAAAAAGCGTAATAAACAAACAAATAACAAAAAAGTTGTTAACAAGAAAAAGAAAAATAATTATAAAAGAAATAATTTGAAGACTAGTTGTAAATATCCTCAAGACGTCAAAGATATGTCCATTAATTGGAAGCGTTTGGAGAATACATTGAACCAAAACAAGAGTCATAAGAGTAATGACAATAAAATGAACAAAAAGAAGAAATATTTGAATAAAAATAATAGCAATGAAAGCGATAAAAGTGATAATAAAAGGACTAATAATAAGAATATATGGTTTGATGGCGTAGACAAATGTCTTATTAAGTCATCGATGTCTGAAACTAATCCATCAAACAGTGACTCAAATGCTAGACTTGTCAAAGAGAAAAGCTTTAACGGTTTGACAAAAATAGTGGCCATCGATTGTGAAATGGTTGGCACTGGAACTGATGGAACTTATTCAATGTTGGCCAGAGTATCAATTGTTAATTTGTTTGGTCACTGTATTTATGATAAATATGTGAAACCAGTTGAAGAAATAACAGATTACAGAACAGCTTTCAGTGGTATCAGACCTTCAGATTTAGTTAATGCAGAGGACTTTAAAACAGTTCAGAAACAAGTGTTTGATATATTAAACAATAGGATAGTTGTCGGACACGCCATTCATAATGACTTTAAAGCACTTCTATTAAGTCATCCAAAAAGTAAAATTCGAGACACGAGTCGATACTTTAAGAAGTTGTTAGGCGGAAGAAATCCGGCCCTCAAGAGGCTATCGGACTCAGTCTTAGGCGTTAAGGTTCAGACAGGAGAACATAATTCAATTGAAGACGCGAGGGTTGCCATGAGATTGTATACTATGTTTAGAAACAAATGGGAATCAGATATCAAGAAAAAGGATATAAAACGGTCGAAAACATCCAAAAAATAATTGATATATTAATTAAAATGATTTCTTATTTAATCATAATATTTAAAAATTGTAAAATATTTGTAAAATGTATTCATTATTTCTTTTTATTAATGTTATAGTTATGAGAATATCAATTATTCGTATAATATTAAAAGTTTTAAATTTATTATATTATGAAACAATAATTTATTTATTTAGTATTAATTGAATTAAAATGTTTCTCTTTTCCAAATAATGACATTTCCTTTACTATCACTTGAAGCTAAAAGACTTTCATCATAATTAAAACAGACGTCTAAAACTGGTGCTGAATGTCCCTGAAGTTTATTAACGCATTTGCTTTTACAATAGTTGTCTTCAACAGTAAAGAAATGGACACAAGTGTCTTCACATCCGGTGACCACACAAAATCCGTGTCGATTTGAGATAATTGGACAAAAGGAACTTCGAATCATTAGTTCCCGATTTTGGTGTTTTATTGAAAAGCTTTGAGTTATTTCCAAATTAGATTCACTTCGGTTTACTTTAAATAACAATAAGGCATTACACGCACTGTTGACTAATAGCAAAGGATCACTATTAGTAGAACCAGAAACACATCGGTTAGATATAGAAGTGATGGCACATCCGGCCACTACTATCACTTTGTTAAATAATATAAGACGACATGTTTTCATCTCAAATATAAATGATGATATAAAGCCTTTAGAGTCGCCGACCCAAAGCGTTTGACCGGTTATGTCAAAACATAGACACAAAATGCAATTATGTTCATCACTGCTCTTAAACATACCCCCCTTTGTGTAGATACCGGTCGACACATTGAGGACTTGAAGATAACCTTTTGAATTGGCCGTAACCACCATATTATTATTGTAAGGATGGAAACTACAGGCCATTACTGGTAAACCGTAGGGATCTTCAATTGTGCGCAAACAATAACCAGAAGCCGCTCCCCATAACTTTACGGTTCCATCTAAAGAACAACTGACTATTAGATCATTAGATAGAGACCATTCAAAATCAACGACTCCTGCTTTATGTCCTTTTAAGATATATAATATGGTTGCTGGGGATGGAGTTAATTGACATATAGATAAAGTCGAGTCCATAGATGCACAACAAAGCAATGACTTGTCATCGTTGGCGAATCGGATCGAAGTGACGGCTTCTTTGTGCTGATCAAAGATGTGATGCATTCCTGAAAACGAATAGTTCTCCGAAAAGGCATTCATCACATTATTTCGAGTCGAGTCTAACTCAAAGTCTGGTATCAATCGATCGTAAATATTGCTGATATTGGGATCAAACACTGAAAACAATTGACGACTGGGTCTCGACTCCATCGAGTCTTCAGATGTCAAACGACTGTTACTATTACTTCTTACATATCGATTTCGGGATCTGTTTACAGATAATTGACTTATTATTATTAATATTAATAAATAATATCATAAAATCATATCAATGATACTGACGACTGATCCCATTTGACTCCATATCTTTGGCTCAATAATTGTGTCCTGAGTTTTATATATTGTTTACGAAATGAATTCAACTCTTGTTTGGATATCTCTCTGAGGATCTGATTTCTTCGCTTTATATATAATATCTCTGTTGATGACAATCAATGTTAATCAATGTAATCAATAATCAAAGTCTTACTGATGTTGGCGTTTCTGAAGGCATTATATCGGACATCGATGGCAATGATTTGTTGCCAAATGATGTGACACTTGTATTGGTTTTGCTTTTCAATTGAATTCATTGATTCAATCATTGATTCATTTATTTAATTAATTAATTTATTAAATCAAATCAAATCAAATAAGTTTAGTATTCATTCAATCATTTCAATAGCAATACATTTGACAATACATTGTAAACATAACATTACGTCACTCTATGTGTCATTCAATGAGGCAATGGTTTGCATTTATTGCATACTTGAGATGAACTCAAATACCGATTCTCACTGTATTTTAATAGCAATTAATTAATTAGGCGTCAAATTGACATGAAATGCACCGTTAGTTTAAATATCAATCTCTTTGATTGCAATCAACATTAAATATATTATAATTTATTACATTTAACATTTCAATTCAACCAAATATATACTGTAGACCATAGTTTTAAATTTGTTTTAATTAATAAGAGAATAGTGATTAATATAAGCAAAATTACATAAACTTATTATATGATAAATGCAATTCATTTAATTTATTTGCTATAAAATACAAAATTCAAATTATTTCATGAATATCGTGTTTAAATCGTCTAATTTAATGTTATTTACTATAATTTTTTTTGTCAGCAATTATTAAGTTTCAACATATTTTAATATCCAATTTATTCCCAAAATTAAGATTTTGAATAACCATTACATTACATATTTATTAAATACATATATTATGTATTTTGTAATATCAGTTTCACTACCAATAGTTACATCTAAATAATTTTTAAAAAAGCATTTCATATAAATAGAAACTAACGAATAAATTAAGTTAAAGATAACAAATAAAATAAATCTCAAGAATATTTAAATATCAATTCACTGAAAAATAAAAAATATGTAAAACGAAAAATTTTTGGAAAAATATTTAGCATTAGACTAGAATTTTAGTATAAATATAAAGATATTGATATAAATTTTGTATTAAAATCATACTTGAGATCAGACATTATTTCTGTTAATTTTCATCAAATTATTATCATTTTATAGCTAAATATTAGTTAATATTAATTTAGAGAAATGTTTTTAAATATTTTTATCACAAAATGGAATAAAATATATTTACGTTAAGATTGGCTTAAATGGAGTTTGTTTTGCATTTATCTATAAAATTGAATTTAATATTCACAGTAATTGTTAAATTCATTAAATTTTAATTTAGTTGTATATAAATTAAAATTAGATTTAACATAAGTCTCTGATTTTGTTATTTATTATTATTTATATTAATTTTTATAATTGGGTTTACAAACTATGAACATAATATAAATAATATACAAAATAAACTCCATTTGTTCGATAATTTTTTAGAAAATTTTGGCTAAAATATAAATTAATTAACTCTAAAAATTGGTTTCATTAGACAAATTTTTATGAAGTTAAATACGATACATAAATATTATTGTATTACCGGTAGTTTTTTACTCTTAATATTTCAAAATTTAATGAAAAATTTTAGATAAAGTGAAACCAAATATTACCGCTCATATTAAAACTTATATAAAATTAAAACAATTTTAAAGTATATCAGTATTAATGATGTCGTTATTAGATGAGGATTAGGGAACAGACGGACTTTTTAACTGAAACTAAAAATAATTGATAAAATTTATGAGACATCAGTTGTCTGTTCAGTCTCTGCGGGCGGTGCTCCACCTGAAGACTCTTTTTGGTCGCCGTCTCCTAATATCAAACAAATATCCTATTAATTTACAAATCAAAAGCATATATATGTGGACATACCGTTGTGCTGCATATCTGATGTCCATAACGTCAGGTTATCTCTAAGCAATTGCATTATAAGTGTCGAATCCTTATAACTCTCTTCAGAAAGTGTGTCCAATTCAGCGATTGCGTCATCAAAAGCAGCCTTTGCTAACCGACAGGCCCTCTCTGGAGAGTTCAATATCTCGTAATAAAACACTGAGAAGTTGAGTGCCAGACCCAGTCTTATGGGATGTGTTGGCGGCAATTCAGTCATCGCTATATCTGAAGCTGACTTATACGATACCAAAGAATTCTCAGCCGCCTCTTTGCGATCATTTCCGGCCGCAAACTCAGCCAAATAGCGGTGATAATCTCCTTTCCTAATATAATACCATTAATATTAATATTAATAATAATCTTAATTATTATAAATTCAGTTTTTAGTTATCAATGAATAAGTGACTGACATTTTAAAGTAAAACACTTTCGACTCTCCCGAAGAAGCCGTAGGAATCAAATGCTTATCCAAGACATCGAGTATATCGAGACAAATGTCACGCAATTCTTTCTCGACTTGAAGTCTGTATGTCTTAATCAACTCAATGCGTGTTTCGGATCCTTTCAGTTCCTCTTTCTGTTCAATAGACGATATAATCCTCCAACTGGCCCGTCGGGCACCGATCACATTCTTGTAGGCCACTGACAATAGGTTCCGTTCCTCGACAGTCAGATCGGCATCAATTGTCGCCACTTTCTTCATCGCGTCCACCATTTCTGTCAATCGGTAAACAAAACAATTCATTTAAAACAATCAATTAATTGGTCAACCGATGGTCACTTACCATCATATCTCTCGGCCTGTTCGGCCAACTTTGCTTTGTAGACATTGTCTTCTCGATTATCGGTCATTATTTCAATTAATTAAATCAAATGAGATATCAGTAGTGATGTCTTCAGTGATCACTTGTGTGTCAATCGCTGTCTTCAGTGTTGTCTATCTCTCTCTCTCTCTCTCTCTCTCTCTCTCTCTGTATATATAATACTCTAATAGAGTCTCAATAGCTGTCTATTACTCACTATTTTCACTCACAAAACAATTCAGTCGAACATAACGTCAAAGTGTTATCCAATCGCTGCTCACGACTAGAGGCCGACATTTACTATACATTTGAGACACTTATACACTTGTATATGAAATACATTGTGAATCACATGCCATACCATACAGTCATTGACTAACATTACAGTCAATACTAACAATCAATGAAACGGGCATTAAAAGTGTATATACTTTGAATGTACTCATGCATTATCACAACAGTTAAATACAATACATTACAATTTAATCAAATCATTAATATTGTTATAACATTATAATATATAATCTAATAATATATACATTTTTGTTTTAATCTCAATAATTAACATAATTTAAAAATGAATCAATATATACATATTTTGCTGTATTTAACATTAATAATGATTTTTCCATTACTTAATCATTTATAAACCATTAGAATTATGTCAAGTGTATGATTATATTGTGTTTGAATTATAAAATACCAAAATCTTTTTAATATTAAAAATTAATATTTATTATTTAATATTATATTTATTTGTAAAAAATTTAATTAAATAAATTTATAATTTAATTTTATCTATAAAGTATTATTGTAAATTTCAATATATTCCAATTTTAATTCCCTATCTATCTATCCCTAATCCCTGGACTTTTTAACTTTAATTCCTGCTCTATCCCATCCCATCCCAGTCGACACAATTATTCCCATTCAAATAGGGACTTAGATTTATATGTCTACTTTTATCGATTTATTATACTTAAAAAAAATAAAAAATTTCTGATTGTATTCAAAGTATTTACGCTTTTAATACCTACAAAACTTATCGCTAGTATTGACCCATTGCTAACACACACGTGCTTTACATTTTAGTTTGACATTTGGTATCAATTTAAAAATGACCATCATCATTTAAAAATGACCATCATCATTTATCATATACAGTCATTCATTATATGTCCATGCTCATTTTTATAAATGTCAATTAACTCAAATTTATAAATCTTTAATTATTTTTTATCATTTGTTATATTAATATTTTAGTTTGTATTTATCAGTTAACGCACATTAAGATTATTACTATATTTTAATCATTTAAAATATTTATTCAAACAATACGAATACAAAAAATAATACTTAAATATGATATAACTAGTCATTAAGTTTTTATTTAAAATCTAATTATTTATGAAATTTTATAATAGATATAAATTATTTCTATTAGAATTCAATTCAATTTATTATTAATTAATTAATATATTAATTCTATAAAAATGTTATTTTTAAATCAATACTAGTTTACAATCATAGAAGTAAATAATTATTTAAATCAATAAATTAAAAAAAAAGTTTTTAAATCCAGATTCCAAGTAAAGGATTTGATAAAATTAATTAAAGTTTAAATACTTAACTTTTTATACAGTAATTGTTGGCTCTAAAGTTCATTTATAATAAAAGACCAAATAAAAAGTTTGTTATTTGTTGTTAAAAGTTTACAAAAAGTTAATAAAATTATTGAATTATAATAAAATCTATATTTTTATTAATTAGGTTTGAGTTATAATTACAACATTAAATATAAGGCATGATTTAAAACGTTTATATTTTTATATTTACTGCAAGTTTGTTATTATCTCATATAATTAAAAGGTTTGATCTTAATATAGTACTGTACTATACCTATACTGTATAATACTGTACATTGAAATAAATACCCGTATACTGAGTAAACTTCTTATTTAATTAGTTAAACTAATTATTTAATAAACTAATTAATTTTTTTTATAAAATTTTATTTAAAATATATGATGAGCACAACTTCAAATGGTTGGACACATTGTCTAATTTTAACTAAATTTGATTTTTATACATTTTTGACATTGCAATTATTAACCAATAATATAATATAATGATTTTATAATAATATATTTTAGTACTTTATTTTTAGTATTTTAGTATGTACAGTAGTATAGTATAAAACATGTACAGGTATTAAAATAATATTGGTGTAATTTAATTTTGAACAAAAAAAAGTCACATAAATAATCAAAAAGTTATAAACTATTTTCAAGTTTATATTTATTAAAAAATTATTAAAAGTTAATAWCCGTTTTTGGTCTTTAATAATAAGTATTGAATTAACGAATCAACTCTATATTATACCCCTATATTGAATGCGTGTAAAACATATCGTATTCTTACTGTTTTGTTATTCAAACTAACAGCAAATAAATATTTTCTTAAATGTTTAAAAACTGGTAATAAAAAGTAATTTTGATTAAATATGACAAACAATACGTTAAAATAAAAATCGTTGAAATAACTTTAAAAAATAATTTATTTCATTTATTGATTACCTTAATATGAAATTTTATTTTATAAATACCGTATCGGTAATTGTTAGAAAAAATATTGAAAAACTAATTATAATAACAATACTATAAATAGAGTTGCATTAGTTGATCGCTGACCGCAGCAGTGGTTAAAGTTCCCAAATCTGTTAATAATAATGTTATATAAGAAGGAGGCGTATAATCAACGAGTGGGTGATCAGCGAAATCAGTATTGGTTTTCCATTTAAGTCTATCGGGAATATCGGACTGATTTAAGGGATATAAACGTATAAATTTAAAACTTTCAGCTAAAGCATAGAATGGTTTGTTCATTGATTTGGCGCAAATGGCCACTGAATAGGTTCCGATCTAACAATAAATTTAACAAAAATAACAATAAATTATTATTATTATAGCATTTATTCAAATATTTATCTTTTGATAATAAAATAATACTTTATTAATTATTCCTCCACTTTCAGCGACACCTTCAGCGCCAACCAAAACAATGTCAACTCTTTCCATAATATAAGCGACTGCGGAGTCAATAATCAAAGTACTCATAATTCCGTTTTCTTTAAGCCATTCAACCATTATTTTGCTTTAAAAATATATATATAAACAATAAAATATAGGTAATTGTATATAACTGACAATCGATGTCATCAAATACCCGCTCATATCAGGTGCAGATTCAGTCACATAAACAGTAAATCTTTTATTAGCTTTCTTTGCTTCGGCTAACGTACAGTTGACAGCACGGGAACAGCCGTGGATTAAAATAGTCTAATATTGACAACAAAATCATATGCAATAATTGTATGGATAATAATATGCATAAAACATACGCAACCGTCCGATATGAACGGGTGTCCATTTTTGGCCACTTTTTTGCGACATTCCATCATTTTCTTGAGAAACAAATCACTTCTTCGAGATAATTCACTTTTCAATTCACGAAATTCCTGAAAATCCGATCATTAATATTATAATTGAAATAATTTTTAAGTTGATCTCAATTCACGTCATATTCCGACGCTTTTAATGTAATAAATCTGAAGTAAATCTCTGCCACTGATTCCACTTCAGTTCGCGACTCAGTATTCTTCAGCAATTCAATGGCTGACCGGACATTATCGCGAAGACCCGATGCAGTGGTGGCTATAAATTGGTTTATATATGTGTTATGCTATGATATATGACTCTCAAAGACATACATTCATCTCTCTTCAAGTATTCAATTAATGTCTTAAGTGTTGCGATCGCTGGCGAACTCTCGACAGCCAACTCTTGGCGATAGTGTTGACAAATGGCTAACAAACAAAACACGAGATAATTATTACAAAGTATTATCAGTTAACAAGACATACATTGATTGTCCATTTGAGGTGATCTTCAATTTCAAGACTTAGTATTCAATTTGATATCAAATCAAGTGATCAACAAATACCACATAAATTAAGTCTTAATTATCAAAGCATTAGTAATAGAAAAGTATTGAAATTTTTCAAACATTATTAGTGAACAACAAATGTATAGAAAATGTGATGAAATTAACTGACGTTTTGTTGACAACTCTATTGAATGTCAAGTGTTGTACTGTTTATGAAAAATAACGGATCAATCATTCAATTGTTTACTAAAAGACTTAATTTAAAGACAATATGGTTTGTATTAATTGTATTAAATATGATTGACATTAATATTAATAATGTTTGTCTTATATAATAGGCTGAGCGAAAAGCGACGAATAAGTATTACCCGCCGGACTGGACTCCGGCCAAGGGTTCAATCAATAAATTCAGAGGTAGTCATCCACTTCGGGACAGAGCCCGCAAACTACATGAAGGCATACTTATCATTAGGTTTGTTATGACAAAGACATTGTATATCATATGATTGATTGATATCTCTTTCAGATTTGAGATGCCATTCAATATTTGGTGCAATGGCTGTAATAATCACATCGGACAGAGTGTCAGATACAACGCTCAAAAGTCTAAGACAGGGATGTATTACACGACTCCTATCTATAAGTTCCGTATGAAATGTCATTTATGCGACAATCACTTTGAATTTCAAACGGATCCCAAAAATTTGGATTACGCCATATTGAATGGCGCCCGAAGACAGGAACTTAGATGGGATGCCAAAGATAATGAACAAATAGTTGCCGAAGACAAAGAAGTTATCAAAAAATTAGCCACAGATTCAATGTTTAAGTTAGAGCATGAAGTAGAAGATAAACAAAAGGCTAAAGATGTCGAACCAGCCATTGAACAGTTGGAATCGCTTCAGAAACGATGGAAAGATGACTATTCATTCAACAGAGCCATTAGAAAGACTTTTCGGGTAATTAATACTAAATTGATTGACAAATGAAGTAATTTATTTGTTTTCATTTAGACTAAGAAGTATGAACTCAAAGCAACTAAATTTGCTGATCGATCGTTACTCAAGAGATCTTCGCTTCCTTTATCTCTCAAATTGATTCCCGAGTCTAAAGAAGACTCAAAGTTAGCAAAACTTATGAAACTCGAGTCAACGAAATGTAAGATATAGTTATATTTCACTTAACAGTCATTTTTATAATTATTAATATAAATAATTAATTTTTTTAAAGCACTCGAAACTCAACAAAAAACTAAAAGAGAAATAATTTTAAAGAAATCTATATTTGATAATACATTACAATGCAAATCAAGAGATCTCATCGATAATTCAAAGTTATTTGAATCCAATAATATTTTTAATGCAAATAATTTGAAAAATTGTATAAATAGTAACGTAAATGATAGTATAGATAATAATAAAACTATTATAAATGCAAAAAATATCAAAAATAGTGAAACCGATAAACCAATTATTGCTTCTTTAGTAGATTATAACAATAGTGATTCTGATTAAACATTTTTAAAATTTTATAATAAATATATAATTTATAAAATATAAGTACCGGTATTTTTATTTGTAAATAAAAAAATTATTATCAATATAATATTTTTATTTATTTAGAAGATTTAAATATTACAGTAAATTATTAAAAATATTAATATACTGTAAAAACTGTAAAAATTATTATAGACTTAAATTATAATAAAATATTTATATAAACTTATTATTAATGAATTTAGAAATGAATTTCAATTGAATTAAGAAGTGGTAACATATTGTCGACACTTATTCAGTGAATCCATAGAATTGATTGTTTGGACTGATTGTGTAGACACTGTCAGTCGTAGTCTCAGTCGATGACTCTGAAGATATATGACCAGAGAATTGAAACGGAAGGCCTAAGAAATCACTGTTTTTAAAAGTCAATAGTTTGCTGGACATAGACTTCTCAATGTCACCATTAATGTTGAGTGAGTCACTTGACTGATCCACTGTCTTCTCATACGGAAGAGGTAGTGAATCACAAGAAAAGTCAGTCGATGTACTCTCAAACTGTACATCACTTAATTGATCATTAGTTGGACTTTTAGAAGATGAACGACTGACCAATTCATCACTGGATACAAGTGTATCGCTGATAACCTCTTCAGACATTTTTGGTGAAGACTTAGAATCATTGATTTGATTCAAATGAATGGCTTGTTGTCTGTCATTAGCTGTTTGATTGCTAATTGATTGGTCGGATGAGCTCTGGTTAGCTGATGAACAAGCTATCGATGTCGAGGAAATGTGAGCCTTGTTTTTACTCACACAACAACCCATTTGTTGATATAGTTATTATCAATAGTCGACAATATATTAGTTATAAGTAATAATAATAATAATACTAAAGTGTCTGAAATTATATTGAAATAAAATTTACGTAAATTTAATCAAAAATTGGTTTTCATTTGATATTTCTGAGTAAAAGTATATCAATTAAAGTAATATTCTATTAATTATAATTCAATTCAATATACAGTACTCTCGTTCACACATTTATAGTGTTCTAATAAATAGAGAGACATATAATAGTAGTATTGATAGAGTTTTACTAACAATCTATTGATTCAATTGCAATACATTCGGTATATTTAACGCATTGATTGTTGAAGTTTGACGCGCGATGTTATAGTCATTAAGTTTATGATAAATACAGTACTATTTTATTACTTTATTTAAGTTATGTTAGGGTGGATGTGGATGTGGAGGGTTAGGAAGTAGTGTGTGGGGAGGGAAGGAACGGTAGGTGAGGGATGGTTTCTAAAACTTGTTAAATTGTCATTTTAACAGCGTTCACAACTTGAACAACAAATGCGTTACATATACCGAATCTGTTCCCATTCGGTATATGTAAACCATTTGTTGTTCAAGTTTTAAACGCTTATAAAATAACAATTTAAAAGTTTTAGATACCAACCCTAACCTCCAGTTCCTTCCCTTCCTAACCCTCCACACCCACCCCAACCTAACCTAACATAAAATAAATTAATAAAATAGTACTATATTTGTCATAAACTTAATGGTTATAGCAGTGCGCGTGAAACTACAACAAATGGATTACATATACAGAACTTTAGCCAAACATTGTACTGAAAAGTGTTACCTCAACCAAGACACTTACCTCCCAATTCAACACCACTACCTAACCCTTCCACACACACACCCTAACACTTCCTAACCTCACCACCCATTCCACCCCAAACTAACTTAACTAAAAGGAAAATAAAATGAAAAACATTTAATATTTTAGTTAACAATTGTTTCGTGCGATATGTATGTAATTTAATGCATTTGATTGCATGCATTAAAACGATGTATTTTAGTAGAGAATTATAATCTAGATTTAAGCGAAAAATTAAAACAAAGTTTGAAAACAAAGTTTGAAATCAAAGTCACAAACAAATGACAAATAATTATCTAATAATTTATCAAATTATTAATCAATTGAATAATAATATGAATTCGCTATGAATTCAAATAATGCGCTTAAAGTATATAATGAATGGAAAAGTCAACCAATGAAACCATTGTTTGTCTCTTTGAATGTTTGCGCCAATTGTTTACATAATTATTGACACAATTATTGATATAATAGTTAACTTAATATTTAATTGATTGATATTTTGGTGATTAAGTCATCAATAGTTTTGTGACAACTAATGGATGGATACAACATTTGATCGCTTTGTAGACGAGTGGACACATGTATGGCAACAAATCATGGATAAGTTGATTGAGTTGAAAGAGTGGCAACAAATGCAAGAAGAAGTGATTCAAAGGATTCACACCAATCGCCAAATGAAACCAATAAATGAAGAAGACGTTGATTCTGATCCAGTCGTTGACAATAACTCACACATAAAACAGTTATTACAACCAATAGATAAACAAATGAAAACATGTTTTAGTGATGAATCTGTTGAAGACGTGAGAGCAGATGATAATGATTTCAATATAAGTCAGACGAGTGATAACATTAGTTTTAACCAATCATTTGCTGAAGATTCGGTAGTTGTTCCCGGAATTGATGGCAAAAATGTCAAGACATTCGAACAATTACTTGATCTCAGACTTAATGGCCAAAAAACTGACGAATCGGTGGAAACAATACAAAATAAACCGAAAAAACCTTTTCTTCGTAAAGGAGAAGGAGTTAAGAGATTTGCGCCGAAAAATAGTGGCAAAAAACGGACAACAATTACCAAAGTATTACCAGAAAGTGATAATAAGTTATTGGAAATAAAGACTTTTGTCCGTAAAGTAGATACAAATGTTTTAAATAAAGTGAACACAAATAGACATCAATTTAGAAAATGCAATAAAAATGAAGAAAAACCACAAATGAAGAAACCTGTGAACAAACCAGTTATGCCATTGACTACTAAATTGGATAAAAACCACAAATCAGTTGTAATCACCAGAAATGCTCCGACAGTTATTCAAGATTTAGACGATAGCGACGAAGTATTGTTTGATTGTTTGCAAAAAATTTATGAAAACATATCAATTGATGACAATTCAATTGATGAACAACTAAAAGACAAAGACATAAACGAATTACAAGATTTACTCAAAAAAATTGAATTAAAAAAGAAAAATCTTAAGCAAAGTTGTAGTGATAGTAATGGATTTATTGGTGCTAACGATAGACAAGTAACTGCTGAATATACAAGACATTTGCCGGTTAAGAAAGAGGTCAAGAAAAGAGTTCATTGGAGGTCTCAAGATATTGAAGAAATTGATAGTGAGGAACAATCATCAGATTCATGTGAATTATCTGAACCAAAATGTGGCGCTTATTCTTCAGCACTTAAACATCAAATCAATGATCTTGAAGAACGGTTAACGAGATTGAAAAATAGTAGTAAAGAGAAAATATCGGATAAAATACTTACAAAACCACAATCAGTCGATTCAGATATTTTGAGTCCAATCAGTAATGAACTTAAGAAACTGACGGAACAGATTGAAAAACTAAACAAAAAGATGATTAGTATTGAGTCGAAATCATTTGATTTATTTAGCGGTCAAAAACATGAAAAGACAAATCTTAAGCAAAATGTTAAAGTGTTTCCCATCAGAAGTGAAAAGACTTTGACAACCAATGGACACAATATATCAGTGAATGAAAGACAAACTGATACTACAATTAATTTTCCAAATGGAGATAAAATGACTGTTTCTAAAGATAATACAATTGTATTTAATTTAATATACATTGAAATTATAATTACTGTAATAAGTWCTATAWATTTGTTATTTTATTTTACCTGTAATTCAATTTATAGTTCTACACCTTTGCTAACGGTGCCACTCAAACAACATATCCGGATGGCCTCAAAATCATTGATTTCCCGAAGTACCGTAATTTTTAATCACTCATTAATTTTTAATTATATAATATACCGATAATTATATCACATCTAAACGATTTTTAAATAGTGGTCAGTCAGAGAAAATACATAAGAATGGTGTCAAACATATCACTTATGCCAATGGTTTGCAGCGAATTATAAACCCCGACAGTTCTGAAGAAGTTCGTATGACTGATGGAACCGTTTGGAGAATACATTCGGATGGCTCTGAAGTATTAGAGTTTGCGAACGGAGACCGAGAGATTAGAACCGATAAGTTTAAGGTATGACTTCTTCACTTATTATATACCATTAGATGATTGCAAACATTGTGTTTCAGAGAAGAGAGTATTCAAATGGAAATATGAAAACAATATATTCTGACGGAACTGAAGAAACCCGTTATGTTTGTGGAAGACTTAGGATTAAAGACAGATTCGGTAATCTTATGGTCGACTCAATGGTCAGACATTTAAATCAACACATTTAATGAAGTGATTGAATTTAAAGTGAATTAACCGGTAATTATTCGGCCAATTGATTGAATTATATTTTATTATTATAACTATTTTACAGTACTGTATATATAAATATTTTTTATCATATATTTATTTTGTATAAAATGTTTACTTCATAAATATGACATTATCTAAAATATACTTAATTAAATGTTTTGCAAAAGTTGTTTAGTTTTTATATTATTATTCAATGAATTTGGTGACCATTCACTTAAATAAAGCGATTCACGTTTTGTTTGACTCAAATCAATATCATAAGCTTTGGGACCAAATTTGAATAACATCTGAGAAGTCTTTAAATGAAATAGATTTCTGAGTGCATCTAAGTCTGCCATTTGTTTGGCCAACTCTATTGTCTCTCCCGGTGCTATAAAATGTATACATTATGTTATTAGTAAATACTATACTTTAAATAAAAATAAACAAGAAATCAGATGGACTTACCCGAACCAATTAATTGTTTGTCTACATAAATGCCGACCACATAACAGGCCTCAATAGTACCGGAAGCGCTTTCCCGAAGCAATCTATACTCGGGTTCTGATAGTTGTTGTCGATTAAGAATATTTCTTAATTGAAACTTCGGATTAGGGATTTGCCATATTTCGAGGACGTCTTTGTTTAGTATATAAGTTAATATGAAATCTAATACAAAATTATTAGCCTTTTTCACTCCATTATCTTCAGCAATAGCACCGACAATGGAAAGTGTAGTCTTTGCTAATGAGGACTCTTTTGGTGGAAAGTCCTTAACAATGAATTAAATATTATTTTGATTGCAGTAATCATATATAGTTTTTTTAATGACTTATTATTAATATTTTTACCTCACATAAGACCAAATCAATACAACCGATCCATTTGGCGACATCTGAAAGCACTTCTTCAGACATCAGATAATCATAGATCGCTCTGAAAATCGCATATTTATTAAAATATCATTTACGGTATTTATTTTTAAAAAAATATTTAAATACTGTATTCCTTCCTCAGGAAGTCGCGGCAGAAAATGTCTTAAATATGGTTTGATATAAGAGTTACAAATATTTTGTCCAATTTGTATGAAATGATTGTTATCCTTGACATTGATGGAGACATCACTAATACCGAGTTGTTGTCGTTGTTTGACTTCTTTGTCGACATACGACTGATGAGTGAACGCAATCTTAAGACTTTCTTCGCTGATATTTTCATGAAGTCGTTGATTGAAAGCAAACAGTTCTGCCTTAATGTTCCTATGAATCAAAGTTAACACATAAGAAGTGGTCACCAATTGATTATTAATTCATACCATTCTTGTTTAGTATTGCGATGAAAAAGTGGTGATTTAACGGCATTCAACAGTCGGCTCCTGTTATACATCAACTTTAGTGTCTTCTCGTACCATAACTTAAACGTCCGATTGGCCACCAATTGATTGTTTGGCCTCATTTGTAATAACCGATTGACTGATCCTCGCGAATGAAGAGTTATCCGACTCAGTGATGCCATCATTGATGTCATGTCTGTAGTCAAAGACAGTGATGTCTCAAATGATGTGACAAATTGTGACAAACAAGAGATTAATGAATATATCAGTCATTGAAATGTATGGCAAAACACAACACAATAACACATGACTTGAATTCAAAACATTACAACAAAACACATGTTTTCAAACATTTGACTCTCACTTCACTTCAGAGATAATTCATTGACTATTAATAACAAATGAGTGTCAATACAGTTGGATCTGATGGATGTGATGGCTATAAAATGCGTTATAATCGACACAATGATCTCGTCATTATCGACGACAAGGTTTACACCGATTTCGGTAAATTTATTTTATCTTAAGTTAATTTTATTTATTTTTAATTATTTTTTAAATATTATCCTATATTTTGACAATTATTGTGAATAAGTTGGCGGTGAAGATAATGCCAGCGATAAACTGATAAACCAATTATGTGAGAAACTTAATTGCAAACGATTGGCTGTCAAGAGTAGGATCACATCGGATGACTTCAGGACACCAAATGTACGGCTTGTTAGAGGAGACAACTCGTGGGTCAAACACAAAGACAACGGAATTATGTATAAAATGCATTGATTTTGAATGTATTTGTTGTGATATTTACTAAATATGTTTTATATGACATTAGTTACACTTTTGATGTAAGAAAATGTATGTTTAGTTTCGGTAACATTAAAGAAAAGCTAAGAGTGTCACGACTTGACTGCACCGGTGAGACAATTGTGGACTTATTTGCCGGAATCGGTTACTTTACACTTGTTTTTGCTGTTCATTGCAATCCACAACTGATCCATTGCTGCGAATGGAATCCAAACTCTATTACAGCACTTGAGAAAAACCTGGAACTGAATCGAGTGTCCAATAAATGTATTGTTCATTTCGGTGACAATCGAGACGTGTGTCCCGAGAGTGTTGCCGATCGGGTCTATATGGGACTGATTCCTACATCACTGGAAAGTCTTGAGATAGCCTGTCGTGCGCTTCAAAAGGACAGTCATAAACGCATTTTACATATTCATGAAAACGTCTCACATTTTGGTTGCAAAACTAAATCAGATATTAAGATAATTTGGAACAATTGGGCTCAAGAATTATGTGCAAAAATATCTCAAATTATGTCATCAATACACTTGAATACTGAATGGTTTGTCGAAGTTTTAGATATTAATAAAGTTAAGTCTTATGCGCCCCGTATTGACCACTTGGTGGTCGATATTAAGTGTAATTTAATTAATTCACAAAATTAATTGTATTTTTATTTGATATAATGTAATATAATATTTGTAAAATTTATTTTTTAATAAATTATTTATTAATTAAAATATTGAGATAATTGAGTGCAATATTGAATGAGTAAAGCAATTGTTTGTCAAGTCATGAGTATCTGTCTGAGCGCTTGACTCAGACAACCAAACAAATCAATAAAAACCAGTGTCGACACTAAACCGTGCGATACTATGCTATAAATATCATAATCATTGTGTTAAAAAAACATATATTTTATTAAATAATTTATAACTTATGTTTATTTAGATAAAATTGATAAATATTGAAGAATGTTAGATATAATTATAAAATATGCGATAAACTATTTGCAGGAATCGGTTTGAATTTATGAATCAATGGGCAGTTGTATGGGTCGGTGTGCCTGTCGGGTGCAGAAATGTTTTTGTTGTACCGGTAATTGCATTATATTTTGGACCAATTTAAAGGACTCAATCACTAGAAGACAAAGACATACGATGAGTGGTCAGACATTTGCTATGAGAAGACATAGTTCTTCAAATACGATTGAATTTGAAAATCTTATGTTTGAATTCAATCTTCCTGTGAGTGATAGAGTATTCTGTTTTGTTGAACAATATGTCATTGATTTAAGTGATATATTAATTAACTAAATATTTTAGGAATTGTCGGCATCTGTAATACCAATTCAAACCACGAGGTATGTCATCAATTCAATCATTAATAACATACATATTAAGCATTAGATTGTAATTTATTATCAAATTCTTGATTCATAAGTTCATTGACTTATATTAGTCTTAATAATAGGATTCTGTATTCTTAGTGATAAAAACTATATATAAATAATTACTGACTAAAAATATACTCAAAATTAGTAACAATTTTTGTTTAAATTGCAATAAATTTTTTAAAAATTCGTTTTTTACGACAAACCTCTACTAAACCTCAACCTTCAGTCTTATAAAAATACAGCGAAATTGTGAAACGCCTTCACTTAATGATTGCCAAAATAATACAGAAAGTCGAGAGTCAGTCAAACAACAAATTATATCTCAAACAACTATTTTTAACGAGAAATTTACATAATTTTAAAATTACTTATTCTTTTAATTTAATCAAAAACTTTTTTTTATAATGAATTCTTTCCAACAATTTTTTTGTCACTAAATTTAAAGCCACAAGACTTGGCTATTAACTGAAGATCACTACAAACCAAATGTAAGAATCATAAGAATAGTCAAAAGAATATTCTGTTTTAAATGCAATTGTTTTTAATTATATTAACATTTTTGATATAATTTCATTTGAAATGTCAAGAATCTTATTGTTGACAAATCAATGTCTTTAAACTTTGCAAATCCTTTGACATTTGACAACACAATGGATGAGAGGTCTTGTGAATTGCCATTAATTGATGCATTAATAACACAAACAACGCATTTAAAAAGCAAAAGTGATTTATCAGATATGAGAGAGAAGTCCTCTTTAGGCGGCTCTTCATCTCTGGGAGAACTTCAGTGGGAAAATGAGATATTAAGCGATGACTTCATTATAAATGGACAAAACGATACTGACTTAGAATGGGATCACTTTCAAGAAGATTGTTATGCACTTCAAAATCAAACCCAACAACTAATTCATGAGATCGAGCTATTGACTAATCCATCGTTTAACAATTTACCATGATCATTTTATTATTAAATATAATATATCCATACATTTTTTAATTTATTGCCTTTTTATATATAAAGCGATAGTTTTGTGATATATTTTTGTTACAAATCTTAATAAATTAATACGAATTCTATTAAATAATGTATTTATAAAATTTTTAAACACTATTTTGTTATATACTGTATATATGATATATATATATATATATATATATTTATGTATATATTAGATATTAAAGCCAAGAATTTAATTTATTTAAGCGTTAAAAAAGCAAAAAAAAATATTTGAAAAAACTAGATTTGATAAGATATATAATACTAAATGACAATTATTTAGTAAAAATGTTATGTTTGTCTAAATGTCTTTTATATTTATATTATAACTTTTTTTTGAAAAAATGTAAGAATACAGAGGCTTTTATTCAAATGAAAATATCCCTGAATTTGAATTTTATTTATAACGAGCTCTGGCTTTACATATGTGATGATATGCCTTAAACCTACATTCAATGTAACTATGAGTTTCGTATTTCATTTCTATGTTGACATACCTGTGCCGCCCTACCTGTGCTACACATGAAACACACCCAACATTTGTTTTGTCACATTAGCTTCAATTTGAATCCGTCCGTAAAATGTCTTAAATTTAACTAATAATTAATATATTTGTAATTTTATATATAAATTAACCCCAATTTGATGTATAATTGACATATAATTTGAACACACAATGAAAGTAAACCATTTGGCGAATCTCTTGTTGATAATCTCTACGATCTCATCGGTGATCATCAGTGGTACTAATTATGTCAAATCCTATGATTTGTAGTTATTTTTAAATAAAAAATAACTTTTTTTCTGTTGTATAGTGTCGTCCATAAGTTGCTATCAATGCGAAAGTAATAGTGAATTAGATTGCGCTGAAAAGTTTGATGCGGACACCACTGAATTGCTACCCAAACCATGCAATCACGTGTTTGAGGCCCGATATTGTATTAAATCTACGGGAATGTTTGAAGGCATCTATTTTTGTCATATATTTATTAATTCATTATTTTACAAACTTTATTTCAAAATTATATGCGCAAACATTTTATTATTTATTAATTCAAAAAAATTTTTTTATAAATTCAAAAATCAAATTTTAGGTAAAATCGGTACAAAAAGATTTTGCTCGTCACGTGATTTCGGCGATTACTGCGATTATGTCCGCCGACCGGGAGATGAAAGAGACTACAGAAGCTGTATATTCACGTGTTCTTCGGACGACTGCAATCACTCGACCCATACATATGTCTCACATTTTTTGTTAATAACGTCTACTATTTATTGTTTTTACTTAATTTTATCAAATTTTAGTTAATTACTAAAACTAAATAATTAAACAAATTATATCACAATTTTGTAAATATTTCTATTTTATACAATATTAATATTTCTAATACTTTGCTCACAATTTTGAAGTGTTATTTAAAATAAATAAAAAAATAATATAATAAATATAATTATATTGTATAAAGTTTATTCATATAATTTTATACTATTATTAATATTAGTTTAAAATAGTCACTAATTTAGTGAATTGTATCTTAATTTTTAATTTGTTTTCAATTTTTAATTACAATTGTAACAAACAATTAGGTTTAGGTTAGTATAACTTAAAATAGGCACATCTCATCATTAGTTATTAATTATAGTTTAAACTATTATAAAAAAAACTTAAGTAATCTGATATTTTTACATTGTTTTTATTGCTGTATCCATACAATTGAAAAGTTTTTTTCTTTAATAACATAAATGCTATTAAATATAAGTATAGATATTGTAATTCAATTTTATAACCTATGAATTCTATTGCTATTTGTTAGATCCACGTAATAAAATGTGTATCAATAGTTAACACGTGCAACAATACTCTCTCTCTCTCAATCTATCTCTTTACTAGACAATGCTTTCACGCGCTATATAATTATATTATAGTTTATATTTTATTTATTTTTTATTTAATAAATTAAAATTATTAATAATCGCGCGACACATCAAAAGTAATTGTTTGCGTCACACAAATTTGATACAAACATTGAACAAATTATATAGTAGTATAGATTTGTTTATTCATAAAATAATTATTTAAGATTTTATATGTGTTTCTAAATGAGTTAAATATAATGTATATATATATTAAATATATTCTACATTACTATATATATAAATATATATTTTACAGTATATATAATGTATATATATATTATTTTTAGATTTAAATATAGTTAATTTTAGAGTAAATGAAATGTCTGTACTATCAATAATAGCTAATTAGTTATATATATATATATAATTTTGTGAATTGTTATATCAATAACACAAAAGTATTTTAATGTGTCTCTAAAATAGCGTAATCTTTAACAAGAATCAAATGGCAAATAAAATCAAATAATTTTTCATTTTGTTTAATATTGTTTGATTGATGACATGCTGTGAACTTAATACATAAAGTCTATAATAGTATTAACATTTGTACTAATAATAAATATATTAATAAATGCAATACCAGTGAGAATATAAAGATGTAATAAAGTATATCTCAATAATTGTAAATATTTGAAAAGTTGTGTTTAAAAGTTAAAAAATATTGAAAATAAAATAAATTGAGAATTCTTTGATCGAAAATACCTTTTGGTTTAGAGGGCCGGCAACTGAGCGCCTGTATGTATGTATATATATATGCAAACCTAAACGTTGACTCATTTGTGATAATTATTTATAGCATGTAATGGTTGTTCACATCCAACACTTCCATATATATTCAGAGACGACTAAAACTTGAGTTTTATTTCAACAATTATGAGCTCTGAATGCTAAGAGATAAACTCAGTAAGAGTTGGATGACTACCAAAATAGTGATCCCAAAGCCGTCCCACAAATTGATGTGTTTTTGGTTGAGTATTACGGAGTGTTTGGGCAGAATCGCACCGACTGTCAGAAAATATATTTTCTTATTATAGCATTTTTAGCTCTCAGTCCTCAATAAAATTTTGATTTTATATCCAGACGTTTAGTAATTTTAGTTATCAAAAGTAATTCATATCTCTTGTGAACCCATTTTTTTGTACACTAAATATTATAAAAATATTAATATTAACTCTTTTACTGTAATACAACTATTATAACAAAAATATTCTTGTAGTTGAAAATGGGTGACATTGAACAAGAGATCAATTTGGATGAAATTACTGATGAAAGCGTTTTGCAAAATCTGGTAAGACTTGTGAATCAAATATTATTGAAGACAACTGTTCAGACCATTTGTTTTGGCACTTGTGTTATATGTTGTGATATTCTGACCAATAGCTCGACCAAACTGAGGATATCGACGACCGAAAGGCCATTAGAGCCCGAATTCAAGAGTTAAGGTCTGTTGAAAAAGGTATGACTTTTCATATTATTTTTTTTGGTCTTTTAATACTTGTGTTTCAAAACTAACATTTGTTTATATCATAAGTTTTTTATAATTTGCAATTTATTAATGTGTTTTTAAAATAATGATAGCAAAAAATTTGAAGTTAAAGTTATTATTAATTTGAATATAATTTATTTCTGATCTTAAGTGCTATCGATTGCATTATAATTTATTAAATAATGTTTCGGTAGTTTAGTTTTAATTATAATGTGTGTCATAATTACTCTACAAATATCAATAATCTTTGCATTTGTATAAAGAAATTAAATACAATTACTTAATGAATAGTAATGAGTATTAACTGAAAAATGCAATCAAATAGTAGTTAACTTGAGTTCAGAAGTCGAGTGACTACTGATTGACAAATTGTTTGCCAATATATCTGTATTATCCGATAGCGCGAAGGGAAGAGAAATTGAATAAATTGACGAATAGTAGAGAAGAAAGACTTCAACAGAAACAGAAAGAGGCAAACGATCAGAAAATGAGAACAATGGCTATGTATGACTCTATGGCTAAGTCTTCACCCGCCGGTGGCAACAAAGTCATGGATATTGGCATTTATAAGAACTTAGATGGTTAGACATTCAGACATTTTATTTGATTATTAGACTTAGATTTCATTAGATCCACTCTTTAGCTAAACATTCCTTTAATAATTCAATTCCTTTTATGGTATATATAATTCCCGATATGACATAAAAATGATAAATTGAAAAAACAAACGATCATTTTGTTAACTTTGGTAACTAATGCCTGTATCTAATCTAAAGCAACCCCTCCCGGAACACCTACCGGTTCACTATCTGGAATAAAATCAAGTGATTTAGTTGAGGATGCATTGCGTTCGAGACAAAGAGCGGCCGAAGATAGAAAGAAGCGAATGTTGGCCGCATTCGATGCGGCCGCGAGATCGGGACCTGCGGGCAGTTTACGGGAAGTCAATTTCGATGCATTTAAAAAAGCTGATGGTAATGATTATATCAATTTTGCTTATCTACATATAAACAATGATTGTAATTATATGTATTATCAATTGATGTCTAAACTGCAATGTCTTTCCATTAAATTAATTGTTTTCAATGATTTTCTTTCTCTAATTCTGTCATCTTTTATATGTCGTGTCATTCCTCTCCTGTAAATGTTTTGTCATTACAATACGTTAGTCTCTGAATATGATCCCGAGTTTAAACCCGATGGCGGCGCTACTTTTGGTAGCTCTGGTGGTGTGGCAAAGGTTTCAAAGGGTGGGTAGAGATTGAGGACTAGTATTGCTAATAATGCCTAAAAACTAGTGATGGCTTGCGTTGTGTTGACTTTTGATCAATTGAATTCTGTGACCGAATATTAAAACAATCATTTTTCGACAAACAGTCTCATTATCACAACCGGGAACTCCTTCAACTCCTGGATTTCCCGGAGGATTACATTTTCCCAAAGTTGATGCCGAACCGGATGCCATGGAACGGATGATTCGTGCCCGACAAGAGGAGGCCGAGGCCCGCAAGAAAAAAACTTTGGCCGCCTATGACATCGTTGCCAAACAGGGCGCAGGTCTGTCATCATTGTCTCCAACTTCTCATTTAACTCTAGCTCTCATTTAATATATATATCACTATTTGATTTCAACTAAAGGTCCAAAACTTGTTTGCTTAGAGGAGTTCAAAGATATTGACAGTAAGCACATTAACCGGTCATTTAATCAACATTTTGTGTGCTTTAAGTGTTTCAAAATTCAAATAAAAATTTAAAAATTATAATTTACAATAAATATATGAATTATAATTTTTATGAAAAATAGGTTAATATGACACAAATGTAATTAAAGCACACTTAATGTTGAAGTATTAAAATAGTAAAAAGTGACTAAATTTTAATGAAAAACTATGTTTTTGTGTGAATGACAGTCAAGAATCACAATATAGGGACAAACTATTCATCGTCTGCTGGATTTACCGGAGGAATCGCCAGATCCTAATCAGTCAAAAGTGTTGACCACAACATCGATAACAAATTCATGTTTCTATTTAAAACAAAAACTACTGATTACCGAAAAAATGTCAATTATATTATATTATGACTGATATTTATGAATTATTATGCAATATATTAATAATAACTTTATTATTATGAAACAAATAAATTAAGCATTAAATATAAGAATGAGTGAAATGAATTTTTTGCTATCACTTTACCATTAGGTTTTCATTTGTTTTAAAATTGCTTTTTCTGCTTTATTATTGTAATTGTATTAATCAAATGTATTTAACAATTTTGTATTAAAAATATCTAAATATTTTTTTTTGTTTTTTTTGTTTACTTCAAGAGATATTAAATTTTTTCAAATATATTAACAATCAAATTTAATAAACAATGATTTTTATAGAGACAGAGCAAAAACAAATAGAGAAACGGACTGATTTAGAAGTGGGATCCACTTCCAGTGGAGTCGGATCCACTTCCAGTGTTACCATTACTAAGTCGGTCACAACTTCTTCATGTACTTCAAGTACACAAAAGAAGTAAGTTTTATATAAACTAAAGACTTACTTTATATCACAAATTTTATAACAATCTTAAACTGTAAAAACTTGAGACTTAAAATGTATTTTAATGTATTATTAAATGTTACAATAATGAAACTATTAAAGTGTTTTCTAATTAAAAAACTCAAAAAATTTAATTTTGATATTTTGTTGTCAATCTCGTAATGTATAATAATTAGTATAAAAATTATTTAAAACAAAAAAGACTAATCAATTATTTAATAGTATTGTAATTCAAATGCATTCAAAAATAAATTTAGTAAAACACTTATTCATTCATATGCTAAAAAAATGTTTTGGTTTTGATTTTAATAAGCAATTTTAATACTAAATAAGTTATACATTCACTATTAAAATTAAAGTGGAAACTTATAAATCAAAATTAATAAATCCAATAACATATTAATTGTAGTGATTTTTTAAAATATAATGTAAATTGTTTTATTAGTTTTAAATCTGGTGGTGGAGTAGCCAGAAGTGGCAGCGATATAAAGGATATGTTGATTAGATGGTCGAGGGCTAAGACCAAGGAGTACGAGGTATTCACATATTAATTAATTTGTTATAAATGTAATATAAAAATAAAATGTAACCAAAAAAATAAAGTTTACAAACTTATTAATAAACATAAAAATGTCAAGAATTAAAGTTTTGCAGACAATTAAAAACATTAGACATTTGCAATGATTTAATTATAACACAGAATTCAAGGATAATATGTTTTTGTATAATGTCTTTCAATGTTTGTCATATGTTTATCTGTGAGAGACTATTAAAAGTTAAATATAATTTATAGAGAATTTATGTATAATATTATAATAATACTGTAATAAAAAAATGTTGAAATAATAATAAATAAATGCCAACAGAATGTGAATATCGAGAATTTTTCTGGCAGTTGGGCCGATGGACTCGCATTTGCCGCACTCATACACCACTTCTTTCCCGATGCCTATGACTTTAAAGAGTTGGACTCAAAGAATAGACGCCGAAACTTTGAACTGGCCTTCAAAACGGCTGAGTATTAGTTTTATTAGTTTACTTGAAGTTATTGAAAGTTAAAATTAAATAAATATTTGTTTTTATTTAGGGAAAGGGCTGATATATACCCATTGATAGATCCGGAGGATATGGTTGCCATGAAAGACAAACCCGATTGGAAATGTGTGTTCACTTATGTTCAGAGTATTTACCGCAAACTCTATGATAAACCTTAAGTTATATTATATTTACGGTTTTGTTGCTTAGGGTTAGGATTTATAATAATGCAATAATTTATTATTATATTTATATACTATATTTGCTATTATTTTTTGAGCTTATTTATCAAAATATCACATTATCTATGTTAATGCAACAAATGATTGAATTTTATTGTTATTAATGGTTTACAGTAAATAATTATATTATTTAAATATATTAAAATTATTAATTCTTTAAATAATATATAAAATATATTTTTAACGATAAAATATTAAAATATAATATTTATTTTTAGTTAGATTTACTGTAATTGTGTTAAATAGATTTATTATATCAATAGTTTAAAAACTATAATTATTTATCATGTAGAAAAATATTATATGAATAAAATGTAATTAATTATTAATAAATCATTTTTTAAAAGATAAAACTTTGTTTTTTAAAAATGACATTTTAATTGTTTGAATTAATTGTTTGTATTGAGCAAATTATGTTAAGTAAATAAGATAACAATATACCGGTAAATGTATTAATGTTTGTAAAGTATGTTAAATATTACATAAAATGTAAATAATGTAAAATAATTGTAATGTTTCGGTTAAGTGATTCTCAATTGTATATATCAATGAAAACTTAATTCAAACAATTGTTTCATATTGTTTCATAAGTATTAGATAATCAGCTAATCTTATAAAAAAAATCGTATATCATTTTATAGTATTTAAAAGACAACTAATTCAGTATATATTGTATATACAGTATATATATATATGTTTTCATTGAAAAAAACAGTGAATGTTTATATGTTTGAGACATTGAAATTGATTGCTTTAAAAATTATAAATAACTTTTAATTTATCTTTAAAGCATAAACCATTTTAATCATTTACACAATCAAAGCATCACTATTTGTTTAAAATAGTATCTATTAATAACCTTATTCTTGAATTTCAAATGTATTTTTTGTTAATTCAATTGTTTTGAGATAAAAACTATAGTAAATGATAATATTTGCCAATTTTTTCCCCAATAGTCAGAAACAAAAACTTTCGGGCGTTATATAACTTATATAATAATAATTATAATAACGTATTATATAAATACAATACATTTGTATAATGTATAATACATAGAAAATAAAAATACATCTAATTATAATAAATAAAATTTTCAATATTAGTATATAAAAAATATTTTGCAAAAGCATTAATTTGAAACCGAAAAATTAAAAATATTAATTATATTGCTTTTACTTATTGTATTTTAACAAACAGTAAAATGATTGCAAATAAATTAAAAAAATTAAAGGAAATTTGTTTATAAAAATTAAGTTTATTTTTTGCAATTTGTCTACTTTGGCATAGTTTATATTATTTTTATACTCTAGGAATTTATTTGTTATTCAAAATAAAATATATATTGTATAATATCATTGTATAATATATCTGTCTCAGAAAAATTTTGTATTTAAAAAATAACATTTAAATAAATAGTTTTTAGTAAATATTTTATTGAATAATTAAAGGTTTATATTAAATATATTTTATATTCTCTAATAAATTATTTCAATGAATTATTAGTAATAATACATATTCACGAACTCCTCTCACGAACTCACGAAATGCATTCTAAGAGTCTGTCTGTCTGTCTGTCTGTCTGTCTGTCTGTCTGTCTGTCTGTCTGTCTGTCGGTCGGTCGGTCGGTCGATCGGTCGGTCTGTCTGTCTGTCTGTCTGTCGGTCTGTCCCACGAGGACATAGGTTCGAATCCAGGCTCCGCTAAAAATTTTTTTTTGATTTTTTTTTGATTTTTTTCTTTTTTAAGTTAAGGAGTTCGTATGGAAATGCTTTTAAAGCATTCTCAACTGGTTTCAAAATGTTTTTATTGTTTGGAAAACATATATTTTACAGAATAATTCAGTACTTTTATTAACAATACTATTTGTATCTTAAATAAAAATATTGAAAATATAGTAAAAAAAATAAATTCAATTCAATTAAAGTAAATTATAGATTATTTTAATTAATTTGAATAATACTTCACTTTAAGTAAGCTTTCAATTATTGAATCAAACATTGTGTGAGCCGGCAATGCACTGATAATACAGAAAATACCTTTTTAATGTAGTTATTACTATGTCTTATAATATATTATTATTATATGTAAAAAGGGAACAAAATAATGATAATAATTGAACAAAAACTTATGTATAAATGGCGTTCAAATGATTTGATCGATAGTTAGCATTGAATGTGATTTAAATGATATCTAATTAAAAATATTTAACACTTGATTATTGTGACCAAAATTACCGAAACACTTGTAGTGTTGGACAACAATGCGGACATTTGGTGAGCGACCGACGGCTTTCCAGTTGGAAGAGAATGGAGATTATTATTACATCGGATCTGAAGTGAGTGATGACTTGGTTTTGTCTTAAATATAGTTTAATCCAATGATAATTGTGATGACAGGTCGGTAACTATATGCGGATGTTTAGAGGATCTCTCTATAAGAGGTATCCTTCGTTATGGCGCCGATTGGTTAGCGTTGAAGAGAGAAAACGTTTAAATACATTAGGATTGGGTCCGCACTCGTTGGCCACTAATATAACACTTCTTAAGTCATCAGAAGTGGATGAGATCTTTGAGGGAAGGGATGAAAAATATAAAGCAATTTCCATCAGTTCAGAGCCATCTGTTCAAAGGTTGACAATTATAAGCTAAACTTTATTATCATTTATGTCTTAAAAAGATAGATAAAAACCATTGATTATAATTAAATGTACTGTAAATTAATATCATATATATATTTATATTGTTATTATTGACACTAATATCACATAATTTGTCTAATATTACATTATTGTTGATAAAGAGAGAGCAAATCAAAGCGATCCAATTGGATCCCGACGTTACCAAACAGTTCCCATCATTTGGATGCCGTTCCCTGTTCGACACCAATCAGTCGAAGCCGTATATCACACAAAAAGGTGCGAACCTTTCCCCTTCTGTACGATGACTTGGATCCGTCACTCATTCACGAGAATGCCTCTCAATCTGAGGTTTTGGTTCCCATCAGACTTGATATGGAGATTGAAGGACACAAACTTAGGGATACATTCACTTGGAATAAGAATGGTTTGTCTTATTAAATGAAATACCTATCAAATGTGACTTTTAATGATATTTACCACTGTTTTTGACATAAATAGAGCAAACTATAACTCCGGAACAATTTGCAGAAGTTCTTTGTGATGATCTCGATCTGCCCCCACTCTCCTTTGTTCCGGCTATTTCTCAATCAATTCGTCAACAGATTGAGGCCTTTCCTACAGATAATCTTTTGGAAGATTCAACCGATCAAAGAGTGGTTTTAAAGGTTTTATTTATAAATAAATCAATTATTGTTAATATTAGTTAACAATTACCGGCATCTCTTTCATTGATAGCTTAATATACATGTCGGTAATATATCACTTGTGGATCAGTTTGAGTGGGATATGTCCGAGAAGGACAATACACCCGAACAGTTTGCTCTTAAACTGTGTTCTGAGTTAGGCTTAGGCGGAGAGTTTGTCACTGCTATTGCTTATAGCATTAGAGGACAGTTGTCTTGGCATCAAAGGACATATGCTTTCAGGTAATTTGTCAGAAAAGTACAATAATTTAAAGGTTTTTGTTTTTTATTACAAGTGAGGCGCCGTTATCTCAAGTAAATGTTCCATTCCGTAACCCATCGGAAGCTGACCAATGGTGTCCATTCCTTGAGACACTAACTGATGCCGAAATGGAGAAGAAGATCCGCGATCAGGACCGCAATACTAGAAGAATGAGAAGACTGGCCAATACAGCGCCGTCCTGGTAGTCATCCTTAGACTTTAATATATTTGTTGATATATTTGTATTGAAATTGATTTACTAATCGTTGAATTTATACATATATTTGTTGACTTTCACAGAATGCCTCACAAAATGAAATCATAATTTAGAAGCTTTTCATTATAATTATGCTTTTAGTCAATGAGTTTGCATTCATTATTACCACAACTTCCTAATATTCATTCATTGCAATCAAATAATTCATTCATTCGCTGCCATTAATACATGATATCGATTAAGACTTGACATTGCAATCATTGAAACAATCATTTTGTAAGTACCGGTAATCCTAACTCTTTGCAAATCCTTTATATTTAAATGTTTGCTTCAAATCATTTGCTTTCAAATCATTTTTATTTGTCTATCATTAACATAATAATTAAATTATTTCATTTTGGGAACTAATTATTGTATTGTATTTTTAACTAAATATGTTTACAAATTTAATTCAATTGAAATCATATGTATTTATAAATCTATTATTATTTCTAATTAAGGTATAAATAAAATCATTTTTCATACAAATGTTTGATATCTTTCCATTGTTTCTATAAATAAAGATAATTGTCGTTAATTTGGTGGTAAGTTATTTAATAATAACAAGACATACGCCTCTATTGACACTATCATAGATAGCATCGCTGATGACAGAGGCGCCCCTCTCGTAGAAGAGGGCGCCCACCACTACCACGATTGCGGTGGTCGACGTCCGCGCAAACACTGTCCGATATAAAGATGACGCCAATGGCATACCTGACCACACAATCAATCAATTATCGTATTTATGATTATAGTTATCATAATAGTTATGATAATACTTACTGAGTATTAACCGATTGGATCCAAACAATCAACAAATTATTGTTAATTTAATAAACAATTCAATTGAATGTAACACTAAAATCAACATTCAATTCATAGACTATGTATTAATAACTTGTATAACAACTAAATGTTAGACATTTTCTCATATTATTTGTTATTATTTAACTAAAAATCACTTATTATAGGGAACTTTCAGTTAGTATTTAATTGTTACGTTATATTTGAATTTTTTAAAATGATGTCAAATACTGTAGTAAAAGCAAATAACGTTATATTTTTTTTAAATGTGCATGCTCAATTAGATAATTATTTAATTTATACATTTAACTGTATTTAATAAATAAAATATTAATAGTTATAACAATTCTATGAAATAATTGCATAATATTTAAAAAACTAGTTATATCTGATTAAAAATATTTTATATAAAAGTAATTTAGTCTAGTTTTTAATTAGTTTTTTTGTCAAAATTGCTATCAGTGTATTATAATTTATAAATTAAATAGTTTAACAGTGTACCTGGGGCAAAGTTATATTTAATTAGGTTATTGTTTTAAAAATTCATTTTCAGTTCAGTTAAACATTACACACTATGTCCATTGATAATGTATTTTATCAAAAATATTTATTGCCTCCAAATTATAATCTAAGAAAAATATAATTTATTGAAAATGTCGACAATTTTTAAAAATTTACTGTAATTGTTATGTAAAAATAAAAAATAAAACTTAAGATACAATATATATGTGTAAATAAAATATAGTCTCTTTTGAAATGTTAATCTCTGTATTTTGTTTTTTGATAAAATAATTCAAAGAAATAAAATATGGAAAGTGTCTAAAAAATTGTAGTTTATATATAAAAGTTTGTTTTTTAAGTATCACTAATCCAATGAGGAATTATATAAAATAATATTATATTTCAATAAGTTTGTTGACTCAAAACATATGTAAATGAAATGTTGATAAAAAAAGTTAGTGAAATAAAAATGATAATAAGTTTTAGCATTGATTTATTCAGCGATTATAATATATAATATATATGTAAGATATTATATGTATGTATATTATATACAGTATATATGGTGTTTGAATGTATGGTTAGTGTATAGTTGAGGTCATGAGATGTCGATATATAGTGAAGAGATGGCAAAACTGGAAATGTTTGCAGTGTTTGTGTGATGTCTGTGCTATAGATCGTCATCCAGTGCTGTACTACCAGTTGGTGAGCGCTTACACTAAGAGTCAGACCTCATGTGAGCCTTGAGTCGACTACTGGACCACTACTGCTATACTGTACTATACTTAACAGTGGTTTCATTGAAATCAATGCCATTTTGTTGATAATATTGAATATATATTTGAAAAGTTGTTTGTGTTTGTCATTACTAGCGATCATCTCATGAATGGTTTTACTAACAAAGCCATAGATTAGTAAATGAATAGTAATTTAATTAAAATGTATTTATTGTGAAAACTATTGATTTAAAGGATTAATATAATCAACAAGTTTTCTATGAAATCACAGCAAACTTATTATAAACTATATAACAAAGTCGTGCTTTTCATTGGACTGTTGCCTATCGCTTGTTCCTCAAGTGGATCGCATACCAGTGCAGCCAACAGTGCTTACGGTGTCTAATAAAACTTAATATCAAGTTATAGCTCACTATGAGAGGCATTTATGACTGTCTTCGTTGAAATCAAACACAAATGGGAACCACTTTATGATGTTATGTATGCATCGCTTATATGGATTTAAATGTGTGTCTAATGTGTTGCCAGTCGTGCGCCTCATTTGCTTCGGGCGCTATTGTCCTCAAAATACAACTATAGCTACAACTACAACAAGTGCTAACAATAAGACTTTTTCACTAACACCACACCACACAACACATCCATACATCTCAACCATCAACTTATAAATATATTATTTTAAATATCAACTATTAGTGAAATACCAAACTTTTTTTGTAATGTTATGCTAAACTAATTATCAATTCAATATTAATGGCAAGTTTTTTGATGTCATACAAGAATTAATTTTGAAAATTGATCCCATGTTAAGAAAAGTTGACTTAAACTATAAAAATAAGTGAAAGAAGTGCTGATTATATTGATGGCAAAGTTTATTGCTTTTCACGTTTAAAGTCATAAACTTGTCATAAAAGGATTTTCTGGTGAAGACATTGGCTATAATTGTTTAGTAGAGAAGCCATCAGTTGTGAAGTGATGACCTCCTGAAGCCTAGAAACAGTGCTATCAATTGCTGAACAGTGCTCTCATTGTTTGCCATTCAATACTTGACTTTTTATATCATTTCAAATGAAGATGTGATTGCAGTGATTGTGCGGTCTTTCACTTAATTAATACTTTATTTGTTTGATGATTACGTAAATCCATTATTCAACGACTTTTTATGATAACAACAATGAAGTTGTCTTCTTGTTGTGTATTGACTTATTATAAGACAATGTCTGCAATAGTGTGGATGACTTTGCTATTGATTCCATCAATAAAGTGTTTGCCCGTTAGTTATACAGCTCTTAATTATCAACAAATTAGTGATGTCTGTGATTGGGAGGGCAGCGGATCCATTGAGACGGACTCGGATCGAGTCATTGTTCCCGTATATCTTCGTTGTTCTCACGGAATTGTTAAGTGGTTGTACCCGAAGGGAGGACTACGAGTTGTATTAAAACACGGGACGTCTGATAAAGAGTTTAGGGGTTGTATACGAGTGGCCAGAAATACAAGCAAAAGTGTCCGCATGTATGTTGAAGGCAACCAACAGTTACACAAACTTTATGCCTTTGATGACAATAAAGACATTGATCTCTTAAGATGTTTTGTATCAAACAATGGCAAGATTGCAATATTCGTTGAGTCTGAGCCCTCACTATCTAATGATCTCATATACAAAGACTTTGTTAAATTCAGTTATGACTTACAAAGTGTTTCATCAAAAGAAGAGCTCATTACCGATGATGAAGAGTGCAAACCCTGTGATGACAATCAATTGCTTTCGCAGTACTGTACGAGTGATTTCATAATTGAGGGATCAATTAATTCTCTCTTTCATAACAAGCCATTAGAGCGTTCAGAAGTGACTGTTAGAGCGCATCGGGTCATCAAAGACCCGGTGGACAACACATATCAAACATTAGGACATAATAATAGTGTATCAGTCGATGCCATCATTAGTCAGTACGGGATTGTCAAACACTATACTATTTATCGACCGCTCAGATGTCGGACCAAAGCTGGTTCGGGAACTGAATTCTTATTTATTGGTCGATGGCTTTTGGGAAGTCCTGTCATCTCTTGTGCGCCAAAACTGGAACATTGGAAACATGTTAAGAGTAAAGCTCTGGAGAGCGGAACAAATGAGTGCCAATTATTTTGATGACAACTCTTGAGCCTATCATCTATAGGTTGTTTAGTCAGTTAAATGTGGCAATTGATGCCATCGACGCCATACATGAGCCCTAATGTTAATTAATGTTTATTCAAAGCAATATGTTGTGTATAATATGTAAATAAATTGATATTAACTGCCAAAGCATCTAATCTTTCAATTGAATCAATTGATTTGCTCTATACTTATATTGCAATTGTAATACAATACCAACTCATATATACATACAGTATATATCTCTGTAATAGTCTGTATATATAATATTTAGATATCCGCTGAGGATATGTGTTTGTTATCATATTTTTACAACTTATGTGTAATATGTATAATATATAGTTAAGTACTTGTTGTATATATTATTTGATTTATTACAAACAAATTTCTAGAGACTTATATGAATATTAAGATAATATATATATATAAACATTTTAATAGAAATATATAGACACATAAAAACAAAAATATTTATATTTATGTACATTATTACATATATATATATATATCTAATTTACTAAATCAAAAGATATATTAACATTAAATCAAAAATTAAAGTTTGTATTTATATTTACTAAGAGAAAGTTGTTATTAAATTATTGAATAATATGTTGTATTTTTAATAAAAATAAATTTACTTTAATTATAAGTGTTTGTGTCAACTTATTTAACTTTATTTTGATTGAAACATAGTGTAAGTAAATCATTTGATAACATAAATCCTTTGCAACACTTTTGTAATAATAACTATCATATCAAATGATACAGTATTATCATTCATTATAAAAATGCATTTTCATGTTTTTCCAATCAAATTATCAAAAAACACTACATTAGTGTACTTTTGCAATGCTCTTCAAATTGATTTCTACATGAAATTGCAAAAAAATATGCTATTTATGCCTGATTTGCTATTATTTAATCACATCATTGTACTGTAATATTAATAATTGTAAATCACACTTCAAAATAAAGTATATTATAACTTATAATTTATAAGTGTAAATAAAAAAGTTATAAAGTTTAAGTATAACAATGTTTATATATTGTACTGTATAGGCAAATAAAACAATAATTGTAAGTTTAAGTGAGTAAGAGATTAATTGACTAAAAATATTATGATTTATATATATATTTCTATAAAGTTATAGCCAGTCATCTAAGTTGAAGGAACGGCATATTTGCTGTATTATATAATATGCAAACTTTGATTATTTGAAATACAACCCTATTATTCATTTAAAACATATCTGAAAATAAATTGTTTAGTTTTTTTTATTACTAAATCATTTATCAATTGAAGACATTTTGCAAAACTCTTTTGGGAGGGAAAGGGGAGAGAGATGTGCGGTCTGGTTGTTGGGCTATTGAGGCCCCACAGGAATAAGTGGTAGAACTTGTTTTGCCTCCAAAATAGGTTAAACTGAAAATATTTTTGAGTTTAGTAAAAAAAATTGCCGGTCATTATAATAGCTATATATATACTGTATATATAACTTATGTGTATATATTCAATGCTCTATACGATATAAATGCTGAAACATAATGACTGAACATTTTTATTGATAATACCAACGATGGCCTCATATATTTTAATACATATTGCTGTTTAAAAAAAAACATTTGAAATCTTAAAAGTTTTAAAAATTTTAATAGAATTCTCAATTATAGTCACAAAAATATTAGAAAGCAATCAAACGTTTATTTCAATAAAAAAATCTAACTATAATTTTAATATACTATATATACAGTACTGTATATAATGTATAATAAGATTTATACATTTGATAAATTTTTGTATCCATTCATTTGCAGTCAAACAATAAACACAAATACAGCACACAATAGATATCCTTAAAGGCATTACTCTGTAATTTAAGAGTTTTATATGAAGTTTATATTTAAGTAATCAAACCAAACATTTATAACCTATAATAGGAAAAAAAAATTATGAATATTATAGAGGAATGCAATGCATAAGCATTTGTAGTCTAAGATTTTGAATATATTTCTTCATAGAGCTGTCATTTGAGTGAAGATTTGCAAGTTTTTTGTTATTGTTTTGGTCAACACAAAGAAGAGTAAATTGAAGAGAGAGAGAGAGAGAGAGAGAGAGAGAGAGAGAGAGAGAGAGAGAGAGAGAGAGAGAGAGAGAGAGAGAGAGAGAGAGAGAGAGAGAGAGAGAGAGAGAGAGAGAGAGAGAGAGAGGTATCTGAAGCAAAACCGGTCCTAAACGGGCCAAACCTTAAAGTGGGAGTTATATTATAGATTGATGTTTGAGCCCATAATACAAGTCCCGGTGCTTTTCATGAGTTTCTGTAAATAATTCTTAACACAAATCGTCAAAGAAGTAGTTATAGTGGTCGTACTGGCGGTGAGCCTCACTCTATGCCCTGCTATCCCCTGAACCCCCTTTGCCTTTATTACAGTAAACTGTAAATCGATGAGTGGTATGGGGTCTACCAGAGCCAGTCTGCAAAATAGCAATAGTTATGGTATTAACCGTAACGATAGAAATGCAAAGAAAGTGAATTGAGATTATAATTGAAGGCCTGAATGCCTGAAACACTCTGAGACCCTCTTTATTGGTTTTGACGACGACTCCAACCAAACCAAAGCCATTGACCGTATCGTCTCAAAGGGTCTCAAAGGGACTCAAACTATGTTTCGGATTATATTCAGACAACAAATACACAGCACTTGTATTGATATTTTGTTCAACAGTTGATCTGATGAACAAACAAAACTAGTTTCACACTTTCAATCACATAAACCACTGAAAAACTAATTCAATCGCAAAATATTTGAAAATCTTTTACTCGTTTTCAACCAAAACTACACTTTTATCCGATTGTTCGCTAAATTATTCATTCATTTAGATTAACGATAACTTTATCCATTGATTCGCTTCTTTACTGCATTTATTTAAAACAAATAATATCTATATATTTCAATTACCGTAAATACTTATCAATTGATTATTTATTAAAATTTTTAAAATACAATATAAAATAAAATTGAAAATTAACATCAAATGTGAGCAAACATTAATGACTAAAAATTAGTGTTACATTTGACTGATACAGATAATTGACATTTATTTGGGTTTTTAAATCAAATTTAAGAGTAATTTACTAAATGCATGACTAATTGATTTCAAGTATTAGCTAACCCAACATAGTTTTGAACTCATCGTATAAGACCAGAACCAATGCACCGCCAGTGCTCCTGAAGACGTTAGAGAGAGCACCTCTAAAGAAGGCCTTTGAGCCCTCGGTTTTGGCAATTTTGCCCCAACAGTGGACAGTACTCTTATACATCCTCTCGTTCTTAGGCAGACCCGACTGCATCATCATTCGTCGTCGTACTGTATCAAAGGGATACGAAACTATACCCGAAACAGTGGTCACTACTTGCGCGATAAACCATGAGATGAGTAGTGGTGTGTTTTTCGGGTCCTCAAGCATACCCTTCGCGGTGTCGAATAAACCGAAATACGCCGCTCTGTAGATAATAATACCTATAGTTTAACAAACCATTTGGTTAGATATCACGAGTTCATAAATAATCACTAGTAATGTAAACCTTGAACCGAGACAACGAATCCTCTGTATAGACCAACCAATCCGTCAGATTTATACACTTTGACCAAACAGTCACCTAAACCTTTAAACTGTCTGTCGGTTTCAGATTTGCCGATATCTGCGGCCAAACGAGTTCGGGCAAAATCAAGTGGATATACAAAGCACAGGGATGTGGCACCGGCTGCTCCACCCGACGCAAGATTTCCCACAAACCATCTAAAGAATTGAGTGTTTTTGTCGACGCCTCCCAAAAATATCTTCTTATATTTATCTTTGAATGCAAAGTTGAGGGCCTGAGTCGGGAAATATCTGATAACATTCGCCAGATTTCCTCTCCAGAAGGACACTATTCCCTGTTCTTTGGGAATCCGGACGAAGGCATCGATAATACCCTTATATCTCTGACTTTCTTCTATTTGTTTGGACACATGTTGGACCTGAAGAAGTAATTTGACTCTTTCTATGGGTGCCATCGCTGTCTTAGATATGGCTGCAGAGACACCACCGGCTATGAAGTCTTTAGCAAATGAGACGGCGTCCACAGGCATACTGTCCATCAAATTTACAATTTATCATTTAGTTTATGTTATTAAAAAACAATTTATTATAATTACCTTTTAATTAAATTATCTAAACTTTAAGAAATAATAATAAATGTAAAGAAAATTAAGGAAAAGACAGGAAAAGGAAACAAACGACAAAACTGTTTGAATTTACCGTAAGATTGTATTAAATACTGTATATTAAGACATATAAGACAAGTGTAGTGTTTGTTACAGTTATTTAAGTCAACCGCCAAATACTATACGATATTATTATGTACTTAATGTTATACAACCATTAGTGTGTCAGCCATTGTCACATAATATATTTATATGATTAGCTAATGGAAACTATAGATATGTTTTGTGTATCATATGTTTTCAAATTATAGTAATTTATTGAATGTTTTTTTATTTATTTATAAAAAAGTTTTGATAGTAAAGTACTTATGGTTTCAAATAATTATTGTTTAGTTTATGTTATAATTAGTTCAATAATCATATGTTTGTTCAGTTATTTTGTGGTAGTCTTAGTCAATGATCAATCTCTTGACATCTTTGATAACAATTACCACAAATGTTCACTAAATATATTTATTGCAATACTTTCGCAAAGAAGTCATTTCGACAAAAGACAAACATTGAGACAAACTTGGATTCAGACCATCGATGAGATCAATAGAAATAATTCATTGATTATATCATCAAATCGGCAATTATGTGACATCAAAGTGACCGCGAAGTTCATCATCGGACACAAGGACTGTCCGATTCATCGGCTGTATCGCCAAAATGATTATAATTGTCATTACAATGAGCTGTTGATGACAGAGACAGCCAATGATATAAATCTACAAGAAGTCCATCATTTTGCCGACAGATCTCCATCTGATACACAGATATTTCGTGGATTGAGTTTTGTGGTGAGTTTGATCACCGATGATGTCTTGTAATCTACTGATTAATATGAAATATTCAAAACAGATAAGACATACAATAGTTGTGACCAAATTAGGGATTCATAAGACTTTTTTAAACGATTATCAAAATATTACAATTGTTTTACTGAACGCCGCAAATAAAGTAATAATTAAATTGAATTAATTATTTTTTAAATACATTATAAATACTGTACTTTAAATGATTATAATTTTTTAACTAAAGGATATAATTGTCAGCAAAAATATATCGATAAAATCAATTAATTTCAATAATAATTATTACGAAACTATTGAACCAATAGTCTTAGCCAAAGATTTTTATGGATTGCTTATAATAGACAATCAATTGATGACTTTTGATGACAATAACCAAATAAATATAACATACAATCAAAATGGATTTATTCATATTTTGAGGGTTTGTTTAAATGATAATATTTTATATTTTTAAAAATATATAAATTATTTACAATTGATTTTCATGTTTAACACATTATTGTACATATTGTAGGCTTATTATGGATTCACTGATTTTGAATCCATTTCATATAATCCACAGCTAATTATTGGACCAACTTTTACATACAAAGTATTTGGTAAATAATATTAATTTAGTTTAATAGTATTGAATTGTATGCAAAATAATAATAATAATAAAATTTAGATATAAAAGCAATTGAATTACTTATAAATTCTCAAAATGAGACTCAAATCCAATGGACTAATGAATTGATAAGAACTGAGAAGAGTTTGGCTCAAGAAATTGCTGTCAATAATGATATACTAGTCGTTGAAACCATTGATGTCTATAGAAATTTAGTCGAAAAAGTTATTCAATCTCTTCAATTGTAATACTTATTAAATACTAAACAATAATTGCCTATTGATTACAATTATATATATATTTGTATACTATTAGTACAATTGAATTTTTTAACGGATTAACACATTTTGTGAAGACCGACGATGACTGCTATTTGAATATTATTAATATAATTAAAGAATTAATTGAAAATAATCGCATGAAAAATGTTTGGTTTGGAAAGTATGTTATAATTAATAAAAATTTTTATTTAATATAAAATAAAATTCAATTCAAATAGTTTTAGGAGAGTTTGGCCGTTAGACTATTGGGGCAAATGGGCTGAAAATGAATACGAGTCTCCTATATATCCAACATTTGCTTGTGGTTCGGGTTATGTATTATCATCTGATTTGGTTAAATGGATATCATATAACACACATTATTTGCATAGATTTCAAGTAATTATTTTAATATAAATAGTTAGCATTTAATAATTTAAATGATTTGTTGATTAGGGAGAAGATGTTTCAATGGGAATTTGGTTATCAGCTATTAAACCAATTTATAAAGATGTCATTATTTTATCATTATTTAATAATTATAATCAATTTATGATATAATAATAATATTTCTTTATTTTAGGACAAACGATGGTTTTGTAACAATAGTCAGATCAATATGAGTCATGGCTTTAGTTTCCCTCAATTAGATAAACAGCAAATTATAAAAATACATAAATTCATATCAAATCGTAACAAAAATACTTAATAAAAATACATTATATTTAATATTATATAATTTATATATACTGTATATGAGGATAAAAATGTTAAAAATTGATCAATTTTTTAACTGAATCGAAACATTTCCACTTATCGGGCAAATAAAAAGGTTCAAAGATATGTGGGAACGGTGTGTCATAACCGCAGACCCGATGTATGGGTGCTTCGAGATGTAGAAAGCATTCCTTTTGAATCGTTGCCGCAATTTCTGCGCCAAAACCCGCAGTAATGGGCGCCTCGTGTGCTATGAGTACTCTTCCCGTCTTTTTAACTGAATTAATGATAGTTTGTTTATCCCACGGAAGGACTGTCACCAGATCTATGAGTTCACACGAGACGTTCAGAGTATCGCTTGCCATCTGACAGACCTCATGTAAGACATGCACTTGAGTTCCCCAACCAATGAGTGTCACGTCATCGCCTTCAACCAGCACTTCAGCTTTGGACAGTGGAATCATATAGTCTTTGAGTGGCACCTGTTCTACAGCCAAACGGTACAGAATTTTGGGTTCAAAGAAAATACAGGGATTCTTATCTCTTATGCAACTCAGAAGCAATCCCTTGGCCTGAATGGGTCCGCGAGGGATAACCACTTTAAGTCCGGGACAGTGGGCAAAGAAGGCCTCAACACTTTGTGAGTGATACATAGCTCCGTGTCCTACAGCACCACACGGAGCCCGAAGTGTAAGAGATCCGCAATCAAATTGATTGCCTGATCTGTATCTAAACTTTGCCGCTTCGTTGACAATTTGATCAAATGCAGGAAATATATAGTCTGCAAATTGAATTTCCCCGATGGCTGTGGCGCCCGCAGCGGCCAAACCGATACCAAAGCCAGCAATTCCTTGTTCACAAAGTGGTGTATTAAACACTCTGTCTTTGCCAAACTTGTCTTGAAGACCAACAGTGCATCGAAATACTCCTCCAAATGCCACGTCTTCACCAAATATGACAGACGAAGGATCATTGGTTAACGCAATGTCCAGAGCGTTGTTCACGGCTTGGAAGAGATTCATACGAGTCGTATCACCCGATTTGGTGGACGGAGTCTGAGGATTGAATGTGAAGTGAGTCATACTTCGGGTCACAAAACTCATTGACAAACATCTCTTCCCTAATATTTGTCTAAAAGTATTATTAAATTTATTACTTAATAATAAACTCATTATTCAAACAATTTATTGATTTTTAATTTATAACAAATTTCAGGAAACTTTATATACAATATTCAAATAAATTTATAAATCATAACATATTATAACATTTAAGAAATAAGTTTTACAAAAATAAAAAACTTTTTAAATAACTTTGAGAGTAATATAAAGTAAATCACATAATAATTGATCAAAATATCAAAACTTATTTATGATAAATACATTTTAGCAGTAATTGATTATTCAATATATTTACCAAAAATATGATTAACTTATATATGATATAAATTTAATGAATAGTATTGTATGTATAACTACTGTAAGTCATCATTCAATTCATTATTAATCAGTTTTGTCTCAATTTATTAATTAATACAACATATCTCTATCATTGATAACCAATATCTATAAAATAGGAAAATTATATTTTTCTAGATTTTATTTGATAAACTAAAAAACAAATAATAAATCATAAAAATTAAAGTCAAATGAGAGTCATTTAAATAATAGATTTGACAATTAGTAGTAAACATATAGATATTAATAACTAGGATTTATATGAAAATACCAGTAAAAATCAAATTAACAGTAATTTTTAAATAATTTTTTAGTCAAAAAAAAATATTAATTCAAATGTGATAAATAAGATTATAATGTAACGAAAAGTACAGTAATAAAACAAATTTAGTTTTATCTAAATAAATGAAAATTGTTTATTTAAATAATGTTAATAAAATTACTATTCTATTTAAACTACTATATACTTAAATATAATAATAATTATTATATAGAATAATTTATATTAATATTTCAAAATAATATCTACAAATTGTAATTAAAAAATCCTATTTTATTGGGTACTAATTATTTAATATCTACAATATTACTGTTCAAATCAAGTTTATTAAAAATACATAGATATATCATAGATTATAAAATACATACAAATAAAAATTAAAACTCCTCCTCTAAGCATTAAACGTTATAATATCGCGCCCATATATATTGCTGTTAACTATAAAGCGTACAGTAATAATGTAAAGATTTATATATAAGATATTTTTTAAATTAATTTATTAACTAATAAAATATAAATTATAATTTTTTATTGAAATAGAAATATTTTAAATTTTTAACAATTATTAAAATTTAATTTTATTTATAATATATTAATTATTATTTAATTATTATATTTTAATTTAATAATTATTTAAATTTGTATTTAATAAATTATTAATTGTATTAATTATTAATATGGAATATATAAAAAATTATTAATTATACAAAATTATTATAAAAAATATTAATTATAAAAATATTAATTATAAAAAATATATATATTTAATCTAAAAAAATGTAGATATTATATGACAACTATGACATTAGTTTTATTATTATTATTATTAGACATTTTAATTAACTTTAATTAACTTTAAAAACTATATTATTGCACATAATTGATTGTTATTAATATTGTGTTGTATTTATCACAATATTTAGTACTATTTACAACTAATATTTATTATTTAATCACATTTGTTATCACAAATTAAAAGTACTTAAACAACAACTTAGTTTGTTTTCAATGCCACACAATGTCATCCTATAATACAGTCAATAGTATATATGCGCGCAATATTATAGCGTCTAATGCTAAAAAGTCATGGCATAGTTATTATACATTTGTATTGTTTGTATATATTAAGTATAATCTATGATATATCTATGTATTTGTGGTGCATCATATAGATGGTTCAAATCAGTTTTACTGTAATAAATATTATAATAAAAAATCAATTCATAAATAACGTGCAAAACATGTGCTATTGATGTAGACATCAATGGTTTGGTCATTGATTTTAGCGCTAATTCGTTGCATTGAATGACATAAACATTACATCAATTAATGACCACTACTTTGACATCAATTATCTTCATTATTGTTGACTAATTGGATCAATTGGATCAATTGGCCAGTCATGACAAGTGAAACTGTCATCAATTTGGGTATTTTATAATTGATTGATTTGCTTATAGTTTTTTTAACGTTTCAATTGATGACCGATTAGGTTTTGCTCACCGATGGTCACCATTGAGACAATTAAACTTATTGGTGACCAATACTGTGATGGATAAGTCTCAAAGAGGTTCAACTGATTTGGAGACAACTCTAATGAAACATAAAACAGATTTTATATCTTTGCTTAAAAATCCGGTAATTTTGTTATTTGATTATTGTATTGAAATGTGAATCAATTGATTGATTTGTTTATTCAATTAAAGGCCAGAAATGCTTTGCACAAAGAGATTGTAGTGAACGCTACCAAAGATGGTATTGTTGTTATTGAACAACAAAATAGAGTTAAGACGATAATACCACAAATTATGATCGACGAAGCACTACTCATGAGTGAAATGTTTGATTTGAATGAGTTGTCGGCACTCGAGCTGATCATTGCCGGTGAGAATCAAGAGTCGCGATACGCTGGCCTCACTCGAGGTCCGATCGCTGTATTGCTTTATTTAGACGGAAGGAAGAGTTTATTGAATGCATTGCATTCATTGATTCAGGCGAGCACTGGCAGGACATGGTGTCTGAAGGTGTCCCGAGACTCGTCTCGAGTTATCAACAAATTTGTGGACGAACTCAAAGACGAAGGCATTGTAATGCAATGTATCGATCAATTGTTTAATCTGAACGTAAAGTCTGAGTTTGAATTACTTGAACGCAACAGAGCTTTAGGTCCATTCAAGTATCGCAAACAAGTGTTGGATATTCTTAAAGAGATTCGCCAGAGATTGGCTGATATCATCTTTTGCTATTCATCTCAAACTAATCTCAACAATAATGAAATTTCTAAATTAATTCAATTAATCGCTAATATAAGCAAAACGACTGCAAACGGATCATTAGATTCTGTGTCAACCACTTTATTGATGTCAGTTCTCTATGTAATTGATGTCAGTTTTCTACAGAACGCTGAAGAATACGATAGAAGACTATCAAACAATTCTATACTCAAAAATCCAGAATTAATAGTTGAAATTGAAAGACATTTGAATCAAAATGATTTTCAAGTAAAAGAAATCAAAACTATAATGCAATTTGCTTTAGCAGTGACTTTGAAGACCATTTCTTCATATCCGATACCCGGAATAGATAGTGATATTGAAGACGAAAAATTAATTGACGCGACCATCGAAGCAAAAGTCTTTGAATCACTGAATACTTTAGTTGGTTTAAATGAATATGTATTTAATGAAGAATTTTATATACGAAGAATTCATACTTTGATTACTGATTTCATTGTTTTGATGCCTATAAAAATGAAAGAACTCAAAGACAAAGGCGATGAAATTGGAAGAATAATTGACGCCTATTCTGCTGAAGGCATTCAACCGCCGACAACACTTCCGCGTCATTTTGAAAAACTTCTCTATTTTTTGAGTCAATTATATAGTAAAGATCGCTACGAATTAAGTAATATGTTTTGGCCCACTCTTTGCGATGGCAAACAATCAACGCATAGACAACAGTCGTTACATAAGTTTGTCCGAACAATTCAGGACTCATTTTTTCCATCCATTTTGCACATACCTGTCATTAAATTGTTGAAATCATTGGCAACTAATTCTGCATTCAATGTATTCAATCTAATTAAAAGTCCATCACTTAATCTGAGTACACAGTTTTCAATGGATAGCTTTAATTCATCTCTATTTCAATATTATAATACTCTTCGTGGTTCTGATGGTAGAGAGAATATGAACGCCAGTACTAATCCATTTGGTTTATCTAATATTCATTTGCCATTTCAAGGTCAACAACGATTGATTTCTGGCATTAAGTCAGAGATAATATGTGCCATCATTGAACTGATTGAAGAAATTGTCTCAAATGTATGATTTTAATTTAATATTAATTATTACGAATCAATCTAATGGTTATTATAATACTATTTTATAGGACAAGTCGTGTTGTATAGCTATTGCTGAGAACGTTCAGTATTCGGTTATTCCCTCATTGGTTGGTATCTTAAGATGTGCTGTTCCTAAAGAGTTAAAGGCAGCCATTTTGAATTGTTTATCCGGATTTGCTATGTCTTCGGCATCAGTTGCGTATATGATTTGGGCTAAAATTGATGGAATTTTGCCAAAATTTATGCCCACTATAACAGCAAGTGTGACAATTGATCCATTATCTCAGCACCGTTTGTGGCAAAATGGAATTGGCATTGAAATTGAAGAAATTGAAGCTAAGAATGAAGAATATCCTATAACTATAGGTTTTATGCGACTCATGAAATCATTGTTCATTCACTACGATTCTAATCAAACACAACAACAGTCATCAGCAGAAGTTTGTCTCAATTTTATTGTTAACTCAATACTTCTTAAAACGAATGCTAGAGTTTATAAAATTGAAGATCAAAAGTGGATTATCAACTCTCTCTGCTATGAAGTTATTGAAATAATCATTAAAAATTACGAACCATTAGTCGACGGACCAAACTCTAAGCTGGCATTCAGTATATTCACACAAACTCTTCAAGAAAGTGGTCTCTTTCGTCAAATTATGTATACATTAGAGGAAATCGCAGAAACGTTTGAGAAACAAATGCTTTCTGTTTGGTTTGAAAGTAATACAGTATTTCCCAAACTTATTGAAGATTGTGCTATAAATGGGTTACAAATTTTGAAATTGATTTGTGAGAAACAAAATGATTTCATTGATATGATTCATGAAATTCCTGGATTTCCATTAGCTATAATCGCAAAATTTGATATTCTCTTCAATAATGTCAATCCAAGAAGTGGTGTTATCGATAGGTTATCGACTTTAATACGATTGATATATTTGCCAACTCAGGCATCGATCGAAACGTTGAAAGTATTGAACAGTTTATGCAAATGTAATGTAGAAGTATCTCAATTATGTTTAACACAATTGCAATCATCAAACTCTAAAGTTTTAGCCAATGATTATATCGTTAGTCTATTTGTTGAGTGTTTAGAGTCTGAATCTAAAGAACTTCGATTGGAAACACTGAACCTCATCGACACGTGTATTGATTTTGTTGCCATTAATTATTCATATAATTTTGGCCATAAATTGTTGGGAATTGATAGGTCTCGTAGTGTTATCAAAGAAGCCGGAAATCTGGAGCAAACATTCACTTGTTTTCATTCAATACTTTCACTATTTGATTCATCAATTGATATCAAAGAATTCTCTGAAGAAAGAAGACTTGGAATGAAAATATTACATAAACTTTGTGTTTCATTCTTTACTTATGATATAGTTTTAAGATTTTTGAGAACAAGTTATGACTTTATTATACAATATCTTTATTCGTGGGAAAAATGGTCTTCAGAACCAAATTTTGACTCAGAATTACAAGAATTAATATTTGAAGAAATGACATACTTTTTGCAAATATTAGCCATCGATATAAAGATAACATCAGAACAAAAGCTGAAGTCTCACTGCGCTTCTTATGTCAACTTTTTGTTTACTCAATCCAAAAGGTCACGTATTTTGGATTTGTTAAGTCCAGCTCTCTTTGTTCACACAAACCCAGAATTACCAAATTTGGAGTTTTTTGAGCAAAAAGGATTGTGGAAAGCCATCATCGAGTGCTCTAATGATAGCAAAACTATTGATCTCAAAGCACTTCATCAACGATTGCTTAATGAGATCCGTTTAATTGGTCCACAATTAGGTGTCATTCAAACAAATCTGATTCGTAATGAATTAAAGGTTATACTATCATTTGGAGCCGCTTTGAATGAATCGCAACAAAAATTGGACACAAAAAACAAATATTTCGACTCTTGGCGTCAATTACTTGAGATACTAATAATTACCGGAAGTTTAGAATCTTGTGATGAAGAGACAAGAATCAGATATTTATTAGAAATAATTGTTGAACTGATTAACAGAGCACAGGATTCAACGACACCATTATCACTGTTATGTCCGATTTCATCATCAGTTTTGATTATTTCTTCGGCAATGTTTGGTATTAAATCACAAGTGTTGACCTCAAATGTGAGCGCTTGTGTGAAATCCATTATAAATATATTGGACTCGTCGTCGCACACCATTTGGAGCGATCAGAAGATAACTCGTATTAACTTTTATGCATCGCTTCTCTATTTGTTTCGATCACTTCCTTTCAATATATTTAATGAATTTAAATATAATAATAGACTATTAGAGCGTCTGTCTAAAGATATTCTGTCCGGACATGAAGTGGCAAAAGTGTTGTCTATTTCATTGCTCAATAGGAGTGATCTTTCCGTTTGGTTGAATGAGATCGCATCAAATGGTACTTTAAGGCAACTTTTGGATACACTTTTGTCTGATGATCGCGAAATCCGAGCCAACAATTTTGAATTTATTAAAGCTTTTTATGGTTTTGAAGCAAAAATGGTGAGTATATTATCGGTAATTTTTGTTTGTTTTGATGAATCCATTTTAAAAAAGTAATAATGTATTTTAGATGCTTTTGCTTCAAATCTATTCTTCAACTAACGGATCCCATTCATTGAGTCATAACTTAGAAATGATGTCAACTCTTGAGGCGATTCAAAGCTTTGATATGTATCCATATTTGGTCGGACAAAACACTGTTTGCCATAAAGTTTTTATTCATATTCTTCGATTGATTCTAACAATGTCTACCACTAATAATCAACAAATCATTAATGAAGTAATAACTTTATTTAAATTTTTAATTAATGGTAATTTAATTTTAATTTTTATTATTAAAAAACAGTTGTCAGAGTTTATAAACAGTAGAACCACAATATCTGATATCTTACGAATGGCACCAAACATGAAGAATACTATCGAAGGAAAGGAGACATTAGTTTTGATAACCAAAATGATATGTCGTTTGATTTTGAATGTCAACAAAATAACTCAAATCAGTTTCATTGGACTTCTGTCTCATTATTGTAATGACTTTTCTACAAYACATGACTTGGAAATAATATTTAATATATTATTTGGTTGTATTCAATACAGTCGAGCAAATGGTAAAAAATATAATATTTTCAAATAATATTTATTAATAATTGATTTATACTATAGCTTTGGTACCATTATTTGAACCGAGTCTTTCAAAACAAGATTCAAAACTCATTACACGACAACCTTTAGGCCTTTTGGTATCAGTAATCAGCAACTGTTGTACCAAATTAGACGATAGTTTAAATGTGTTACCAATTGTGGAATCAGCTCTTTATCTGCTTTGGCATCACTTGAATCTATATTTTTCGGTTCTTAACATTCCCGGCGATAAATTACAAGAAGTAGAGACAATGAAATCTGAATCTGAATATGTCTTGAGTGACGTATTTTTCTCTAAGATTCAAGTCTTGTCTCAGAAGAATACATTTATTGATGCATTAGTTCGTCGTATTAAAAGAATTATTCATTTAAAGAAAGATAATTGAAATTTAAAGTCATTTTTATATTAAAATATTTTTAATAATTGTATTGATTTTAACAAATAATAAAAAGTTATAAATAATTATTATATTATTAAACTTACTGTATATAACTAAATATGGTTTAAATTTAGCGTAATATGTGTGGGTTGTGGTAGAGGTATAACATTATCATAATATTGTATTACTTTAATATTGAATAGCAATAGCATTGGTTTCAGTTTGTATTGTATAGAAAACCCCAGTTGTAATGTATGGCAGCGTTAATGTTGTGTTTAATAGCAGTTTGTGTGCCATTTGTGCCCTATTTTCCATACATTGGGAATAATCCGAAACCATTAGAGTCTTGTCTCTTACTTTTTACCCAAATATCAGGGCGTTTGCCAAATGGCCCCCAATTTCACAACTTTTTTTAAATAGTTTTTTTTAATTACAGTTTAATTTGATTTTTAATCACTTAATTATGGAAGAAACGGTTACCGCTGAGGACACAGAGGATAACCAATTAGTTGACGTCAATGAGGCTGATGTCGATTCCAACGACGACAAGGAACAGGTGATTAAACTTAAGTCGAAAAATTCATATCGACAGAAGTACAAGAGGGCCTGGGAACTGGATCTACTACTTAGAGGTAACTCATCTCACAGATTGATTGTCTAACAGATTGTGTTATAATAGTAAAACAAAAATTAATTGATAACTGATTTTAATTAATACAAAATTATTGACTTTTATTGGGATTTTCACACAAATCTTTGCTTATCCCAGATTTTGCCCAAACTTTTGTACCACTGATTAAAATGATATTTATTTGGGGTTTACTTTGTTTTGGTTTTTAAAAATTGGTTTTTAAATTTGATGTCAGTTTTCACTGTTTTCCAGTGATTGTTAAGAAAAATTAATGAATATATTAAACAAAACATTAGTTTTCGGAGTCAAACATTTTAACCAAAATAGCTTTCATCTAAATGCTAGACATCTAATAACAACACAGTTTAAAGGTTTAAATCAAATTTACACTAAGCTATTAAAAAAACTGCTAAAATATATATTATTTAATAATAAATATTTAATTTAACAAAACACGTGTTGTTTACTAAAAACTTATTCATGACTTAATAATAATTATTTTATAGTATTATTTTAATTACTGTTAATGCTTTTCAATGCTTTATAAAATTTGATTTATAAAAATTTATAATATAGTATTAAAAATGCTTTTAATAAACTTATTTATTAAGATAATGCTACCGATATGTATACAATAATATATCATATATATAGTGATGTACCGATTGCAAAATGCGCAATTGCATTGCTCGGAAATTGCGTGAAATTGCCGCAATTGCAAAAAGCTCGATTGCGAAAATCGCAATTGTAAAATAGAACAATTTATAATTTTTAAAAAATTAACAAAATTTAAATGGCAAAGCAATATGAATAAAAACATAAATTAATTATATAAAATTTAATTATTTTATCATAAAATGTTGCCATCTAAAAACCATGTAAAAATAATAATAAATTAGTAAATTCTCTTAATCTATTGTAAACAAAATTTTTAACGTTTTCAAAGTTAATTTTTATACATTCCCTCATGCGCGCAATTTCAAGCAATTTCACGCAATTTTCCGCAATTGCGGCAATCGAAAATTGAATTGCGAAAAATTACCAACACTACATATATACAATAAATTATTTGATTGATAGACTGGTTGTCTCCTTTCACTGGTGATCCGTATTCGGCCTTTTGTAGGACCTGTCACTGCAAACTTCACGCCCATAAAAAAGGACTGTTAGCTCACGCAAAGTCATCAAAACATAGGAAGCATACACTAACTGGTGAAGTAATGGACATAATTAACATTTTAAACATTGATTTATATCATATATACTAATTATATAATAAATTAAAATCATTTTTAAATATTCAAATCATTAAAATATAATATATAATATAACATTACTTACTTTGTTTACTTAATTATAGTCACAAAAAAAGTTTGAATATTTTTAATTTTTTTTATTCATATTTAATATATAACATAATTTACATAATTTATTTGATAAATTGCTAATTTGAAATTCAAGTTGTTTTTAAAGAGTACCCGTAATATAAACAGTATTTGACAATAATTGTTAAAATATTTATATCTCATAATTATAATTTGTAAAGTAAAAAGTAAAACTTGTTATCAAAAATTTGCAAAATGCTTATGCGATTTGTAATTAAAATAATTATAAGTCTCAAGTAATTATAACACGACATATCTGAGCGTTAAACCTGAAAATTATAATTTCTAATCAAACGTCTAGTCATGTAATTTATTATACAGTACTCTATAACTTAAATGTTTTTAAAATATAAGTATCAATTAAAACATTTAGTTTTATTTTTAGGATCCGTTAAGCACTGAAAGTGGAGAAATAGTTGCGTTAAAAAAACTTAAGAAAACGGTATGTTTTTAGAAAATATCGACAAATAAAGTTTTATCACACATTTTATGCCATTATTAGCACTTTAACGATCAGTGGCTCGAAGACACAAATTTTTCTCAATGGTTAAGAAAAATCCCGAATAATTCTACAAAAGCTCTTTGCGTGGCCTGTCGTTCAGTGATAACCGCCGGTCGGAGTGAACTTATTAAACACAGTCAGGCGGCCAAACACAAGAAGGCTATTTTAGACGGCATTCCCGAAGATGTAATTAAAATTGATTTAATTTTTATTAATTATTTTAATTTTATTATATTACCGATAATTTAAAGATAGGAGAGATTGATATCGATTGGTTGGATCCGTCATATGTGCCACAAATTAATAATAATTCTAATAATAATAATAATAATTTAACAGTTACTCCAGCACTAACTTTTAGTACAAATATAACCGTTCAACAGATAAATTCAAACAATCACATTATGGATACATTAGGTTTGAATTTAAGTGATATTATAAGTCAATTGCAAGAGTCAGTACCTCTGCATTTGGCCGAAAAGTGGGATAATGTAGGACTTCTGAGTCAACCGACGCAACCAACAAAAATTCACAATATATTACTCACAATCGACTTAACTGAGAAAGTAGTGGAAGAAGCGCTCAAAAAGAGAGTTAATCTAATTATATCATATCATCCGCCAATATTTAAGCCATTGAAGAGTTTATCACCAAATGTTTGGAAAGAAAAGATTATTTTGACGTGTATTGAGAACAAGATTGCCATATATTCTCCGCATACCGTTCTCGATGCCATCAAAGGAGGTATCAATGATTGGCTTTTAACAGCTTTTGGATCGTCACTGTCTTCGCCTATTCAACAAAGTTATTCGGATCAGTCTGGAAGCGGACACTTCTCTAATTGTTTAGATGTTCTCGTCTCTGAAGGAGAAGATGTCACACAAGCTTTAAGTGGTTTGGAAAATGTTATTTTGACGGTTAAGAGGTTTGATATTAAATTAGTCTCTGACTATTGCCAGTTGTTTAGCAATAATATAATTAAAAATTTATATTTAAAAGCAATGAATACGGAGGATGTGATGTGAGAGTGTGTTGCGATGATAAGACATTACCAAAAGTTGTTGATATCTTATCGCAACATCCGGTGGCACAGCTTTGCAGCAGAATTACTAAACTTCAAACTGTAATAAATGATTGATTTAATAAGCAATTTATTGAAAATGTTTTTCTTAACGATAGCCTCCACTTCCCGGCCAAGGAATGGGTCGATTTGCATGTTTGGATCAATCACTTCCACTCTATGAAATTGTTCACAGAATTAAACAACATTTAGATCTAACACATGTCAGACTTGCAATATCTCCTAAACACACGAGAGGTTTGATTTGAATATTTGTAAACTCGATATTAATTGAAATATAATTAATTAGATACCAAAGTGAACACAATAGCCGTGTGCGCCGGTTCGGGTGCCTCTGTCCTCAGGGGCTGTAAGGCTGATGTCTGGATAACCGGTGAGATGTCTCATCACGAAGTCTTAGATGCCATACATTACGGCTCTTCGGTTATACTCTGCGAACACACAAACACTGAACGCGGATATCTTAAGCCATGGGCTGAACAACTGAAAGACAATTTAGGACAACATAATGTCAATATAATGATATCCGATGTCGACAAGGATCCACTAAAAGTGGTCTAAAAATATTTGAATGACTTTTTATATAAATAAATAAAAATAAATATATTTAGTATATAAACAATAAAAGTTTGATTTGATTGAAAAGTGGCGCCAATTGTGGTGTTGTATGTAATGGTTATGCAATGCATTGATTGGATGTATTAGTTGTATGACGAGTGTTGTGGTGTCAGTGGTTGTCATAAACCAGTCATTGATGGCTCATATGATGAAAGATGGCCTCCAAGTGATCCAATTTACCACTCATTTCATCAACACTTCCATCACATTATGAAAGATCAGGTGAGACACCAATCATTACATATGATTTAGACTATCATTTGTATAACAATGTCCACCAATACATCAATTGATGTATTTGTTGTCCAAATGATTACACAGTTGTTGTCAATTGATTTAATCTAATCAATGATTTTAACTAATTGTTAATTATGTTAATTGAAAATTGTTTTAAATATTTTGGTTTTGCAAACATTATAATTAATATAAACTATTAAAATGCAATACTTTTTGTGTATATCTTTGTATTATTTGATAAATAAATTAAAAGTGTTTTAATTGTTTAGATATTTAGTGACTCTTTTGTTAGTCATTAACGCTATTATTAATGAAACAAATTTATAATTAGAGGTCAAAGTACTCAAACATTTTGATTACACTATTTCTCAGTTAAAAAAAACTTATCATTTATTTGACGAGACATTAATTGCTATTATATTTGAGTATATGTTTTGTTACACTAACTACTACTGTATTAAAACTTTATTTTAGTCTCATATCATATAAATTTATTGTAATAATTATTAGTCTTTGAAATAATTAAAAATAAAAATATTGATTTTGTTAATGTAGTTTTTATTTAACATCAATTCAATATAATTTTTTTTACTAAAATATTATAAATAATTTTTGTTTTGTTTAATGACATTATACTATCAAAAGTGCAGTATATTAGCAAAAAACTAATTTGTTTTCAAACATTTGGTTTGCTGTCATGTCGTGAAAATTTATGATCAAATTAAAGACAAGAATTTATAATTAAAAATCATTTATGAGTTTCATTTTAAATGCTATATTTTAATTGAAAATTTATTAATATTTTAGCCGAAATTAATGCTCAATCAATGGTTTCAACGTTTAATACTTTTATAAAAAATTATTTTTCAAGTATCTAAAAGTGGTTTTATGTCTTTTTAGTTGATATTAATGTGAGATATACTCAAATATATTGCTAATGAGTGGTTGGGTTGTGTGTGTGTGTGTGTGTCGGGTATTGTACTGATAACCCGTGTAGTGATCTCTTGAAAAACAAAATAATTTTTACAAATAAATATTAGAAAAGTTGTGATCTTCGACTATATTACCGACTCATTCAATATACAGTAATTATAAAGAAAAGTATGATTTTAATTGATATGATTAATAGCTTTATATCCATTGCCACACATATTGTATACATTGAAACTTTTTAAGTGTTTAATTATTGAATGTAACACCATTTAAGCACTTTAATTGAAGGTATTATTCAATAGTTTTATTATTATTTAAAACATATATTTTGTATTTTATATATTACATTGACTTAAACAATGAAAATGATAAAACATTTTATTTTATTTTTATATCAAAATTTGTTTTCCTATACTTGTGTATACTACATAAATAATATGTTATTTGAATAACATATTTGATAGAAAACTGTTAATATAATTTGTTTAAATATATAATATATATAATTATTGCTATTAGTTATGAAAACTAACAAAACATTACTGAATGTTATATTAATTTAAGCTAAATATCCTCTAAAGGAGAAACTGTGTTCAGAGATAAGCAATTGATTGAAACACTGATCGATGTTTTGCCAACTGATTGACACTCAATAGCTTACAGTTGTTGTTATCAATAGATTGCACTCATATTTCTCAGTAATGACTAATGAAGGGATGTCTGATCCCAAGTGATACCGTTTTGATGACTACAGGAAAGTCAAAACTAGGCCTTTAAAAGGTGAACACAATTTTCACATTGCATTCATTTGTCATATGTGTTGCATTTGAGTTGTTTTTCATAATAACAATGCATTTGTTGTATTTGCCAATTGATTTAATAATAATTCAGTTGAAGACAAGTCCATCATTGGGACGCACGCTTGACATTTGAATGGCGAGCTGCCCAGTGAAGGGCTGTTGTTTAACTGACTGTCCAACCATTACCCTAACCAGCAATGCATTGATTTTGTAAGCCATTTACTAACTATTTGGTTCATTTTAATTTACATTAATTTGTCAATAAATATAAAACATTTAGTATTTATATCTAAAATGTTTTTTTATTTCAACAGATAATGTCAAAGAATGAGGTGTTTGATGATCAAGAGTGGTATTGGGGAGACATATCCAGAGAAGAGGCCAATGAGAAGCTAAAGGACACACCTGATGGCACTTTTCTTGTAAGGAATGCCTCCGATAAAGGTTCCGGTGATTATACACTGACATTAAGGAAGGATAGCACTAATAAATTGATAAAAATTTGTCACAAAAATCAAATGTTTGGCTTTTCTGATCCGTTAAGATTCAAATCTGTTGTCGAACTAATCAATTATTACCGCAAAGAATCTCTCAAAGACTATAACCACACATTAGATACCAAATTATTATATCCGATCTCAAGGTTTAGCCAAACAGAATGTGATGACATCGAAACAAACGATATCTCGAAACTTAAGTTCAAATTGAATGAAATTGTCAAAGAGTTTCAAAATAAGACGGAATCATATGATCAATACAACGATGACTATAATCGGACGGCACAACAGATACAAATGCAAAGACAAGCTTTGGAGTCGTTTAAAGTTTGCATTTCATTGCTTGAACAGCACATCGAGATTAACACCAACCTTCATGAAGAGTCGTTACAACACGAAAAAGAGTCGATGAAAGACCACAACTGTAAATTGAAATACAAATTAAATGCTTTAATTAAAAGCAGATCAGATTTAGACAAAGAATTGAAAAACTCGACTGCTTTGCATCGTTTGGTCGATAGAGAGATGAATTCAATAAAACCAGTGCTCCAGCAATTGGGTAAACAGAGGACAATCCTACAAAAATTATTAGATGCCAATAGTGGCGGATCTCTGCCTCATCACAACACTAGTGCCTGGTTTGTTAGAGACTGTAGTCGAGATGATGCAGAAAATTTGCTTAAAGAGCGACGCGACGGCACATTCCTCATCAGAAATAGTCGACAAGAAGGACAGTATGCACTGTCTATAGTCAATGATAACAAAGTATGCCATTGTCTTATACATCATAAGGAACAGGGGTTTGGATTCGCCGAACCCTTTAATATATATCCATCGCTGTTAAGTCTAGTTCTTCATTACGCTCAGACCTCACTTGAAGAACACAATGATTTACTTCACACTACTCTCGCATATCCTGTTTTTGCCAACAATTCTGTAAATAATGGAAAGTAATTCTAGTTTGCTATCTATTGTATTATTATTATTATATAATTGATTTATATAATTGTTTTTCTATAAAAAATCTACTCTAACTTGTTTTTAATTTAATATAAATATATTTATGTTATATAAGTGAAATAATTGAAAATAAAAAGTGATTTATACTTAAAATTTTTAATGAAAACTTAAATTTATTTGTTTTAACAAATTTTAAGCAACAAATAGTTATTTTATGGGAGTTGTTGGCTCTATGCAGTTATTTATATAATTAATTATTTATATTGAATTATATTTTGCATTTTATAAGGTAAAGTATATAATTTAGAGCTATATTTTAATATTGAAGATAATAATTAAATATATAAATTTATTTTTGTTTGTTTTGTTTTAGTTAAACAACTTTCTTGAACTTGAATTTCGTGCTTTTATACCGATTCATGAACTATACGTATAAAACAAAACAAAATTATGATTTATAATGACTTTACTATCAGATCTTGATATCTCAAAGACATCACTTGATTATAGTTTTTGGTGAGATTTAATTTTCCAAAAATATAACGTTTTTTTATAATTAAGATATTTCAAGCAAAAGTAAAATTGTTTTGTATGTAATTTTTATTTATCAAATATGTTAAACATTTCCTCAATTAACTTAATATTTAAATTATTTTTATTTATATAGCAATCCTTTATTTGACAAAACAGGTATTTAACAATAAAAATATAATATTAGCTGAGATGAGGAGTGAAGACAGTAATTGAATACCTATTCCGGGAGTTATCTTTGAATAACAATTATGAGATGGGCTGACACTCTAGTCATACTTAAGCACATTGATTGACCCTTTGCTTCAAACATTGTATATAATATGATATAATAAATAATTTTCAAAATGTTTTGAACTCAGCTTTTATTTCTCAATACAATTTAAAGCAATTGTAATTTAATAGTCGTTTGTGTGTTAAATGTCTTTCGTATTTAAATTTTATCGTCAATTCGGTTGCCATTCACTGCATTTTTTCGGTTTCAAACATCTCATTGAAGAATTCCCACTAACTTTTCCAAACTACCTGAGCCCTAATGTTTTATATATATACAGTATATATATATACTGTTTATTATACTGTATGAATTGTAAGCTTATATACAGTATACTTATATACTGTATAATATATACACATAATTTAATATAATATATAAATAATGATGAGAAAGTATATCATCATAATTGAAGTTTTGCTGGCAGTTATTTATTAAACTTTAAATATACTCTCTATAAGGTATGCAATACAAAAAAACAGTATAATAGTACTGTATATACATTATCTGTATTTTATATGAATATTATATGTATTATACTGTACTACAACTTTAATAGAAATTTTTGTTTGTTAAGTGATGTTGATTTTGGTCATTAAACACTATTAATCAAATAGATTTTCTTTTATTCAATTATTATGATTAGATCTAAAAATATGTATTACATTAGTGGAACTTAAATACAGGTACAGTATATAATAATATATAATATAAAGGAATTTATTTTTTAAAAAAATTATTAGTGAAAGTGAGATCTACTTTGTAGCCCTGACCACACATTTATATATAAAAAACAAGTTGTGACTTAAATGTGTATGAATTTTATTTTTTTAAACGAAAAGATTTATTTATTTTTTTTACTGAAAACTTGTTTACTTGAAATATGGGTTGAGATTAGAGATCAAACAATACTAAATCATTAATACACTTACTTTTCCTAAAAAGTAGTTTTCTCGAGTATTGAATAATTTAGTAATAAAATGAACACTAAATTGTAAATACTATTTATTTGATGGCATTTTGTTTATTGCATTATTTAATTCCTGTTACGATATTTGTTATTGTAATTATTAGCAATTTTCACAATAATTGTTATTTTAACTACAGTATACTATTTTAGATATTGTAAGTATTAGTAATATATAAAAAATAAGTTTGTAGTGTACTGTATAACAAAATAACAATACTTAAGCAATGATATGAAAAGTCAATGAATATATGATAGAATAACTAGTCTTCCAAAAAGCAATTAATAATAATAAATATTTTTAAACGATTTTTTCCAGATATATAGGCATTATTTTTACAGGTTCTGTATACATATAGATTATAAATAGCATTTACATCATATGTTTATTATTACTTGTTTTTACATAATTTATATTATATAATAATTTAAATTTATATATTATTATATATATATATTGAGTAGCGATTGCTTGCGAAGATAATTGTTTTGAATGCCGTTAACTATTTGTTCAATAATATGACAGAATATTTAATTACTTGTTAAATATAAATCAAAACATTAAATAAGATTTGGTTGAATTTTTGCAAAAAAATACTACAAATGTGACGGAAATAACATTTGCAAATCAGATAATAATTAGCTACAAATCAGTATCCTATGTAAAGATAAACTTGAATTTCCGAAATCACTTTTAATAAGAAAAAAGATTTTTTTAAAACATTAAAATTATTTGACAGCAAAATATTTTTATTGACAAAACTTAAGCGTGTTTTTCACTATAAATAAATTAGCGAAATATCTGTTAAATGGCTATAATATTAATATTAAGATAAAAACATTAAAATTTATGTAACAAATAGCCATTAAAATGTGTAATACAAAAATTAACAAATTATTGATAATATCCATTTATAGATGAGAGACTACATATAAGCAAACAAATTAAAATCAAATTTTGGTTGTAAGTAAATTAGTCTACTTAGTAGACTCTACTAACTTATTGTTATATTTATATACTTAATATTATATTATTATTATACTGTACAGTATATACAGTGCTATTTGTGAAACAATAACCCGAATGATTTTTTTTTATGAAAATAGCTATAATTATGAAGTTTGAAAGCAATTCAGTAGTAAATGTCATTTGTAAATATATATACTATATATATACAGTATTATTGTGTGTATGTATATATATATATATATATATATATATATATATATATATATATGTGTGTGTGTGTGTGTGTGTGTGTGTGTGTGTATGTATGTATATATGTGTGTGTGTGTGTGTGTTCTTTTGATTTGAAATTATAGATATTAGCCATCAATGAAAGGGAAAGTTGTCTCATTGGTGTTGTTTCTTAGGTTTAGTTAACTTATAGTGAGATAAGGGGTGAGTGAAACATACAAATTGTTGTATATTTTTTGTTTAAAGGCAACAAATATAAAAATAATGCATTTTTAAATCATTACTCCCTATCAAACAGTGCTGTAATTTTCAAAACAATAATACTATAATTTATGACAACATATTTATGAGTATAACAAGAAAAATAAAATAATACTTATGATCACTAATGTCTTCAAAATATTAGATATACCTGTTTTATATCTCAATATAGTACTGTATATCCCAAAACTTATACAGACATTAAAATATAAAATAAAAATTGTGAATTGTTTTTTGTTATAAACAAGTTTAAAATTAACATATATTAAGAATTTTACTTTAGTTGATATTCAAATGTTTGAGGGATTAATTAAAGTCATTAAAAAACAAATAAATTATTATTAGTAAATAGCGAGTCAGGTGCCAGTGGACAGACTGCCGAAAGTGGTATTGAATTTATTGCTCAAAAAATTATTTTCATTTTTATGAATAAATCCTTTTAATCGCAAACTTTTTTAGAAGTTAAGGTAAAGAAACTGAAAGGAATTATATAAATGAAATAAAAGTTTAAAATAGTAAACGTTTTAATCAAAAGAAATGAAATAATAAATAAAATAAAATGAATAGAAAAGAAAAGAAAAGAAATTTATTTAAATTTTTTATGTATTCTCTAATTGATGTTTGAATAAAATTTATTATTATTATTAATATTAAAAATAAAATATTTGTATTTATTTATGTATTTAAGTTTTGTTTCATTAAGTTCTCATAATTTCTCGAAAGTCAATATTTATAGCAGAGGTGGAGATCACTAGCACTGGGATCAAGAATTTAAGGATCGGTGAACAGGAAGTTTGCCATTTCATCGCTTCATGTCTTGTAAAGTGATGTTCAAATACAACAATCAAATCGATGACAGATATCACAATTGGAGTGATGTTTACATATATTTTGAAATGCTTTGAATAATTGACTCTTATTTACAACTCCTTGTAAAGGTTGCCATCAAAACTAACGTTCCTTTAGTTGTAAGACACACAACACGACTTCAAATTGCAAAGAACTTGAATTTAAATAAAAAGAGTTTAAAGTTTTTCAAAGATATTATTTGATTGAGAGGTTTGGAGGGATTTGTGGTGTTCTGGGGTTTACAGACTAAGGGACTGACAAACTTAAGAGGTTTGAAACCATGATATGTCTTATTTAAGATTTATAAGTGAAACCAGCTTTTCGGCTATTTATGAGATCTTTATCGATATAAATTCATTTATTATGTATTTGGATCGCTATATGAATATATATATATATATACAGTATATATGTATATTCAAAAGAGTAAAAGAAATGTTAAATAATAATTAAATATTTTGATAAACTTTTGAAAAAATACTAAAAAATATTATATAAAAATAATAATTTAAATTTTTTTGACACAGTCTTACCTTAAGAGAAGATTCTTTAAGAGAAAGTTTTTTTTGTTGAAATTACAGACCAAAAGTTTTGAATGACTTTGAATGACATTAAAATTGATTCAAAATTGGAACCAATTTTTCAAGAAATGACAGCCAAAAGCCAGAGATGTCTAAGAGATGGCAAAATTCAGTACAAAAACTGGTAATTTTGATGATTGTCTGCTGACTCACAATTGAAAACATCAACTGAGATGTGCGGCGTCTAAATCATAACTCTTGACATCATTTTTTTTTGATAAATATTGGTTTTTATAATCATATTTATATTGAATTTATATGTATATTCAACATATATGAAAAAATATTTAATATTTTGTTTTTAATTTTATAATTTGTTTATTTATTTAATTTAATAATTATTAAGTTTTTTTTATCGGTTATCTGTCAGTCTGTTTGTTAAGTGCTAACAAAAAATAATTGAATTAATTAAATTCATAGTTAATGCTTATATTATAACTGAATTTGACCAATAATTTTCAATATATATTCACAAGTAATTACAGACTATTTATATGTCTAACTCTTTGATATCAGTAGTAAGCAGTAAATGTTGAGTCAATGAAATCATTATATAATTGATAAATGACTTGAATATAACTTCAGGAAAGATATAAATATAAATACAGATATTAAGCGATATAACTGTAAGAAAAGTATTTTTCGACTATTATTTTAATTATCGAAAGCGCCGGAAGGCATATAAACAACATTAAAATTCTTATACCTTTTGCATATAATGTGGGAGTTTTGCCGTTGCTTTCAATTGTCGCTAAATGACTGCACAGGTATACTGTATATGCCGTATACCATAATACCAGTAATAACTATCTATCGGTTCACTAATGATTGCCAGTCTTGTGTCAGTCATGTCAATGGCTTATAATATGTCAAAAAATTGTGATTAAATTTATTTTCTCAACAGTTATGAAACTGAAAATCATTATATTATCTTTAATAAAATCAAACAACTCTCATAAAAAATAAGTGAAGTACCCGTTAAACATGGTTTGATTACATTGATATCACTATTTATAATATGATCACTCAATATAGCCATAATGTGATTTGCTTTCATGAGTTGTATATTAAGTTTTTTACTCTTTATATATAATCGTGTTTATGATTTTATTAAAATGAAGGCATAATTTAATAACAATTAGATATACCGTACAATTGGCAAAACCAATGGCGCAAAACCAACATTCAATGCATTCATAGCATTGATAGCATTCACTTGAATGGTCGTGACTTGTCTTCAGCGACGACCCTCACAATCAACAAATATAATGTAATTTCAAACAACGTTATCATTAGAGCAGTTCATGATTTAAATATACAAATACAGGAAATTTCGCTTTTTATTCGCTTCTAATTATATCTAATTATCAATTAAATAAATATTTCTATTCCACTAAATAATGTGCACAACATTTATGCTTTTCTTATGTCAAAATAAACTAAATTAATTCTATGAGAAACTTAATCATACATTAAATGATGAGACAATCATAATAATAGCACTGGTATTAAACATAAGTACATTATATTATATTATATGCATTAGAAATAAATTTCCCTTTGGATACAATTGAAAGCATTGGTAAACCAATTGATTTTAGGGTTCCTTTGATTGATCTTTATATGATCTTTCGTTACATATTTATGGCAACAATTTGTCAAATGAAATAAATATAAAATACTCAATATATATATATATATGAATCTCTGAGAAAAGGCAAACAATTTATTGGTTTGGATTTAGGGATTGAGGAGAATGAGAGGCAATGAGAATAGGATAGGAGAATCACCTCCACTTATAACGAAGCCGTTGCACCTGACAGGACAGGTATGCCTGATATACAACATTACATACGATTACATAGCATTGTATTACATAGTAGTGAAAAGCGTTGAGATGTGTATGTTATACCTGTAGTATAGTGTATGTAAGCAATAGTATGCAGGTATAGCATGTATGGCATGTATGGCATACCTACTCAGCTATACATACAATACTATTAAGTCTTCTTTTGGTAAATTTTTGTTTCATTGGATCTTTTATCAGATCACGTGGTTGTGGCCGCAGGTTAACGATTGAGAGCTCAGGTAATTCTTATACAACATTAGATAGTATTGTGAAAGTGGAAAGTCGTCGGACAACTTCCTCACTACCAGTGCTTCAACTAAACAACACTTTTGCAGTTTTGCTCACTTTTTTGATGCAAACAGTGTTTAGTGTTTTAGTGTTTAGTGACGCAGTCATTGCCAGTCCTCACGAGTCCAATATTATTGATATATCATCTAATTTGATACCATTTATTGTTTGTGATAACCGACCAAATTTGACATAACCAGTGATGAAAGTAATGTGAGGACCAAATCATGAGTAAGTTCTGACCATTTTATAAAACTTTTACTTAACATTACTGTCTGTGTTTGCTCTGAGTCTTAATTATCAAAACTTGTATTGTATTTCATATACAATGCCATAACATGAGTGAAGAACAGATGCAAACTATTATTGAGATAATGGCGACCAAAATAATACCTAAATATCACTACTTTTAAAGCTATCATTCAATCATTTTAATCATTTAATGGTCGACCAAACAATTGCTTTACAAATCTGTCATAAATGTCATGTTTTGGTAAAGCTTTTGTTTGACGAAAGTCTTGCAAATGTCTTATAAGAATAATGACAGATAAGTGTCGGCTCTCGACTCTTGTCTCAGTTTTCATGAAAAGACAACTAAAACTCAATATTAATCAATTCTGTGATAAATATAATTGAATTTTCGGTTCATTTCACTTAAGATGTGGTCTTCACTAACTTTAGACCACAATTAGCGATCACACCTTCGGCTATATATATGTCTCAGACATTCAAATGACTTATACATCACGTAATGTTGTTTAAAATTTAACATATTTTATAACAGTTGATGATATGTTGTTATTATCGAAAAAAATATCTATAACTTTTGATTAATAATTTAAAATTAATATTAAGTACCAGTTTAGCTGTAATTAAACATAGTTTGCTATATTACTATCCCTTATATCGATACCAAACCCCCAGATTTCACTGTCTCTTATGATAGAAATATCGCTTCCGGCGTATTGTAAATATTTCTATAAATATAACTGTTGTTCAAGTATTTCAATCAATCTATAATTTTTTAAGTAGTTTTCTGTAGTTTTTTTTTAAAAAGATTATTGACCGTCAAAAGCAACTAACCATTACATTAGTGATGTCCCAACATATTTAATATCACTGTATATTTGTGTACTTATGTATGACTGTCAATATATATTTAATATCTAATAATAATTAGTTTCTGTCATAATCACAAATTTATACATTTATGACACAAAAGTTTTAAAAAAATTAAAAGTTTTAATTACGTTAAAGCTTAACATATTCATAAATTATTGAGTCATTCATAGTATTTATCAATGATTTTACACACCATTTGATTGTAAGACATAGTAAGATATACCTAACTGTGCCGATGCTGCCCTTGTGCTCAATATATTGTTTATTGGTCTTCACCGCCTCATAGTTTTCGCCCACACCTCATCACAATCCAAGCCTCAATCAATTGTAGGCACAGATTGTAAGGTTACCTGATTTGGACGATTCATAAATGGATTAATACTTTTTAACACAAAACCATACAGTAGTAGTAGTAGTAGTAGTAGTAGTAGTAGTAATAGTAGTTAGTTGTGATCTCATATTATGTGAAAGCTAGTATTTTTGTTAAAAACGTTTTATAATATACCATAATGTCTATCAATTAATTGATATTATAGTTAAAATGTAAAGATGTTTTGTTTAATACAAATTTCAATTAATTTATTATTATAAATAATTTACTGACTTTAATTACAAACAAAATAAATATTTTTTTATTGTTAATTGTGTCATAAAAATTAAATTATTGTAAATGACTTGATCTTCATTTTAAAATTCAATTTTTATTTCGTTGAAAGTTTTCACTAAAAAATCTGGTTTTTCTCCATATATATATATATACAGTATATATATATATATATAATATAACATTTCATTTTATTTAATATAAAATACAAAAAAATTGAATAATTGGATGAAATTTTATTTGGACCGATAGTTCCGATGGATTCAGTGAAAGGGCTGGTTCTGTGGCTGTTATCAGTGCTGAGCTGGTCGTGTCTGAGTTCAGCTCAATATAGGCCCAAATGGCCGTCACCTTACGTTCAAAGAGAAATATTTGTATTAAATCTAGAGGACGGATACTTTGGGTGCCAAGTCAACGAATCTACAGATTTTCTACAATTATTTGAATTATCCAAACTTTGTGATGGAATACCTCAATGTTTCCAGGGATCAGATGAGGTTTCACTTGAACTCAAGTGCACCGACCGAAGTGAGTCATCTTTACAAGAAAACATCTAACCATCGATTATCAACTTATCATTTAATATATATATATATATATATATTGTTTTTTGTGTGTATCTGTAGATCATTGTCATCCAAAATTGCCAAAATGTCTGAACGGTGTGTGTTTAGACAGTCTGTGCTATTGTAACGATGGTTTTGGTGGTAAAGGTTGTGACCTACCAGGTATGTCATTTATTTGCCACTCATTAATCATTTATTACTAATTTTACTCTAATTTATATATTTATAAAGCAAAAAATATATTTATTTATACCAAATATTAAATCTAATCTTTTGTAATGCTATAACAATTGCTGTCAATGTTAAGCAATTTAATAAAAAAGTGTTAATAAATTACAGATGAAAACGAGTGTAAATACCGTCCGTGTGATGTGTTTGCCCACTGCACCAATACTATGGGTAGTTATTACTGTTCCTGTTTTCCCGGCTATGATGGCGATGGCTTTTCATGTCATGGTTTGTACCAATTATCCCATTCATTCAATTATATTTTGATTGACACCTATTTGTTATTAGTCTTTTTATATAAATTTTTTACCCATTCATTATTAAACTAAAAGTTAATTCGACAATAAATATAATTAATGTTAACCTTTCCTTTTCGTGTATGAGCTCAGCCAACAATAGTTTATAGTTTCGCAATATCTAAAAGTAGATGTTTAATGATACCGATATTGTGTGAATGAATGAATGAGTGAGTGAGTGAGTGAGTGAGTGAGTGAGTGTGTGTGTGTGTGTGTGTGTGTGTGAGAGAGAGAGAGAGAGAGAGAGAGGCAAATAAATGTGTAGATAATTTGATTTAAATAAACTAGTCTTAGGTCTTAATAGTTTATTTCAAACACTTTAATCATTATATATTCTCATCGGACAGACATCAATGAGTGTGAGATCCCAGCACTGGCGGGTTTATGTGCAGATAATGCCGAATGTTGTAACCTACCTGGGCATTTTGTTTGTAAATGTAAACCTGGATTCACAGGCAATGCAACCGTTTCCTGCACAGGTATTATACAATGTTTTTAATATAAGTTTTTTTTTGTTGATAAATCATCTTTTGTCATTTATATAGTTTTTTTTGTAAAGTTATAGTAAATAATTAAAAATTATTTTTTTAACAAAGATATCGACGAGTGTGTGAATCCAAGTACTTGCGGAAGGGGTGCCATTTGTGAGAACCTTGCGGGCAGTCATAGCTGTCACTGTCCACTTGGCTTTGAAGGAGACCCTGCAGTGGAATGTTGGGGTGAGTTAACTGTCATTTACTATAAGTCCCATAGTTTTCAATTTATGATTACTGTAATTCCCATACATTACTACATTAAATATTATATAACGAGCAATGAATAGTAAGAGCTATGACTTTCAATAAATTGTATAAATAGTAACTTAGAGACCAATTATAAGTTTTGAAAATATAATCAAAGCATTACATAACTGGTGTGAGTGTAGTAGTGTTGGACGGAGTGGTCTGACCGCTAATATTATAAGCATTTATGTTATTATATACTAAACTTGTTTTTTTTGTTTTAAGTTTTTGCTTTCAAAACTTAATAACTTATTACTGTATTATTAATAAATGTAATGCTCTTTACTGCCGATACTATCATTTGCGATACAATATTGTTTTTTTGCAAATAACTCTAGTTTACCAATAATTTATAATTTACATAAACAGCTCTCAGACTTCATTAATTATATTATTTTCAACAAAAATTAAAACTTTTAGCAACAATTGCTATACCTTTTAATTATAAGCTTAATTTTTATTGAATTAATACTTGGGAACAAGTCTAACAACAATAGAAAAAGCAGTCAAACATTTAATCTATGAATACATAAAAGTAATCATTATTTAATAGTGTTGTATACTGTTGTATACATTTTTATTTTGAATATTTTATCTTAAGGTTAACTACAGGTTTTCACAAATTTCACTCTAAGGCTATTTCTCTGATTTCATGCTCTCTCTCTCTCTCTCTCTCTCTCTCTCTCTCTCTCTCTCTCTCTCTCTCTCTCTCTCTCTATCATTAAATGATTTAAGTTTAGCAAAATATCTCAAATTCAAATATATTTGGTAATCTTATTTTTGTCTTAATATTTTAGGCATTATGTAAGTTATATTGTATTACTTGAGTTCACATCAATTTTTTGTCCCTCATTTCAGAGAATTTCAATTGATTTAACACAAAATTATGAATATATAAGATTATATAATTATATATATATTTATATATATAAGAGAAAGTCATAAACAATTTTAAATTATAGAAAGAAAACTTTACTGTATATAAATGTATTGAAAGTATAGATTATAATTTTATTAAACATTTTACTATTTGTTTGCCAATACTTTTATTGTTTTATAACTCTTTTTATGGCAACATAAGAATATTTTAACTGCTATTTGCCAACTATTTTTGTTAACAATTATAGATATTGACGAATGCAAAGTCAATCCCTGTGGTCCCGGAGCCCTCTGTACAAACATACCGGGCAGCTATGAATGTAGTTGTCCGTCTGGATATAGAGGCAATCCTACACCGGCTGATGGTTGCATTGATGTGGATGAATGTACCACAAGTGTGACACCTATTTGTGGTACAGGTGCCAATTGTGTTAACACACCCGGAGGTTACTTCTGTCAATGTCCTACAGGTAATAACAAAAGTCACTCAAATATTTTTTTACAATATATAAACTACAAATAGATATTGATATTAATCACACAAATCATAAACTGATATAAACCAACAAATACTTAAATACATCTAAAATTATAGTATTCTTATGTCTAATTTATTATAAACATAATAAAAAATACATTATATTAAACCCGGTATAAAGATTTAAAGCATAATATCAATTAATTACAGCTATTTCTAACAATCTCAACCCAAAGGCGATTTTTAAAATATTTTTTTTAATATTACTTTATAAAAAAAATTATTTGAAGACAAAATAAAAAATTAATGTTTTTGAAGATCATTGAGAATTAACATTAGGAGGTCTTCAATGAAATGAATGTTTTTTTCTAAGTTTATAAGTCGAAGAATATCTTCATCTCTAAGATGTTTTGTAATTTGCCTCAAATGTGTTGCTTTGTATTAATCAATCACTAAATAAATTCACTGAACTTTAGTTTGAACTCAAAAAATAATTTTAATATTAAAGTATTTTATATTTGTATTAATGTAGTATCAGTAATAATGTACATATACTCTATTAAAAGTTTTCTATTGTTTTATTTTACAAAAGATTATTTTTTGAAGTAATATTTTTAAACATTTGCTTTTATAAAATTATAATTTTTTATAAACATTCTACAAAGTTGCCAAATATTAAATTAAATATAATGTTTATATTAATAATACAATTCAATATACAGTAAATAGTGATCAATATTAAATTGAAAGTCTTTAGTTATATACAGTATGAAAATTTATATAAAATTTATTTTTTATAACAATTAAAGTTTTAACTGTAAAAATGATGGATTAAGTATACAATATCATTATTTACTGTATATAGAAAGTCATTGAAATATTTTCCGTAATATTTATTAAAAAAAAGTGAAGTTTAATTAAGTTTATATTTATTTGGAGTCTTGCCATGACTTCAATTTAATTTAAAACATTGAGTTGAGACTAAAATAAGTAAAAATATAGTTAACGCTTGATTTGGAAAATACGAGACAATTATAATTTGATTGTTATATAATTTTTTTATTTTCTGTCTCTTTATTGACAAACAGGATATACCGGTAATCCAAAAGTCAGTTGTTTGGGTGAGTAATATAACTATTAATGTAAATGTAATTTAGTTATAATTTAGTGAAATAATGTCAAATGTCATACAATAGACGTCGACGAGTGTCCGCATTCATGCGGTGCTAACACTCACTGCCAGAACACACTCGGAAGCTATTTGTGCGAATGTAAGGCCGGCTTTGTTGGTGACCCCTATCTATCAGCCGGTTGTGTGGGTAAGCAGTCAATCATTGAATTCAATTATTGTGTTTTCACTTCAAATATTATTATTATTTTTATATAAAGACGACGACGAATGTCTTCGACCAAACACTTGTGGTCTTAATACTGATTGCTATAACACTTTGGGTTCCTATCAATGCCAGTGTAGTGTCGGTTATACTGGAAATGCAGGACTTGTTTGCGCCGGTATATAGCATAGCATTTAATAAAAATATTTTATTTAAATATAATATTTAATTTAATTTATTATTATTATACATAGATATCGATGAATGTCTACAAAGTCCATGTGGTGCCGGTGCTCAATGTATTAACTCTGCCGGGTCATATTACTGCCAATGTCCCGATAAATATGTTGCCCGGGGAACACCTGATTTGGGTTGCGATCGGGCAGCAGTGGACGTGTCGTGTAAATTTGATTACGACTGTACTGAAAATGCTGGATGTATTGATGGGTCGTGTCGTTGTAAAATTGGTTACCAGATCAGTGGCATTGAGTGCATTGGTATTCATTTATTATTTTAATAACTTATCCCATCATTTGGTGTTAATATTAATGAATGAATATATTGAATGTAATATAGATGTAGACGAGTGTATGAACCGAAATATATGTGGCATTAATGCTAAATGTGTTAACACTTTGGGTGGTTATGAATGTGACTGCAAAGCGGGATACGAAAAGATTGAGTTGACGTCAAAGAGCCGGTGCAGAGACACCAATGAATGTGTTTTCGGGCGATTCCCGTGCGGTGTAAATACTAAATGTATTAACACTGATGGCAGCTATAAATGCATTTGTAAGGATGGCTTCATTGGCAACGCCACCATTGGCTGCAAATGTAAGTCAAACATATAATTAATTAATGTTTAATTAATTCAAGTGCTGTCTGCAGCTCCATGTGATGGAGTCAACTGTGGTAAACACGCCATATGTCAGGTGAATGGCATTGAGGCCGCCTGTGTTTGCGATCAGGGCTTCACTTTCGATCCCAACAATATAGCTCTGGGATGTATCGGTCAGTGACCTCACGCTATAAACCCATTCACTTAATCAAAGTTTTCGTGTAATCTCAACATATTTCTCATAATTATAGATATAAACGAATGTGATTCTAGTCACGGCCCCTCAGGTCTGTGTGGACAGGGAGCTGTTTGCAATAATGTACTCGGAAGCCATCACTGTCATTGCCCACCAGGTCTTATATCTCATTTCTGAGACAACTAAAACTACCCATTCATTACTTATTTAAATTTTATTATCCTTAGGCTTTACCGGAGATCCATTTCGCTATTGTGAAGACATTAATGAATGCGACCGACGTTTTGGTACATTCGGACAGTGCGGCGAAAACTCAATTTGTACCAACTCTTTAGGCTCATACCAATGTTCGTGTCCGTCAGGATTTACTGGCAATGCTAGAGATAAATGTGTTGACATTAATGAGTGCTCACAAGTGTTTGGACCCAACGGAAAGTGTGGTTTTTCTGCCGTCTGTACTAATACTATCGGTAGTTTTAGTTGTCGGTGTCCACCGGGAAGTCATGGCGAACCATTTACCCGATGCGTTATCGAGACATTCTGTGACTCCAAGACAGGCTGTTCTGGAAATGCCATTTGTAAGAACAACAGATGTGTTTGTCCGCCGCCTTTCTTTGGCGAGGGATGTAAACGTAAGTTCATTAGTGGCTTAGTTGGTGTGACTATCATTTCTTATCGCTAATCGATTGACTTTACATATCTATAGATCCCTGCGATCAGCTATTTTGTGGCGAACACGCAAAATGTCAATTGGACTCAAATGGCAATCCTTTATGTGTTTGTGCCGAAGGCTATGAAGGAAAAAGTAATAGTCTTCCCGGTTGTGTCGGTAAAGCATTATATTATTATTATTTTGATTTTTTAATTAAATTTTTGAAAGTCAATAAAACAATTAATTATTTACTCTCTGTTTATCAATTTGCAAGACATTGACGAATGTGGGAACAATCCGTGCGGACAGAATGCTGTCTGTCGTAATACTCCCGGTTCTTATGAGTGTATTTGTCCGCATAATTTCAGAGGTGATCCATATTCTGAATGTTCTATTGAAGGTAACAAATGATTCATCAAAATCTTTCAAATTTTATTAAATGTAATTTTATATAATAATTATTTATTTATATATATATTCAGGAAAAGAGAGACTTGAGTGCTCTGATACCAACCCGTGTCCTCTCAATGAGGAATGTGTCGAAAACAACAAAACACATCAATGTGTTTGCAGAAGAGGTTATATTCGGGATGCTGTGGGCGAACAGTGCAGAGGTTTGTTGTAATAAAATTAAAAAATAATATTTAATTTATAATTGAATTTCATATGAATGACTTAAACAATAGATGTGAATGAGTGCACAGAACTGACCAAATCTGCGTGTGGTCTGAACGCCTTCTGTACAAACCTTGACGGAGGGTTTGTGTGTCATTGTCCCACTGGTTATACCGGAAACTCATATTCTGTCTGCTATCCGGATCGTTAGTTTTTTTTAAAAATTAAAATAATATTTTATATTTAGATAACATACTTATTGTATTTAATATTAATATAGTAATGAAATGTGAAAAAGACAAAGAATGTCCGGGAAATACCGTTTGTATCAATGATACATACGATGGCAAACACTGTGGCTGTCAAACACCGTTTGTTAGAGAAGGAGATTATTGCATATGTATTATAATATTCATGATTTTTCAATTTTAAGTATATTTTGTTAATAATATATTAATTTATTATATCCAGTGTTGAGCCGAAATTGTTCGACAGTTAATACTTGTCCTCAAAATCAAGAGTGCATTTACTCGGGTTCAGGCTATGGATACTGTATTTGTCCAAAAGGTTTCACACTTGAAGCCAATGGCTTTTGTAGAGACATCAATGAATGTGAAGAAATGAATGAATTTGAATTATGTGGATCTAATACTGAATGTGTTAACCTACCTGGGTCTTATGAATGTCTGTGCTCACCCGGGTATTCTGGTGTCGGTAAACAAGGATGTACCAGAATATGTAAGTTTTTTTATTGACATTTGTAATTATTTATTTTTTGTTTAAAATTTATTTATTTATTACTATTTTAAAGACCAATCGTGCGAAAAGGATACTCAATGTCCAACAAATTATAAATGTCAACGAAAATGGTGTGAATGTATGCCTCCATTCATATTGGATGGACAGTCATGTAGACGTATGTAATCTGAAATTATTTGTAGATTCAATAAATCTAATGCCAATAACATTTGCATCAGATCCATGTGATTGGCATCAATGCGGTCAAAATGCCGAGTGTACATTAGGACCAAATGGACCACAATGTCGATGCAAACCGGGTTGTACTGGAAATGCTAACACTGGATGCACGGGTTTGTATTTATGAAACTATAAATTATTTATTGAAATGTTTGCTAATTTCATAATTTGTTGTATTTGTAATTAATAGATATTAACGAGTGTACCTCTCACTTACCAATTGATCCCAATGGTCCCTGTGCTGTATCAGCCATTTGTGTGAATGTTTTGGGCAGTTATAAGTGTGAGTGTCCTTCTGGAGCTGATGGCGATCCGTACACTTCGGGATGTTTTGGTCCATCGCGATGTGATTCCAACCAATATTGTCCGGACGATACAGTTTGTGACAGACAGGCAGGTGTTTGTGTTGACGCCTGCTTTTCTGCAGTTTGTGGACCTAATACTGATTGTTTGTCTGTCAAACATGAGGCCAATTGTCAATGCAAACCTGGCTTTACTGGAAACCCCAATGATTTAATTCAAGGCTGCGTCAGCCCCTGTACTAACGTCTGGTGCAGTATTAACGCTCAGTGTATTGTCAACAGCGAAAATATAGGAGTCTGTCAGTGTATGTCTGGTTTCAATGGAAATCCATGGGCTGGAGGGGGATGTTATCCAGATTCAGGATGTTCTTCAAGCAAACCCTGTGTTGACGGACAAGAATGTATTGATGGCAAGTGCTTAGAGAAGTGCAGTGATAGCAAGTGTGGAGTGGGAGCCAAATGTGATGTTCACACCAATCAATGCAAATGTTTGCCATTCTTTGTTGGAAATCCAGACATTCTGTGTGCGCCACCGCTTCCATCGCCGCCCTTATGTAACCCGGGCTGTGGTCTTAACTCTCACTGCACTTACTCGACACCAAACAAATGTGTCTGCAATTCAGGTTACAGTGGAAACCCATACAAGTCATGTACATCAGTGCCCAGATGTGATAATATAGTTTGTGGTCACAGCGCTACCTGTCTTGAAGGCGCCACAAGTGTTGAGTGCATCTGTCCGGCAGGACTTCACGGCAACCCATATCTTGGCTGTGAAGATATCAATGAATGTCTTCAGGGCAATCCATGTGGAACCGGTGCCAACTGTATTAATGTCATCGGAAGCTTTCAATGTATATGTCCTTCGGGTTTCATTGGCAATCCATTCTATGCCTGTCAACCACCCCGTGAAGCCGGTATCGGTGATCAAATAGCAGGCATAGGATCTCCCTGTTCGACAACATTTAACTGTCCGACTGGCGCCGTATGTTTCCGTGGTGTATGCGCTCAACCCAACGCTTGTAAACATGACTCCCAGTGCGAACATAACAACGCTTGTAATTATGTTAACAAAGAGATTGGATACCAATGTGTCGATCCCTGCGATACAACTCAATGCGGACCCAATGCTTATTGTATTAGTACTGAACATAAGCCCATCTGTTACTGTAAAGACTCGCATACGGGTGACCCACACGATCTCGACAAGGGATGCACTTCAAGAACTTTTCAACAAACTATTATTAGCTGTACTGTTGATGACGAATGTTCTGAAGGATTTGTTTGCAAGCAATCAGTTGATGGCCAGAAAAGATGTTCAGACGTGTGTTCAGGCATACAGTGCGGACCAAATGCTATTTGTCAATCACTGGGACGAAGACCAGAGTGTAATTGTTTAGATAATTACGACGGAAATGCTTACGATCTTCATAAGGGTTGTAATCCTCCGCTTTGTAGAGAAGATGGCGACTGTCATCCGGACGAAACATGTGTTCTTCTGTCTCAAGGAATCAGAGATTGTCAAAGTGTTTGTAAAGACTTTCAGTGCGGTATTAATGCCATTTGTCGGGGAACGGGTCACACACCTTACTGTGAATGTCGTCCTAACTTTATTGGTGACGCTTATGACAATCGCTTTGGATGTCATCCGTTGGCCGTTACCTGTGCTGATGACTCCAGTTGTCCTGATTCACAAGCGTGTCGTCGTATAGCTAATGGACTTAAAAATTGTACCGATATTTGCGTTAACGTTAGATGTGGTCTAAATGCACATTGTGTTGGAAGAGGTCATCAAGCAGTTTGTGAATGTTTACCCGGTTTTATAGGCGATGCCATTAGAAGCTGTCAGAAACCACCACAACATTTGTGCGATAGAGACGATCAGTGCTCTCACGACAAGAAATGCATTTTAACCAATGAAGACATCAGAGACTGTGTCGACATATGCTTTGGCCATACATGCAGTGAAGGCGCGCATTGCGTCGGTAAGAATCATAGACCTCATTGCGAGTGTCTTCAGGGATACACACGAATCACTGGCGACTCGAGTGGTGCCTGTGCTCCCAATCTGTGCCAATCAGATCGTGAATGCAAAGACGATCAGATCTGTACGACAACCAGAAAAGGAGTACTCGATTGCGTTGACGTCTGTCAGACAATCAGATGTGGTCCTAACGCACAGTGCGCTCCCATTGACCACACGGCCAGTTGTCAATGCAAACTAGGATTCATTGGTAATCCTAATGACTTGTTAAAAGGCTGTTCACCTAAAGACAAGTGCGCTTCCAATACTGATTGCAAGACAATAGAAGTTTGTCAACTAACCCAAAATGGTATCAAAGATTGTATTGATGGCTGCAGTAGTAATCTATGCGGACCCGACACTATCTGTTCCACTAACAATCAGTTCGTTTCCTGCACTTGTAAAGAGGGATACACTGGTAGACCAGGCGATGGAACTGTTGGTTGCTATAGAATGCCTCACGAGTGTGATAGTGATGATACCTGTCCTTCCAATGCTGTCTGTGTTGGAGGACCTAATGATATCAACCAATGTAAGGACCCGTGTGAGCACTTGTTGTGCGGTGAGAACGCCCTGTGCTCGACGTTCAATCACAGGGCACAGTGTGCCTGTCGTAAGGGATTTGTTGGCGATCCCTCACATATGTGTATTAATCCGGATGAATGCAAATCAGATGAAGACTGTTCATTAGATAGTGTCTGCAGAACCGATACGGCAAACACTCGCAAGTGTGCCAACGCTTGTCTTTATGTCAAATGTGGTAAAAACGCAATCTGTAGATCAAATAATCATAAGACACAATGTTTCTGCTCCTCTGGATTCGATGGCGACGCCTACGATCTCATTCATGGCTGTCAAACCTTAAGAGTTAATCTATGCGAAGCAGACATTGAATGTAAGGCCACTCATGCGTGCCGTCAAAGCTTATCGGGAATTTTGGATTGTGTCGATGCTTGCGATGGATTCAATTGTGGTCCCAATGCAGTCTGCAAAGCAGTCAACCATAAGGCTCACTGTCAATGTCTTCCCGGATATGTTGGAGATGCAGATAATGTACTCAATGGTTGTCGACAAAGGGAAACCAACGAATGCGAGTTTGATATCGACTGTCGACAGCCAACAGATGTGTGCAAACCTATGAATGACGGACTCAAGAAATGCTTCAATGCGTGTCAGTTCACCAATTGTGGCTCAGGATCTAATTGTGTGGCCTCTAATCACACGGCATTTTGTGAATGTATTGGAGGATTCGTAAGAGATGCCAATGGTATTTGCATACCAAAGGCTAATGAGTGTAATCAAGACTCTCACTGTCCGACATACGAGTCCTGCAGATCCACACCGTTTGGTAATCTCAAGTGTGCCGAAGCTTGCATTGACTTTACTTGTACTCCCAATTCACGGTGCGTTTCACTACAACATAAAGGTCAGTGCAAATGTGATGCCGGCTTTACTGGCGATCCTCAGAGCAGAGCTGGTTGTCTTCCGATTCCTATTCATGGATGCGATGCTGATATCGACTGCGCCAACTCTAACGATGTCTGTCAACCAGACATTAATGGTATTCGCAAATGTATTGACGGTTGCTCTCACTTCGAATGCGGCAAAAGCGCCGTTTGTATTATGATTAACAGACATCCTGAATGTCGGTGTCCACAAACCGGTCTCTATGTCGGCAATGCATATGACCAAAGTAAAGGTTGCCGACGGGTAGAGTGCATAGCAGATCGCGATTGTGCCGACAATAAGGCCTGTTCTAATCAGAACTACTGTTTCGATCCGTGTATTAACGGTTGTGGCGCTAATGCCGTTTGTGTGGCTCAGGCACATAGTCCTAACTGCAGATGTCTTTCTGGATACGCTGGCGATCCCTATAGTACTGGATGTGTTGCTTTAAGACTATGCGATTCTAATCCATGCCATCCATTAGCTCAATGTGTTGACTCTCACGGCTCCTATACATGCAAATGTCCGCCAGATTTTATTGGAGATCCCAATGACAAAAGTATTCGCGGCTGTAGACACCCTAACTCGTGTCCAAACGGCAATAAGGACTGTCCGTCAAGCGCTGCCTGTCTTCCAGACCCGACTGGTATATTGCTTTGCAAGAATGCATGTGAGCGCATGCAGTGCGGACCTAATGCTGTCTGTGTGACCCGCAATCACGAACCGTCCTGTATATGTCCCGATAATTTCAAAGGAGAAGCCGATTCACTTGGAGGTTGTACTCGCATCTCACGACTGTGTACTTCAAATCCTGATTGTGGTGACAGTCAGGCCTGTGTTGATGGTCAGTGTCGGTTCGTGTGTACGGTAGACACTGAATGCGCTTCTGGAGAACGATGTGTTGACAACTTTTGCGTGAAGGCATGTATAGTTCACGACAGTTGTCCCCCGAACGAGGCCTGTGTATCAAAGGGTTACTGTAATATTGGTTGTCGAGACAACTCTGAGTGTGCCTCAGATCAGGCATGTATTCAGAATAGATGTCAGAATCCGTGCGAAATCAAGAGTATTTGCGGATCAAATGCTTTGTGTTCGGTAATCAATCACAACCTGACGTGTGGTTGTGTTTCAGGCTTTGAAGGCTATCCCACAGCTATACTCGGCTGCCGAAGAAAAATTATCGATTGTCTTGACAACACTGGCTGTCCAATTGGTCATTCGTGTCACGGACTTGTATGTCGAGCTCCCTGTTCTGAGTGCGTTGAGGGCGAGAAATGTATTAATAATGCCTGTGCTATGACCTGTTCTTCAGATAGTAACTGTCCGACAGGTGAAGTATGCAGTAATCACATCTGTATATCCGGTTGTCGTTCAGACGGTGATTGCAGTATTAATCAAATCTGTGCAAACACTCAATGTGTTTGTGTTCCGGGATTTGAATACAAGACAGGACTGGGATGTGTTGACATCAATGAATGCGTTATCAATCCGTGTCACGAAACAGCCATTTGCGAGAATATCGCTGGAAGTTATCGGTGTATGTGTTCTGAAGGAGAAATCGGTGACGGAATCACTGGTTGTCAGAACCCGGGAGAGTGTCCGCGAGGAGACTCTGACTGTCCGCCGAACGCCGCGTGTAGAAGCGATTTCAATGGTTTGTCAAAATGTGTCAATCCATGTGATATCAATCCCTGTGGACCGCACTCTATCTGTACAGTTGCTAACCATCAGGTACTTTGCAAATGTCCTGAAGTTGGCTTTTATACCGGAGATCCGTATAACAGACAAAATGGATGTCAGAAAGTTGACTGTCTTCACGATGCCGACTGTCCGTATGACAGACAATGTGTGAACTTTAACTGTGAGAATGCCTGCGATAGCGTTGATTGTGGTCCTTATGGAACGTGTGTTATTCGTGACCGTCAGGCGGCCTGTCGTTGTGAACAAGGATTTGAAAATAACGGACGCCTTATTTGTGTGGACATTGATGAGTGTCGACTTCATCCGTGTCATAATACAGCCATTTGCGAGAACACACCGGGAAGTTATAGCTGTAAATGTCCGCTCAATTTGGTAGGCAATGCATACACACAACAAGGGTGTCATGAACCCGATGTCTGCTATAACGGAGATTCCGATTGTCCCGATTCTGCTACGTGTATACTCGTAGCTGGAGTTCCCAAATGTAGAGATCGTTGCAATGATCCGACTGTTTGCGGAGTAAACGCCAGTTGTGTGACAGTACACCATAAGCCTCGCTGTTCGTGTCCAACAAATTATTTAGGAGATCCACACATCAGATGCGATAAAGTCGAGTGCACTACAAGTCTGGACTGTAGTAAACAAAGCGATGTTTGCTATGAAAACAAATGCATTAATGTCTGCCAGACATCAACCGCTTGTGGAGATAATGCTGTTTGTGTGCCACAGATTCACAGCTATACCTGTAAATGCAAAGAAGGATATTTCGGAGATCCAATCGCTGGTTGTCGTAAACGTCTTGCCTGTGATACTGATGACAATTGTCCGACTTCTCAATTCTGTTATATCGACCACTTTTGCCGTATATCCTGCAGTTCTCACAGAGACTGTGCTCACAATGAAAGATGTGAAAATGCTAAGTGTATTCAAGTTTGTCAATCAAACACTGATTGCGCTGAAGATTATCATTGCATTAACTGGAAGTGTATATCGAAGATTGAAAGTAAATGTCAAACGGATAATGAATGTGACGATCATTTGGGATGTCGAGCCGATCAAAGAGGACATACCGATTGTAGGGATATTTGCGAGAATGTTCTTTGCGGACGAAACGCCGGCTGTCGGGTACGCAATCACACACCAGTTTGCGAGTGTTTGCCCGGATTTACTGGCAATCCTAATGACAACAAGTTTGGATGTAAAGCAATTGAATGTATTGACAATCAGGACTGTAAGGCCAATCAGGTCTGTTCCAAATACAACTGTGTCGATCCGTGTCGTCAACAGAAAATCTGTGGTGAAAACGCCTTGTGTTCAGCGGAACAACACTCAGCCGTCTGTCGTTGTCTTGAGGGCTTCGAAGGCGATCCTTTGGTTGGATGTATTGCAACTAACTATTGCGCTAAAAATCCTTGCCATCGGTCAGCCATTTGTAAGAACAAAATTGGTGGCTATGAATGTGTTTGTCCGGCAGAGAAAAATATTGGAACACCTTATGGTGAGCCGGGCTGTCGCGGACCTAATGAATGTCCAAATGGTAATTCCGATTGTCCACCAAATGCTGTCTGTGAGCCTGACTTTACAGGAAATCTGATTTGTCAGAATCCATGCGATAGACCACAAACTTGTGGACCAAATGCTATTTGCAGAATTGAAAACAGACAGAGCGTGTGTTCGTGTCCCGAGGCTTTTGCTGGAGATCCACACGACCATAGAAGAGGTTGCGTACGAATACCCACCACTTGTATCACAGATAGAGAATGTACTTCTGGAATGGTTTGTGAATTAGGTCGATGTCGACCTCCATGTCATTCTGCCAAAGATTGCGCTCTTAAAGAAATTTGTTCCGAAAGTCGCTGTGTATTAGGCTGTTCTACTGATGAGGAATGTCTTTCGGGAGAAATCTGTTCAAACAGGAAATGTCAGTTCGGATGTCGTATAGATAACGATTGTCTGTACAAAGAGGCCTGTATTTTGAACAGCTGTAAGAACTTGTGCGATACGCCTACTTCTTGTGGAACCAATGCTATGTGTAATATGATATCCCATCAGCCGGTATGCAGCTGTCCGGTCGGCTTCTCGGGCGACGCAAAGCTTTCGTGTACTCGAGTAATGCGAATGTGTTTGTCAAACAATGACTGTCCTCACAATTATTTCTGTACTGAAGGCAAATGTAAACCCGAATGTGTTTCAGATAAAGACTGTGCTTTAGGAGAGAAATGCTTTGGAGGCTTCTGTGCTCTTCTCTGTCGACACGACAGCGAATGTCAATACAATGAGATCTGTAATCAAAACCGATGTCAAACTGGATGTCGATCTAATAGCCAATGTAGTGATCATCTTATATGTACAAGAAATCAATGTATGGATCCGTGCGAAGGAAGTGCCGCTTGTGGTCCAAACGCTTTATGCAATGTTGTCAATCACCGAATCACATGTAGTTGTCCGCCGATGTTTGTGGGCCGACCCACTGCTAATGTTGGTTGTATGAGGGAATCAATCTCCTGTATGTCAAACATTGATTGTCACACTTCCGGCCATTTCTGTGCAAACACCAGGTGTCGACCCACGTGTAGCGCTAACAAAGACTGTGCGGTCGATGAGAAGTGTATGAATGGCAGATGTCATATACATTGTACTAAAGACAGAGACTGTCCGTCCAGTGAAATATGTCTGCAAAACACTTGTAATGTTGGCTGTCGTTCCGATTCAGACTGTGCCTCATCTGAGACCTGTATCAACAATCTATGTATAGATCCATGTGCTTCGCCAACTGCTTGTGGCACAAATGCCATCTGCAGTGTCGGGCAACACGAGAAGATCTGTTCGTGTAAAGAAGGATCCATTGGTAATGCATATGTTGAATGCGTACGAATGACAACATCTTGTGGTCCACTCGACACGTGTCAACTCGGAAGCAGATGTGAAAACTCTGTCTGTCGGCTGCAATGCTCTTCAGATAACGAATGTTTTGACAATGAGAAATGCATAGACAGACTCTGCAGTATTATCTGCACCATTGATGATGTCTGTCCACAAGGCTTTGTCTGCGATGGTGGCAGATGTGTGTCTGGATGTCGATCAGATGCTGAATGTCCGTCAAGCGAGTCATGTATTAACCGAAAATGTATGAATGTATGCGCCAGTCCTACAGCCTGTGGAAGTGACGCCATATGTAATGGTGTGAATCATCAGCCATTCTGTTCGTGTCCAACAAGATATACGGGTAATCCAAAGATTGCTTGCAAACGAATGGATTGCGTGGTTGATGTTGATTGTGGATCGGGAAAGATATGTCAAAACTATAAATGCATTGCCGGCTGCAGATCTGATGGTGGATGTGCTGATGACCAGAGCTGTATAAGTCTTCAGTGTACTAATCCCTGTTTGTTTAGTGGTGTTTGCGGTGAGAATGCCGTCTGTAGAGCTAAGAATCATCAGCCGTTCTGTTCGTGTTCGCCACCATTTGAAGGCAATCCCGCTATTCGTTGCATTCTTCCGGCACAAGAAGCCATATCTTGTAAAACAGACTCTGACTGTTCAATCGATAAGTTCTGTATTCATCGACAATGTATTACACGATTCGAGTGCAGTGCAGATAAAGACTGTGCTGTCGGACACATCTGTGTGAAAGGCAAATGCTTTAGCGGTTGTCGACGGGATGAAGACTGCGCTCTTGATATGACATGCTTTTCACAACAATGTCAAAGTCCATGCAGTTTTAGAGGCGCGTGTGGTGTCAACGCAGAGTGCGTGCCATTCAATCATCGATCGAAGTGCACGTGTCCACCAAATTATACGGGAAATCCTGACACACAATGCTTAGAATTACCGACCTGTCGTCGTAATGAAGACTGTCCTATTGGTTATGTGTGTCAGAGCGGCAAATGTTCGGTAATATCGGGATGTGTTTCCGACAATGAGTGTCGTCCGTCAGAGATCTGTGAAAATAGTCGTTGCGTTGATGGCTGTCGAAGCAATAGTGACTGCGATTTTACCAAAGCTTGTATTAACAGATTATGTATCAATCCGTGCAATGTTAAGGTATGCGGCACTAACTCCCTGTGCATTGCCATCAATCACGACGGTATTTGTCGCTGTCCTGAGAGCTATACTGGAGACCCAACCATCTCGTGTCAAGTGGAACAGGAAGAATGTTATGTAGACACGGATTGTGGATCTGAGAAGATATGTGTCAGTAATCGCTGTTTAATAGGATGTCGCTCTGATATCAACTGTCCGTTTGATAAGTCTTGTAGCAACAGAAGATGTACTGATCCGTGTTCAGTACAAACGTCCTGTGGTTTTAATTCGCTTTGTAAGGCCATTAACCACAAGTCCGAGTGCTCGTGTCCGCCCAACTTTCAGGGAGATCCCAAAGTTCATTGTATTGAAAGGAAAACACCTGTCGATACATACGAGTGCGATGAAGATAGTCATTGTGGACCCGGAAAAGTATGCGAACAAAACTATTGTGTGTCACTCCAGAAGCAATGTTATAGCGATACCGCTTGTAATCCGGGAGAGATCTGCGATAATGGCAATTGTATTACTGGTTGTCGTCGAGATTCTGACTGTACCTTTGATAAGGCCTGTTATAACAGCAAATGCGTGAACCCATGTACTGTCCAAACGCCGTGCGGACAGAACGCCATTTGCCAACCAGTACTACACAGACCTCAATGTCGCTGTCCGTTCAACTTTGAAGGAAACCCTTACGACTACTGTAAAGCCATTACAAAACTACCGACTCATGAATGCACTGTTGATAAGGACTGCAATTTAGGCTATCTATGCGAACAAAATGTTTGCATAATTGGCTGTAAATTTAATGATAATTGTCAACAGGACAGGGCTTGTCTTCACAAACAATGCCTAAACCCATGCGATTATCCGGACTCTTGTGGTGCGAATGCCATTTGCTCTACAGTTGGTCACCGACCGAGATGTTCATGTCCTCCTGGTTTTACTGGTGACGCTAATATTCAGTGCACACCTGTTATAATACCGGTGTGTCTGCAGGACGGAGATTGCGGAACGGGACAGATATGCGAAAACGGAAAATGCATTGACGCGTGTCGTACAGATGACACGTGCTCTTACACAATGGCCTGTATTAATCAACGTTGTCAGGACCCGTGCAGTGTATTTGGCGCGTGCGGTCGTAACGCGTTATGTCAATCTGAGAATCATAGAGCAGTTTGTAACTGTCCTCCAGAGTTTAGTGGAGATCCCGGTGCGATCTGTGAACGTGAAGACTCTCATCAACTCTTGACTTGTGTTGGTGATCATGAGTGCGCTTTTGGTTACATATGTGAGTCGGATAGTTGTCTGGAAGGCTGTCGTAACGATGACCAGTGCATACCCGACCAGACTTGTTATAACAGAATTTGTAGGAATCCATGCGAATACCCGAACGCGTGTGGAATCAATGCCGACTGTTCTTCTAACGCTCACCGACCGGTCTGTTCCTGTCATTCGGGATTTATTGGTGACCCTCATGTTGAATGTCGACCACTTCAAGACGTTAAAGAATGTCAAACTGACAATGAATGCGGTAATCGATTGGTCTGCGAAAGCAATCGTTGTATTATAGGTTGTCGTAATAGTCAGAGCTGTGGTCTCGAAGAAACGTGTATTAATGGCATTTGTCAAAACCCGTGCAGTCTTTTTGGTGTTTGCGGTCGCAATGCTATCTGTAAACCATTCAATCATACGGCTCTCTGTTCGTGTCCTTCGGGACTTAAAGGAAATCCAAACGTTGTTTGTACTGAAGCTCCGCCACAATGTCTTAAAGATAGCGAATGTGTTTTGGGACAGATTTGTGAAAATACTCAGTGTATATCTGGATGTCGTCTCGACAATAACTGCCACGAAGACCGCGCTTGCATTCATGGCATTTGTCAAAATCCATGTCTATTACCGAACAGTTGTGGAGTCAATGCCAACTGTCAGCCATTTAATCATAGATCTCGTTGTGAATGTATTGTTAATTATAGAGGAAATCCATTCGTTAAATGCGAGCCAAGTATGAGATTTGAAATATATTTATTTAATTTTAACATTTTTAACGAATTTAACACTTATATCAGTTCCCGACGATTACTGTGAACAGGACGCTGCCTGTCCTTTGGGAAAGATATGTGAAAACAATCGATGCATCGGTTAGTTTAGCTATCAATTCGTTAGTTTACTTAATTTAAACAATTATTTTATCAATGAATCAGATGGCTGTAGAAATGACGCCAACTGTCGCTTCGAGGAATCATGTATTGCAAAGACGTGCCAAAATCCATGCAATTTGTTTGGCGCGTGCGGTGTCAACGCAGTTTGCAAACCATTAAATCACGACAGGATTTGCACGTGTATTCCCGATTCTACCGGTGATCCAAAAGTTTTATGCGAACGAATTCTACCCCCACCTGAATGTATATCTGACCCTCAATGTCCTCTCGAGCATATCTGCCAAAACCAACGATGCAGTTGTGAGTATTTCTCTCATAAAATCATATTGTATTTGATCTCAATATCATATAATAATTGTATTTATTATAATACAGATGGATGTCGATCATCGAGTCATTGTCCAACAGATAAGGCTTGTATTAAAAGCAAGTGTACGAATCCGTGCAGTCATAGTGGCGCGTGCGGTAAGGAAGCCATCTGTTCGGCTGCCAATCATGTGGCTGTCTGTAGCTGTCCGAGTGGTTATAGAGGTGATCCTGATGTTGAATGTAAAGGTTTGTTATAATTTCATAGCAATTTCATATAACTGTACGTCAAATATATATAATAATTATATTAATGACTGTAATTGTATTGTATATACAGAAATACCTCCCGAGTGTCGCAATGATGATGATTGTGGTCTCGAGAGAATTTGTTTGAAGCAGAAATGCATTGGTATTTATAATCATTTATTATTAATTTTGATGATTTGTTAGTTTAATATTATTATTATTTTGTTCAGTCGGGTGTCGAATGCATAACAACTGTCCCTTCGATAAGGCCTGTGTTAACGGTTTCTGTCAGAGTCCGTGCAGTATTGGAGGAATGTGTGGAGTAAATACCATTTGCAGAGCTGAGAAGCATGAGGCCCAATGCTCATGTCTGCCCGGATATACTGGTGACCCATTGAGACAATGTATTAAAGTATCGTTTGAATGTGAAGTCGACAAAGATTGTGGAAATGGATACGTTTGTGCCAATCAAGAGTGTAAAGATATTAATGAGTGTCTCAAAGAACGAGTGCCTTGTGGTCCCGGAGCAAGTTGTACTAATTTACCAGGATGGTTTAAATGTTCATGTCCTATGCCATTAGTTGGAGATGCTTACGGACCACTAGGATGCAGATCACCCCTTCCTGTTTGTACTCAAGACTCCGATTGTAAAACTGAACAAAAGTGTAATCCCGTCACTCAAGAATGTTACGGTTTGTGACAAATAAAAAAAAAGTTATTTATTATTTTGTAATTATTTATAATTATTATTTTTAATAGACATCTGTTCGCGACCCGGTGTGTGTGGTAAAGGAGCCATTTGTAAAGCCGTCAATTCAAAAGCTGACTGCTATTGTCCGTCCGGTTATAGAGGAAACCCAAATGTCGAGTGCTCTATTCGTATGTTAACCATTATATTATATTTATAATGTTATAACTTATATATATACCGGTATATACTGTATATTAACAAAAATGTATATTTAGGTGACTCCTGTACCAGTAATACTGACTGTCCGGGAAATTTGCACTGTTTGGGTGACTTCTGCAGTTGTCCGAAACCATTTCAACAGCTCTCCTCTTTTTGTATTTGTATGTATTATTATATACTGTATTAAAATTACTGTATGTTTACAACTAACTTGATTTCAAATCAATTAAATAGTGACGAGCGTTAACTGTTCTACAACTTCATTGTGTCCACAAAATCAAGAGTGTGTTTACAATCGGGGCAATGATATCACCGGATTCTGCATATGTCCGCGAGGTTTCGTTCTGACCACTGATGGATTCTGTAAAGATATCAATGAATGCGAACAACAAGCCTTTTCATGTGGTCCCGGAGCTCTCTGTACAAACACTATTGGCAACTTTAAGTGCAACTGTCCTCTTAGTAGTTCAGGCGATGCTTATGGTGAAGGATGTTTCGGTAAGTTTTATTATATTAAAATTGTAATACAGTATTAAATTTGTTAAATATCTAAAATATAAAAATACTTTAATTTTTTATCGATATTATTGAACAGCTGAAACACCACGACAAGAGTGTCTTCACGATTCTGACTGTCACGAAGATAAAGCTTGCATTGACTTCAGATGTTTGAGTATGTATTTTAATTAATATTTGTCTCTATAAAGTCTTGTAATATATATATATATTAATTGTTTATCTATTAGGTCCGTGTCTTGAGGACACTGAGTGCGGACAGAATGCCATTTGTTCAGTTGCTAACCACAGAAAAGAGTGTAAATGCAAACCATTGTATTTTGGAAATCCATATGAAATTTGTCGAAAACCAGTTGAATGTGTCTCAGATGGCAATTGTCCGGGAAATTTGCTTTGTTTACCCGACAACAAGTGTGGCTGTCCTCAAGATTTTGAAAGACAATTGGATTATTGTTCAAGTAATTATTAATTAAACAGTATTTAATATATAATATTCATTACCGTAATGTTATTTAATAAAATAATTTATAAACATTTACAGAGAAAAGCCAAAAATGTACGACAACTAACCCATGTCTCGCAAATCAGGAATGTATATATAGTGGAACGGGAAGTGGATTTTGTGTTTGTCCCCGAGGTTTTAGACTATCGCTGGATGGTCTCTGTGAAGGTATTAACTTTTAGATTATAATATATTTAAAATTAATATATTAATTATTTATTGTGTTTTATATAAAATTAGATATAAATGAGTGCATAGAAGAGCCACGAATAATATGCTCGAAGAATGCCACGTGTGTTAACCTCTTGGCTTCGTATGAATGCAAGTGTTTAGACCACTATGAAGGAGATCCATACAGAGACGGGTGTCGACTAATACCACCAATAATTAGGGGCTGTCGAGCAGATTCTGACTGTTCTCTCAATAAAAAATGTGACTTTTCTTTGGGAGAATGCTATGGTAAGCAATATTTCATTTGATTATAAGATTAATCTAACATAAAAATTTGCGTTCATTAGATCCATGTGCTGTTAGAGGACATCTAGAATATAAATGCGGACAAAATGCCATTTGTAGGACAGAGAACCATCAATCGGACTGTTATTGTCCTCCCGGACATGAAGGCAATCCCTTTAAATTATGTTTCAAGAAAATAGTTTGCGGTATTGACTATCACTGTCCCGGAAATCTTATTTGTTTGGACAGCAATACATGCGGTTGTCCGCAAAACTTCTATCGCGAAAATGATTACTGTTTTATCAAATCATCCAATTGTACGACAACTAATCCCTGTCCACTTAACGAAGAATGTGTTTATACCGGTAGTAGAAGTGGTTTCTGTGTCTGTCCTCACGGTTATGAGTTACATCCGAGCGGTGAATGTATTGATTTGAATGAATGCCAACACGTAACCTGCGGTTCCGGTGCTCTGTGTAATAATAAGCCGGGAGGTTATGAATGTAGTTGTCCGGTAGATACCATTGGCGACCCATATGTTAAGGGTTGTATACACATTGAGGGATGTCGTGCTGTTGATGACTGCGCCAATGATAGGGAATGTGATTTAGGAAGTAAACAGTGTATAAGTAAGTCTTTAGTTAAACTGTTTTAGTAAATAATTTATTAAAATATATTAATTGACAATTGATAGGTCCGTGTTATATATGTGGACCACATTCAGAGTGTACTGCACGCGACCATAAGGCCATTTGCACGTGTCCTAAGGGTCGTATTGGAGATGCCTATGATAAGAGTGTTGGCTGTTATGTAGAACCGGTCGAAATAGAGTCTCCGCGAACAATACCTCCCCCTTCGGAAATATTAGGTATGTATTTATATTATGATAATGTTTTTAATTTAGTAAATAAAACTAATTTATATAAATACTAATTTAAATGTTTTTCAATAGTTATGTGTTTGGCTGATGGAGTTCAAGTGTCAGTTCAATTGGACAGATTTGATGGAATTATATATGTCAAAGGTCACAGCCAAGACCCGCAATGTAAACGATTGGTGACCAGTGGTGAAGGAGATTCTATAGATTTCAAAGTCCTATTTGGTCACTGCGGGCTCATACATGTAGACGGAGAAGCGTCGTTTGTATTAATTATACAAAAACATCCAAAATTGGTAACTTTCAGAGCCCGTGCTTACCATATAAAATGCGTTTACAATACGGGAGAGAAGACTATAACATTAGGATTCAATGTCAGTATGATAACAACATCGGGAACTATTGCAAATACAGGTCCGCCACCCACTTGTATTATGTCGATATGTACTCTCGAGGGAAAAGAAATTAATAGTGCAGAGATCGGCGATGACTTACTATTGAAAGTTGACGTCCAACCAGACTTCATATACGGCGGTTATGCCCGAAGTTGTGTTGCAAAGACTATGGAAGACGACGGAGAGTTCCAGTATGAGGTGACCGATGCCAATGGATGTGCCACTGATCCCAGCATTTTTGGCAATTGGGAGTACGACCCGCACAAAAAGTCATTAATGGCCCGATTTAATGCGTTTAAGTTCCCGGCCAGTAATAATTTAAGATTTCAGTGCAATATTAGAGTTTGTTTTGGGTCATGTCCTCCTGTCAACTGTGATGGTGTGGACGCCTATGGTCGCCGTAGAAGACGTCAGATAAGTGATGAAGATTTAGTGCTTACCGATGCCTTTAAAGAAGGTGCTCTTCGGGAAGAAATTATGGTTCAATCAAATGCAATCTTAACATTTGAAAAGAGAGAGCCCACGCCATCACTTCCCGTACAAAGCGGCCCAAAAATTGAAGACATAGAGCACGTGTGTCTACCAAAATTAGGTCTTATAATATCAATGATAATAACAACTCTGTTAGCATTGGTAGCGGTTGCGGTTGCCATTTCATGTTGGCTAATGGCCTATCGGCGCAAACCTAAGCGCGCCGGACCACTGCCTCATCCGCCAGACTTTCCAAACCCATTGTATACAACACCAGAACCCATAGCAGAACCGTCACCTGACTATTACCCGACATCACATAATATGTGATCCATTGAGTCAATGGATTTTATAAAGAGATAATATGTGATACCAGTCTAAATCAAAGCCTAATTTATGAAGTGTTCATTCAATTAATTAATTTATCAATTTTTATCCATCAAATCATTTGTTTCATCAATTATTCACACATTCATCCATAAGAATCACCTCATCGTTGATATCTACCAACTCTTTCCTAACAATTTATAATATAAGCGGTTCTGGTTCTGTAAAAAATATTAATTAGTTTTTCAATGGTATAATTAAAATAAAAGATTTTGACCACTTTTATGGTAATCAAAGTGTGTGGCAGAGGATGTGCCAAATAATTGAATCCACACATCAATTGCATCGATAGCTCACAAATATTAGTATCATTTATATATTAATAATAATACCATAAAAGTGATCAAATTCGGGTGATCTTCACATCATTTTTCGGGATCAGTCTATTCCCTAATAAAAACCAAACCCTTAATTTAACTTAACTTATATAGTAATTAATTATTTAAATTATAACATAAATTACCGGTTAGTGTGATTTAATCAATTTAATGTGATTTATTGCTTGCTATTCATATATCATAAAAACTATTGTTAATTTTATTTTTTATTATTAAATAATTATTTAAATAAATAAAACATGTATTTTAAAGGCAGCTAAATATGATATTGAATAGCAAACAATGATTGAATGATAAAAATGTATTATTCAAGAGCTTATAAGTTATCACTTAAAAGCTCTTAAATTTATAACTGAAATAATAGTGAAATTCAAAGGCAGCTATTTTTGTAATGATTTTTATACTTTTAATTTAAATAAACATAATTTCTATTTAATAAATAAAATTATCTTTTATTAAAAATGATTGTTTTTTATTTACCACCAAATTAGACAGCAAACTAAAAAAAATGATTCAAATTTTGATTCTTGAAATAACAAAATTATAATCTAAGTTTTGAAATACTATTTATTATATTATTTTAATACTGTATGTAAAACAGATACCGTTTCACAAATGATAAATATCGTCAAACTTTTTTATTACAATTTTACAAATTTATTACAGTATAAAACTGCTGAATCCATGCTATTTTAATAATACAGTAATAATGTATTTTTGAAGTTAGTTTTGAAACATACTGTATACATGTAGTAAAATTTAAATTACCTTTAAGTGCTATGAATATATTTTTAGTTTTAAAGGCTTTTAACAAAATTAATAAATAAGATAATTGGATATATATATATATAATTATAACAATTTTAGGCTAATAATTACTAATACTGACTAATAATAATATTAAACTATAATAACTATAATAAATTTATTTGTACTATAATTTAGTTGTATGATTTGATTTTATAAAAGTTTATTTCATAAATTATAATAATAAATATTTTTTAAATTTTTTCTTATGACAATCCCTAATAAAGTTTAATGTAATAACAATTTAAAACAATAAATATCAACAAAAGTTTTGTTTTACTATCTTATCTATATTTTTGAGAAAAATTATGAAATATAAGTATAATTTCTATTTCTGCTATATTTCTTATTGTTAAATATAGTTTTAAAGTCGATAGAAATATATTTATTATATTTGCACGAAAAAACTACCGGTAATTGAATTTTATCAATTTTAATTATCATAAAAAATTAATTAATGCAATTATTTTACTAATAATAATCAACTACTTACTCATGGCTAAGATACCAATAATTTATATTTTTATACATTATATTATTTGTGATACATCTACAGTATATTAATTACTGAAGTAATTTAAAACAAAAGTTTTATTCAACTTTTCTCAATTTTTATATTAACTTTACTATAGACTATAATACTGTGGGTTTTTTTGTAATACAATGATTAGTTAAAATAAATAAAGTGCTATTATTTACAATTTGTCAAATAAATAACAACTGTATTAATATAATTTAATATACAGACAGTTAAGTCAAATGGGAAGTTATTACCGTTTAATCTAATAAATTGAAAATATATGCGCAAATATAGTGACCAAATAATAATAATATATAATTTATTGATATTTTTAGAAATATATTTTGTTGATTAAATCATATACTGTATTAAATACTAGTATATGCTTAACACTATCATAATGTGTACTTAAAAGTACAACAATTATCGCATTATTGATATTACAGTTGTGTTTGTATGAGTGTTGGGTAACTGTGGTGTCAATGAATTGTAGTGTTTGTATGCAAGCGATGATCGATTGTAATGTTTGGCAGCACTTGTCTGACAACACAAACAAATGAGTGCTTAATATGACTGACTCTCTAATACTATATTCATATCATATATGACTGACTGCTGTCACCAATAACTCTATGATTAAACCCATTGATCACTAATAATCACTTTTAGCCACAATTTGATGTATTGATTGAATGCATTAATATATCAATCAATGATATGTTAATTAAAAAGTTGTTTGTTTTGTTTGTTTTTATATAATAATAGCAAAAATGTTTTGACTTTTAATATAAAATGATTTTTTAGTTTAATTAATTGAAAACTAATTTATTTATTAATTATAATATCATATAATATAATGTTTTGTTTAAATGTCTGTCCGATTGTGTATTAATGGCATTCATAACAATCCAAAGACACGCAAACATATCACTCGACCACAAGGTATGTGTGTTTGACCACCAATTGGTGACAATTTTGTTGAACAACTGTTTAATTATAGAGCGATTCAAAGCACGCAATTAAGTACTCGATGGTAGAGACGAGTCCTCAAACACATACAATTGATTCACATAAAAGGTTGGTTTGCGACCACTTTTGGTGATTAAGATTTGTTAGATCCGATTGTTTTGTTTTTTTAGTGTCAATGAGTGCTACTTTGCAGTCCGAGGCGCAGCCATTATATTGCCTCACGAAGAATGCATTCATCTCTATAAAAGTCTTGCAAAAAATTCATCGACAGAAATACAGAAACACTTGCAGTCGATGTTTCTTCAGCTCAGACCTGACGACACACTTAAAATGGTATTAAAAGTTATACAATACATGTTATTGTGATTACAGTATATGATATGCAAAATAATATCGGATGAAATCTATGATTAATGTATAGGCTGTCAAATTGGAGTCAATTGGTCCCAATTGGACCCGTTATTTAATGATAGTCAGCAGTGGTGAAGAAAGCTGTTTGTTAGGCATCGATTACAAAACTGAGGCCACCATTGGATTAGTACTTCCCGTTTGGGCCAACACTCGTATCACTCTCGATGGAGACGGGTATGACTTGAGTGAAATTTGACAGACAAACACTCATTAATTATATATATATATATATCATATAAATCTTATTTAAAATATGTGTTAATATGTGTTAATATGTGTTAATATGTGTTAACTCAATTGAAACAATGTTATGATAAATGTAAATACTATGCAATGTTTTATAACTGGTTAATAAAGATGTCAGGGAAAGCTATTTAACTTAAAAAACAGTAAATTAACTTTAAATAGTTATTTCTAATAAAATCTACTCTAAAAGATAGTTTATATAACTTTTTGACGATTTTAAATAACTTTTGAAACAATTTTGTATATAATTTTTAAAAAGCATTTTATTTTATATATTATTGTTACAACTGTTTGTCAAACATAGACAAGTGACCAGAAATGGCAATTGAAAGCATGTGTCGGACATTAATTAGTATCATATAAATTAGTAATCAATGATTTGTCAAAAATGTTTGACTAATAAATATTACATTTATTTAACATACAATTTGACTCAAAGATATGACAAATTGTAATTAAAATTTTTCCATATTTATTTAAAGTGAAAATATTAGCTTTGAATAAACAGCTTATTAAAAAAATTATTTAATTATTATAATTATGTAAACTTTTTAGTATATTTATTTACCAATGAAGCACATTGTACTACAGTATAGGTATTGATTATTGTTAATGTGTTAAATCAGTAATTATTATAATAGCCTTGTTATAAATTGTATTTGAATAGTACACGTATTATAATTATTATGATTATTTTAATTCAACTAAAACTAAAAGTTTGCTTAAATTAAATATTTGTTTTTCGATCATAGATAGTATAGAACCTTAATATTGCAATTAATGATATATTTTTTTGATAAATTTGAAAAGTTTTTTTAAAACTGATTTTTGAGACAAATTTTGCATTAATTGAATAGAATTAGAAGTAATGTATTTGAATAACAAATATGAGATAACAATAAATACATTGAAATCTAATTGTGTTAATTATTGCAATAAACTTAATGATTAAATATATGAATGAATCTTAAAAAATATTTTGAATGATATACAATATGTTAAAATTTGTAACTTATATAATATAACTCAAATTTAACTTAATTTTAAAATTAGACATTTTTTATTTTATAATCTTAAATAATTTTTTATAACAATTTGACGATTGTTAAAAACATCAAAGTTAGTTAATAATTAATATATTCTATATATTTAGGTTAATGATTAACGATAACATTAAATTATTAAAAATACTATATTTTGTTATTGCTTTTTATGGTTTTGCAAATGATTGACATTTTTGCAAATTATTTCGTATTTTAGTGAATGCAACGTAACTATAAGCAAAACATTAAATTAAATGCATTGGATTTATATTATATATTTTATAATATTAATTGTATCAAAAGTAAAGCTAAATAATACAATTTTAATTACTCAATTCGTTTAAATAAAAAATGTATTAATTCAATGTATAGATATTGCTTAGTTTTGATAACAATCAAAAGCATATGTACTGTATTATACAGTCTGTATATCAATTTGCATATAAATTTGTATATCAATTTGTACAGTACTGTATATCAAACTTTTTTGTGTATAAAATTATTAAAATATTTTGCAAACATCAAAATCAGTTGTAAATCCATTAAAAGCAATAATCATTTTAATGTAACATTCAATTAAATGAAATGACATTTAAATCAAATGAAGTTATGATTATTTATATATTTATTGCCTCTTTTTATTAATTGAAACTAGAAATAAATTTGAAAATACTAAATTTATTTTTACATTATATTTAAACAGTGGTTTTAGTATAGCATCTAATGACAGTCATCACATTTTTAAACCTGTATCAGTTCAAGCCATGTGGTAATGTATTAATAAATAATTAATTATATTAATTACTATTATATTATATTAATATATATATATATATATATATTATAAAATCAAATAACAGGTCAGCTCTTCAAACCCTTCATAAAGTGAGTGCAAAGTCACGTCTAAATAATTATTTCAGTGGCGGATCCTCACATTCATGGGTGGCCTACTATACCAATAAAATTACATATAATAGATCGACTTATAATGAATGGTATATACTGTATATACAATATATGAATAATTTTTAATTAAAAGAACTGATTCAATGATTTTTTTCGTGTCAGGCATACAACTGATGATCTCTTAAACAAAAGGCCGCCGTCTCCAGACTTACGAACAAAGTTTGTATTTGAATTGATTAAACAAATGTTTATTAGTTGATAATTAAAAGCCAATTGTGTTTTGTTTGATTATATAATCAATTTTTATATGAATTAATGGTAACTTTGTTTTTATGATTAAAGACCCCCCGAACAGGTGGCAACTGAACAATCAATTCGTGCCAAACTTAAAGAAGTAATGATATCCGAGAATCTCGATGAAGTCACCTCTAAATATGTATTGATTTAGTATTTATTATATATTTATTTAATTAAATTTATAAAAATGTTATTTGAATTTAGATTCGAACCAAAATAGAGAAAGAATTGAAAAAAGATTTGAATTGTTTTAAGTCATTCATTGACGAAGAGATTCTTAAAATATTGGGTCAAATGGACGAGTCGTCAAAGATTTTTGATTATTTATATTTAGGTTCCGAATGGAATGCTTCTAATTATGAGGAACTTAAAGGAAAGGGGTATTTATATTAAATATAATTAACGGCTAATAATCATATCTAATGTCATATCTTATAACAACCAAAGTGTCGGTAAAATATTGAACGTTACCCGAGAAATAGATAACTTTTTTCCCGGAATGTTTGATTACTATAACATTCGTGTCTATGACGAAGACTCAACAGAAATGCTTAAATATTGGGACAAAACATTTAAATACATTAGAAAAGCAAAGTATGAGTTGTTTTTAGTAATTAATTTATATATATTTTTCTACTTATAATCATTGATTTAACTAAACCAGAGATGAAGGTTCAAAAGTATTGGTTCACTGCAAGAAAGGTATTTCAAGGTCTGCATCAGTGGTATTAGCGTTTGTAATGAAGGAAACGGGATGGAAGTTGGATGAGGCCTTCGAGTTCGTCAAAAACAAACGCAATTGTATTCGTCCCAACTCTGGATTTTTGAAACAATTGGAGATCTATGAGGGCATACTTGACGCTAGGTTTGTACTTATGTGGCTTACTCTACATTTATGCCATTAATAAATATATTCATTATTTATAGTAAGCAAAGACATAATAGCTTATGGCGTTCAAAATCTGAGACAAACTTAGTATCGAAAGATAATCTAAACAAAAGAAAGAGTAATGAAGAGTTAGCGAATACGAAGAATAGGATTAATATTCAATTAAATAGAAAGAATGAATGCAATAAAGAGAACTCTGATATCACAAACGTTCTTCAAGTTCCCAATTGTCCTGAAAGACCAAAGTCGTGGTCCGCTGAAGACAACGTATTTGGAGAATTAATTACAACTAATAAAAACTCGAATAATAAATCTAAGCGATCGCATGGCAGACACAGATTTGGAACCGATCCGTCGTGTTATAACATAATGGAGGCGAAGAAAATGGATTTTAATAGAAACGAAATGTCAGAATTACAAACATCTCAACGATTTTCTATAGTAAAGGACAGAATCACCGATTTTGAGTCTTTTCCAAACTCACAATCCGTTAATATAATCGATACGATTAAAGGGAACAATAGCTCTGGTCTGGTCTACAATCTAACCAATCAGTTTGAATCATCTCATTATAAGCATACCAAACAAAAAGAAGTAATGACTGATTTGTCAAATATTGAAAGCAATCTTAAAACAAGTCTGCATTTAAAACCTCCGATTCCTAGATATCAACAAAATATTGATAGATTTAATCATAGATTGGAATCACAAGAAAGTTGTGATAAATTAATAAGAAATGTGAAGACATGCGAACAAACGTTTGATTTATCCAAGTATTATATGAAAGAATATTCAACTGAATTACTTTCATCGGGAACTTCATTAACGCAAAACTTAAGTTCAAATTTAAAGAATATCAAAGACAATGCAATAAAGAGAACCAATTCGTACGACAGTATTCTTAATGAACTTTCATTATCATTGTTTGACAGTCACTGCCATAAGAGGCCACAAAACGAGTCTAAAGGACACAAACGAAGTGCTTCACTATTCACTCGTAATGACAACTGGACTACAATTGTAGAGAACGACAACTTGTGTTTTGATAAGAGCATAGAATCCAAGTCCAAGAGCTCGTATGAAAAGATCCGTCCAATAAGTCATAGCAAAAGTATGCCTTCAGTTATAGAAGCTGTCAATCAAGTGCTTTGTAGTACAAGTGTTGTCATGAATAGCCTTATAGAAAGTATACCCAATAGTAGTAAAAATCAAACAAATATCGAGTCATTTGCTATGGATTACGAACCCATTGAAAGTCGAGTTCAACCAAAATATAGCCAATCTTTCAATGAATCCTTACTTCATAACAGATATTCGTCAAAATGTGAGTCAAAAATATTCTCAAAAACAAGTTATCATTTGAACCGTACTTTAAAGACTGATTCGGAAGGAGTGGTTAAACGGTTGACTGAAAACTTTGAGGCAAAAGTCAAAGACAATAAGTGTAGTGATAAATGTGAATGTGATTTACACCATTCACAGAGCACTCCCTCATCGCCTAATTTTACCCGAAACGATAGACCCCGCGCTTCGACATTAAATGAAACAACTAATGAACCAAAAATGAAAACACAGCGCAAAACAAGTCTTGAATTTCCGTTCAAACGCATCAAATCTCAATCATTTGAAAGCAATAACAATCAAATGTTAGCTGAAGTCGGAACTAATCAATTGGCAAAGATTTCTAAAAATATAATCGAAATTCAAGAACAATGTGACGATTGCACCGGCAGTACATCACTGACCCATAAAGGCCCACAAAAGTTACAACAGGGAAGAACTCATCCGTTAACTAAACTAATGCATCAAAACTCGAAGTTAAAGACTTCGTTGTAATTCAAGAGTTATTAGTTAATTACAAATGTATTTAATTTAAAAAAAAAAAACACTTTTAAACTACTAGTCAATCAAATGGCGATTTTATTTACTAAACACTTATTTTAAATAAAAACAATATTATCTTTTAAATTATAATTAATATAATCTTTTAATTTATTAATAATATACAGTTATTGTATATTTTAATGACTAATTGAATGAGTGATGCAATGAATGGCAAGAATTGAATAACAGGTTAGATGTGTTTGTATTGGTTTGATGTCATTGAATAGGCGTTCAATAGATGTGACGAGTCTTACAATAATAATTTCAAACATTCAACCAAACCGTAAGTCAATAATAAAACATATTTGCAATTCATGTACTTTTACTCATTAACTAATTAAATGAATCAAATAATAAATAATTAAAATGCAATTAATTTTTAAAATTTAATAATATATTAATTAACTTTTTTTTATTTATAACGACATTAGAACTTAATTATTGAACCGAACCGTCAATTGTTTGTAATCTATTATTTGTTATCAATTTTAGTGAAAATACTTGATATAATTATTACTGTATTTTTATTACTGTATAAACTGTGATAATATTTGTCTATAACTTAAACTGAAATTTAATTTATAATTTTAAATATCAATTGAAAACATAATCGACATAAACATCACATTCATGTGAATGATGTCCAATAAAGCCGAAGAAGAAAAGGTTGAGATTTTTTTTGATGATTTGATTTATAAATTATAATAAATAATGAAATTGTTTGTAAATTACAGATACTGTTAGAGCCGTATAACTATTTGCTTCAATGTAGCGGAAAACAGGTGCGAACCAAACTGATCCAAGTAATGACAACTATTATCTTAACAATTATTGTGTCCAATACTTATCTGTACGGAACAAATGTAGATTATAGACAGCCAGTAGAAAATTATTTGTCCCAAACCCATCCCCACCCACCCAACCACTTCCTAACCTCACACACACCCCAAACTAACCTAACTAAATAATAATTAAGTAATAAAACTATCATTTAATATATGCATAAAAAACATTACTTTTTTTGCTGGCTGTCTATAATATACATTTAAGTCATCTGTACTAATGTTAATCCAAAACTCATATCTTTAAATAGGCATTCAATCACTGGTTTAATATACCATCGGATCAGTTGGTGATAATTAGTGATATCGTTGAAATGCTACACAACGCTAGTCTTCTGATTGACGATATTGAAGATAATTCATTACTTCGCAGAGGAATACCAGTGGCGCACAATATCTTTGGCATCCCATCGACAATCAATTCAGCCAATTATGTATATTTTCTTAGTCTAGAAAAAACTATTAAAGAGTTGCCCAACGAATTAGTTCCTAAAGCTGTTCTCATATTTACAGAACAGCTCTTAGAGCTTCATAGAGGACAGGGTTTGTGTTGTTTAGTTGAAGAGTGCAAACCTATTGATGAACTTATTGACAAATATTTCGTTTTAAAGGAATGGATATTCATTATAGGGATTCATATAAGTGTCCGAAAGAGGATGAATATATTGATATGATTAGGAAGAAAACCGGTGGTCTCTTTGGTTTAGGCGTCAAACTAATGCAACTCTTCAGTAATGATAACCGAGATTATAGTCAACTCATCTCTTATTTGGGAATTTATTTTCAAATAAGAGACGATTACGCAAATCTTAAGTCACTTCAGGTTTGATTAATAAGTCTGTTAATATTACCCGTAATACTAAGTCAAATGAATTAATTGATCCATTAGTACGAAGAAAACAAGAGTTATTGTGAAGACTTAACTGAAGGCAAATTTTCATTCCCTATCATTCATGGCATACAAACTCAACCCAAGGATTCAACTCTATTGAGTATTACTATAATTATAACTTTTATTTATTTTATTGCATTCAATAATTACCGTAATTATAAACATTATAATAACACCATTATTGTAATTCTCTAATATAAATACCGTGTCATTAGCTAATCATATTTGAAATACAGTATACATTATATGAATGTTTACTTTAAAACTCAGATATTCTTCGACAGCGAACCAAAAACGTTGAGCTCAAGAAATATGCGGTTCAGAAGTTAGAAGAGTTCGGATCTTTCATTCACACACTGAAAACATTAGAAGAAATCAATGGAAAAGCGAGGCATGAATTGGAAGCATTGGGTGGTAATCCACTTCTGTTACAATTATTGGATTTTCTTAAAATTATTTAAATCATATTATTTATGTTTTTCTAAATATTTAAATATATTGTCATAATTTTATTTTTATACTAAAAATTTAAATGGCATCAATAAAGATTAAATTATAAATATTTGTACATTAAAAATGTATTATTTTATCAATAATTAACTCTTATAACTCATCATTATCAACCACAGAATGAAAATAATTATGATATTAAAACTTAATTATAGAAAAAATACTAAAATAAAATACTTCAATATAAATAATAAATAAAGTTTGTATAAAACAAAAATAATACAATATAGTAATTGTGTAATAAATAAAATATTGTTACATACATTGTATTTTATCAAATGAATGAATTTAAATTAATTTATCTTATAATACTTTGAAAATAAACTAAACTACTATATTAATATTAAAATTAATCTATTATACTGTATATGTTTCAAATTAAGCAATAATGTGATTGAATGCTAATAGATATTGTTAAAATAATAATTTTTACAACTTTAAATACGCTATAATCTATACTAATATCTATATAAATTACCTGTATATCAAAATTATATTTTTGGATACATTTACAATAATGGTACTGTAAGCTAAATTTATAAATGTTATCATCAATATCAATACAGGTTATCAAAACACTAATGTAAATGTTTAAACCACTTTACAATTATAACCGTTTATAAGATAACGAATTTATAAATTCATCCATACATTCATTAATAAAAATACTGTTGAAAAACATTGGTTTCATTATTAATGGGAATCATTATAAAGGCTTACATTCCTCGAGAAAATTTAAGAGCCTGAATGTCCTTTAATTAGACAAATAAATTATAATTTAATTAAAAGTCTAAATTTGGATCAATTGGTCAATACCTGAACAATGAATTGTTTCAACTCATTATATGCCTCTTCAATCTCATTATTAACAATAACCAAATCAAATACACCGTTCATTTCTCCGAATTCCATCTCATCGGTGGCACGTCTCAGACGGTTTTGTATGGCCTCTTCAGTTTCTGTACCACGACTTCGCAAACGTTTTTCCTATTTTTTTGGAAAATGTTAATAAATTTCAAAAAATATTATTGCATTTTCTTGTTGTAATCAAATTACTGTAATAAATAATATAAATACCAATATATCCATATTTGGTGGTTTAATAAACACAAATCTTGGATTCAGATCAGTTTTCTTGAGATTCTTGACGCCTTCAATTTCGACATCTAATATACAAATTCTACCCGAATTTTGTACATCTTTGACGGCTTTTTTACTGAAAATATATCTCAAATTAATTATAATATAAACATAAAAATGTTATGACTGTTGTGATGGCAAACCTCGTGCCGTAATAGTTATTCGAGAAACGCGTGAATTCGAGAAACTCTTCCTTTTCTACACTTTTTTCAAACTCTTCGTGTGTTATGAAATGGTATTCTGTATTTGAATAAACATTTATTAAAACCATTAATTAGAAAAACAATTATTATAATAATATTTAATATAAATTGTATCAATGCATACATACCCCTACCATTTACTTCCGCCGCTCGGGGATGTCGTGTTGTGTCTGAAGTGGACATTCCATCAATTATTTTACATCAGTATATAATACTAATGATAATAAATCTTACGGGAAATACTGAATCCAAAGCAATCCTTGAACTCATCCATCAATTGTCTTAGAAGAGTACTTTTACCACTTCCTGAGGGTCCGGTTAACACCAAAGGACTCGGACCGATAGGTAACTGGGATGTCGACCAACAGATATTCAGACCTGATTTAGGTCGATGGTATGGAGTGGGATGTAAAACAGCCATTAAATTATTATATGATATATTCAATTATATATTTATATATATATAGTATATATATTATTTGTAAGTCAGAGCTTAATATCGTTGAACCAACAAATTTATTGCAGAGTTTGATACAAAATATGAGAAACGGATGACTAAAATACTTATAAATACAGTGTAAGTGATGGCATCAAAGCTATGTATAGATATTTGCCAACTTTTATCACACTATAAATAATTGTGTCGTTAGCTTCAACTTTATAGTCAGTGATAAAACAATCATCTATTGTGTCAACTATTCTGTCGATTACTTACTATTAAAACTACTTTCAATTTTTTAATCATTTCTATTCTAAATATATACTATATATATATATATATATATATATATATATATATATATGTATTAATAAAATGTTATTAATTTACTGATTAACTTACAGTAAGTAATAATTTAAAAATGATTATACAAAAATAACTACTGTTAGATATAATTATATAATTAGTACAATGCAATGTAGATGTGTAATTGCATATTACTTTAGTGTTTGCAATTAAAACGTTTATATAGTGTCATTTTATTTCATATTTACTAAATATTATTTAAAGTACAAATCTATTTATGACAAACAAATAAAGTATGATAAACATACTGTAGTTATAAATACTTTATAATATTAGTATCAACAGTTAAAGGACTTAACTTTTTAAAAATGTGAAAAAAATTATATAGTATATTATATTTAATTAAATATATGATTACATGTAAATTGTAATACAAGTTAATTATGAATCATAACTTTAGTGACACAAAATCAGGCACTAAATAGATTTAAATAGTTTTTTAAGATTAATTTCACTGTAATGGAGATGAATGATAATATTTAATTTAAAACTAAAATTTCTCGGGAAGTATAGTAAAGATAATATGAATATTTTAATAGATTTTATTCATAATAAATCCTTTAATTCTAACTTGCTAACATTTTTTAATAATTATTAAAAAATAATTTTATACTTATAAATGATAATAAAAATGGATAATTATATTATATACAGATTTAAAATACGTCTAATAGATTTAAACCAATGTTGCAAATTAAATATTTTTATTTAAATTCCATTCCAGAGTCAAGTTATTGTCAAAAAAACTATTGCCACCTATTTTGTCTCTGATTTTATCTTTATGATTTAATCATATAAAATGTCAATTTTGCATTTTCATTATCTAATTCAATTATTTCCCATAAGTTTATTACAATTATTCTCAATACATTCAATTTTATCATTTGTTTGTTATTAATAAAATAAATTATCAAAATTTATTTATTAATTTCTCAAAATATTTGTTAACAAAAATTATTTCCATAAATACTTTCATCTCCTTTATATAACTATAAGTCTATAAATAAGTGTTTATTTGGAAGCTTTTCAATCATTATTTAATGTAAATGTTATTTTTTAACTAAAATATGTAGACTTTAGAGGATTATCTTATTTATAACTTATAAAGAAAGTACACAAATAAGAAACAACAAGTTGTCAACAATAAGGAAAACAAATAAATATTAATTTCTAGAGTGCAGTGAAATTACATTTATATAAATTTACAATTATTGTAGAGTTGAATAAATGTAAGTTCATATCAATAATTGCTAAAACAATGTATATTTGCTATTCATTTAATAAATTTAACAACTAAATCGATACAAACAGTGAAAACTAATAAAATTATAAATAACTATAAATTAAAAACAGATATAAATACCTTTATCAGAGAGTGTATCGGTTCCAGAGTTGCCATTGAGGTAATGGGGTTTCTTGTTGTGGTATATACCACTTAAATTGGGTATTATCGACATTTCACCGCTATTTTATTAATAAATATGTAGTAATAATCTGCGATAAATGAAACTTATTTTACAAATTCATACAATTTTAGACAAAATTAAAGAATAGATGAAACCTGTTTAACAAAAATTTTTTCAATTCAATAATAGTTTAATAGTTTATATGAATTTCATTTATAGATAGAGTATAACAGTCTCTTTTATAACATTATTTAAAAACTTAATTACAGACAATTGGTTAACTAAATTGATTATTACATTATAAATAATATGATTTAATGAATGTATTTCACGAAATATTTATATCGATAAACGTTTAGTTAACTTGAATTTTTCATTGCCAATCAAATAATTAACAAAATGACACAATATTTGGCTAACTATTGAAACAATTAATGATCTCAAAATTGGTGATACTTTTAGATTAATATCTACTTTATTATTTATTAACTCATAATTATTAAATGACATTTGATAGGCATGAAAAATGAAATAATGATCAACAATCAATCAATTAATTAATCAATCGTTATTAATCATTATATCATTATAACTATTGTACAATATTTATTTAAATCTTAATGATCTCTATCACAAACTTTTAACACTTTAATTATAATATGTATTTATTTTTTAAGATTCCTTGAATTAACATCATTTTATTTGTTTAAATAAAATATAGAAAAAATTATTAGATTTTGAAATAAATAACTAAACTATTATAGTAATTATTTATTACACAACTATTTATTGCAATTTCAACAAAAATGATACCAGTACTGTATTATTATTTAGTATAATCAACAACAACAAAATTATAAGAATCTAATAATATCAATAATCAATAATAAATTAGTAATGAATCATTATATTATAAGCAGGGTTAGTAGGGTGTAGTAGAGGGTAAAGTATATGTATATAAAATATTGTTATTTATTAATAATTAGTAATTTTCGAAATCTTAATGAAGAATTTATAGAAAAAAATATTAAGAATTTTCGGGAATTTATAATAAAATATTATTTATTTCATTGGATTTAGATTTAAAAAGTTTAGCCTATATATAGAAAACATAATATTTTTGGTCATTTACCCCACACTATAACCCATAGAATCGAAACCCCTGTATAACACTAATTAATATACATATTAATGCTGTATCAGTAATAATATATATATTTTATAGATTTGTAAAAACAATATACTGTATCTCTTTTATATGCTATTTTAATTATTTATAATATTTAACTATCAATATTTATCTACAGTATATTAAAAATAAATATATTAAACTATTGAATATTAATAAAGTAATCACGATTTAATTATAATAATTTTAATGAAAATTTTAATTTATTTATTATGTACTATTTATTGTATTATTAATAATATTTATTGTTTCAAATTATATGACAAAAGTTAATATATTATGTATACAGTATTGTAAATTACAATTTGTAATCAATAATAAAACTTTTGATATCATTAATTAATACAATAGAAATTAAGATACAGTATATGAGTATTATTATATTATATACTTCAAGTGTACAATTGATACCATAAAATATCATATAAAACATATCATTTTAATAACATTGTATAAACTTAATGTTATCATTCAAATTATTTTATAAATATATTATTTGGTTTAGTTAAAAACTAAAAACTAAAAACTAAAAATGTTAAAATACTTTATCCAATATAGTACTGTATAACCATTTTTAAAAATAAGGTAAACGTAACATTAAATACGGGTAATTAAAATTACACGTATTATCTTATTTTATATTATTAGTAAATATATTTAAATTTAAATTTTAGATAAATGAATGCATAAAAACATTAACAATAGCATCATATCATAAAACATATTCATTAATAACTCAATACTAAATCATATAAATCCCGGTTTATATTGAATTTTAATTGAAATATTCATACAAATACTAAATATATTAAATAATTGAAATTTATATGAATGTAAAATAAATAATTAGACAAAAAGTAATACTTACTTATTATTATTAATTTGCCTTAAAATTGGAATCCAATAACTAATTAGTTATAATAACATAATTATCACCAAATGATCATCAGATCTATCATTGATTGTCTTATAATATAATATTAATTTTATTAACAAAATATTTAAGATTTAATTATTTTGTAAATTTATTTTATATTAATTACAAACATATTTGTATTGAATTGTATTGAAAACCATTACTTCCTGTATATCATATAGTGATGGCTTTCACGCAAATCATTAATATAGTGGTCATACAGTTGTCTCTCTTAATAAATATCTTACAATAAATTGTATTTATGCCTAAATTTTATTTATATTTGATTTATAGTTAATTTAATAAATAAAAACATTTATTTAATACAAGTATTGAAAACAAGTAATTTAGTTAATATTATTAATTTATTAATATTGTATTTATAAGCCTAAAGTATGGTATTAAATAATACTGTATTTATTTATGCGCACAGTTTGTGTCAAATTTTTTAAAAATTAATATTAATTTTTTGCTTTAAGTAAAACACAATTAATTAATATTAATCATAAAATTTAATAAAAATTAATGATTTTATATTTATATTTGTATTAAAAAATTCAATCATTTTTTAATATTGTATTCAATTTTATAAACAATAGTTTTGTTGATATAATAAAAGTCACGTAATATATGTTGAAATGTAAGCAATTGTTTGACGAAATGCCAAATAAGCCATAGATTTGATGACAAACTTAACACATCTTAAGTGAAGATATCTTCAAGTGATGGACTTTTTCAAGAGTGGATGGAATTCAGTTGTTGGATCAAATCCAGACACCAGTCAACCGACAGTTGCAGAAACAGTCTGTTTGACGACCAATTGATTGAATAATATAATAATATCATTGATTTTTAGGTCGAAAGACTTGTCGAAAGAGTCGAGTCGTCAACTCTTCTTGAGGACCGACGCGATGCCTGTCGAGCATTAAAGTCACTGTCGAAGACATATCGGCTTGAAGTCGGTGCACAAGCCATGGATGCGCTAACAAATGTCTTGCAAAACGATTCAACTGATACTGAAATAATGAGTTACGCCATCGATACTCTTAATTATGTCATTTCTGGATCAATGGATGATATACAAGACAATACTGTCAATGCAAGCAGTGGTGACTCATCACCTGATTTGGGCGTACAGTTCACTGAAATATTTATAAAACGTAAGCAAAATGTGTCGCTTCTGTTGGAACTATTGGCCGAATATGACTTCAAAGTCCGTTGGCCTACAGTTAAGCTATTGATTGGATTACTGAAGAATAAGTTACGCGACTGTCAGGACTGTATACTCGCTTATCCGATGGGTGTTTCCAGACTTATGGACTTATTGGCCGATAGTCGTGAAGTGATCCGAAACGACGCTTTACTACTTTTAGTGCATTTAACGAGAAGTAATGCAAACATCCAGAAGATTGTTGCCTTTGAAAATGCTTTCGACAAACTGCTTGAGATTGTTGCTCAAGAAGGATATAGTGATGGAGGTGTTGTTGTTGAAGACTGTTTAATAGTTTTGCAAAATCTTTTAAAACTGAATTCGTCGAATCAGAACTTCTTTAAAGAGGGTTCTTATATTCAACGATTGTTGCCATTCCTCGACATTCCTAATGCCAGTGTTTGGAGCGCACAGAAGGCTACAAATCTTTTGTTTATGCTTCGAGTGATGCGGACTCTTGTCTCACCTAATAATCCATTACAAGTGACCACTTCGTGCCAGAAAGTTATGCAACAGAGAGGACTTCTCGAGAAGTTATGTTTTATTTTGATGGCCAGCGGAATACCCGCTGATATTTTGACAGAAGTATTGCGTTAATTATTTTGTTAATAATTAAAACGGTTTTTATGTAATAATTTTATTAAATAATATTTTCAGACAATTAATGCCGTATCAGAAGTAATTCGTGGTAATCATACTAATCAGGAATACTTTAGTACAGTTAACGCTCCGACAGTTCCACCGAAACCAGCAATTGTTGTGTTATTGATGTCAATGGTTAACGAAAAACAACCGTTTGAATTGAGATGTGCTGTTCTCTATTGTTTTGAATGTTTTTTATATAAAAATGAATTGGGTCAGGCTCAGATTGTTCAAACATTATTACCATCATCTACTGAAGGTTATAATCAATTATTTTTGTTAAATTATTATAATTAGAAATAAGTTTATTTATCATTATTTAATATTATTTAGTGGTTGCCGTAACTGCTGGCCAATTGTTATGCGGTGGACTGTTTAGTCCCGATGGTCTATCAAATTGGTTTGTTTCTGTAGCATTAGGTCACGCATTAGTGGACAATACGACTCAAAAAGAACAACTTCTTAGAGTACAATTGGCTACAGAAGTGAGTTCGGCTCCGATTTCCCTATTAAAACATTGTTCGACTATTTTACAAACGGGTGGCAACTTTCAGAAGCGAATCAGTCTTCTAATGTTGTTGTGTACGTGGCTATCGCACTGTCCATTAGCCGTCTCTCACTTCTTAAGTATTCCTACAAACATACCATATCTGACATCACAAGTTGGTCTCGTAGAGGGCGATGACCTGGAGATCCTTATACAAGGAATTTGTGCTTTTCTTTTAGGAATTTGCATTCATTTTAATGACAACTCTGTTCCCAGTTTTACAAAGTATAAGTCATTTGTCATATTTTATAAATTGGTTATTAAATTGTTATATATTTTGATAATAGAGAAGACTTGTGTCAATTGATTGTTAAGCGAATTGGTTTAGAGATATTTTTGGATAAATTGGGATTCATTTCTAAGAGTGAAAGCTATAGTCAAGCCGTACAGAAACCACAACTTTCATATAAACGCACTGAAGATGTTATTTTTGATTATGAATTTTGTCGTCTTTTTAAATCACTGGAAGGTCTGATTCATAATTATTTTTACTAATAAATTAAATATAGTTTTGTAGGTCTTGTGATTAAATCATTACAATTAAAGTCAACTGATTTGACAAATGGTCCCGAATCTAATATGACTGTTGATGAACATCGACTCCTTAATCAGTATAAAGAAGTGATCCGAGAACAAGACCAGCAATTGACTGTAGTTCGTCGTGAGTTCGGTGCTCTTAAAGAAGAGCACAGCAGAGTATTATTACAATTACAGGAACAGTCATCACATATTCAACAGCTGAAGGATCAGAATTCACTATTAAAGGCACAAAAAACTGCTTCACATTCTAGTCTAAGTAATACAGCAATTAATTTGTGTACAAATGAATCCCAAATATTGGATATCAATCCTGAAAACAACAATAATTGTGAAGAACATAAACTTAAGATTGAAAACCTTATAAAGGATTTACAGGAGAGAGACAATACAATAGCAGCTCTTGTATGATATTATTTAAAAATCATTATAAGATTATACAATAAATTATAATTATTTTCAGAAAAACGATTTTTCAATCAAAGTACAAGAGTCTCAAGCATTTATCAGTCAAGAAATACAAACTGAAAGTCCGGCAAATAATGAAATTCTTTTAAATGAAAATAAAGAGTTACAAGAATTGGTGACAAAATTGAAGAGTGATTTGCAAATCAGTGAAAGTAACTCATCTGACAATGACATGACTATAGAAAGACAACAACTTGAATCTGAATTGGAAACGCTTCGTAAAGAACAAGAAGATCTACTGGTTTTGCTCACAGATCAAGACTCTAAGTTAGGACAATATAAGAAACGATTAAAAGAATTGGGAGAAACGGTATTTTACATTTTATTATCATTTTATTTATTCATAAAATTATATTACGAATTGCTGAGACGACAACAATGTAATAGAGGTTAATATTATAGTCCTATTCATTAACTAAGTTATCATATTTACAGCTTAGAGTCTATGCTTACAGTCATTGTAAGCATTAAATATGATAACTTAGTTAATGAATAGGACTATAATATTAACCTCTATTACATTGTTGTCATCTCAGGATATTGTAAAAAAATTTTATATTTATATATAGTATAGTAAATATCTATTATTGGATTTGATTTTAGGTTGAAGACGACGATGATAACTATGATATCGACGATTTAGATATTAATTGAAATAAATACCATATTTTATCAAAACATTGTTTATATTATTATTTATAATAAAATCTATTATATTTAAATACCTTTATTATTTTATTTTAAATAAAACAATATTTTACAGTCGTTAGTAAGCATTTTTATAAATTTATAAATATTATTTTATTTAATTAATCTTCAATCACTAACTTTCAAGAAATTTGATAAATAATATTTGATATTATTTTATTATCTATTAATAGAAATATTAGATTATTATTACCTGTAAATAGTAATATATGATAAATGTATTGTACGTATAAGTGAACCATAGTCTATTGTAATTAATTTAGATTACATAGATTATATAATGTTTTGGTTTGGTTTTAACAGTTTAGATTACGGTTTCGGTTTTATTATCAAGGTTAATTTTGGTTACTATAATTTGTTGAAACTCCATTGAAAATAACAGTTTGGTTTCGGATTTAACAATTACCAGTAGATTATATTTCTATTGTTTCAAATTTATGGCTTATTTCTATTGATTCGATACCTGAAAATTGTGATTTATAATTGAGTGTACTTTACTATACTTACAATATTTTATATGTGTGATTGAAAATCTATTATTGATGATATTTTATGCATTAATATAGACAAATAACTAAATATTTATTATATTGCTTACAATTATAGGTTTACTATATTAATCTATAATTAAATTTAAATTCAATATAATTTTATATCATTATCGATATCATTATTATATTGAAGCGATCGATGCTAATTGTTTACAATAAAAGATATTGATTGAATGATTTGACATATGATATAAAAAATAAATGAATGCAAAGTTTCGTTGTCTAATCATTTATTATGTCTATTATACAATATTATACGATTTATTAGCATTTTGTATACATTGTTATTAGTTCACAATTGATTCATTTAGTTAACAAATACAATATTAGGAATTTACAATTTTAACTTAATTTTTAGTACACTTATAATTGATATTAACATTTTTATTATGTTATTAATAATTGTTTTTCACAAAATAACAATTACTGTAAACCATAAAATATTTTTAAATATATGATGAAATTTAATTTATTAATCAATAATTAACATATTCAACCCTGTTAATTAAATTCTATTAACATAATGTTTTAACATAATTAAAAACATTTTTTAAATAATAAACTTAAAATAATTTAAATATACAGTTGACAAATAAATAATTATAATTTAATTAATAAAATAATTTAATGGTCAAAACAACATGAAATATTTAATGTTAAATTCACTTTTAAAAATAATATATAAATAAAATAAAAATTAGTTTATAAAAAATAGCCAGTGAACGTTTTATTAGAATAATAATAATAATGACTACCCATTACAACAATAATATTTTTAAATAATATTATGTTAGTTGTTGGTCATCCTGAGTAACGATTAATTGTATTTATTGGAAGATTTAAATGAAATATATATTTAGTCTACAATTTCAATGAAAATGTATTTTATTTGACAATTACAGGCATTGTTCACAACCATAGTTTATAAATGAAATTCATTATTATATATATACGGTATATATATTAAAGACCAAAATGGGAAACATTCATAAAATATATCAATTAATTTAATGAAATCTTTTTCCTAAATATACTACAAATTTAATGTTTAATCCGTATATATAATTTGTAAAACTATTGCAAAATAAAACTAATTTAACAATGAGTTTAATAAATATATCTAATTAGTAGATAGATTAGTAAAATAATTTACAAAACTGATAAATAAATTATTAACATTTATAAATGTAAAATATTTTCTAAAAATACATATTAATTTACATTTAATAAATTATTCATATATATAATAATTTTACCTACAATTTAACATAATTTTTGCAATAGTTTTAACATATAGATAATGTATATTTTTAATTTTTATAATATTTTGCACAACATACTTATTTAAATATTTTTGATTATTGATATTTACAAATATAACAAATAAAATTATATAGAATTTTATGTATCTATCAATAAGGCCCATTAATAATATTAAACTTAAATATAATTTATTGTGTAATAAAGTTTAATAACTAAATATAATTTTTTTTATAGATGGCAATTTATAAATACTTATCTAATATAACAATAATAATAAAATTTATCAAACATAATATTACAATAATTATTAATAAATTTGTTAACAATTATATTATTGAAAAATTTTATTTTGTTTGATAGTATATAATTATGATTGCTAATTTATATATAACAAATTAGTTGATGTAATTTAAATATCTTTCTTTAAAAATGGTTAATAAGTTGTTTGATTGATTGGATTGATTGATCACAACCTTTTAGTTTAAAATATTTTTAAAAAACATTTTCACAACCATTAAATCACAACCTTTTTATATGTTATGTAATATAACTTATATTTATGGCAAAGGATTAATTTGCAAAATAAATTAAGTCTATTTTAAATGACTTGAAATATCTTTATGTATTATAATGTTTTGTATTTGTCATATAACTAATGGAGTTTTACTGTATATTTTAATACAGTGCATTAAATAATGTGTTATATATATGTATATTATATTTATGGCAAACATTATATCGATTCTGATATTTCTTAATAAATAAGTTTTGGTATACTTATTGCTTTTTTACATAATTGTTTGAAAAAATCAATCAATTTTTCATATCAATGATTCAGATTTGCCTATCAATGTAAAACTAATTGATTTTTTGTTTATTAAAACTAATGATTTTTTGTGACTAAAAATAATTGTTTTAAAAATTTGATATAATTGAGAATAATTTTAAATAAAAGTTAAAACAATATTTTTTCGACAATTATAGTGTCTTTAGTTGATATACTTAATGATAATGACTTACAGTTTGGTGACAATCACTTGTCCGGCACCTATAGATGTGAAGAGTCCATCAACAGGTTTGGCGTGAATCTCGTCGTAATGTTTGCCTTTAAGTGAATCTTTTCTATCATTTTCATTGCTTCTGAGTTTAGTGTTTTCATTGATGGTCTCATCTTCGGTGACCAGTCCCGGGTTGACGCGGCCATTGATTTCCGATGTTTGATAGAATAAGGCCTGATTGACATTCAGTATTGTCATCTCTTCGTGCGGCTCCTGAACCACAACAAAATCTTCGGGAATGTTGACAATACAGTGAAATATATCCCAATGTGGAGCCAATGTTTCGCTTTCAAACAACCATTTAAATAGTGCCGACACAGATAATAATGAGGTCAAACTCATTATCATTGCAAATGTCCGAAATGGGAACAATTGACCCAACTCTGGATCATAATATGGATATTTAATAACTACTGGCAATCCCATCATAGCTTCACCTCCCAGTGCTCTCAAGAAAAAGCCCACAAAATAAGCTGTAAGTGAGCCGTAAGTATTGCAATGATGCTTAAAGTGGACGACACAAACCAATTGTGGAAATAAAATGACATAAACTAAATCTGTTTTTATAATAATATGTTAGTTAATAGTAAAATATGTTAATATTAAAGCATAAATATAATACCTGATGAAAGATACCAAAGACCATATATAGATTTAACAGTGATGGCCATTGCAGTGGCCACACAACCGACAACAATGATAGCGACCCTCATTATCCAAATCACTTCATGTTCAGAGGCCTAAGTCATTAAAAAATCAGTTTTGGATTTAAATTTAAGCTGTAATTAACATACATTTTGTCTTATAATAAGTTTATAGATATTTCTGGCAAACATAGAACTGGCGCTCAATAATGAGGAATCAGATGAAGACATGACAGCAGCACTGACGGCACCCAAACCAAAGAAAGATACAAATGGTGGGGTCAGATATTGTAAGACCATTGGTAATACAAGTGCCTGATGATCCTGATCTAGCGGTAATTGGCCCTTAAAATCAGTCTCATTCCAGGCTATATAAATTGAAAATTAGTTATTATTATATATATCGATAATACCGGTAATTATTTAACTAAATTACCCGTCACTCTGGCAATGGCGCCGACAATCATGGGTGGAGCTGCCATTATGATACATCCAAATGCGGCCACATATGACAATATTTGTGCTTTAAATGCACTCTTAGAGGACAGTACTCTCTGAAAGTATACCTGCCATGGAATGCCTCCCAAAATTAATAGTAATCCACAATCAATATATTGTCCGAGCATTTTGTACTCTAAAATGCCAAACCAATCGTTGTGCTCCATAGACATACTGCCCACTGCCGGGTGATTAATACTGAATGGTATACATAACCACTATTTAAACAAAATATAATTATAATTATTAGATATATTGTGTAATTTATATAATTTGTTAAAACGTTTGACATACCAGTCCAATAAATATACAAAATAATTGTATGACATCAGTGTATGCAACAGAATAGAGACCACCGAATAGTGTATATATGAGTGCAATACACGCCGACAATATTATTGATGTATTGCTTTCCAAGTCTATTATGACACTAACAGTTGCGCCCAAAGCCGCCAATATAGCCGCCGACCAGAATATTTCACCACAAAGTGCGGGCAAAAACAATAAGCCTCCCATTCGGGAACCAAATGTGTCCTGAAAAGGGTCTAACATTGTTACGTATCCCTCTTTTCTCATTTTATTGGCGAAGAAAATCCCACCTAATTTTGTCATTATATTTATTATATAAACTATATATTATCACTCAAAATATATGTTTATTATAGAAACCTAAGGCAAGACTTAGAGCGTATCCAAAGGGCGCCTGACACCAGATTATCCCTGAAGTGTATATCACTTCTGCCGTCCCATTGATATATCCACCCCCAACCCATGTTGCTATTTATTTAACAATACAATAACATTAAATATAATATGTAAATACAGTACATTAAAAATTTATATACCAGTCATAGTAAAGATGCCAACAAATATGCCGATATTTCTGCCGGCTAACATGACTTCCTCCTGTTCAAACTCATCTCCCTGTCCATCTTCATGTGTCTTTTTCTTACGCCCGGCCCATATGCCAACCAAAAGGATCATTATATAAAATATGATGACTGATAAAACACCCGCAATGTTTATTGTCATCTTTTATCAGATTGTCATTCAATACTGTAAAATAAATGTAATTTTTAACTCATATATTAATATATTAAATATAATATATTTTAAAAGTTATAAATATTATTAATAAATTAATACTATTTTTAATTTTTCTAAAATAAATATTAAGCACATTTTAAAAGCAATTATTAAATAAATAAATCTTTAAATTACCTTAATTTATAATAAAAATTATCTTAATTTTTCATATACAATGCTATAATTTATAGTCATATTGAATATTTTAATGTAAATTATATACAAAATTATATTTTATATGTAATAAAGCTATAAAATTATAACTGAAACAATTATAAATAATTATTTTTAACACAATTAAAGATTGTTTAAATTAATTTGTAATTTATTTGATTTAAAAATCGATTAATAGTAATAAAAGAAATGAAAAATAGTAATAATAAGACATTTTGGTTGAGGAGTCGATTCACTGATTCTGTCGATTCTCTATATTCTGTATATTCTTATATATTGTGTATATTCTGTACATTCCGTGAACTTTTGTATTCCTACCGATTCTGTAGACTCTGGAGTCGAGTGTCAGATGTGACGTATGTGTCGGTCATCGACAGAGAGAGAGAGAGAGAGAGAGAGAGAGAGAGAGAGAGAGAGAGAGAGAGAGAGAGAGAGAGAGAGAGAGAGAGAGAGAGAGAGTGGTTGCTATGGATATTGATTTCCGAAAAGTGTTGTCTTAACTGACGATTCATTCAAACCATCACTTCATTCACGTGTTATCCAAAAGATCAATAATTTTTACTATTTCTTCAGTTAACACATTTATACACATTTACACACATTTACACACTTTTATAGACTTTTATAACACAACAACACATTCACATTAAGTACTCAATAGTCAAACATTTGTCATTTAGTGTATAGTTTGATAATACAATCGCTTTTAGTATAGTTTTTGTCAAATCATATTATATAAGATAATAATATAATTTAATAATTAAAAAATGTTGAAAAAAATGTTTACTAAATGTGATGCCTCTTCATTAGCTTATATTCGTATAGTTGTCGGTTTGTATTGTTATTTATTTCATACATTTCATTATTGATATAAAATATTCAATCTTATGTTTTTGTATTTTTTATTTATAAATAAAAATAAGATTTTCAAATAATTTCAAATTTAATTTATTAAAATTATTTAATATATTATTATTAGTAATTTTTAGAAAGTTTAGAAAGTTAAATATAACAAAAATGTTTTCATAAAATTATAGTTTAAAGATTTTATGTAAATATATTAAGTTAGTATAATTGATTATCATAAAATTTTGTAAAAATTATATGTATATAAATTTATTACAGTATATCTTAATTCTTTATAAAATATTTAAAATATTTTTAATTGTTAAATGTGTTAATATAATGCTAATTATTACAGTATTGTAAGCAGGATAACGTATAAGTTATAGTTATAAGTTATAGTCAGCTATTATTCAATATATTATTTTATTTGATTTCAACTTTAACTCATTCATTCAAAATTATTAAATAGTAACTGTTGTTTGGCTATAACACAAACACATACATATATATATTATACTTTATAAATTTTTATAAACTCTATATCAGTGATCACAATTAAGTGTTATCATGATAACTTTGTGATACATATATAACATCACTAATTTAACAGATATTTAATAGTAATTTTCATAATTTATACAAACAATGAGTAAGTTAAACAAACACTCATTTAATATGTACTAGGTTATTTGTACAATTTTGTTTTATAAAGTTTAATTTTGATCACTGCTTTTGATACAGTAGATAGCAGGGTTGGAAAAATACAAGGTTTTGAATTTTGATTTTGTATAAAACAGTAAAATACAATGTACTGCATATATTATACAAATTTTAAAACTATATATATTATGTTAAAAAATTACTTAAAAATATAATTGCTAGAAAATGAATTACAGGGTTTCACTATTCTATTTCAATGTATTTCAAAACTATTTCATAAGTAAACATATTTATTTCACCCTGAACAAATATATTTCAATAGTGAACGTATCTATTATTATTATAATCGTTTCTAAGTTATAAAAATAAAATAATTTAAAATAAAAAATGAAATTCAATAAAAAACCAGTTGAGAATGCTAGAAAGCATTTCCACACGAATTCCTAATCATAATTAAAAATTAAATTCAGTATGATAAAATAAAATCAACTATAGTTATGTAGAGTATCAAAAGATTTAGTATGACAAAATAAACAACTATAGTCATGTGGGGTATCAAATGATTCAGTATTACAAAATAAACTACTATTTTCCTAAAAAATAAACTTAAAAACGAAAAAACTAAAAAATCAATATTCAAAAAAAATCAAAAAAAAATTCAAAAAAAAATTCAAAATTTTTTAAATTAATTTTTGGACACCATTTTCTTCAATTTCCTAAAAAATAAACTAAAATAAGAAAAAAAAACAAAAAAAAATCAAAAAAAATTGTAGCGGATAGTGGATTCGAACCTATGTCCTCGTGGGACAGACAGACCGACAGACAGACAGACAGACAGACAGACAGACAGACAGACAGACAGACAGACAGACAGACAGACTTATAGAATGCATATACGTATTCCTTTCAGGAATTCGTGATAATATTAAATCTATATTTATTATAAAACATGATTTACTTTGTTTATATCAATGCTTTTAGCACTAAGTGGCGCTAAAAATTTGTTGTAAGCCAAATTGGTCATGTATTTTACATTGTATTATACTGTATAATAATATTTGTATTATACAAACATTTTGTCTCTGCCAACAACTGATAGATTTAAAATTTATGTTTAATAATAAAATATTTGAATCGGTGTAAAATTTTCTTTGAATACGAAATAAATATAATGATTATATAATTGATATTTTAATTAAAATTAATGACAATCAAATTCAATATTATAAATATCAATGAAAAAATGATAAAATATTATATACAGTGTAAAGAATACAAAATATAATTATGAATTATCACTTTAACCTTATGTTTTTTATTTTACATTATTTTAGTTATTTTTTGTTAACGAATAGTTTGTTATAATTTTATATTATATCAATTTTAGTATATATTTTTCGAGTTTAACCAAATTAAATGTTTTGTTATAATTAAATGACATTCTTTTATTTACTTCTAATAAAAATCTAATAATATAATGTTTCAGCTAATACTATAAATATTTATTTTTCTATAACTTATAATAAAAATATGTTTCAACTAATATTTATAATATAAATGATATATATATTGCAATCAATTTTCTTTTATCAATGTAATAAATTACTTATAAATGCAATTTAGGTATTTTATTACTAATCGATTTGGTATATGAAAGAGGTTTATCTCGCGCTGAGTTAATATGGGGTAACCCTAATGAATGTCGGTTCCCATTGTTTGATGGCCTTAAAGTACTTCCGTTAAGAGCTATGTTTGCTGTCTATACTCTTATGTTTATTGGTATTCAAATTATACAATTATAAATCATATCGATAATAGTTATCTATTTATTGTTTCATTTATATAGGAGTCGTGGGAATAATATTAGGCTATAAATATAAGATGAGTTGTTTTATTTATATAATAAATTATTGGTATTTGTTTTTGTTGGATAAAAGCCGATGGAATAATCATTCATATCTTTTTGGTCTTTTGGTTACATTACTGTCCATTTGTGACGCTAACTGTCAATGGTTTACATTTAAAGCCTAATTGTGTTTTATATTTCAACTATATATTAATTTCATTATTATATTTAACATTATAGGTCTTTGGATAGGTTTTTAAATAAACAAATGGATAATAGGGTTGCTTTTTGGCAATATTTTCTTATAAAAAGTCAAATATTTTTTGTTTATTTTATGGCCGGCATAAAAAAGTTTGACACCGATTGGCTAAATGGATACTCAATGAATTATCTATCGGAGCACTGGGTGTTTAGACCATTTAGGTTTATATTTTTGTTTGTTTGCTATTTATATTACATAATTACAATTTAAGATTTAAAAAAATTATTGTTATTTATTAATAGATTGATACTATCAAATGAATCAATAGATTATTATGTCATACATTTGGGAGGATTTCTATTTGATCTAACCATTGGTTTCTTTCTAATTTGTTCCTATACTCAGTCCATTGCATATATATTTTGCTTGATTTTCAATTTAATGAATTCCCGACTTTTTTCTATTGGTTGTAAAATATTATTAAAGACATTTCATTTACAGTTTATATAATATATTTTTTTTTTAATTTAAAATTAATTTTAAGGTATGTTTCCATATATGATGATTGCTGTGATGCCAGTGTTTAGTGCTTACGATTGGCCTAAAAATATGATTCAATTAATATGTAATAAGAAGTCTAATAAAATTGAATCAAATTGTAAATCTATAAAGAGATACAATTCTGATAAACAAAATAAGTTTTCATCAAAACATAGACTGACTTTTGTCTTTGTAATCATTTATATAATAAGTCAGTTATTATTACCAAATTCCCATTGGATTACAAAAGGATATAACACATGGACTAATGGGTTGTATGGCTATTCATGGGATATGATGGTTCATAATTGGAAACACATTCACACCACTATTACTGTTGTCGATAAATCAATGAATAAGTTTTATTTGAATCCTCAGGTTTGTTCACTTATATAAGTAAATGTTAATTATTTTAATTTAAAGCTATAGCTATAGTTCATTATAATTTAGTTATATTTTATTAATTTAAGTTTATGCCCATTACTTTACTACTCAATATTATGAATTTTACATAAATCTTATTTTTATCTAACAGTTTCTACTTTTTTTTGTCCCAAAAGTTAATATTTTGGACAAAATATTAGTAATTCAATGACTATATAATGAGTTGATCAAAATGTTGTATTTGCGATAACACTAATAAAAATTATTTTTGTTAAACTTTATAGATAATTATTATCATTTTACTCCCGGAAAATCGGGAGTAAAAAAATGACAAAATCGAGAAATTAAATTTTTGATTATTTGCTATAATACTGATAGTCAATAGTTTATTTATCACAAATTTGGTTATATTTAATGAAAAATACATTATTTTTAAATTTTAGTTTATTATTTAATTATAAAAATAAATTCAACTTAGATTTTAAACTACAATTTACCCATTGTTATGTAGAAATACATTAATTATTTTAATACATTAACAGTTGATGAAAAAATCAGGTATTTTTATATATTTTAAAGTTGAAAAAAGTAAAGCAGTTTTTTAATACTAATCCTATAGTTTTTTTTTATAATACTCGTACTGAAACTCGTTTACAATTTATTAAATAAAGAATCTGTAAAAATATAAATATTTCAGATTAATCTATAAATATTTGTCAATCAATAAATACTAACAAACCTTATTTAACTGATACTTGTTTTTTAAGTTTTATTTTTAATTTAATTAGATTTAATTATTATACAATCAATTTCAAATCTCGATAATATTAATGAAATTACATAAAATTGTTTAATTATTAAATTTACAAAATAAAAATTAACTAACTTTATAATAATTAATATTTCATAATTTTGATAATCAAATGTGTTAGTCGTGGACACAAAGCATGCGATGGTCACATCACTCAGATATGGTTAAGCAGTACGTTATGTGTGCACATAAAAGATTGGTTAATGAGTTTAACATAACTGATCCGTCAATTTTTGTCGACACCTGGATATCACTAAATGGACGATTCGCTCAACGGGTTTATGACCCCAGAGTAGACTTAGTGAAAGCTGAGTGGACACCATTTAAAAGACCCGATTGGGTTTTACCGATACTTTCATATTTGGCTGATTGGAGACAAAAGCTTAAACAATATGAATATGAATTATATAAAGACAACAATCAGACGGCCGTCATCTTTATGGCTGATTTTCCAGGTTTTTATATTTACCTAAATTAATGTATTATCTATTTTTAATATTTTTTTTATTAAACTTTATAGGAATGACACTTAATTATTACATGGGATCTGAATTTAATAACACATCACTAGTTGTCCTAAAGGGTTGGCTTAAGCATCAAATTGTGGGTCAATCGACTCGGATTATGAGTACCGGTGACCAAATGGTATTACCTGTCAATTGTTACCACAAACTGACACCAATTAAGTCTGAAACGTCCGCTTATATGTTTATTTATGTCAATTCAAGTCTGTCGTTCATTAATCATATTACCAGTCAAAGTCACAATCAAAATCATAGTACAAAAAATACTAATAATGAATCTGAAAATATCAGTCACAATCCATGGTTTCAAAGGTATACAAATATTATATATTTTCATATAAATGAATTAATTAACTAATAATATATTCAATAGTTTACAAAACATGTGGTCCGGAATAACATATATTTTTGAAACAATTATGAAAATAATTGATAAACTTTTTTTAACACTATATAAGCGTTGCTTTATTTGTCTAAATATGAATGAATTATGAAGTTTTAACTGTAAAAGTCATACGAAATAGTAATTAAATTACAGTTCAATTCAAATTTTGACAGTAATATCAGTTAAGCATATCATAAATCGGTGCAAAAATTGTTATTCAATAAACGGCTAATTATTATTTAAATTATTTATCGGTACATATTATGTTAATGTATGTATGTTTTAAGTAAAAATGAAAGTTAAAAATAAATGAAATGCCATTATTTGATTAAATGAATATTTAGTGGCAAAGGACTCAATTTAATGGTCAGAAAACTTAAGTCGGTTTCTGTCCGGTGGCGCCTTTCTTGCCGATCAACGACTTGTGGATGTGTGGTATGACACCACCGCCAGCAATGGTCGCTTTGATCAACGAATCCAACTCTTCGTCACCACGAATGGCAAGTTGTAAGTGACGGGGAGTTATGCGCTTCACTTTCAAGTCTTTGCTGGCATTTCCCGCCAACTCCAACACCTTTTAACAAACAACTTCATTGTTAATAACAAAGCAAAAAACAGTTAAATGGATTAGTTTGTCATTACCTCAGCAGTCAGATACTCGAGAATAGCCGCCGAATAGACAGCAGCGGTGGCACCAACGCGACCGTGAGATGTCGTACGGTTCTTGAGATGGCGATGAATACGACCCACTGGGAACTGTTTAAACAATTAAATTAACAAATTTATGGTCATTAAGAAACAATAAGACAATTATCAACTGATAATACCTGTAGTCCTGCGCGAGCAGATCGGCTAACGGCCTTAGCCTTGGCTTTTCCCGAGTCTTTTCCCGCTTTTCCGCCGGCCTTTCAATATAACAGTCATTGTATTACTTATACATTACTATTCATACAATACTATAACATTGAATGCAGTCATTGAATGCTACTTTCAATCACTCATTTGGGTATCAAATATGTCAAACATATTGACAAATGTATTCAAAATCATTCATTTATGTCATTAAATAGTTAATTGCAATCAATAGACACAACAATACATACCATTAGTGCTTCAAAATAGTGATTCAAATTGTGATTCAAATCGTCAATTAAGTCAACTCACAGCCAAAGCGCCTAAAATGAAACTGAAAGGGGATTGTCGTCACTAAATACAAGTGCTGTATACCAGTGCTCAACGTTCATACACTACACTACACTCACTATATTGATGACAACTCCGGGAACAGCCGTCAACACACAAGGCATACATAAGCCATACATAAGGCATACCTAAGCACTCATTGGCCAAACATTTGCGCCAATAATGCATTGCTTGGGCTTTCAAAGTGAGCGCTCAGTTGACTTCCAATCAGTTATGAGAAGCACTGAAACCAATAACACCATTGGCTTACACTTTGGTCACCTTAAACACCGACCCGTGTCCGGGCATTATGTGGTCACACATCGATAGCATCACTTGGCGGTGATGTCGCTGTTTGGCCACATCCTGACTGCCGGCAGATATCCAAATGGATTCATCTGTCAGATCATTTTGACACTCAAATAGATCACCACATAAGCCAACGGTTCCCAGTTTATCGACATTATGTACGACTAGACTTATACTGTCCATTGTATGTCCCGGAGTGGCAACGATCTGCATATCTCTTGATAATTGAATGCAATGACTGTCTTGAAATGGCGTCAGTTGGTAGACATCTTCTCGATAGACGTGATCCCCGACATAATGTTGACATTTGGTAAAGAGGTTGAGATTACCGATGTGGTCGACGTGAGTGTGACTGCAGACCAACGCATTGATGTCATCGCAATTGATGCCAAAAGTGGCCAACTTGTCGATCATGTATTGTCTGTCCCATGGACTCAATGTATCGAAAACAACATTCATTTGGTTATCATTTGATCGGATCAGTACTGAAGTTGCGTTTGCGGCCATTGTGTCTGCGGTTAGCCATCGGCTGTAACCCTCTTTGATAACATCAATACGATTAGACATTACTTAATAGTTAAATGATTTGACTATAATTATTGCACTAAACTATTGCCTATAATATGAATACTAAACATAAAAATGACAACAAATTATCATAAATAATGCAAACATTTATTTTGATTATCAAATGCTATATTAATACTATATGTTATTATTTCATCAAAATATTAATAGCTATCAATCATTACTATTATATTAAATATTAGTATATATTATAATCAGTTGAAATTTATATCATAATCAATGACAACTTTATTAAGTTTATTACTTAAATATGTTTTTTATTGACAAATTACATTATTTTTTTATTATTTTAATTTATCAAATGTGAGTTAATTGTTATATAAATTAACATTATCACTCAAATTGACATTAGTTTAAATCAATTATTGCCTTAACATTATTTTAAGTGGTTTATTAAAAATTAATAATAAGTATTTGTTTAGGTAATGGACAGCTTTTATAATTAAGTTAATATAAAAGTAATTGAGCACAAAGTAAGATCATATTATCAATAATATCATAAATTATTGCTATATTAAGTAAATCACATTTTTAATAATACAGTACATATTAATAATAAATGTGTGATTATGCATATTATTAGTTAAAAGTGTTTTATTTTTTATCACAATATTTGAATATTTTTATAAATATTGCAAATTATTATCACTCGATAAGGCTTAGGCTTAATGTGCATTAAATGCAAGTTTTTAAAACTTCCACAAAAACTGAATTTTAATTACTGAAGACACGATCGGATGTCTAAATTAAAATGTTTTTCTTATTTGATTAAATTTTTTCTACTATTAATAACAATTAATTTTTTACCTTTCATTTAATCAATAATCCTTACATTTCGTTAATTCAGTTTTTTAAGAGTTTTGATTAAAATTTAAAAACTATGTGAAACCAATACTTATATAATATCTATAATTGATTTAATATATTATGTGATTGTTTTAATTTAGTGATCGATACATATTTTCCAATTGGACGCCGAAATAATTTCTGATTTCAAGTCTCTGTAATACAAATATAATATATTTATTAGATTAAGTCTGAAATTTTATACAATAATTACTATATTTAATAAATTTATATCAATATTATAATAATTACTTTTGATTTGAGAGTTGGTGTTAATAATCCGTTATCAATAGTAAAGGCTTCGTAATGAATGTATATATCCTTTGGTTGTTCAAAGGAAAGCAAACCTTCTTTATTACCCAAAGATATTAAGTCATTCATAATAACTTTCTTGACGTCCTATTGTTTGAAAATAATTATTAAAATTTTAATCTTATAAATACCCGTAATTGCAATAATTCATACTGTATTTTGACATAAATCTCTTAGAGTGCCTCTTATATTGTTTTTACGGCACCAGAGGTTTAGTATATCAACTTCAGGTACAATAACAGCCACTAAACACGACTTTAAGCTTTCGCCGTAAATAAAGATCTGAGCGATGAATTGACTTTTGCTGTAAACGGTTTCAATCTTTTCGGGTGCGATATACTCTCCTTGAGATAACTTAAAGATATGTTTCTTGCGGTCAATTATCTTAAGCGTACCATTCTTTCAATTATATAAACAGTCATTTTTATATTTACTTTTATTTAAATGACAATACATACCGGTAGCCACTGTCCAATATCACCTGTCTTTAACCAACCATCTTTGGTTAACACTTTGGATGACTTGTCTGTGTCTTTAAAATAGCCATCGAAAACAATAGGTCCGCGAACACAGATCTCTCCTTTGCCTTTGTTAGCGTTGTATTCCATTTCGGGTACACTTTCTAATCTTATTTCACAACAAGGAAGAGGTGGACCAACATGTCCTGTGTTGACATCAATTGAAATATATTTACTAAATTAAATCATTTAATTGATTAAATGTCATAACAAACCAGTTTTACTGTCTCCAGGAATTGTTAAACTGCAGGGACAGACACACTCTAAATATAATTAAAAATAAATTTAGAATATAAATAATTAACCATGGTCAAACAACATTTCTAACTGACCAGTTTGTCCATATCCCTCAACAATCTATAAAAAAAAATTGAAAAATATTTAATAATAGACAAATAAAGTAATAAATGTACAATAAATGTATAATAAATGTACAATAAATGTATAATAGATGTATACATACGATACAACCTAAAGCACATCTCATAAATTGGAGTACATTTGGTGGCAGAGGTGCGGCTCCGCAAACAATTAACCGCATTTTACCCCCCAATCCCTCCCGAATGCGTTTGAAAACTAATTTATCCCAAAATCCATTGTTACGAACGATTCTCTTCTCTATTTCTGATTGTTTGCTTGCAATGGCTTTCTTAAGCATCCATTCCTTGAGTTTGTTTCCCTTTATATTTTCATAGCATTTGTCATAAATTCTGGACAGTAATCGCGGAACCACTAAATTATATACATATTATTATTATTATTTTGTAATTTAAATTAATTGCAATGACTAGATATATATATATATATATATATATTATTAAACTTTATAAGTTTGAATATTTATAAATACCAGCCATTATAGTTGGTTTGACTATTTTCATGTCATCCGATAATGTTTTGATATCACCGCTAAAATAAGCAGTTTTACCGCCGACCATGAATACAGCGGCCTATTGATGGTTAGATTGCATTAATAATATTGTGATCATTTGAAATCAAGTCATACCTCACAACATCTTTCAAACATATGAGCCAATGGTAGAAATGATAGCAATGTATCTGTTTTACAAGTAGCCGATGGACCCTATTTTTAAATATTTTATAAACATTTAATTATTTAATATAACTGAGATCACAATAAATTTGTTTTATTTTCAAATATTAACATATTATACCATTTGGTAAAGTACGGCACATATGTTTACAATTACACTTTTGTGACTTAACATAACTCCTATAATTAATAAAAATATTTTTTAATTTAACAAAATTAAGTTCTTATTCTTATTAAATTATATATTAATTATTAATATATAATATAATTAAATTATATAAAATATACAATTATAATAATAAATATAATAACTTCAAATAATTAATCTAAAATATATGTGACTTTAAATACCTTTTGGTAGATCAGTTGTCCCACTTGTATAACAAACAAGTGCTAAATCTTCAGGTTTTGGTGACTTTTAATGATAATATGTATGTATTAAAAAGCATATTAAATTAATGTAGATTTATATAAATTAATATTTATTTTAATTAAATTATTGTAACTTATAAATTACCAAACTTTCAATTGGATTGTTTTCTCCTAAAAGTTCAACCTCTTTGATTGTAAACACTTTAATAAAAATAATTGAATCAATATTTTATAATTGTATGGTTAGTGAAAAATAATGTTTTCTTAAAACCTTTAATCCCATAGTTGATTGCTTTCAAAATGTCAAAATTAATTGATCAATATATTAGTTATATTATATAAGTTAAAATAATTTGTGTAAATAAATACCTTTACTTTTATAACTTTGCGGAATATCATTAATAATGACAATGTATTGAAGAGAAGGCATATTATTTGCTTGACTTAATAAGGCCTGAAAACGGTCTTCTTTATCACAAACAACACAACAAATTTCAGCTGATTTTTAAGAAAAATCAATAATAAATATGAATCAAATGATAAACTATTAATGAATGGATAAAACCTTTATTAATAATAAAACGACAGGCATTTGGTCCTAATGTGTCGTAAAGAGGAATAACAACACACGACTGGCTATAAGATCCATATTCAGTGATGACATAATCGACACAATTTGTAGCATAAATGCCAACACAAGTATTTTGTCCGCCTTTTAGACCCATTTTAATGAGTCCGTCACCAAAATGTTTGACTCGTGTCAATACTTGAGCATAAGTTAACCACTCGACGGTGTTATTAGTCTTATTGATTGATCCCAAACAGTTGCCATCAACTAACATAAATAACATTTAGACTTTAATTTTATTATCTAATTAATATACAGACCGGTCTCTTTGGATCCGTTAGACAAAACATTATCTAAAGTGAATACACCATCAAACAGATGTGTCAGGAAATCATTTTTATCGTAAATTTTGGATCTTTTCACTAAAGAATTTCTCTATATATAAATGACATTTTATTATTGTGTCAAACATATCATTAAACAATTAATATATAAATAAATTATTGAATATGACATTACATATACTAAATAGTGAATACAATAAATGAATATTTTGCATATTTTCAGTAAAAATAATTTATATTTAGGATATCTTTCTAATCTAATAAAATTAATTAATTTTAAAATATATTTTATTTTTTGCATAAACTTATATTTTTTGTTTAATAATTTATTATTTAAAAATACTATCTAAATATAACAAATAAATTAATACATTTAAACTGTAAAATTAAGTACAAAAATACTTAATTTTGTTTAGTTATAAACGTAATTAAGTTTAATATACTATAATTATTTAATAAATACTTATTTGTTTTAATGTTTAGTTATATCAAATTATGGTTATAATTATATAAGATAAAAAATTGTCAAAATTAATTTAGCATTATATTACTTATTTTTGTATATATTATTTGATAAAAAGTTCAAATTTTTTGTATTTAGTTTGAAAGTATAGATTACTTACATCACTCGCAACCGACTGTTCCTCAAAATTAATGCCTTCACCTATAGGTTGAGGCTTTCGAAATGCCATTACTTTGATTATAACAATTGCCGAACCAATAAAACCAATGAACAATCCTATTACTAGACTATAGCAATCACTTTCCATGGAAGTGGTTGTTATCACATTTCATTTTTTAAACTATAAATATAATATATAATTAATATAAAATTTAAATTTCAGTATTTACTTAATATAAATGATAATTATTCTTAATTTTGTATATATATATATCAGGGTTAATGTTTTCAATTCTAAGTGAGATCTAGGGTGGGATTAATTGGAAAAAATATTGAAAATTTTTGTGAGTATTTGATAGAGGTATAAATCTTTATTGAATTTTAAACGATAATTTTTCAATAATTTGTTATATTTAATAATAAAAATTCACTATATAATTAATAAAAATATATAAAATTTAACTAAATTAGAATTAATAAAATATATAGCCGGTAGTAACAAATATTATAAGTAAAATAATATAAATATCATATTTATGATGATATATATATATATATATATATATATATATATATATATATATATATATATATATAGTATACTATTACTTATACTAGTATTATTTATTTTATTATCTTATTTTCAATTATTGCAAAACACACTTTTTAGTTATGAATAGAAATAAAATTATGTTTATCTATTTTAAATAAACAATTAATTAATTTATAAACTTTTAGTTAGATATTTTTATTAGAATTAATGTTTTTATTTTACTTAATATTCATTTATATTTTATATATAGTGCAGTAATACTATATATATATATATCGCATTAAAAAATGCGACCAAATAAAAACAATTAAAATAAAATAATGAATTAAATAAGTTAAAAATAACACAAAATATGTATTTTCCAATTGATTTGTAATGTATTAACTAATAGTACAAAAAAGTTAAATAATAACAACTGATCACAAAATTATTACCGTAGAAATAGCTATAAAATATAGTACTTTTAAGGTTAGATCATATTAATTGGTCCTAATTGACATCAATTGCTAACACAAAAAAATAATTTTTAATAAATTCAGTCATTGAAAAGTTATTTAGATTTAGTTTAACAATAATATATCGTTCAATAGTATTAAAATTATTTTCATTATAAATAATGTAAATTTACATATTATGAACTAATATAAACATTGTTGATTTTTATAGCTTTTTTAGCTTTAAAAATCAATAAAATATCAAATTAATACTTGACTTAAAAAATAAAAAATTATTGATTACCTGAGATAAAATATTTATAAGAAATAATTCAATTATAATTAAACTTATAATATTAAAAACTTATAAATGAATATATATATATTAAAGATATAAATTTTGATGTACTACTGTATATTCAGATTAATTTATAAACAACGACATAAAATTACACAATTAATAACAAAATAATTTTAATTTAATAAATTGAAGTCAATTAAATTAAATTTCCAAAATATAATATTTTGTTTTTTTGTTGTTGTTAATCATATGATGATTGTAATTATAATTAAATTCAAATTAAACTAACTTTTATGAAAATAATTTTCTTCGGATAAGTTTTATCTAAAATAATATATTTAAAGATATACTTTGATAATAATTCGTAAATATTTACTTAAGAATGATATACAATATTTTCATTATTAACATATCTATTATTTGGAAAATAAGTTAAACCTATATTAATAATTAATAATATATTATTATTAATAAGATAACATTTATTTTTACATTTTAAAATTTTTATGATAGTAAAAATAAAATAATTTTTACCAGTATAATTATTTAAATCTAAAATAGTATAATTTTTCAAAATCTAGGTTAATTAATATATTTTTAGTTACAAAAATTTAACTTAAAAAAATTACTGTATTTAATATTAAAGTTACCTTTTATTGTTGAGTTGTTATAATGAATATTAAAAGCTTAAACAACCTATTATTATTATTAGTATCTTAAATGATTACTAATATATTACATATAAATAAATCTAAAAATTAACAATAATTAATAGTTGACTTTTAAATATATAAATTAATATACAATATGGTGTGATTACATAACGAAGAAAAATGTGGGCAAATAATGTCTATAAATAAATTTGATATTTAAAAACCAATGGAAAGCATGAATTGAGAAAATCAATGAATGATCAGAGGATGAGAGCATATTTGGCAAACTATTGCTTAATTGCAACCATTGATCGATCGGTGCATGTCTTCTATCACTTTTAAATACCGGCTTCAGGTATATCATAATTTTTAATGTATTTTTATTATTATATTATGTTATTATAACATAACTTTTATTATGCAAAATTATATTAATTGTACTTAAATGACTAATCATTGGTAAATCAATAAATGTTTGAAAATTTTATAAATAGAGAGAAACATTAAAAATTTGCAAAATCAATAGATAGGTCAGTGCTTAGAATATTACATTTTGAATGTATAATAACATTATGAAAATATATATTCATTATTTATATTAATTATAAAAACATTAACTTAGCTTATAAATAACAATTATTATTGAACTTTATATATAAACATTTTTAATAATCATAATTACAAGAATATGGTATATTAATATTGTAGGTTAAATTTTATTTAAAAATTATATTAAAATTGTTTTTTTAAATTAATTAAAAATATATATAAAAGTTATTCTGATTAAAACAATATGAGCTATAGTATTAACTTTATTTTTAAATAAACTGATTTAAAAATTAAATATTGTTTTAATTTAAAATACTAATACATCACTTGAAATATATAAACCACTTTTTGGAACCATTTTATATCGATTGACCAAAAATTATAAGTTATATAACATTAAACAAAATTATGAACAATTGTGCTCTCATTTACAAATTTGTTTGTTTTCAAGATATAATAAATAAAATTATTGCTAATGTTTAAAAAGTTAGACAATTGATAATTATACATTTTTCTAATAACAATTATACGACAAAAAAGTTTTTTTTAATAATATAAATTGTTAAATTAAAAAAATTCAATTTGCTATATATTAATAAAAATGCTAATAAATTTACTTAAAATATAAATTAGTCTTAATATTTAATTATTGTATTTACAATTAGTTGTTATGCTTAAGAATTTTATATTAATTAGTGTTAAAATATTTAAATAAAATATTTAATACAATTGATAGTAAAAATTGACATTTTTTTGCTAAAATGTATTATATAATTGAATTATTGCGTAAAAGTATTGATTGTATAGATTGTGTGTATTATACCGGTATATGTGTAGTGTATGTGTAGTGTATGTGTAATACTGTATGTATTGTAAGTACTGTTATATGTGAGCACTGAATGACTATTAACTGAGTGTTTGAGTGAATGATGTGTTTGTGTTTGAAAGGGTGTGACTAACAGTCAGTGACAGTGATTGACACTAAAACTCAATTGATATCAACACCTGATTGAAGACAACAATTGTAGGACCAAATGGCTGGACGTTTACCGGCCATTGTCATCGACAACGGCACCGGGTTTGACATATAATTGAATGATTTGGACACCAATTAATGTAATGATGATTGTGTTGTCATCACAGATACACCAAACTTGGTTACGCCGGTAATCGTGAGCCACAATTTATAATCCCGTCGGCCATTGCAGTCAAAGAATCACCGAATGTTGGCGATCAGGCCTCAAGACGTTTGGCCAGAGGTATAGATGATCTGGACTTTTATATCGGTGACGAAGCGCTTGAAAATCAATCGGCATATACTGTCAAAGTTGGTTGACATTCATTCATAAGTTTTATCAATTTATCATTAATTATATTATTTAATAGTATCCTATAAGACATGGTATTGTTGAGGACTGGGATCTAATGGAGCGATATTGGGAACAATGTATATTTAAGTACTTAAGAGCCGAACCTGAAGATCACTACTTCTTGTTGACGGAACCGCCACTCAATACGCCAGAGAACAGGGAATATACGGCGGAAATAATGTTTGAGTCTTTCAACGTTCCCGGTCTTTACATCGCTGTTCAGGCAGTGCTGGCTTTGGCCGCGTCGTGGACTTCACGACAGGTCGGCGAACGAACGCTTACTGGAATTGTGATCGATTCGGGCGATGGCGTCACCCATTGTATTCCCGTAGCCGAAGGTTATGTCATTGGGAGTTGTATTAAACATATTCCTATTGCCGGACGAAATATAACTTATTTTATTCAAAATCTATTGAGAGAGCGTGAGATGGGTATACCTCCCACTCAATCATTAGAGACGGCAAAAGCTATTAAAGAGAGATTCTGTTACGTCTGTCCCGACATTGCAAAAGAGTTTGAAAAGTACGATAAGAATCCAAGCAAATGGATTAAGAAGTTTTCCGCCAAGAATGCCATAACTAAGCAACCATTTGAAGTAGACGTCGGATTTGAACGTTTCTTAGGTCCCGAAGTTTTCTTTAACCCCGAGATTTCAAACCCTGACTTTGTTACACCACTTTCGGAAACAGTTGACACTTGCATACAAAACTGTCCAATCGATGTGAGACGTCCTCTCTATAAGGTATACATTTTGTGGAAAATATCGGTTAATTTTTTAATTGAATTCTAAATTATTTTTATTTAACAGAATATTGTACTCTCGGGTGGTTCGACAATGTTTAGAGATTTTGACCGTAGATTACAACGAGATATACAGCGAATGGTCAGCGGAAGACTTAAACTAAGTTATTCATTAAGTCAGGGAAGACTGAATCCCAAACCAATAGAAGTTCAAGTGGTATCCCATCACATGCAACGTTACGCCGTATGGTTTGGTGGCTCAATGTTGGCCTCCACTCCTGAGTTTTATCCGGTTTGTCACACGAAAGCACAATATGAAGAATATGGACCCAGTATTTGCCGACACAATCCTGTTTTTGGGGCAATGACTTGAGTGACACACCATTTGGCACTCAATTGATATATAAGTTAATGAAATCACTTTAAATGTCAATTAATAATAAATTTTAATTTTTTATTTGATTAATAAACTATTATTAATAATAATTATATTTAATTGACTTTTGTTGAGACGTAATGTATGAATGAATTGAGTTTTGTTGACATTCAGTGATGTTATGATTGATGTTATGATTGAATGTCTGATTTGACACTAATTTAATGTCCAATTGAATGGTTATATGAGTTGTTACTAATCAATGAACTGATCCAAAGAGTCACAAGTGATGGCAGACATACAGACAGATGATGTCGAACCAAAAGCGGTGAAAGCAATGGTCGACAGGGAGAAGGAAACAGTGACAACTAATGAACGTCTTGTAGCACAAAGGGATCAACTGTTACTTCAGGAGAGAGAAATCGTGACATTAAGACAAGACATGGAGAATATGAGACAAACACTACAGACAATGGAGACGGAGACCACTCATGAAAGGCAACGATTGCGCAAAGAACTGCTATCTTATGTGGAAAAGTGTCGACAATTAGAGGATAATAAGCGAGAACTGGAAGAAAACGTTGCGCTATATAAGGAACAGAACAGAATTCTTCATCTTAAGTATCAGTCATTGGAAGCCAAAAATCTTGAACTCGAAGAAGACCTGAAACGCGCTGACAAACAGAACGACAGCATTGAAGTGATCCGAAAGGATAATCAAAATCTCAAGACTCAAGTGTTGATGTTGTCTGAACTCTATCAGGGATTGAAAGACAGGTTCGCTGTCGTCAACAAAAACGCATCAATGGATGAAATGTTTGCCATTGAATCTGAGATCAGAAATAAAGAACTTAAAGGTTAACAACAAGTCTATCACTTGAGTTATCTCTTTATTTATCAATTGTTTGTTTATAAAATAGATTTAAAACTAAAATTAGAGACTACTATACATCAGATGGAAGTCTATAAACTTAAGAGTACTGAGAGTGAGAGCCAAATGTCCAAAAAGGATACCATAATTGCAGAACAAAAGCAAACCATTGAATCTAATAAAATAATTCATAAAAAGCAATTACAGGTCTTTATTATAATAAAATTAAAATACTTTATTTTATTCATTTTTGAATTGTATCTTAGATTGAAAATCAAAGAATCGAGGCTTTAAAGAAAGTGATCCAACAGTTGGAACAACATATCCTTAGTCTTTACGGCCAATTGGGACTCAAAGAGCATGAAGAGAGGCTCAGAGAAAGTAAATATGCAATTGTTATAAAAGTTTTACTATTTTGACTAATTTTATGAATTATTTTTAAAAAATAGAACTTGAAATTAGTGAAGAACTAGCATTGGATCAAACAATTAACTCAATAGATATTAATCAAACAAATAATGGCAGTAATAATGATAACCATTTGTATACGAATGGCAATTATAAACGATAATACAGTATATTATTTATATTTATACAGTTTAACTGTAATTTAGTTTTTGTTTGATTTTAAATGAATTATTTTAAATCTACCGTAATGTCAATATTTAATTTATTTTAAAAGTTTAATTACTTTATAGATAAAAGTGAAACTTACCGTAAGTGTAACTATTATCGTATAATAAAAATGTTGAATATATTGATATAGATTAACATTTAACTGGTTTTTACTTTCAATAAAACAAATGTAAGTGAATTACAGCTATTAATGATTACCGGTATATAGTAAAGTAATTTACGGTAAAAGTTTTTTTTAAATAAATGGTTTAATATATGTTTTATATTATGCTTAAAACAGTTTAAATATGTAAATAAGTTTTTGTAATTTTTCATTTTAAAAGCACTAAAATAAATATTTATAACAAATGCTTCTTAAAAAATATATTATATAAATATTTTGATTATAATTCCCATTTGTTTATACTTTTCTTGTTTCCATACAATAAGTCTGGAAATATTAATTGAAAAATAGATAGCAATTAATCCAATGGTTCCCAAAGACATTCCTGTTGTTTAATTTTCTTACATTAATCTTCTCTAATAATTCTGAATCTGAAGTAAATATTAAACAGATATGACTTTCTGTTAAAACTAAATTAAAACTAAATTAAAACTAAATTAAAACTAAATTAAAACTCAGTTACGATAAGTACTCATTTCAAGACTTTCATAATTACTTAAAGTTTAAATAATTTTTATAATGATTTTATAAATTTAAGAATTATAGCATTTTCATAACAATATCCAATACTTACTGAATATAATACATGTCTAACAGTTATAATACAGTATAAAGTTATGTACTGTACAGTAGATACAGTGCTGTAAATTATAATGATTGCCACAAATTGATGTCAATATATGCAATGATTGCCACAAATTGTGGTCAATATATGCAATGATTGCCACAAATTGTGGTCAATATATGCAATGATTGCCACAAATTGTGGTCAATATATGTAATGATTGCCACAAATTGTGGTCAATATATGCAATGATTGCCACAAATTGTGGTCAATATATGTAATGATTGCCAGATTGGATCAAAAGTAGAGAAAATTAATTTCTAAATAAAAATTTGATAACAAATTTATGACTAGTTTTAAATAACACATTGAATGCCATCTATTGATTGACTAAAATTGGTGTACAATTGAGGACATGTTGTCAATGATGTTAAACGTGGATTCAATTGCATCACATAATAGTTTGTTTGATTGATTGATCAAAACATACGGTATTAACACAACTCTATTGATATAACTTTGTGTTAATTATATGTTGAGTCCATTATTACCACAACTTTTACGACTGACTCGTCTGTCAAAGCATTTACTCAAAGGTTTGACTAATTGTTTGTAAAGATTTGTACACAAAGTAGTCGTTTAAACGGATATTCAATTGACAATTGACCACAAATTGCAGCTAATCTTCAAAATAAAGCCATTTTAAGGACAATGAGTGAAACAAATGACCAAAAGATAAGCAAAAATGAGTTAAAGAGGAGAATGAAAGAGCAGAAGAAACTGCAAGAAAAACAACAAAAAGAAGAAATGAAGAAACAGATGACCAATGAATCGATGGATAATACCGGCAAGACTTTGGCAAAGAAACAAAACGACGAAGAATTAGATGAAAATGAATATTTTGTTATCAGATCCAAAGCAATCAATGAACTGAAGGGATCGGGAGGACAACCATATCCTCATAAGTTCAATGTGACCACCAGTTTAACCAATTTTATTCATAAATATGAACATTTGAAACCCGAAGAGATTATAAAAACAGATGAGTTATCTGTCGCCGGAAGAGTTCACGCAAAACGAGAGTCCGGACAGAGACTTATATTTTATGATTTGAGAGGAGAAGGCGTGAAAATTCAGGTGATGGCAAACGCAAGACAATATGAAAGTGAAGAACTATTTCTTAAAGATAATGATAATATTAAAAGAGGTGACATAATTGGATGTATTGGTTGGCCGGGAAAGACTAAAAAAGGAGAATTAAGTATAATTCCCAAAAAGATTGAACTCCTGACCCCTTGTCTTCATCAGGTGCCTCACTTGCACTTTGGTCTTAAAGACAAAGAGAAACGATTTCGACAAAGATATTTGGATCTTATATTGAATGAAACGGTTCGCCAAAAGTTTCACAGAAGGGCTAAAATCATAAAATATATGAGAGATTTCTTCGACGGCTTAGGTTTCCTTGAAGTGGAGACACCGATGATGAATATGATTGCTGGCGGAGCCACTGCTAAACCTTTTATAACTCATCACAACGACTTGAATATGGATTTATATATGAGAATAGCACCGGAATTATATCTTAAGATGTTAGTCGTCGGAGGCATTGATCGCGTCTATGAAATCGGTCGTCAATTTCGTAACGAAGGCATTGATTTGACTCACAATCCGGAGTTTACGACCTGTGAGTTCTATATGGCTTACGCTGACTATAATGATCTTATGGTAATCGTTGAGACAATGCTATCGGGTCTGGTTCTCCATTTATTTGGTAAATATGAAGTCACATATCATCCCGAAGGTCCTGACGGTCCACCGGTTGTCATCAATTTCATGCCTCCTTTCAAAAGAGTTCAAATGATTCCCGAGTTGGAGCAAAAACTTGACGTCACTTTTCCCGACGCAACACTATTGGACAGTGAAGAGGGAAATAAGTTCCTATCAGATCTTTGTATTAAACATGAAGTCGAATGCCCGCCGCCGCGAACCAGTGCTAGACTTCTGGACAAATTGGTCGGAGATTTTCTCGAAGTTAATTGTATTGATCCGACTTTCATTACGGAACACCCGACTATAATGAGTCCGTTATCTAAATGGCATCGTTCGAAACAAGGACTCACCGAAAGGTTTGAATTGTTTGTTTCGCGTAAAGAAGTGGTTAACGGATATACAGAATTAAACGACCCGTTCATTCAGCGACAACGCTTCGAACAACAGGCGGCGGCCAAAGCTGCCGGCGATGACGAGGCGCACCCTATCGATGAAATCTTTTGTAATGCTCTCGAATATGGATTGCCGCCCACCGGTGGCGTAGGAGTGGGTATCGATCGGTTGGCTATGTTTTTAACTGATTCTAATAACATAAAAGAAGTACTGTTTTTCCCGGCCATGAAACCCGATGAACCGAAAAAGAGTGACCAAACAGATGACAATGAAACGGTAGCTAACGGTTCATAAAATGAATGTTTGTTAGGCTTTAATTCGACTTTAATTATGATTTGATATTTAATAAAATCTTTTTTATATTTATTTTAAACTAAATCCAATCCAAAAGCATTTATATCCAATCGTTTATAAATGAAAGTCAAATCGTTTTTTGAATAAAATATTTTTCAAACCAAATAATACTAACACTAATTGATACTAAATTTAATTATAAAAGTATGAAAACATATGACTAATTGGTGGCCTGTGTTTGGTTGTCCTGTTGTTGCAATTTCTTCATCATATCTTCGTCTTGAAGTGAAAGAGTGGTTAACTTTTTGCCGATCTTCTCATGAATGTCCAAATACTTGGCGACACACCTATCGATGCAAACGGACTCTCCTTTATTGAGTTCAGAGTCCCTATACTTCGGAGGAATACATTTGCGATGACACGCGCGGGTCATCCGGTTATACATATCGGACATCATTTCAATCTCCAAATCGGCCACTAATTGCATTTTGGACGCATCTAACGTAAGGCCAGCTCCCGGCGGACCACTCATTGTCGATGTTTAACAATACAAACAATTTATGAATAAATGCAATTAATTGTCTCTTTTTGATCTTTCTTTGTCTTTTAGTTGTTGTCTAATCTGTTCCCTAATTCTCATAGCATTTAACTTATTATTGTTGACATAATCTTTGGCCGCAAAAAAAGCCGAAACACCGATCGTTGCAAATATAAACCTAAAGACACAACAAATCATTAAACAGTATTACTATTGAAATGATAATCCAAGTGATGATTATTTACCACGAAATGACAACCTTCTGGTGATTACCAAACTTCATATGATTTACAATAAATACAAACAATAACTCTTATGAAATGATAATCATTGGACACAAACACATGTCATCTCTGATGCAACCAAACGCTCATACATTCATTACGTTACACTTTAACGACAGTTGACTGTATTGTAGACATCAAGTGTGCCACCAATTGATCACTTATTTTGTATATTATTCATATTAAATGATTATTTAGTTAACTAAAGTAATTTTTATTTTCAAATTTTTTTATTTTTTTATTAAATAACAATTTTATGAATGCTTACAACTATTATAAATATGACAACTGTTTATTTATAATAATTATAATATAATAATTGTTACTTTAAAAGTTTAAATATACAGTATTTATATTAATCTAATTTTTTATTACAATTTAATAATAATTATAAATTTGAAACACTAAATGACTAAATACTGTATTATAATGATTATATAATTTTATATAATTTCATTAAAATATAAATAGAAAATCATTTTCTAATATTCAATTAAATAAAACAATCATATATTGTTAACGAGAGTAAAATTAACAAAAGTATTAACAATTATTAGGGTAATTAAAAAATATAGTAAATTATTATAAAATTTATATTACCGCTAAATAATATTTTTAACTTTTATAAAAACAATAAATAAATAATAATAAAATTTAAATAAATAACCCATAAGTAGCATAAATACTACTTTTAATAAATTGTAAAATTCATTGTTAATTCGTCCTCAATTATTAGTCTTTAAATTATAAACAATATATCATATGATACATGCAGTATATTAAATGTAAATAAATAAATAATTATAATTTAACAATTAATAAAATAATAATAAAATAATAATCACTCAAATACTGTTATGTATAAAGAGTGCCACATTTCAATTGAATTGTTATTAAACAGTATTACCGTATATTTAAAAAAAATGATTTTTAAGAACAGAATTTAAATATATAATGAAAATATTATATAAATTTTCAATAAATAATTAATCAATAATTGAATCTACTTTTATACTTCAAAAAATTAATGTAACATTTTCTAGATAAATGTTACACACTTTTTGCTAAATTTATTTACCGTAATGTTAAATATATCGGTAATATTATATGAGGTCAAAGGGTAATTTTAAATTTATCTATTTTATACTATTTGTATAATTAAATCGGATATCACATAAGGCACTGACTCTTGTATTGGAAAACTTGTATTAATTATTAGTTATAATATTATAAGTTAATTATGAAAAACAAATTAAAATAAACTATAAAATACAATAATAAATGAAAGGCAAACCATTTGATGAATAACTTTCTTTGGATTTTTTCATCGACTTGTATAACATTATATCACATCTACATTAATATTACGAAAAGTTTTTCTGATTATTAATAATTTGCTAAACAATTCATACTTTGATGAAAACTATAGGACTTTTAGATTATTTTAAAGATAATTCATTTAAAATCAATTATCATTTTATAATCTCTAACTAATTTTATACTAATGGTTGGGTTCTAATGATTATTTTGATAAGTTTAGATACATTTAATTATTTTGATTCATTTTACCCAATAATCACAACAATCACAACCATTATTGCGGAACATTAAGAAAATCAGTTGATTTTCTATAGATTGAGTTTTTAATTAACTCAGGGCTTGTAGTGGTCGGTGAACTACAGGTCATACCAATTGAATTACGGCTAACTTTGCTAAGAATACTCTCGAGTGAAGAAGATCTTCGTGATATGTTTGCTGACTGTTTCGATAAAGCATTCAATTGGCAGACGACTAACGGATCGGAATAACGACGACCTAAATTGGAATCGGATTTCGAGGAGACAATCATTGCATCCAATTTTTGAGTCATTTGTGTTATGTCTGAATGAGTTCTTCTCATAAAACACTCGTTTGTCGTCACATTTGGCTCTTCAACGGTACGAACGCCGATCTCTTCCAAGACTTGTTTCATTTTGCGTACGTAATCCATATGTCCCGTCACCTATAAGTATGCAAAATAGCAAAACAATTATTTATAAAAATAAAATACAATAAATTTAAATACTATTTATCACTAACAATATGGCTGAGGTCAACGTTTGTCATTTTTCGGTCGTTCCAATCAATGGCCTGAAGTCCTGCTATTCTTAAAGTTGCCGAAGAAGTTCTGTATAAAAACTTTAAGAGCCAATCTCCTCGACAATAACCATTAATTATTCTTCCGCTAACAATACGTCCAAATGCTTTCCATTGATCACATGACGCTGGAACTGGTGCTCCCAATAACACCACGTCCTCAATGATACCTTCACAACCTTTTCTTTGAGCCATTTCTTGTAAACAATAGTAAACAACTCGAGCGCCTAAACTAAACCCAATTAAAGTAACCGGACGTCTTCCCTGTTGTCTTGCAATCAATATTTCAGCCAAATGTTTGCCTACTTCTGCAGATCTTCTAATGCATACACCCCATGGATTATCAATAGCACCCGACACAGTTACCAATGTTGCTGGCCATGCAATAGCAGCTATAAGTCCACTTAAAATAGTGTATTTTAGAGCTTCCTGTGCAGCCATACTAACGGCAAAACTAAGAAAATAATCCATAGCTCGTCCTAATTCTAGTAAATATGCCGATTCATATCGTATGCAATACTGTTCCCTAGAATTCAATAATGAAAGCCACGGCTCTTTAAATGCTTGGGCACCTTCTTGTGATACCCAACCAGATATTGCAATCGTAAGATGTAATTCTCGACCAGCAGTTAATGTGTCGAAAGCAAATTCTTCAATATCTCCCACTCTTTTTTTCATTTTATAACCCGTAAGCCCAGCACCGGCCACACCAAACAATGAACCGATTACTGCTATTCCAGCTGACGAACCCAATACAGCAGCACCGGCTGTACCTATTATAGCACCAGCACCGGCAGCTACAAATGGTGCGGCCAAACCACCAGTTAATCCTATAACATAATTTATAATTAAGTTATAAAATAGTAGTAAATTAATATATCAAATTATTAAACATACCAATGATAGCACCGCCACCAACACTGGCCAAACCAATCATAACATATCTCTTAATTTTTTTATTTCGTTCCCTTTTTCGCTTTATTTTAATTTCTTCATCATTTTGTTGAGGAATGTATTCGGAAAGCATTTCAATGACTGATTCTTCGTAGAGTTCGACAATAGGTATGGGAACTCCTAATAGTTGAGAGATATGCAAAATCAAAACCCGAAGTCGTGCGTCATATACGCCTAATTAAAATAATTATTTTGTAAATATATTAAAAGCAAATTTATTTAATATACTAATAAATACTAATAATATTTAATAATATCAATATATTTGTAAACAAATCTAATACCTCTTTTAATCCATCCTTTATTGAAGCATTAAATTAACAAAATATTTCAAACATTTTATTTTGAAAAAATAAAAACTATAAATACCTTCTTTGACGGCAAACATAACCAACTCTTCAACGACTCGGACACAGGAAGACTTGAAATTAGACTCTTCTTTGATGAGCGCAATGAAAGCACTGACATCTCCTCCTTCTCCATCCATCAGAGCTTTCATCGCATTTTGAACTTGTGATGGAAGTGCTAAATGTCTTATCAATTCAGACATAGTTGTCTCACAAAATGATCTGTTTGTAGACCAATAAAATCATTAATAATTGATATAAAATAAATAATAAAAGATTGTGTGACCAACCGATCCCATTGATAGGGAAACAAGTGATGGAAAGACATGGCACAGACACCACATATTGAATATATGGCCGCTTCGGACACACATTCATTCAATGGTAGACTGTCTGTCGTCGATGATAATGACGTGTAACCTATTATAACAACAATTTAGTCATTAACTCTGTGACCAAATACAGTGACAAACCCAATGATGAGGCCGACGATGCCGTCATTTGATCGTCAATTTCATTTGTGGCCATTAATTATTGGGACCAAAGTTGTGATAATAAACAAAGTAATCAAAACTTAATTGGCTATCATTTGAATCAAAAGTAATGAAATTATAAAATGTGAATATATTTCAACTATAAATTGCAAACATTTTTATTATAAATGACTACAAAAGTTATATATATTTAACAAATCAAACATTAATTTTATGGCAAAACATAAACAAAAAACAATTCAAACAAAATATAAAAACAATTATTAAACAAAACATTTATTTGATTGCATTGAATGTAAACTCAATAATAATAATAATAATAATACAAAATAGTAAATGTATTAATACTATTAATACTGTATATATCATATTAGAGTATAAAAATAATATCACTTACAGTCTCACACTTAACCCAAACCGCTTCAACTATTTCTATAGAATCTAATGTTTTATAAACAAAAAATAATCAAATTATTTAATACTATTAAGTTTATTAATTAGTTAAATAATAAAAATAATTCATTAATTTTATTTTTATAAAATTTAATTAAAAAATAAATAATTAAATTAATTTTAGCTAAAATATTCAATCAATGGTAAGAATGGGTTATATTATTTGATATTCACATCTATTTTATCAAATAAATGACGCAATTATTGAATATTATATTAAATTTGTTAATAAATATTGTTTAGTAAACAACGTAACCATTTATTAAGCAGTTTATAGACATAAAGTCAATAATTGATTGATATTATAGTAAGCGTAACATAATATGTGAGCGATTCATGAAGTGATGAATTGGCGGTCAATCCAGTGATTGATTGATTGAATCAATTGTTTAGTATTTTTCATATCATTTAATAACCAATTGATTACTAAATTACAGACCAATTGGTGACAAACTATCGCTCAGACATGTCTTCGAGTGTCAGATCCACTAAAAGTTCACGAAATACAGCCATCTTTACGTACGACTCGACACAAAGTCAAACGACAGACCATCGGACCAGACATGAGACCAATGATGAAGACATGGATCGATTGGTCAGCGATTGTGTTAAATATATGCTTATTATGGACAACAAGAAGACTGCCATCAAAAGATCGGATATCGTTAAAGCCATTGTTCGCAAAGGACAGACAGAGCCTAAAGGACAGGCATTTAAAGGATTGATTGACAAAGTATGTGATTATTGGCTAAAGATATGATTTGTTTAGTGATTAATCAATTGATTGGATCTGACAATAGGTTCGCTTACGTTTAGATCAAGTATTTGGTATACAATTAGTTGATTGTCCCGACAAAACAAATGAATACATTTTGGTCAACAAAATGAATAACAAAGAGATTGAATGTAGAAGTGATGTCCAAATGTACAGAACAAGTGTTTTGTCATTAGTATTGTCTGTGATCTTCATGAATGGCCAGTCGTGTGCCGAACACATAATGTGGAACTTTTTGGCCAAACTTGGCTTTGATGTCAATTCAAAGTCTCAGTTACTGTCAATCAATGGTTAGATTTAATAATAATTATTGTTTTATTTAAGTCGTATACAGTTTTATATTATAGATATTATAATGTTTATTAAAAACAGATGAACCGTCAAATAATGTGACAATAAAGAAGATGATGACAGAGCAATGGGTGCGTCAATTGTATTTAAAGTACGATCGCATGGATGGAAGTGATCCGATCACTCATGAGTTTCGGTGGGGAGTCAGAGCTGAACATGAGTTTAAAGAGATAGATATTCTTCAGTTTGTTTGCAATATCTATAACGATAGCTCAAAACCAGAAGATTGGAGATCACAGTATGATAAGTGTCAACAACACAATGATTTAGATAATGAGATACATATTATCACTGATTAACTATATATTAACATTATTACAGTTGGGTATTGACATCAATATTGAATACAAGTAAGGAATATCACTTACCATATACTGTATGTTATATACAATAAAATATATAAAAACTGTATTTAATTCAAAATTTGACTTTCATTCAAATTATAATTACAATAATACAAAGCTAATTATTTATTTATTTTTTTTGCTAATGCTATTGCGTAACACTTAAAAAATGCATTTATTAATTAATATCAACATAAGTTTGTAAATATGATTTTATTATAAATGTTATAAAAATGCATGAAAGTTTATATGCTTTTTTATTTAAAAAAGTTTCTTGGATATAATTATAATTATTAAATAATTTATATTATATTTTAAATAACAAAAATCTAATAAAAGTGATAAATGAAAGATTGGATAAAATGCCATTACTTTACCACAAGTGTCGAGACTTTTATTGTTGAAAATTATTTTATTTTTGTTGTTGTTTACTATAGAAATCTCACTTCATTTTTCAAATATATTATAATTTTTATAGTTTTTATTGAGTAGTTTAATGAATAGTGAAAATAATTAAAGATTTGTTGCAAAAGTGGGCACACCTTCCTATTTCATACATATCGTGCTTTCAATGATTTTAATAAATTTATTAAATGCAAAGACTGGCACTTCTGGACACCAAAAACTGAAAGTTAATGAAACTATTTTTTAATGATTGATAGGTTTTCCAACATTTAAACATTTGTCAAATATTTTACAGAAGTTTTTTATATTATACGATAAAATGTGTTTATAAATGATGCGAAAATTATTTTTATTTGAAATAAATTTCAATTTTCAATATGAAGAATATAACAAAAAAATTGATGAATAATGCCATTTAAGAAACATATCCTTTTGGGTAAAATCGTGAATTTTTGCTCATAAAAGTGCTCACAAACACACACACACACATACACATACACATACACATACACACATATATATATATATATATATATATATATATATATAACACATACACATACATACAGGCTGTCAATCGTTTATTTAAGAGACTTATAAACAATCTTATATGAGAAGAGGTTCAACAAGTTTTCTATTTATTTATTCATTTAATTTTATTGAAAAATGAAATTTATATTACATTTATAATATATATAAATATCTAAAATATATATTTTCTTTTTATTATAAATATTCATAAATAATTTTAAAAACAAATTGAGAACCAAAACCATTATTTCTGATAATAGTTATTAAAGTTATTTTAAAGTTCACATATTTATATATTACTAAAAAATTATTATATATTAAAATATAATTTATATATATTTTTGGCACAGAATCTAAAGTTCGCTAAACAAATGTCATGTGAAATGTTAAATATAAAAGTAATTAATTATTTAAGATATTTGTTTCTACCATTGGTTGAGATGACATAGTTTTGATCGACATATATGTCGAGTGCATTGTCTTTCCAATTGTTAGCAATTCTTGGATGTGAACCATAATTCCAGTGACAATCGGACTCGTATTCGGTTAAAGAGTGCAATGAGTTGGTAGAGATCAGTCGGTTTTGATTAGTTTTCTTTCGTTGCTTTTTATGACTATTAGTGTGTGTGTGCTGTCGGGACAGTGCGGACAGGCTTTGGTGAGATTTTGTAAGCTCTGTATTATCGCCAATACTTTGTGAATGTCTGGCCATTGAATACGATCTGTTTGATTGTCCGTCAGCTATGGACCGATGTTTCATATAGGGGTTAGTTGTCTGATAGCAGTTCGATACATGAGAACGTGTTTCATCTAACCCTAAACTATTTGGAGAGTTAATGGCAGTGCTGTCCATGTGATACATACGAGCTCTGGGTATACTACGAGTGCTATATACAGATACCGTTTCCCACTCGTGCTCTGATTTTGTTAATGGAGTAGTAGTTTTGGTTGATTTATTGCTTCGATGGTAACAACAGCTGAATATAAAGACAGCAAAGATAACAAATATACAAACAGATGCCGAAACTATTATAACTATTTTATCCAAATCACTGATTCGCTGAACATCTCGTCTTAGTTCCCGACACTGACTCAGAGGAATGTTATTTAGTTTATTATACGAGTGATCTTCTAAACTGATAATACAGACAACAATGCATTCATTTGATGGTATCTGTGGTGTCTTATATCTTCGTTGATGAGATGGCATAAGTGGTCCTTTCTTGAAGTCTCGACTGCCAAAGAAACGATAGACCACTTGATAGCCAGCGTTGTTGGACTTAATGGGTTCCCATTCAATGTTAATAGAGTTGTTATGAAAGAAGGCGTCAATAACTTTGATACTATCGCTGCCAAACATTGCACGACTTAATGGCGATTTTTTCACATTTTCTGAACTTCTGGAAAGAGGCGTTAATGTTGTTGTCATCGGTGGTGTTGAATCCATCAATTCATATATGGATCCATTGGAGCCATCATTAGTATGAGTTGAATGAACCTTCAATAAAGAAGACGCCGATAATAAAGAAGATTCGTCAGCACTGTTGTGGTCTGAGCTTTGAGATTGTGGTGCTATAGTAGTGGTGGTAGTAGTAGTTGTTGTAGTAGTAGTTGTCGATATATGGGATGGCATCTGATCCCCTGCTGACTGTTTCTCAACGATTACCTCATTTTCATTGCAAATTAGTTCCGATTGGTTTATATGAAGAAAACTTTTTCGCCTCAAACTATCAGGTTTTGCACAGAACTGTGGGTTTCTCTCACGACTGGTCACCTGTAGGTTGTGATCACCAATCCATTGGGCGATCCATTTCATCCTACAATCGCAGTCAAGATGTTTACCTAAATTTTCAGTAACAAAAGGGCGTCTAAATTAGCATTTATCTCAAATTTTAATGCATTTTAAAAATAATTTAAACCTTTTATATTTCATTCATTTTACAAACACTTCTGTATTTATTTATTTATTTATTAGATTCAGTTATATAACGTAATAATAGGTAAAGCCGTTTACAATACACTATACAAATGCCTGATAAATACATTTAATGTTTTCCTCATTAACTCATTAAAACAATTTAGTAAAAGTTTGCGTTCAGATTATTATCAAATAAAAACATTAATCAAACAAATCTTATTTAACCTCAACTTCTCAAACCATATCAAGTCTTATGTCACGAATGTTTCAAACAAAAGAAAAATTCATTAATTTTTTTATTATATTTTTTCATTTTCTCTCACTCTTTACAAACATATTAAATAAGAGACAATTGCATTAAAAATACGTTAAAAGAGAAAACTAATTAATTGAAAAAACAAACAATAAATTAAATATGAGATACTTTTTATCACATATACAGTAAAAGAGTAATTATGTTAATATTAAATATTATTATTATTATTTTAAATCACGTTTACTGGTCTCTTAACCTTAAGTTTATACAAACCGTTAAGTCTAACGGATAATTGTTTTTTGTTTGTTTGGTTTTCCTATTAAAATAATATTTAATATAATAAGATGTGTCGCCTAAAACTATATATTTAATACAATTTATATATAATTTATATGATATGTGTAATCAATTTTCCTAAAGAATTTCTAAATCTTTATATTATATAAATAAAAATTTATGACAAAACCATTAATTTGTTTTTATATTATTTGTTTGATTAAGTAGTTTATGTAAATCTAAAATACTGTATTTACTGTACTTTATAATAGGTTTTACCGTATATGAGTTATATATCAATAATACTGTATAACTACAGTAACTAAAATACAGTATTTCTCATTTACTTTTGTTAAATAAATTGTAAAATCCTTTGAACTCAACAATTGATTGAGAAAACAGTTGAGTTTAAAAAAAAGTACATAACGTTTGTTTTGACATAACATATAGATTACGGCATTATTTTGATTAATAGATTTACTAACTGTTTTGTATGGCTAAATATAAATTATATTTTATAATATATTCTTTACAGTAAACTAATATGTTTTTAGTATACATAAGCCCTTACCACCAATGCTGAGGCCTCTCAAAGTACTGTTCAAGTGTTGAAAGGCTTGGAAGGGAATGGTATTTAATGGATTGCCGTCCAGAGCTAATAACGTTAATAGAGTATTGTCACGAAACGCCCAAATCGGTATCTCCTGTATGTTATTAAAGCCTAAATCCAATACCTATTGCATGAGATAATATGAATAATCATTACTATTATATAAATGAAAAAAAAGTTTCAACAAATTAGTCGATTTCTAGCTATACTTATAGCTAATGTTAGAGTATTGCTTAACATTAAACAATTTAAATAATATTTATTTTTTGTGTTCAAAAGTTTGAAAAGTTTATGAAAAAGCGATTATGAATGAGTGTATGTATGAGTGTATGTATGAGTGTATGTATGAGTGATTGGAGAGAAAGTACTTACACGAAGTCCTGTTAGCTGTGATATAGCCTGAGAGGGGAAGTCATCCAATAAATTGTTTAATAACGACAACGAACTTAACGAGTCATTAATGCCAACGAAGGCCCGGTCGTGGAGGCGAGCAATTTGGTTGCGCTCGAGATTGATGGCCGTCAATGAATCCATACTTTTAAATACATCACCACTTATGTCATTCAATCGGTTCTGAGCCAAGTCTAAGAAAGCCAAAGACGACAGATTCCGAATAGCCGTCGGAATTGACATCAAATTTGTTGCCTTTAGGTTGAGATTCTTGAGCGTCGACTCCAAACCATTGAAAGCTCCTTCACTTATAGTGATGTTGTTGTCCGACAATTTAATTGTATTCAATTGCATGTTTGCAAATGAATTGTCTTCAATTAAACTCAATTTATTGTTAGACAAGTCAAGGGATTTAAGTGCACGAAGTGATTGAATTTGCAAATGAGGTAATTGTTTGATAAAAGTGTTTTGAATGCTTAATGTTATCAGTTTATCCTCTAATCCACTGAATGCGTCAATTGCTATATTTTCAAGTTTGCTGTTAGATATCTGTAAATTGAGAACATCCAGGTTCTTGAATACACCTCCAGGAATGGTAGTCATTGTCGAGTTGTTTATATACAACATATCAATTGGTATTTTCTGTACTGACAGATGTATGGCAGTCATGAGTTGAGTGAAGTTAACGGGACTGCACTGTATTGACAATCTTTGTACGTTATTATAGCCACAGATGCAATCTGAGTGGAGGTCTATGTGTTGAGCCGATCGAGACCACGGGCACTGACCACTTACATACCCAACCAGTTGTATCACAAACATCAACACACTTACATAAAACATTACTATTACTTTTTCACCCATTATTTTAATTATTATTTAATAATCAATGCATTGCCTGAAAGAAATTAAAAGTAAAAGTATTTTATAAAAGAAATCTCATTCAAGTAATTCATGAATTTAGTAACAAATAAAAGGTTAATTGCATTTATACAATAATTATATTATAATAATAATACTTATTAAAACAAACATTTACTTCATTAAATGCTAATATTAATGTATGATAATTTAATTTGTGTAATAACTTATTTTTCTAATATATAATTATTTATGATTCATAATGTTAATGAATATGTATTTTAAACAAAGTGTTTTTTATCCATCAACTAATTAAGCAAACATTGTATTATATGTTAAATTTTTAAATAATTTCATTAAAATTTTTATTAAATAGTCTAGTAATAAATTTTATAACTATTAAAGCTCACTTAACATTCCCTAAAAGGCTAGCATTTGTCAGTAAATTAAAATATAATGGTTTATGAGATTATCATATTTAATAAATTTATAGTTCACATTACATAAAAACGGCAAAATTATATTAAAATAAAAGATTGCACTGAAATGTTAAGCAAAAAATATAACGTTTGCAGACATTATAGGAAATAACTTCCCTGAGAGTGACTAACTTAATGGTCATTTGATTTATACACTCAAATAATTTTTTATAAAAAAAATAATAATTCTGTATTTATTATATTTCATGTATGAGCTTATTATTAAAGAATTATTATAATAATTTAGATGCATTATTTTAAAAATTAATCAAAAATAATAATAATAATAACTAAAAACTAAGTTATATCTAAATTATATCCCAAAATATTTTACTGATGTTAACATTAGATTAAACCTCAAGAAAAATTTAATGAATGTCATATTAGGTAAAACTCAATTATTTTGTTGAAATTACAGTTTTTATATTAAAAGTAATTTTTGAGACAATATCACAATATATATATAAATATATGAATTTTATTTAAGATTTATACAGGTTTCATACAATTTAAGAGGACTTAATAAAAAAAATAGTTTGACTTTTTAAAATAAAAAATATAGTGATATCACTGTTGATTACAAGAATAACAGTAAAAATGTCAAATGATAGCAGCGATGGTGTGATTGTCATCAGAGGATGTATTTACAGGAAGTTTTACATTATATGATAAGCTCTTTGTCTCACTTTTCAAAATATTATATACAGTAAGTTATTTATAAAAGCATTGAATTGAATTGAATTGAAGTGAATGTGTTTGTAATAGTGACGGCACTAAAAGCCTCTGAACATCCAGTTTAAGACTTTTACCAAATTATAGCCTTAAGTCACACCACTATTGGTAAGCGATTGATGTGATCATAGATCAGGAAGACTACCAACAAATATCTCATCTTATAATAGCATTAATAATAAAAGCAAAGCAATTGTTGTTATGTCAGTGTTTTCATTGTAATCACGATTCACTTTTTACACGAAATTGCTAAACAAATTATAAGCAATTTGTTTATATAAAATCAATTGTATAAACATATTTGCATTGATTAACAATCATTTTAAATATATCTTATTTTCAACTCAAATCATAGATTTAATTAAAGATATCGATATAAAAGAATTTTTGTTTAAATTTGATTTATTCAAAAAATTTAGTTTCAAAACATGCGGGACAACTAAATGGATAAAAAACTATTTTTAAATTACTCTAAAAATACACGTATAGTAAACACTCCAACAAAAATAATTCTTAAAATTGAAATAGTAATTAACTTAATGACAAATTACTTTATATAAAATGAGATTTACATAAATTATACAATTAATATATATTTATAACATTACTTTTCTTTATACATTGAATTACCTATACTATTGATTAATTGTAAAGGAAATTTTTTCATAAAAGTTTAATGAGGAAAATGAAAAAATTTATTTGATTTATCGTATATTAATAATTTAATGAAAACTCATTTTCTTATGTTTATTAATGAACAAAAATATAAATTAATTTAAATAGTACAAACGTAAATAATTTTAATTAATATAATTTATTTACTATATAAAAATTTATATTACTCATCTTAATATAAATATTTGCAAATATAAAAACAAATTTAAAGGTCGACTAAAAAGTTATGGTAATATTGAAAGTTGGGAAATATAAAAAAAAAATTTTCTGATAAAATCAACAATATTTATCATCCAAACAATTGGTATTTTAAAAATAACAAAACATGTGACACATCGATGAACATGAAGTCAATAAAAGGCAATACAATAGATTGAAAAGCTTTTTTCAAAAAGTATTGTATTTATTGTACTTTTCCTGATTTCTATAAAAACTCAATGAATCCCATTGTTATGGCAAACAATACATCAATATTTATTATATAATTAGGAATCTATATTTAAATATAAATTTATCAATTTATGAGAAGTACACTAAAATTGTTTGCTGGCATTCATTGAATTTATAATCCACTAAATTGATGGCAACTTTCTCGTCTCAAATTCATAACATGCAAACTATACTAAAGCCTAGACTTAGAGATAATAACTAAGAAATATGTGATTATTATGTTAATAATATTGTTTCTCATTTGCAGACATTTAGAACATTGATTTACTTAAAAACAATTTCTAAACTATTAGGTATATACTGATATTAAAATTTAAAAAATAAATTGAATGTCAATCATTATGTTTTTATAGGTTGCGTGATTGCACTAATTATTTGGTATAGTCTATATTCTAATAATTTTTAGTTATTTTAAATTAATAACATTTTAATAAAATGCTAACAAATTAACAATTGACGGTATTATATGATATGATAACAATACATTATAAAAGTAATAAATAGCTATAACTTATAATATTGATGTGAAAATTTATAATTTGAGGTGTCTTTTGTAATAATGGTTTAAATGAAAAAAGATATCTATTATAAAAATAACAACAAAAAATAAATCAATGTTTGTTATCACTAAATCATAGCATTCATTAAATGATATTTGAGAGACAAATGGATTTTCACACAATAAACGATATCAACAATAAATCGTTTGTAAGTTTTGCTATTTTTCTCACTAATGATGTTTAAAAGCATTCATTTTTGTTAAATATCTAAATATATAGAAAATTATGAGTAAATAGAGATAAAAGTGAAGTGATATAACTTTGTAACGACTTTTGGCATAAATTTATGCGGATATTAACCCCAAATGCATTATATCATTACTATATTGAATGGATGTCTCTCTCTCTCTCTCTCTCTCTCTTCTCTCACTTTTTATAACACCAAAGATAAGTCAACTATTGCTTTGAACCGATCGTATAATTTCAACACATTTACTGTTTCTTTGAAGAAAAAAACATTACTTTAATTGTCGGGTCGGCTCTATCTTTGCCAATGGTTTCGGGCTTTTATCGTAAAACAACTAAAAGTATTCATAATTTGCATTACTTTGTTTGATGTAAATAGAAAATTGTATTTTTTGCAAAATAAATATAAAGTATAGTATTATTATTAATATATGTAATAATTTCTAATTACTATTTTCACTATAAAAGATAAAATAAAAATTATTATTCAATACAAATCTTAATCGTTTGTGATTTTTATCAAAAATATTTTAATGTTTGCTAATTATTAGTGACAAACACTGACTGAGAGGGCCTTTAAAAATCACGGAGAGAAGCAACAGGTGTTCAATATTTAAACAACCAGTCCTTGAACTATATTATTAAATATTCGTATCTATAGTCATATATTTAGAGCTAAACTTTTGTTGTTAACTATTTGTTTGCAATTTATTGCTAAAGAAATGAAAATTTCTGCGATTGAATAACAATTGTATGCATTGTTCGGCAAAAATATTTAACAATAAAATCTTGTTTTGTCTCTCAATTGACCGCACCTTATCTTTGATGTGATTTTTTTAGTTATGTATAGCACTTGCTTTTAGTTTTTATTTGTATAAGAAGAGAGAGAGAGAGAGAGAGAGAGAGAGAGAGAGAGAGAGAGAGAAAGTATTGGCAATACTGTATTGGAGTGGCTTTACATTCATTCATAATTGCTTTCTATAAATACATATCATAATCATAATTTCAATTTTATTTTTGTACACTATATTTATATATAGCTATTATATAAGTTGATGTTTGATTACATAACAGCATGTTTTGTATTCAAACCAAACGATAATTGTAATCAAACACATTATAAGTAAAGAATTTTCATTAAACAAATATTTATGAGAATTTAAATTTATTTTCAGACAATCATAAAATATAAAAAATAATAAGAAAATTGTTTATATTTATATAATATACAGTAAAAACACATAATATATAATAAAGCGGATCCAACAAAAATATTTAGAAAAATGGTTTATTTCATTTTCACGCATTTATGTAAAGATTTATATATATTAATATATAAAAAATAATTATTTTAAAAATCTGGTTATCTAAAAAATTGCTAAAATAATTAGACTCCGTATCTGATTTAAAAAATATAATAACATTTAAAAATAATTTTTAAAATATATATTAAATACTATTTTTATAACTTATACAATATACTTTTAAATACTTTTTAATCGTTACTAACATATTTATTAATAAAAATTAATAATATTAAATAAAATTAAAATTAATTAACACGTAGATTAAACAACTATAAAATATAAAAATATTTCATATATAAATAATAATTGATATAAATTGAAATAAAATTTTATCTTTTTTGTATTATTAATTTGGTTATATAAAACTAATCTAATGTAAGCTAATGTTTATTTAAATATAAATTAATAATTCATAGATAATGAATATGAAACGATGATTTTAAATATATATCTATATATTTACTACTTTAAGCCAAAATTTGATTAATAAAACAAATATAAAAAGCACAACAAAAAAGCAATAATAAGAAAATAAAAATTTAAGCAAATGCCAAAAAGTGAAATTGATTTACAGTATATATAATACATAAAGTGTATTAAATAATTGAAAATAAGTCTAAATATAACTTGTATTACTAAACGCCTTTAACGATGGCAATGATATAAAAGTTTACTTTCACTATTACTTCTATATCACTGTTTATAAATAGTTTAAAATAAAATAAAAAATATAAAGCATACCATTAAATCACATGCGTCTATATTGTGTTGATTTCATTTACAAACTAAATTAAAATATATATTTAATTTAATAATTATTGATTTTTAAGTCAATTAAACACATAAAACAACAAATTAAATCATGTGAAAAATTATTATCAAAACATATGTATGTTTTATAAAGCATTTGCACAAAAGTCAAAACTATAAGACAGTAAGCATTATAGTTATAAAATAAATCTGTGGTTTAAAAGTTAACTTTTGGTTCACAAGAGATAGTACATCGAAAAAGCATTGAATACAACAATTGATGGGAAGGAAAGCCTGAACGACAACTTCAGGCAATCCAACGATAGGAAGGGTCGATGAAACCTGTTTTAGGGGATATCGGGGCTGTTGTGCACTGGTTTTACTTTTAAAGCAATGTCATGGCATGTCTTATATTATATAACTATAGGTATATACAGTATATAAATAGTTTTTTAAATAACGCGATGACCGTAACTCTCATCGAGTTTTACTATTATATAAAAATTTTATTTACAAATACTCTATATATATATACTGTATATACCGGTATATAAATGATTAAATTTAAACAATTCATCCAAATTTTTGGCAATCTTTATAATTTTGTTATATATAAATCTAAACTTAAATATTATTACTAAATTAATTAAAATATTTGTATTACTATCAGTTATCTTAAATTATATCTAAGTATACATAAAGACATAATGTATAAAGATTATGAACATACTGTACATTTCATGCTTATTATATAAATGTCTATTTTTATAATTAAATTCAATGTCTTTAAAGATGAACTTTTCAGTATAAAACTGATTTTATGATACAAAAAATAATTTATAAAATATAATTGTATAAATGTGAATTTATAATTTTCTTGAATTAATTGCAAATTAATAAATATAACGTATATTTAATATAAAATTAATTAAATGTTTACAAATAAAGTATATTAAAATAATAAAACTATATATTTGTAGTTAAACTCAATAGTTGACACATTTGTTGCGATTATTTATAGCATCTGATGGCTCCTCTCATCCAACACTTCCTTATATATTCAGACAACTTTTAAAACTTTATTATTATTTCAACGATTGCGAGCTTTAAGACCAAAAGATAAACACATTATAATATATTCAAATAGTTGAACCAGATTTTTCCAAAATTAAAATTGTTATGTAATAAAAAAATGAAATTTATATATTTTGTTAAATATCAAATCAAATCAATTAAATTCAAATGAATGGGAATTTTAAAAAACGAAATTTATAAATTGTACAAAATATTTATAAGAATAAAAAATTATCCAATAATAATATAATACTGTATTACTACTGTTTACATACTAAAATTTAAAATGCTAATCTATAAATATTATTATTATAATAATATAATAATAATTTTATTAATTTTATGAAATAAAAAAATTATAATAAAGTTAAGTAACAGTTATTCTATCATTATTTATATTAATATATATATATATTTAGATTAGATTAAAATAATATTTATTAAAAAACATTTGATTAATAAATGATTAATATTTTGAAAATCAGATTAATTTTAAAATATAAATTAATTGTTTTATTAGTGGATTAATTAATAGATTGATAAAATTTAATGAAATTAATGTCACCAAAAACCCTGTAAACCTATTTTTAATTATATTCTATATATTCAGTGAATTGGATGAATACCAAAATAGTGATGTAAATCGTCCCAAAAAATTCATGAATTTGCTGATCAATACTTGTGTCTGTTTGAGACACAATTGCAGTGACACTCAAACAAATACTTTACTTTATTTTTATATCACTTATAGTTTTAAGTCTTCAAAATAAAGTTATCTCTTATGAACAGTGTTTTGATACCTCAAAAATATTATTGTATCTAAAATATGTAATTTAATAATTATAAATATAATGTATAATTTAAATCAATAATAGTTTTAATGGAAAAAACTAATCAAGAGATAAATTTAGTTGAAATAATTGATGAAAGAGTATTACAAAATACGGTAAGTTTTGTAAATCATTCAAATTAAATCTTCTATAAAAATAAAAATATTTAGTATTAATTAATAGTAATAATATTAAATAATTGAAATTTACAAAAAAAACTATTAAGATATATAATTAGAATTATAATTAAAATATTTTTAAAATTAACAAATTGTATAAAATAGTAAATGGTATTTTAAAATACATAACAGTATCAACAAAAAATAATAATATAAAATACTGTAAATAATGGAAAATTTATACATACATTAAAAATAGTTTATTTAAATAACTAATATTTAAATTTTTAAATCAAAAGTCCGACCGAAATGCAAACGAACGAACCGACGACCGAATTGCTTCGGGAGCTGACAGTCGGGAATTGGAAGCCATTAAACAACCAAATTTCGTCAGACCATTGACAGCTCAAGTGGTCAGTGAAGGACAAGATGTCAGCTTTGAAGCACAAATCACACCTATAAATGACCCGACGGTCACCATTGAGTGGTTATATAACGGACAGCCATTAAAATGTGGTAAATATTAGTTATTAAAATTAATATCTAAATATAATTAATGTTAAAAAATAAATTAAATATTATTTCGATAATTAGGCTCAAGAATAACTACTTATTACAGTTTAGGACACATTTCGTTAAACATATCACATGTGAAACAAATAGATAAAGGAATTTATACACTAAAAGTCAATAATTCAATTGGAGAAGCACTTAGTACTGCATCTCTTAATATTAAAAGTAATAATCATTTATAGAAATAAATTATAATATTAATAAAATTAACTAAAATTTATTATAAAATATGATATTTCTATTCAGATCCGACAAAAAAGAGAAGTGAAGAAGAAATCTACGAAAAAATGGATCAAAAGAAACGATCAAAAACTGAATTCATTGATCGAGACTTAGAACCAAAACAAATGCCAACATTTCTAACGCATATCAGAGACCAGATTAATGTAAACGAAGGAAATGTTGTGATGTTTGAGGCATATTTGGAACCATTGGGAGACTCGACAATGAAAGTCAAATGGCTTAAAGATAACAAACAATTGGGCGCCAGTTCTAGAATCACTACTTTCTTTGATTTTGGATATATTTCTTTGACAATCAAAGATATAATAAAAGCTGATGAAGGGATATACGTCTGTTTAGCAGAAAATAGTTATGGATTCGCTAAAAGTATAGCAAAATTAACAATTAGTAAAGAAATACAAGAAAGTGATTTGAATTACAACCAAAATATTTCATATAAAAAATATTCAGAAAATAATTACTATTTTGACGATAAATCAAATGAGAAAATCAAATCAAATGACTTCGAACAGCAATGTATTGATTTTAACAAACAATTTGAGCAAATGATTGAAATTAAAAAACAATCAAATATTAGAAATATAATATCACCACAACTTATGACAACACGTCCTGTATTTACGAAAACATTTAAAAAACTGGAAATCTTTAGAGAGGGTCAGTCGGCACATCTCGAGTGCAGACTTGAACCCATTAATGACCCGACAATGACTGTCGAATGGTTCCTAAATGGAGTTCCCCTCAAAACTGGACACCGATTTAATTTAACCAATGATTTTGGATATATAGCTCTCGATATACTGTATGTATATCCAGAAGATACGGGCACTTATATGTGTCGGGCAGTCAATGCTATGGGAGAAGCAGTTATTACCAGTTCAATACAAGTTGAGCCTCGAAAAGTTATTGATACGGATCCGATACTTGAGCAAAGTTTGCAACAAATTGTTGAACTCGAGAGACCACATGTCAGACACAGATTATCGCCACCATTGGAGACAACTCGTCCTGTATTTACAAAGACATTGAAAAATTTGGAAAACCTTAGAGAGGGTCAGTCGGCACATCTCGAGTGCAGACTTGAACCCATTAATGACCCGACAATGACTGTCGAATGGTTCCTAAATGGAGTTCCCCTCAAAACTGGACACCGATTTAATTTAACCAATGATTTTGGATATATAGCTCTCGATATACTGTATGTATATCCAGAAGATACGGGCACTTATATGTGTCGGGCAGTCAATGCTATGGGAGAAGCAGTTATTACCAGTTCAATACAAGTTGAGCCTCGAAAAGTTATTGATACGGATCCGATACTTGAGCAAAGTTTGCAACAAATTGTTGAACTCGAGAGACCACATGTCAGACACAGATTATCGCCACCATTGGAGACAACTCGTCCTGTATTTACAAAGACATTGAAAAATTTGGAAAACCTTAGAGAGGGTCAGTCGGCACATCTCGAGTGCAGACTTGAACCCATTAATGACCCGACAATGACTGTCGAATGGTTCCTAAATGGAGTTCCCCTCAAAACTGGACACCGATTTAATTTAACCAATGATTTTGGATATATAGCTCTCGATATACTGTATGTATATCCAGAAGATACGGGCACTTATATGTGTCGGGCAGTCAATGCTATGGGAGAAGCAGTTATTACCAGTTCAATACAAGTTGAGCCTCGAAAAGTTATTGATACGGATCCGATACTTGAGCAAAGTTTGCAACAAATTGTTGAACTCGAGAGACCACATGTCAGACACAGATTATCGCCACCATTGGAGACAACTCGTCCTGTATTTACAAAGACATTGAAAAATTTGGAAAACCTTAGAGAGGGTCAGTCGGCACATCTCGAGTGCAGACTTGAACCCATTAATGACCCGACAATGACTGTCGAATGGTTCCTAAATGGAGTTCCCCTCAAAACTGGACACCGATTTAATTTAACCAATGATTTTGGATATATAGCTCTCGATATACTGTATGTATATCCAGAAGATACGGGCACTTATATGTGTCGGGCAGTCAATGCTATGGGAGAAGCAGTTATTACCAGTTCAATACAAGTTGAGCCTCGAAAAGTTATTGATACGGATCCGATACTTGAGCAAAGTTTGCAACAAATTGTTGAACTCGAGAGACCACATGTCAGACACAGATTATCGCCACCATTGGAGACAACTCGTCCTGTATTTACAAAGACATTGAAAAATTTGGAAAACCTTAGAGAGGGTCAGTCGGCACATCTCGAGTGCAGACTTGAACCCATTAATGACCCGACAATGACTGTCGAATGGTTCCTAAATGGAGTTCCCCTCAAAACTGGACACCGATTTAATTTAACCAATGATTTTGGATATATAGCTCTCGATATACTGTATGTATATCCAGAAGATACGGGCACTTATATGTGTCGGGCAGTCAATGCTATGGGAGAAGCAGTTATTACCAGTTCAATACAAGTTGAGCCTCGAAAAGTTATTGATACGGATCCGATACTTGAGCAAAGTTTGCAACAAATTGTTGAACTCGAGAGACCACATGTCAGACACAGATTATCGCCACCATTGGAGACAACTCGTCCTGTATTTACAAAGACATTGAAAAATTTGGAAAACCTTAGAGAGGGTCAGTCGGCACATCTCGAGTGCAGACTTGAACCCATTAATGACCCGACAATGACTGTCGAATGGTTCCTAAATGGAGTTCCCCTCAAAACTGGACACCGATTTAATTTAACCAATGATTTTGGATATATAGCTCTCGATATACTGTATGTATATCCAGAAGATACGGGCACTTATATGTGTCGGGCAGTCAATGCTATGGGAGAAGCAGTTATTACCAGTTCAATACAAGTTGAGCCTCGAAAAGTTATTGATACGGATCCGATACTTGAGCAAAGTTTGCAACAAATTGTTGAACTCGAGAGACCACATGTCAGACACAGATTATCGCCACCATTGGAGACAACTCGTCCTGTATTTACAAAGACATTGAAAAATTTGGAAAACCTTAGAGAGGGTCAGTCGGCACATCTCGAGTGCAGACTTGAACCCATTAATGACCCGACAATGACTGTCGAATGGTTCCTAAATGGAGTTCCCCTCAAAACTGGACACCGATTTAATTTAACCAATGATTTTGGATATATAGCTCTCGATATACTGTATGTATATCCAGAAGATACGGGCACTTATATGTGTCGGGCAGTCAATGCTATGGGAGAAGCAGTTATTACCAGTTCAATACAAGTTGAGCCTCGAAAAGTTATTGATACGGATCCGATACTTGAGCAAAGTTTGCAACAAATTGTTGAACTCGAGAGACCACATGTCAGACACAGATTATCGCCACCATTGGAGACAACTCGTCCTGTATTTACAAAGACATTGAAAAATTTGGAAAACCTTAGAGAGGGTCAGTCGGCACATCTCGAGTGCAGACTTGAACCCATTAATGACCCGACAATGACTGTCGAATGGTTCCTAAATGGAGTTCCCCTCAAAACTGGACACCGATTTAATTTAACCAATGATTTTGGATATATAGCTCTCGATATACTGTATGTATATCCAGAAGATACGGGCACTTATATGTGTCGGGCAGTCAATGCTATGGGAGAAGCAGTTATTACCAGTTCAATACAAGTTGAGCCTCGAAAAGTTATTGATACGGATCCGATACTTGAGCAAAGTTTGCAACAAATTGTTGAACTCGAGAGACCACATGTCAGACACAGATTATCGCCACCATTGGAGACAACTCGTCCTGTATTTACAAAGACATTGAAAAATTTGGAAAACCTTAGAGAGGGTCAGTCGGCACATCTCGAGTGCAGACTTGAACCCATTAATGACCCGACAATGACTGTCGAATGGTTCCTAAATGGAGTTCCCCTCAAAACTGGACACCGATTTAATTTAACCAATGATTTTGGATATATAGCTCTCGATATACTGTATGTATATCCAGAAGATACGGGCACTTATATGTGTCGGGCAGTCAATGCTATGGGAGAAGCAGTTATTACCAGTTCAATACAAGTTGAGCCTCGAAAAGTTATTGATACGGATCCGATACTTGAGCAAAGTTTGCAACAAATTGTTGAACTCGAGAGACCACATGTCAGACACAGATTATCGCCACCATTGGAGACAACTCGTCCTGTATTTACAAAGACATTGAAAAATTTGGAAAACCTTAGAGAGGGTCAGTCGGCACATCTCGAGTGCAGACTTGAACCCATTAATGACCCGACAATGACTGTCGAATGGTTCCTAAATGGAGTTCCCCTCAAAACTGGACACCGATTTAATTTAACCAATGATTTTGGATATATAGCTCTCGATATACTGTATGTATATCCAGAAGATACGGGCACTTATATGTGTCGGGCAGTCAATGCTATGGGAGAAGCAGTTATTACCAGTTCAATACAAGTTGAGCCTCGAAAAGTTATTGATACGGATCCGATACTTGAGCAAAGTTTGCAACAAATTGTTGAACTCGAGAGACCACATGTCAGACACAGATTATCGCCACCATTGGAGACAACTCGTCCTGTATTTACAAAGACATTGAAAAATTTGGAAAACCTTAGAGAGGGTCAGTCGGCACATCTCGAGTGCAGACTTGAACCCATTAATGACCCGACAATGACTGTCGAATGGTTCCTAAATGGAGTTCCCCTCAAAACTGGACACCGATTTAATTTAACCAATGATTTTGGATATATAGCTCTCGATATACTGTATGTATATCCAGAAGATACGGGCACTTATATGTGTCGGGCAGTCAATGCTATGGGAGAAGCAGTTATTACCAGTTCAATACAAGTTGAGCCTCGAAAAGTTATTGATACGGATCCGATACTTGAGCAAAGTTTGCAACAAATTGTTGAACTCGAGAGACCACATGTCAGACACAGATTATCGCCACCATTGGAGACAACTCGTCCTGTATTTACAAAGACATTGAAAAATTTGGAAAACCTTAGAGAGGGTCAGTCGGCACATCTCGAGTGCAGACTTGAACCCATTAATGACCCGACAATGACTGTCGAATGGTTCCTAAATGGAGTTCCCCTCAAAACTGGACACCGATTTAATTTAACCAATGATTTTGGATATATAGCTCTCGATATACTGTATGTATATCCAGAAGATACGGGCACTTATATGTGTCGGGCAGTCAATGCTATGGGAGAAGCAGTTATTACCAGTTCAATACAAGTTGAGCCTCGAAAAGTTATTGATACGGATCCGATACTTGAGCAAAGTTTGCAACAAATTGTTGAACTCGAGAGACCACATGTCAGACACAGATTATCGCCACCATTGGAGACAACTCGTCCTGTATTTACAAAGACATTGAAAAATTTGGAAAACCTTAGAGAGGGTCAGTCGGCACATCTCGAGTGCAGACTTGAACCCATTAATGACCCGACAATGACTGTCGAATGGTTCCTAAATGGAGTTCCCCTCAAAACTGGACACCGATTTAATTTAACCAATGATTTTGGATATATAGCTCTCGATATACTGTATGTATATCCAGAAGATACGGGCACTTATATGTGTCGGGCAGTCAATGCTATGGGAGAAGCAGTTATTACCAGTTCAATACAAGTTGAGCCTCGAAAAGTTATTGATACGGATCCGATACTTGAGCAAAGTTTGCAACAAATTGTTGAACTCGAGAGACCACATGTCAGACACAGATTATCGCCACCATTGGAGACAACTCGTCCTGTATTTACAAAGACATTGAAAAATTTGGAAAACCTTAGAGAGGGTCAGTCGGCACATCTCGAGTGCAGACTTGAACCCATTAATGACCCGACAATGACTGTCGAATGGTTCCTAAATGGAGTTCCCCTCAAAACTGGACACCGATTTAATTTAACCAATGATTTTGGATATATAGCTCTCGATATACTGTATGTATATCCAGAAGATACGGGCACTTATATGTGTCGGGCAGTCAATGCTATGGGAGAAGCAGTTATTACCAGTTCAATACAAGTTGAGCCTCGAAAAGTTATTGATACGGATCCGATACTTGAGCAAAGTTTGCAACAAATTGTTGAACTCGAGAGACCACATGTCAGACACAGATTATCGCCACCATTGGAGACAACTCGTCCTGTATTTACAAAGACATTGAAAAATTTGGAAAACCTTAGAGAGGGTCAGTCGGCACATCTCGAGTGCAGACTTGAACCCATTAATGACCCGACAATGACTGTCGAATGGTTCCTAAATGGAGTTCCCCTCAAAACTGGACACCGATTTAATTTAACCAATGATTTTGGATATATAGCTCTCGATATACTGTATGTATATCCAGAAGATACGGGCACTTATATGTGTCGGGCAGTCAATGCTATGGGAGAAGCAGTTATTACCAGTTCAATACAAGTTGAGCCTCGAAAAGTTATTGATACGGATCCGATACTTGAGCAAAGTTTGCAACAAATTGTTGAACTCGAGAGACCACATGTCAGACACAGATTATCGCCACCATTGGAGACAACTCGTCCTGTATTTACAAAGACATTGAAAAATTTGGAAAACCTTAGAGAGGGTCAGTCGGCACATCTCGAGTGCAGACTTGAACCCATTAATGACCCGACAATGACTGTCGAATGGTTCCTAAATGGAGTTCCCCTCAAAACTGGACACCGATTTAATTTAACCAATGATTTTGGATATATAGCTCTCGATATACTGTATGTATATCCAGAAGATACGGGCACTTATATGTGTCGGGCAGTCAATGCTATGGGAGAAGCAGTTATTACCAGTTCAATACAAGTTGAGCCTCGAAAAGTTATTGATACGGATCCGATACTTGAGCAAAGTTTGCAACAAATTGTTGAACTCGAGAGACCACATGTCAGACACAGATTATCGCCACCATTGGAGACAACTCGTCCTGTATTTACAAAGACATTGAAAAATTTGGAAAACCTTAGAGAGGGTCAGTCGGCACATCTCGAGTGCAGACTTGAACCCATTAATGACCCGACAATGACTGTCGAATGGTTCCTAAATGGAGTTCCCCTCAAAACTGGACACCGATTTAATTTAACCAATGATTTTGGATATATAGCTCTCGATATACTGTATGTATATCCAGAAGATACGGGCACTTATATGTGTCGGGCAGTCAATGCTATGGGAGAAGCAGTTATTACCAGTTCAATACAAGTTGAGCCTCGAAAAGTTATTGATACGGATCCGATACTTGAGCAAAGTTTGCAACAAATTGTTGAACTCGAGAGACCACATGTCAGACACAGATTATCGCCACCATTGGAGACAACTCGTCCTGTATTTACAAAGACATTGAAAAATTTGGAAAACCTTAGAGAGGGTCAGTCGGCACATCTCGAGTGCAGACTTGAACCCATTAATGACCCGACAATGACTGTCGAATGGTTCCTAAATGGAGTTCCCCTCAAAACTGGACACCGATTTAATTTAACCAATGATTTTGGATATATAGCTCTCGATATACTGTATGTATATCCAGAAGATACGGGCACTTATATGTGTCGGGCAGTCAATGCTATGGGAGAAGCAGTTATTACCAGTTCAATACAAGTTGAGCCTCGAAAAGTTATTGATACGGATCCGATACTTGAGCAAAGTTTGCAACAAATTGTTGAACTCGAGAGACCACATGTCAGACACAGATTATCGCCACCATTGGAGACAACTCGTCCTGTATTTACAAAGACATTGAAAAATTTGGAAAACCTTAGAGAGGGTCAGTCGGCACATCTCGAGTGCAGACTTGAACCCATTAATGACCCGACAATGACTGTCGAATGGTTCCTAAATGGAGTTCCCCTCAAAACTGGACACCGATTTAATTTAACCAATGATTTTGGATATATAGCTCTCGATATACTGTATGTATATCCAGAAGATACGGGCACTTATATGTGTCGGGCAGTCAATGCTATGGGAGAAGCAGTTATTACCAGTTCAATACAAGTTGAGCCTCGAAAAGTTATTGATACGGATCCGATACTTGAGCAAAGTTTGCAACAAATTGTTGAACTCGAGAGACCACATGTCAGACACAGATTATCGCCACCATTGGAGACAACTCGTCCTGTATTTACAAAGACATTGAAAAATTTGGAAAACCTTAGAGAGGGTCAGTCGGCACATCTCGAGTGCAGACTTGAACCCATTAATGACCCGACAATGACTGTCGAATGGTTCCTAAATGGAGTTCCCCTCAAAACTGGACACCGATTTAATTTAACCAATGATTTTGGATATATAGCTCTCGATATACTATATGTATATCCAGAAGATACGGGCACTTATATGTGTCGGGCAGTCAATGCTATGGGAGAAGCAGTTATTACCAGTTCAATACAAGTTGAGCCTCGAAAAGTTATTGATACGGATCCGATACTTGAGCAAAGTTTGCAACAAATTGTTGAACTCGAGAGACCACATGTCAGACACAGATTATCGCCACCATTGGAGACAACTCGTCCTGTATTTACAAAGACATTGAAAAATTTGGAAAACCTTAGAGAGGGTCAGTCGGCACATCTCGAGTGCAGACTTGAACCCATTAATGACCCGACAATGACTGTCGAATGGTTCCTAAATGGAGTTCCCCTCAAAACTGGACACCGATTTAATTTAACCAATGATTTTGGATATATAGCTCTCGATATACTGTATGTATATCCAGAAGATACGGGCACTTATATGTGTCGGGCAGTCAATGCTTTTGGTTCAGTCGATTCATTCTGTATTATAACAGTCAGAGGAGAGTATTCTATTCATGACTTTAGAATCTCAAGTGTTTCTCCTGTTATGAGACAATCGATTCAAACGCATGAAACCAATGAATCCGAAGAAATCATTGATATTTTGGATTTTACAAAACCACGTGACGTCACATCTATTCTTGATATTAAATCTTCTCCTCATTTGTTAAAAAAACCAAAACCTGAACCAAAACTTAGTGTTAATAAGATATTTGCAAAATTTGATTCAAACAAATCTGATACAAAACAATCAGTTGTTGAAACAAAAGATCAAACTTTTATTGAAATCAGTTCCCGTAAAATGAAATTAAAATCTAAACCATTAATTTCATCGACAGATATAAACTTTACTCAACAATCAATAAGTTCTGAAGATATTATACAAAGTGATGAAAACAAATTTGATGATAATTTCGAGTTTAATAAAGAAAATATTAAACAATTGGAAACAACACAAGAAGTTACTGAAAAACCATATCATATGAGTTCTCGTAAATTAAAAATTATCACAAAAGCTAAACCAATAAATACAACTTCAGAACAGGAAATACTTAACGAAAAATTAGTTAATACTTTAACAAAATTGGATGAAACAAATCAAATGAAATCTAATAAACATTTGTTAGATTTTGCGGATCAAACCTCAAAAACAATTGTATTATCTGAAGACACAGCAAAAGCTTCGACATCTCATGATTTACCCTTTGATATAAACAAACGCAAAATGATTGTCATTACAAAATCAAAACCGTCTGAAAAAGAAATGGATTTAATTGAAGAAAACTTAATACAAACAGCATTAACATCACAACAGTTGCATCCAAAAGATATTAATGAAGAAGTTTATGATTTGACTGATAATATTGAGTCACAAAAAATTATTGTCAAATCAAAGCATTTCAGTAAAATTGAAGACAAAACATCATTTACTTCATTAGATGATAAACAAAATATTTTGCACACAATTGAGACAAATGATAACGAAATTTCATCTCAACAGCCAATTGTTGTAAACACGCGAAGAATTATTATTAAAAAATCAATTCCACAATCAATGACTAAAATGGAGACAAAAATGGAAAGTATTGTTCAGGAAATAGTAGAACAAACGGAACAACAAAATGATTTACAAGAAGTGGATTCTACAAGAAGTCAATTACCAAAAATAACAATAATATCCAAACATATGACAAATTTAAATGAAGGCGATTCGGCACACATTGTGGCAACTCTTTGGCCATTAAGCGACCTTTCAATGGCTATTGAATGGCATTTCAATGGCGAACCATTGATGGCGAGCAACAGAATCAATACAATATACTCTTGCGGTCACATTATTCTTGAGATATTTAATGTCAGTTTACAAGACTCTGGTATTTATACGTGTATTGCAAGTAATCAATCAGGAAGTGATCGCATAGATGTCCGCTTAGAGATTGACAACAAAAACATTAATTTATTGGAAAACATGAATATTATTAAATATAAATCTCAACAAACAGTTGATATAAATAATTTTAAGGTTAATTATTAATTTAAATCATAATTTAAATTGTAAATTATAATAAATAATAAATTGCATTATAAATATAAAAATAAAATTTTAAAAATAATACTGAAATTTATAATTTATATTTAGGAAACAAATACAACAAAAGATGGACAAGAAATTAGTAATGCAATTAAATTTGACAAAATGGCGGATAAAATAGGTAATAATTAATAAAAAAATCTAAAAATTTAATATTATTGGCTGAAACTTTTATAGAAAATTATTATTTATAAAAATTTTATAATTATAGCCATTAGAGGGATTAAAAGTGATAGCATTGGAAAAAATTCTATAAAAGGTGAAAAAATGTGTGACAAATAAAGTTAAAAGCTTTACTAAATAAATAATATTAACGCTATTGTATGCAATAAAGCGCGCAATTAATAATTTGTATTTCAGATAAAATAAAATGTAAGTATTATAAAATTTTGAGCTATAAATGGGCTAAAATGCAATATTATAAATGAAAAATAATGGAAATAAAAAATAAATAGAAAAAAATAAAGTGCCAGTGGATAGTAATGGAGAAAAAATAATAATAAAAGTAAAACAAAGAGAAACAAATAAAGATAAAAGAAAACTATCTGAGACTACATTAGTTGAAGAACAGATTGAAATAACTGATCGAAAGCCATCAGTAATAACACTTCCAGATAAAAGTACCAATCAATTGGTGGACATGACTACTGAAGAAATAAGTCAAATTCCTGTCGATAGTAGTAAACAAAAAATTAAAATTAAATCAAAACAAAGACCAACAACTGATGATGAAATAAAATCATCTGAGACTACATTAGTTGAAGAAAAGATTGAAATAATTGATCGAAAGCCGTCTGTGACAACACTTCCAGATAAAAGTACCGATCAATTGGTGGACATGACTACTGAAGAAATAAGTCAAATTCCTGTCGATAGTAGTAAACAAAAAATTAAAATTAAATCAAAACAAAAACCAACATCTGATGATGAAATAAAATCATCTGAGACTACATTAGTTGAAGAAAAGATTGAAATAATTGATCGAAAGCCGTCTGTGACAACACTTCCAGATAAAAGTACCGATCAATTGGTGGACATGACTACTGAAGAAATAAGACAAATTCCTGTCGATAGTAGTAAACAAAAAATTAAAATTAAATCAAAACAAAGACCAACAACTGATGATGAAATAAAATCATCTGAGACTACATTAGTTGAAGAAAAGATTGAAATAACTGATCGAAAGCCGTCTGTGACAACACTTCCAGATAAAAGTACCGATCAATTGGTGGACATGACTACTGAAGAAATAAGTCAAATTCCTGTCGATAGTAGTAAACAAAAAATTAAAATTAAATCAAAACAAAGACCAACAACTGATGATGAAATAAAATCATCTGAGACTACATTAGTTGAAGAAAAGATTGAAATAACTGATCGAAAGCCGTCAGTGACAACACTTCCAGATAAAAGTACCGATCAATTGGTGGACATGACTACTGAAGAAATAAGTCAAATTCCTGTCGATAGTAGTAAACAAAAAATTAAAATTAAATCAAAACAAAGACCAACAACTGATGATGAAATAAAATCATCTGAGACTACATTAGTTGAAGAAAAGATTGAAATAACTGATCGAAAGCCGTCAGTGACAACACTTCCAGATAAAAGTACCGATCAATTGGTGGACATGACTACTGAAGAAATAAGTCAAATTCCTGTCGATAGTAGTAAACAAAAAATTAAAATTAAATCAAAACAAAGACCAACAACTGATGATGAAATAAAATCATCTGAGACTACATTAGTTGAAGAAAAGATTGAAATAATTGATCGAAAGCCGTCTGTGACAACACTTCCAGATAAAAGTACCGATCAATTGGTGGACATGACTACTGAAGAAATAAGTCAAATTCCTGTCGATAGTAGTAAACAAAAAATTAAAATTAAATCAAAACAAAGACCAACAACTGATGATGAAATAAAATCATCTGAGACTACATTAGTTGAAGAAAAGATTGAAATAACTGATCGAAAGCCGTCAGTGACAACACTTCCAGATAAAAGTACCGATCAATTGGTGGACAAATCTGAAGAAATAAGTCAAATTCCTGTCGATAGTAGTAAACAAAAAATTAAAATTAAATCAAAACAAAGACCAACAACTGATGATGAAATAAAATCATCTGAGACTACATTAGTTGAAGAAAAGATTGAAATAACTGATCGAAAGCCGTCAGTGACAACACTTCCAGATAAAAGTACCGATCAATTGGTGGACAAATCTGAAGAAATAAGTCAAATTCCTGTCGATAGTAGTAAACAAAAAATTAAAATTAAATCAAAACAAAGACCAACAACTGATGATGAAATAAAATCATCTGAGACTACATTAGTTGAAGAAAAGATTGAAATAACTGATCGAAAGCCGTCAGTGACAACACTTCCAGATAAAAGTACCGATCAATTGGTGGACATGACTACTGAAGAAATAAGTCAAATTCCTGTCGATAGTAGTAAACAAAAAATTAAAATTAAATCAAAACAAAGACCAACAATTGATGATGAAATAAAATCATCTGAGACTACATTAGTTGAAGAAAAGATTGAAATAACTGATCGAAAGCCGTCAGTGACAACACTTCCAGATAAAAGTACCGATCAATTGGTGGACATGACTACTGAAGAAATAAGTCAAATTCCTGTCGATAGTAGTAAACAAAAAATTAAAATTAAATCAAAACAAAGACCAACAACTGATGATGAAATAAAATTATCTGAGACTACATTAGTTGAAGAAAAGATTGAAATAATTGATCGAAAGCCGTCTGTGACAACACTTCCAGATAAAAGTACTGATCAATTGGTGACCATGACTACTGAAGAAATAAGTCAAATTCCTGTCGATAGTAGTAAACAAAAAATTAAAATTAAATCAAAACAAAGACCAACAACTGATGATGAAATAAAATCATCTGAGACTACATTAGTTGAAGAAAAGATTGAAATAACTGATCGAAAGCCGTCAGTGACAACACTTCCAGATAAAAGTACCGATCAATTGGTGGACAAATCTGAAGAAATAAGTCAAATTCCTGTCGATAGTAGTAAACAAAAAATTAAAATTAAATCAAAACAAAGACCAACAACTGATGATGAAATAAAATCATCTGAGACTACATTAGTTGAAGAAAAGATTGAAATAACTGATCGAAAGCCGTCAGTGACAACACTTCCAGATAAAAGTACCGATCAATTGGTGGACATGACTACTGAAGAAATAAGTCAAATTCCTGTCGATAGTAGTAAACAAAAAATTAAAATTAAATCAAAACAAAGACCAACAATTGATGATGAAATAAAATCATCTGAGACTACATTAGTTGAAGAAAAGATTGAAATAACTGATCGAAAGCCGTCAGTGACAACACTTCCAGATAAAAGTACCGATCAATTGGTGGACATGACTACTGAAGAAATAAGTCAAATTCCTGTCGATAGTAGTAAACAAAAAATTAAAATTAAATCAAAACAAAGACCAACAATTGATGATGAAATAAAATCATCTGAGACTACATTAGTTGAAGAAAAGATTGAAATAACTGATCGAAAGCCGTCAGTGACAACACTTCCAGATAAAAGTACCGATCAATTGGTGGACATGACTACTGAAGAAATAAGTCAAATTCCTGTCGATAGTAGTAAACAAAAAATTAAAATTAAATCAAAACAAAGACCAACAACTGATGATGAAATAAAATTATCTGAGACTACATTAGTTGAAGAAAAGATTGAAATAATTGATCGAAAGCCGTCTGTGACAACACTTCCAGATAAAAGTACCGATCAATTGGTGGACAAATCTGAAGAAATAAGTCAAATTCCTGTCGATAGTAGTAAACAAAAAATTAAAATTAAATCAAAACAAAGACCAACAACTGATGATGAAATAAAATTATCTGAGACTACATTAGTTGAAGAAAAGATTGAAATAATTGATCGAAAGCCGTCTGTGACAACACTTCCAGATAAAAGTACCGATCAATTGGTGGACAAATCTGAAGAAATAAGTCAAATTCCTGTCGATAGTAGTAAACAAAAAATTAAAATTAAATCAAAACAAAGACCAACAACTGATGATGAAATAAAATCATCTGAGACTACATTAGTTGAAGAAAAGATTGAAATAACTGATCGAAAGCCGTCAGTGACAACACTTCCAGATAAAAGTACCGATCAATTGGTGGACATGACTACTGAAGAAATAAGTCAAATTCCTGTCGATAGTAGTAAACAAAAAATTAAAATTAAATCAAAACAAAGACCAACAATTGATGATGAAATAAAATCATCTGAGACTACATTAGTTGAAGAAAAGATTGAAATAACTGATCGAAAGCCGTCAGTGACAACACTTCCAGATAAAAGTACCGATCAATTGGTGGACATGACTACTGAAGAAATAAGTCAAATTCCTGTCGATAGTAGTAAACAAAAAATTAAAATTAAATCAAAACAAAGACCAACAACTGATGATGAAATAAAATTATCTGAGACTACATTAGTTGAAGAAAAGATTGAAATAACTGATCGAAAGCCGTCAGTGACAACACTTCCAGATAAAAGTACCGATCAATTGGTGGACATGACTACTGAAGAAATAAGTCAAATTCCTGTCGATAGTAGTAAACAAAAAATTAAAATTAAATCAAAACAAAGACCAACAACTGATGATGAAATAAAATCATCTGAGACTACATTAGTTGAAGAAAAGATTGAAATAACTGATCGAAAGCCGTCAGTGACAACACTTCCAGATAAAAGTACAGATCAATTGGTGGACAAATCTGAAGAAATAAGTCAAATTCCTGTCGATAGTAGTAAACAAAAAATTAAAATTAAATCAAAACAAAGACCAACAACTGATGATGAAATAAAATCATCTGAGACTACATTAGTTGAAGAAAAGATTGAAATAACTGATCGAAAGCCGTCAGTGACAACACTTCCAGATAAAAGTACCGATCAATTGGTGGACATGACTACTGAAGAAATAAGTCAAATTCCTGTCGATAGTAGTAATCATAAAATTAAAATTAAATCAAAACAAAGACCAACATCTGATGATGAAATAAAATCATCTGAGACTACATTAGTTGAAGAAAAGATTGAAATAACTGATCGAAAGCCGTCTGTGACAACACTTCCAGATAAAAGTACTGATCAATTGGTGACCATGACTACTGAAGAAATAAGTCAAATTCCTGTCGATAGTAGTAAACAAAAAATTAAAATTAAATCAAAACAAAGACCAACATCTGATGATGAAATAAAATCATCTGAGACTACATTAGTTGAAGAAAAGATTGAAATAATTGATCGAATGCCGTCAGTGACAACACTTCCAGATAAAAGTACCGATCAATTGGTGGACATGACTACTGAAGAAATAAGTCAAATTCCTGTCGATAGTAGTAATCATAAAATTAAAATTAAATCAAAACAAAGACCAACATCTGATGATGAAATAAAATCATCTGAGACTACATTAGTTGAAGAAAAGATTGAAATAACTGATCGAAAGCCGTCAGTGACAACACTTCCAGATAAAAGTACCGATCAATTGGTGGACAAATCTGAAGAAATAAGTCAAATTCCTGTCGATAGTAGTAAACAAAAAATTAAAATTAAATCAAAACAAAGACCAACATCTGATGATGAAATAAAATCATCTGAGACTACATTAGTTGAAGAAAAGATTGAAATAATTGATCGAAAGCCGTCTGTGACAACACTTCCAGATAAAAGTACCGATCAATTGGTGGACAAATCTGAAGAAAATATTGAAATATCTGCTAAAAAACAAAAATCTAAAACAAATCAGGATAAAAAAGGTAATTTTTAATTGTTTATTTATCGCCAAATAAAAGTTGTAAGTATTTATTTTTATAAATTAAAAACATTTAAATTATAAATATTACTATAACAAAAGCAAAAATAGATAAGATAAAAACTGCAGTGGTTACTATCACTGAAATTAAACCATCAGATATAGTTGACATCAAATCAACTGATACATCGGAAGATATACCAATTGTTTCTGATATGAGTGTTGATATGTCTACACAAAAGAAAAAAATTAAATCAAAGACAAAAACTCCTGTTGAAGACACAAATGTTATACAGAAACAATCTGATGATATCGAAGAAGTAGTCACTATCACTGAAATTAGACCATCAGATATAGTTGACATCGAAACAATTGATACATCTGAAGATATACCAATTGTATCTGATATGAGTATTGATATGTCTACCCAAAAGAAAAAGATTAAATCAAAGACAAAATCTCCTGTTGAAGACACAACTGTTATACCGAAACAATCTGATGATATCGAAGAAGTAGTCACTATCACTGAAATTAGACCATCAGATATAGTTGACACCAAAACAATTGATACATCGGAAGATATACCAATTGTTTCTGATATTACTGTTGATATGTCTACACAAAAGAAAAAGATTATATCAAAAACAAAAACTCCTGTTGAAGACACAACTGTAATACCGAAACAATCTGATGATATCGAAGAAGTAGTTACTATCACTGAAATTAGACCATCAGATATAGTTGACACCAAAACAATTGATACATCGGAAGATATACCAATTGTTTCTGATATTACTGTTGATATGTCTACACAAAAGAAAAAGATTAAATTAAAGACAAAAACTCCTGTTGAAGACACAACTGTAATACCGAAACAATCTGATGATATCGAAGAAGTAGTCACTATCACTGAAATTAGACCATCAGATATAGTTGACATCGAAACAATTGATACATCGGAAGATAAACCAATTGTTACTGATATCACAGTTGATAAGAGTATTCAGAAGAAAAAGATTAAATCAAAGACAAAAATTCCTGTTGAAGACACAACTGTTATACCGAAACAATCTGATGATATCGAAGAAGTAGTCACTATCACTGAAATTAGACCATCAGATATAGTTGACACCAAAACAATTGATACATCGGAAGATATACCAATTGTTTCTGATATTACTGTTGATATGTCTACACAAAAGAAAAAGATTATATCAAAAACAAAAACTCCTGTTGAAGACACAACTGTAATACCGAAACAATCTGATGATATCGAAGAAGTAGTCACTATCACTGAAATTAGACCATCAGATATAGTTGACACCAAAACAATTGATACATCGGAAGATATACCAATTGTTTCTGTTATGAGTGTTGATATGTCTACACAAAAGAAAAAGATTAAATTAAAGACAAAAACTCCTGTTGAAGACACAACTGTTATACCGAAACAATCTGATGATATCGAAGAAGTAGTCACTATCACTGAAATTAGACCATCAGATATAGTTGACACCAAAACAATTGATACATCGGAAGATATACCAATTGTTTCTGATATAAGTGTTGATATGTCTACAGAAAAGAAAAAGATTAAATCAAAGACAAAAACTCCTGTTGAAGACACAACTGTTATACCGAAACAATCTGATGATAACGAAGAAGTAGTTACTATCACTGAAATTAGACCATCAGATATAGTTGACATCGAAACAATTGATACATCGGAAGATAAACCAATTGTTACTGATATCACAGTTGATAAGAGTATTCAGAAGAAAAAGATTAAATCAAAGACAAAAACTCCTGTTGAAGACACAACTGTTATACCGAAACAATCTGATGATATCGAAGAAGTAGTCACTATCACTGAAATTAGACCATCAGATATAGTTGACACCAAAACAATTGATACATCGGMAGATATACCAATTGTTTCTGTTATGAGTGTTGATATGTCTACACAAAAGAAAAAGATTAAATTAAAGACAAAAACTCCTGTTGAAGACACAACTGTTATACCGAAACAATCTGATGATATCGAAGAAGTAGTCACTATCACTGAAATTAGACCATCAGATATAGTTGACACCAAAACAATTGATACATCGGAAGATAAACCAGTTGTTTCTGATATGAGTGTTGATATGTCTACACAAAAGAAAAAGATTAAATCAAAGACAAAAACTCCTGTTGAAGACACAACTGTTATACCGAAACAATCTGATGATATCGAAGAAGTAGTCACTATCACTGAAATTAGACCATCAGATATAGTTGACACCAAAACAATTGATAAATCGGAAGATATGCCAATTGTTTCTGATATTACTGTTGATATGTCTACACAAAAGAAAAAGATTAAATTAAAGACAAAAACTCCTGTTGAAGACACAACTGTTATACCGAAACAATCTGATGATATCGAAGAAGTAGTCACTATCACTGAAATTAGACCATCAGATATAGTTGACACCAAAACAATTGATACATCGGCAGATATACCAATTGTTTCTGTTATGAGTGTTGATATGTCTACACAAAAGAAAAAGATTAAATTAAAGACAAAAACTCCTGTTGAAGACACAACTGTTATACCGAAACAATCTGATGATATCGAAGAAGTAGTCACTATCACTGAAATTAGACCATCAGATATAGTTGACACCAAAACAATTGATACATCGGAAGATATACCAATTGTTTCTGATATTACTGTTGATATGTCTACACAAAAGAAAAAGATTAAATCAAAGACAAAAACTCCTGTTGAAGACACAACTGTTATACCGAAACAATCTGATGATATCGAAGAAGTAGTCACTATCACTGAAATTAGACCATCAGATATAGTTGACACCAAAACAATTGATACATCGGAAGATATACCAATTGTTTCTGATATTACTGTTGATATGTCTACACAAAAGAAAAAGATTAAATCAAAGACAAAAACTCCTGTTGAAGACACAACTGTTATACCGAAACAATCTGATGATATCGAAGAAGTAGTCACTATCACTGAAATTAGACCATCAGATATAGTTGACATCGAAACAATTGATACATCGGAAGATAAACCAATTGTTACTGATATCACAGTTGATAAGAGTATTCAGAAGAAAAAGATTAAATCAAAGACAAAAACTCCTGTTGAAGACACAACTGTTATACCGAAACAATCTGATGATATCGAAGAAGTAGTCACTATCACTGAAATTAGACCATCAGATATAGTTGACACCAAAACAATTGATACATCGGAAGATATACCAATTGTTTCTGATATTACTGTTGATATGTCTACACAAAAGAAAAAGATTAAATCAAAGACAAAAACTCCTGTTGAAGACACAACTGTTATACCGAAACAATCTGATGATATCGAAGAAGTAGTCACTATCACTGAAATTAGACCATCAGATATAGTTGACACCAAAACAATTGATACATCGGAAGATATACCAATTGTTTCTGATATGAGTGTTGATATGTCTACACAAAAGAAAAAGATTAAATCAAAGACAAAAACTCCTGTTGAAGACACAACTGTTATACCGAAACAATCTGATGATATCGAAGAAGTAGTCACTATCACTGAAATTAGACCATCAGATATAGTTGACACCAAATCAATTGATACATCGGAAGATATACCAATTGTTTCTGATATAAGTGTTGATATGTCTACACAAAAGAAAAAGATTAAATCAAAGACAAAAACTCCTGTTGAAGACACAACTGTTATACCGAAACAATCTGATGATATCGAAGAAGTAGTCACTATCACTGAAATTAGACCATCAGATATAGTTGACATCGAAACAATTGATACATCGGAAGATAAACCAATTGTTACTGATATCACAGTTGATAAGAGTATTCAGAAGAAAAAGATTAAATCAAAGACAAAAACTCCTGTTGAAGACACAACTGTTATACCGAAACAATCTGATGATATCGAAGAAGTAGTCACTATCACTGAAATTAGACCATCAGATATAGTTGACACCAAAWCAATTGATACATCGGAAGATATACCAATTGTTTCTGATATAAGTGTTGATATGTCTACACAAAAGAAAAAGATTAAATCAAAGACAAAAACTCCTGTTGAAGACACAACTGTTATACCGAAACAATCTGATGATATCGAAGAAGTAGTCACTATCACTGAAATTAGACCATCAGATATAGTTGACACCAAAACAATTGATACATCGGAAGATATACCARTTGTTTCTGATATGAGTGTTGATATGTCTACACAAAAGAAAAAGATTAAATCAAAGACAAAAACTCCTGTTGAAGACACAACTGTTATACCGAAACAATCTGATGATATCGAAGAAGTAGTCACTATCACTGAAATTAGACCATCAGATATAGTTGACACCAAATCAATTGATACATCGGAAGATATACCAATTGTTTCTGATATTACTGTTGATATGTCTACACAAAAGAAAAAGATTAAATCAAAGACAAAAACTCCTGTTGAAGACACAACTGTTATACCGAAACAATCTGATGATATCGAAGAAGTAGTCACTATCACTGAAATTAGACCATCAGATATAGTTGACATCGAAACAATTGATACATCGGAAGATAAACCAATTGTTACTGATATCACAGTTGATAAGAGTATTCAGAAGAAAAAGATTAAATCAAAGACAAAAACTCCTGTTGAAGACACAACTGTTATACCGAAACAATCTGATGATATCGAAGAAGTAGTCACTATCACTGAAATTAGACCATCAGATATAGTTGACACCAAAACAATTGATACATCGGAAGATATACCAATTGTTTCTGATATTACTGTTGATATGTCTACACAAAAGAAAAAGATTAAATCAAAGACAAAAACTCCTGTTGAAGACACAACTGTTATACCGAAACAATCTGATGATATCGAAGAAGTAGTCACTATCACTGAAATTAGACCATCAGATATAGTTGACACCAAAACAATTGATACATCGGAAGATATACCAATTGTTTCTGATATGAGTGTTGATATGTCTACACAAAAGAAAAAGATTAAATCAAAGACAAAAACTCCTGTTGAAGACACAACTGTTATACCGAAACAATCTGATGATATCGAAGAAGTAGTCACTATCACTGAAATTAGACCATCAGATATAGTTGACACCAAATCAATTGATACATCGGAAGATATACCAATTGTTTCTGATATAAGTGTTGATATGTCTACACAAAAGAAAAAGATTAAATCAAAGACAAAAACTCCTGTTGAAGACACAACTGTTATACCGAAACAATCTGATGATATCGAAGAAGTAGTCACTATCACTGAAATTAGACCATCAGATATAGTTGACATCGAAACAATTGATACATCGGAAGATAAACCAATTGTTACTGATATCACAGTTGATAAGAGTATTCAGAAGAAAAAGATTAAATCAAAGACAAAAACTCCTGTTGAAGACACAACTGTTATACCGAAACAATCTGATGATATCGAAGAAGTAGTCACTATCACTGAAATTAGACCATCAGATATAGTTGACACCAAAACAATTGATACATCGGAAGATATACCAATTGTTTCTGATATGAGTGTTGATATGTCTACACAAAAGAAAAAGATTAAATCAAAGACAAAAACTCCTGTTGAAGACACAACTGTTATACCGAAACAATCTGATGATATCGAAGAAGTAGTCACTATCACTGAAATTAGACCATCAGATATAGTTGACACCAAAACAATTGATACATCGGAAGATATACCAATTGTTTCWGATATGAGTGTTGATATGTCTACACAAAAGAAAAAGATTAAATCAAAGACAAAAACTCCTGTTGAAGACACAACTGTTATACCGAAACAATCTGATGATATCGAAGAAGTAGTCACTATCACTGAAATTAGACCATCAGATATAGTTGACACCAAAACAATTGATACATCGGAAGATATACCAATTGTTTCTGATATTAGTGTTGATATGTCTACACAAAAGAAAAAGATTAAATCAAAGACAAAAACTCCTGTTGAAGACACAACTGTTATACCGAAACAATCTGATGATATCGAAGAAGTAGTCACTATCACTGAAATTAGACCATCAGATATAGTTGACACCAAAACAATTGATACATCGGAAGATATAACCAATTGTTTCTGATATCACTGTTGATATGTCTACACAAAAGAAAAAGATTAAATCAAAGACAAAAACTCCTGTTGAAGACACAACTGTTATACCGAAACAATCTGATGATATCGAAGAAGTAGTCACTATCACTGAAATTAGACCATCAGATATAGTTGACACCAAAACAATTGATACATCGGAAGATATACCAATTGTTTCTGATATCAGTGTTGATATGTCTACACAAAAGAAAAAGATTAAATCAAAGACAAAAACTCCTGTTGAAGACACAACTGTTATACCGAAACAATCTGATGATATCGAAGAAGTAGTCACTATCACTGAAATTAGACCATCAGATATAGTTGACACCAAAACAATTGATACATCGGAAGATATACCAATTGTTTCTGATATTACTGTTGATATGTCTACACAAAAGAAAAAGATTAAATCAAAGACAAAAACTCCTGTTGAAGACACAACTGTTATACCGAAACAATCTGATGATATCGAAGAAGTAGTCACTATCACTGAAATTAGACCATCAGATATAGTTGACACCAAAACAATTGATACATCGGAAGATATACCAATTGTTTCTGATATCAGAGTGTTGATATGTCTACACAAAAGAAAAAGATTAAATCAAAGACAAAAACTCCTGTTGAAGACACAACTGTTATACCGAAACAATCTGATGATATCGAAGAAGTAGTCACTATCACTGAAATTAGACCATCAGATATAGTTGACACCAAAACAATTGATACATCGGAAGATATACCAATTGTTTCTGATATTACTGTTGATATGTCTACACAAAAGAAAAAGATTAAATCAAAGACAAAAACTCCTGTTGAAGACACAACTGTTATACCGAAACAATCTGATGATATCGAAGAAGTAGTCACTATCACTGAAATTAGACCATCAGATATAGTTGACACCAAAACAATTGATACATCGGAAGATATACCAATTGTTTCTGATATGAGTGTTGATATGTCTACACAAAAGAAAAAGATTAAATCAAAGACAAAAACTCCTGTTGAAGACACAACTGTTATACCGAAACAATCTGATGATATCGAAGAAGTAGTCACTATCACTGAAATTAGACCATCAGATATAGTTGACACCAAAACAATTGATACATCGGAAGATATACCAATTGTTTCTGATATTACTGTTGATATGTCTACACAAAAGAAAAAGATTAAATCAAAGACAAAAACTCCTGTTGAAGACACAACTGTTATACCGAAACAATCTGATGATATCGAAGAAGTAGTCACTATCACTGAAATTAGACCATCAGATATAGTTGACATCGAAACAATTGATACATCGGAAGATAAACCAATTGTTACTGATATCAGAGTTGATAAGAGTATTCAGAAGAAAAAGATTAAATCAAAGACAAAAACTCCTGTTGAAGACACAACTGTTATACCGAAACAATCTGATGATATCGAAGAAGTAGTCACTATCACTGAAATTAGACCATCAGATATAGTTGACACCAAAACAATTGATACATCGGAAGATATAACCAATTGTTTCTGATATTACTGTTGATATGTCTACACAAAAGAAAAAGATTAAATCAAAGACAAAAACTCCTGTTGAAGACACAACTGTTATACCGAAACAATCTGATGATATCGAAGAAGTAGTCACTATCACTGAAATTAGACCATCAGATATAGTTGACACCAAAACAATTGATACATCGGAAGATATACCAATTGTTTCTGATATGAGTGTTGATATGTCTACACAAAAGAAAAAGATTAAATCAAAGACAAAAACTCCTGTTGAAGACACAACTGTTATACCGAAACAATCTGATGATATCGAAGAAGTAGTCACTATCACTGAAATTAGACCATCAGATATAGTTGACACCAAAACAATTGATACATCGGAAGATATACCAATTGTTTCTGATATTACTGTTGATATGTCTACACAAAAGAAAAAGATTAAATCAAARACAAAAACTCCTGTTGAAGACACAACTGTTATACCGAAACAATCTGATGATATCGAAGAAGTAGTCACTATCACTGAAATTAGACCATCAGATATAGTTGACATCGAAACAATTGATACATCGGAAGATAAACCAATTGTTACTGATATCAGAGTTGATAAGAGTATTCAGAAGAAAAAGATTAAATCAAAGACAAAAACTCCTGTTGAAGACACAACTGTTATACCGAAACAATCTGATGATATCGAAGAAGTAGTCACTATCACTGAAATTAGACCATCAGATATAGTTGACACCAAAACAATTGATACATCGGAAGATATACCAATTGTTTCAGATATGAGTGTTGATATGTCTACACAAAAGAAAAAGATTAAATCAAAGACAAAAACTCCTGTTGAAGACACAACTGTTATACCGAAACAATCTGATGATATCGAAGAAGTAGTYACTATCACTGAAATTAGACCATCAGATATAGTTGACACCAAAACAATTGATAAATCGGAAGATATGCCAATTGTTTCTGATATTACTGTTGATATGTCTACACAAAAGAAAAAGATTAAATTAAAGACAAAAACTCCTGTTGAAGACACAACTGTTATACCGAAACAATCTGATGATATCGAAGAAGTAGTCACTATCACTGAAATTAGACCATCAGATATAGTTGACACCAAAACAATTGATACATCGGAAGATAAACCAATTGTTACTGATATCAGAGTTGATAAGAGTATTCAGAAGAAAAAGATTAAATCAAAGACAAAAACTCCTGTTGAAGTCACAACTGTTATACCGAAACAATCTGATGATATCGAAGAAGTAGTCACTATCACTGAAATTAGACCATCAGATATAGTTGACACCAAATCAATTGATACATCGGAAGATATACCAATTGTTTCTGATATTACTGTTGATATGTCTACACAAAAGAAAAAGATTAAATCAAAGACAAAAACTCCTGTTGAAGACACAACTGTTATACCGAAACAATCTGATGATATCGAAGAAGTAGTCACTATCACTGAAATTAGACCATCAGATATAGTTGACACCAAAACAATTGATACATCGGMAGATATACCAATTGTTTCTGTTATGAGTGTTGATATGTCTACACAAAAGAAAAAGATTAAATCAAAGACAAAAACTCCTGTTGAAGACACAACTGTTATACCGAAACAATCTGATGATATCGAAGAAGTAGTCACTATCACTGAAATTAGACCATCAGATATAGTTGACACCAAAACAATTGATACATCGGAAGATATACCAATTGTTTCTGATATAAGTGTTGATATGTCTACACAAAAGAAAAAGATTAAATCAAAGACAAAAACTCCTGTTGAAGACACAACTGTTATACCGAAACAATCTGATGATATCGAAGAAGTAGTCACTATCACTGAAATTAGACCATCAGATATAGTTGACACCAAAACAATTGATACATCGGAAGATATACCAATTGTTTCTGATATCAGTGTTGATATGTCTACACAAAAGAAAAAGATTAAATCAAAGACAAAAACTCCTGTTGAAGACACAACTGTTATACCGAAACAATCTGATGATATCGAAGAAGTAGTCACTATCACTGAAATTAGACCATCAGATATAGTTGACACCAAAACAATTGATACATCGGAAGATATACCAATTGTTTCTGATATTACTGTTGATATGTCTACACAAAAGAAAAAGATTAAATCAAAGACAAAAACTCCTGTTGAAGACACAACTGTTATACCGAAACAATCTGATGATATCGAAGAAGTAGTCACTATCACTGAAATTAGACCATCAGATATAGTTGACACCAAAACAATTGATACATCGGAAGATATACCAATTGTTTCTGATATGAGTGTTGATATGTCTACACAAAAGAAAAAGATTAAATCAAAGACAAAAACTCCTGTTGAAGACACAACTGTTATACCGAAACAATCTGATGATATCGAAGAAGTAGTCACTATCACTGAAATTAGACCATCAGATATAGTTGACACCAAAACAATTGATACATCGGAAGATATACCAATTGTTTCTGATATTACTGTTGATATGTCTACACAAAAGAAAAAGATTAAATCAAAGACAAAAACTCCTGTTGAAGACACAACTGTTATACCGAAACAATCTGATGATATCGAAGAAGTAGTCACTATCACTGAAATTAGACCATCAGATATAGTTGACATCGAAACAATTGATACATCGGAAGATAAACCAATTGTTACTGATATCAGAGTTGATAAGAGTATTCAGAAGAAAAAGATTAAATCAAAGACAAAAACTCCTGTTGAAGACACAACTGTTATACCGAAACAATCTGATGATATCGAAGAAGTAGTCACTATCACTGAAATTAGACCATCAGATATAGTTGACACCAAATCAATTGATACATCGGAAGATATACCAATTGTTTCTGATATTACTGTTGATATGTCTATACAAAAGAAAAAGATTAAATCAAAAACAAAAACTCCTGTTGAAGACACAACTGTTATACCGAAACAATCTGATGATATCGAAGAAGTAGTCACTATTACTGAAATTAGACCATCAGATATAGTTGACACCAAAACAATTGATACATCGGAAGATATACCAGTTGTTTCTGATATGAGTGTTGATATGTCTACACAAAAGAAAAAGATTAAATCAAAAACAAAAACTCCTGTTGAAGACACAACTGTWATACCGAAACAATCTGATGATATCGAAGAAGTAGTCACTATCACTGAAATTAGACCATCAGATATAGTTGACATCGAAACAATTGATACATCGGAAGATAAACCAATTGTTACTGATATCASAGTTGATAAGAGTATTCAGAAGAAAAAGATTAAATCAAAGACAAAAACTCCTGTTGAAGACACAACTGTTATACCGAAACAATCTGATGATATCGAAGAAGTAGTCACTATCACTGAAATTAGACCATCAGATATAGTTGACACCAAAACAATTGATACATCGGAAGATATACCAATTGTTTCTGATATTA